CCGTATACGGCGGCGTCAATATGAAGTGCCAGGCCCCAACTCGTTGTGGCACCATGATGGGCACCATCGTAAGTGTTTATATAGCTCTTTTTGTAGTTGACCAATGGCTCTTGTTCACAGGACTTATACGATGGGGTATAGTTATTCATGGCTTCATTGATGGATATTCACGTTTGATAACTGGCATGAGAGCTCATGATAATAACCGATCACCTACGGTCCTTTCTCTTTTTCTATCTGCTGCTGAAAGATATGGAATCCCTTCGCGTGTTCGAGGCGATCATGGTGTTGAGAATATATGGGTAGCTGCTTTTATGGAGCATGTTCGAGGCACTGGACGGGGTTCCTACATTTGGGGACGGTGAGACAAAATTTTTCTTTTTGTTCTCTAGGCTTACTTTCTTTTCAGTTCAGTTCATAACGTCAGAATTGAGCGTTTATGGGTTGATGTATCACATTATGTCTCCCAGCATTGGCATGATGCCTTTACAGCCCTTGAAGTTCACCACGACCTTGACGTTCAAAATATTAACCATATTTGGCTCATTCACCACCTTTTTCTTCGCCAAATCAATGATTCTCTTGCGTTCTGGGCCGAGTCCTGGAATAGCCATCGGGTCCGCGAGAATAATGGTCCAAGTCGCTCTCCAGAAGATAGATTTGGCTTTGATATGTTTGTTCAAGGCTTCCGAGGTGAGGCATTGGATCAGTTTGCAATGTCGGATGAAGAGCTAGAGGTTTTTGGGATTGATTGGGAGGGTTTGGAGGATGAAGTCTTGTTGCGTTCACTTCGCAAGAATTATGCTCATGAAGATGGTACGAGCACATGGCTGGGACGACATGGACCACCTCCTAATTTGAACGAGGTCGTTGTTGACCCTCCTTCCGACTTGTTGACGTCTGAGCAGCTAGATGCGCTTAACATGGCTCTAAGACATATCCCTCGAGGTTCAGAACTTGGACAAATTGTAGATCTATGGACTAATGCTTTGGCATATGTACGGACCATATATCCAGGTTATTTCTAGATAAATCAAACTACATTTTCATGCATGTCACATCTTGGATCAAACGTACGGGGCTCAAAATAATGAAATCAATAGTGCACAAATAAGTATTCTACACAACACAAAATGATAAACAATAAGTACAAATAGTTCAGAAAATGACATCAATAGATGCTGGAACTAATCATTCATATCCCACCGAAGATGTGATTACATGGCAGGTACAAAAGTTGGTAGTGCATGGTGGCAAGCTCAACCCTTCTTAGTCATATGGGGCTTTGAAGAAGAATATTGTATTTGTCAAACATAAATCTCATTTTGAACCAATCGATGAAGGAAATTTTGACCTCAATTGTAGTCAGCTACAAATGAAAGCTCACTTATTTGTGAAAGTGGAAAGTCAAAACGGAGAATCCAGTGCAAGTCATAAGTCAAAGTTTGATTTGGAGTCCAAGTGATATTATTTGTCGAAATATACCTCCATATCGAAGCTTCATCACCTTCCCCATCATGACCCACAATAGCCCACAATCCAGTGGGAACCCAGTTAATCCATCACTCGCGGAACCGGTACTTGCCATCTTTGTTCGCAAGATTGAGCTTGGGCGTTGAAGTTCGAAACTTTGAAATGTCTACATGCTATCGAGAGAAGGAGATGTGAGCGACTCTGACAGTTTGATGGAGTTACGATGGGAGAGCAGTCGAGGATCTGTATCCGCTACGCAGTGCAGAGGCCGATCTGGTGTAATGTCCTCAATCAGAAACACTACTTGGATCAGCTTGGATCGAAGGAAAAGGCTTACCAATTGTATCAATTCGGATACTTATGTATAGCCGATGAATATGGACGTGCGAGCATCGAGACTACACTGGCTGGACCACAGCGAAGCAGATGGCGTGGGTTGTCGGCAATTGACGGGTATGAGGCTCACACCGATACAAGTCCGGTCGTCATGGTCTGTCAAACCCGGCCTGCGCAGCAATTTTTAATTCTGCAGATATATTGTCTGTGCTCCGTGGAGTTCAAGTAAATATTCGACATCTGTTCTTTCGGATTCTTCCGCTTCCTCTTTGTTCGCTGTCGCTTTGGTCCGAGAGTTGAATCTGACTTTGTCTTCATTACTTTGGACATCGCTAAATTGGCGGAAATGTTATCCAACGTTACATCAATTATGATTTTGATCCATGCCTTACCGGTCCTCACAACGCCTCACAATTCATTGTGGGGTCAGTACATCATTGCAAAAGATCGACAATGCGTAATAGGATTATCACAATACTCATCAAGGTTTACAACAATATGTATGCCTAGATTATTACCGTCACCTCTTTGTATCAGTATGTATATACATGATGAGATATACAAGCTCATAGATTGCCTTCCACCATACAGCATATCTACTCTGTCGGACTAGTAGGAGAACAACAATTCTAGATAAGCTAATCTGACCCATATCATTGCTGCCAGTTATCTAGTAGGTTAGTTCCATTCACGTCAACATCGATAACAACTAATCCGAGTCCGAGTCATGGCCTGGAACTCAACTCAAGCTCGACTTCAACTCCAGCCCCCGACTCATTGCCCGGCGGTAATTCATCTGATTGATATATTGTGGAGATGAACCATATGATCGCTATGTAGCAACCCTGAAGTCAATTGGAAATATGTGGAGCAACAGGTATATAAAGCGAACCTCAAACGAACCCTTCTTTATTCCCAACTCCCACCACCTGACAAAAATCATAAATTTAACCCTCCACTAGCAGCAACCCGTGCGACACGCTTGGGAGCACTCGGGGCATTGCTTTGCTCCACCCACTCGCTCCCTTCACTTGTGCAACAGAGAGAAAGCAAGCTCAACCATTGCTTATGTATGTGACTATCCATGTGAGTAGTCATCTCGGGTTTCCGTCTCTAAACTCATGACAATTCTTCAGTTTGATATTATTCCTACACTATATACACGTACAATGACGACAATTATCAAGACTAATGGAACTTGTTATTGACTTTTTGAGGTACCTATTGACGAAGAGACGGAAGAGCTGCTCAAGTGATGAGCTGAGTGTGTATTCAAGTTTTTTCCAAGTCGTTGTTTTCCTATCTCGTGTTTGTCATAGTCATATTTCACGGGCACGAGCTCTGCTGCCAACAGCCGTGGCACCGAAATAGTCTATTGTTGTCACATGCGTAGTCATGTACCGTAACTATGTAGTAAATGATTATCTATTTTCCCCAACCTGCTCTGTGTTTGTCCGTACATTAATCAGTTTGAGATCAGAATACCTATCTCCCCAATCACATTTCTGATTGTATTATCTGCATACTTGATGCATGATACATGCGATTGTAGGCCACTGCACCACCGTGCATGGCAAAAACTCGGCTCCTTCCTTGTGGGTTATTAAATATTAATTGAATATTATGGAATCAAAAAACAGGGGCGCCTTTCAGGCGCCGACATTGATTTTCTGAGAAAAGCAGAATAAAAGTAAATTTACTTACATATGGAGTAACAGGGAGTAACCGAATGAGACGAGAAAAAGTAATCGTGACAGAGGGTGACAGTCCCGTGATATCCCGTGCCGGTCACATTTAAATGAATGTATTCCAACAGAATGTGACTGAGTACCATATATGGAGAAACTCCTTCCAAGTAAGCAAAGCGAAATAGCATGACGCGACCTACATAAGGACGAGTCTTCCGTAAACTACAGCCTCGTAATTGACATGGGATTGCTTGTTCATTACATGGAGGTCAGGAGAATATGAATATATCACAATCCATACAGGATATCATAATAACATTGTGATCTGACTTTGAGAGTTATGAAAAGTGGTGGTGCAATGTAATGCGCCAAATACTATTGCGGGGTAGTCGCGATATCACACTATGATTACAACACCCTTATCCCTTACAATAGGTTACATCTGCCCATAATATTTCCGCTTATTTAGCGATGGAAGTAGATGATTTGGGATTTGAAAGAGAGGACGCTGGATCATCACCTTAGGAACGATGTCACTGCAGAATGAGATATAGCAACGCCGTGACGAAGATGTACGCAGTGCATAGGAACATGATAGTGAGGAGATCTCAAAGAGATACAGGGGAGAGGCTACATAGGAAGAGGAGAAAGTATAAACACTTGTGCGACTCCAAGCTTGCCGTTGCGACTCGAGATCTTACCGACGGCTGTAATCGACGAAATGAGATCACTTCAGGGAAGATACGCTGGTCGACGGACCAGCGAGAAATACTGCGGCTCGACACTTCTTCCATCTCCCGACGCTCACAATCGCCTAATATCGTGCACCCTTATGGCCTGTCCGGATCCAAGGTCCATACATCCCCATCACCGAACGCCACCCAATTCAACCCAGTCCTCATATGTACGCAACCTTTGTTTAGTCCACATTCACGGCGTAGTATCGGATAGTACTTTTTGAAGATATTGTATGTGGACGGAGAAGGATGTGCCCACTGACGAGGTTGCCAACAACGCAGATTTGATTCTGTTTTGAGTTCTATCGTTCTATCTTTACCCACTTGCTTTCCCAGTAGCCTTGTCAAATCAGAAGAAGGATGAAACACCCATAAGTGAAGCAGAGAAGAATTATTCATGTGGTTTTATCAGTACCACGTGACATTCACCTGAACTGGTCATGATCAGAAGTTTGCACGAAGTTTTTATCAGTTTGATCGTTCAAGCGCTCAAAGACGAACGTTATTTTCTTGACATCATTGCGTCAGGATGATATTAAGCACATTTATTGCCGGGGTCAACCAAGTATGCTTCTTGGGCCAACCTTGGATCGTTCTGCTGTGATCAGTTAGTCGCCGCACAGTCAAGTGCTTCGTACATGCACCAAATCTAGAGTATTATCGATGTAGGCGAAGACAAACCTATACATGACATGCAAGCCACACAGACACAGTGAAGCTGAACGAAGGCTTGAGTTGCAGAATTCAAAACTTGGAAGGAAAAGCTGCACGTGAAAATCATAAAGAGGCAAGTATGTATGTTTATATATTTACACTGAAAGTTAAGGGAAGTGCGATTAGTTATCAGAAGGTGAAATCAAAAAACAAAATACAGAAACTCGAAATACTTGATGATATGAAGTGAGAAGGGTATGGGCGACATTATACAGTATGTAAGTATTTGTAGTTTGTGTTTAACGCAAGTCAAGTGGTCGATCCAAAAAGTCCATAGTATCATTAGTGCCTATTTTAGAGACCAAGTCCGACGCTGGGTTTTGCCCTCAAAGATCAAAGAGGACGGTTCCCGGTCTAGTTAGTATCGTTGATTAGGAGGGATCCAGTATGCATTATTCAAGAATTCTGTTTGAAGCCGAGGAGTTTGTCGTGGTACGCCCGAACGGCAGGAGAACCAGGCATGTAGTCGCGTGCATTTTCCACCTCCTGCACTTCTTCGACGAAACTATTCATATGTGACACTAAAGTAGGAGGCCGATGGAACATTATCTGATGTAGAAAAATTAGCCACATAGATCATGAATATAATCAAACTCTTACCGAGCTGATAGGTCTCGTATAGTCGACGTAATCAACCAAACTTTCCGATGATGCCCCCCCTCCCGCTCTTTCCGTACTCTCCGATGACCTTGATTCCAGCAAGGCAGGGTTAAGCAACCCATCGGGATGATACGAGTCTATTGACTCTCCAGGAGACGCTACAGGCGTTATCGGCGGGAGAACCGGAGGTCCGGACGAGAATGCAAGGTCTGTCAAAGTCCCGGTGAACTTGGGCCGTATAGGTGGGTTTAGGAGGGAAGACGGTCGTGAAGGAAGGTCAAAGTCGGTGAAAGGGGTATGAGAGGTATATGGATCAAAGAAGGGTTCGGGATCTACCGCAATACCTGCTGAGCCTGGAGTGGAATTGCCTCCTCCGCGTAGCCTATTAGGCTCCCCGGAGTTGACACCAGGATCAAACAGTTTCGGAGACGACAGAGGCGAAAAGATTAGAGACGAGGAAGCGCCAAACTGAGAGAGGGGTCTATACTTCGATAGCGTATCAGGTGAGATCAGGCTGAAGTGCGATTCAGATTCCGGATCTGCGAAGGGGTCTGGAGTTGATATGTCTGCTTGCACCCATCCATGGTAAGCTTCGCTAGCCTGGCTGACTGCCCTCGTAGTGTTTGATTCAGCTTCTTCAAATGATATTAAATGCTTTACTGGGCTAGCGATTTGTTCTTTTTCATCGTCTGCTTGATGACGTGGCAAGACCGAGGATGACCTTGACGGGTCATCATTGCCCACTGCTGCATAACTATGAACAGCAGCCATGATACTGCCATAATCCTCCCTTTGCACCACAGGTAAAGTCACCGGACCTTGATACTGTCCATTATAAAACTGCTCATCCTCATCCTCTCTTTCATCTTCTACTACCTCCGAAACCAGGGGAGGCTGCCATTCCTGAGCAGTCAACGGGCGGGAAGTAAGGCTTGGCGAACGCCCTTGAATAAGCACACGGCCAGAACATTCTGTATGATTAGTGTCTGGAGATCTAGTGCGTCTAAGAACACGCCGTCTGCGGTTCCGTATTGCATAGAAGAGGACTAAGATACCACCGACAACGATGAGGACGCCAGCGACAATGACTCCGATGATAGCAGCTTTGTTTCGCAGAATTCTATTGTACATCAAAACAACTTAAAGTGAGCACGTTGAAATGCAAATAAAGTACGCACGGATTCGGTTCAATCTTTCCGGTAGGTAATGGAGTGATGACAGTCACGGTCCCAGTGTGTGTAGGTATAGTCGTCAATTGGCCATTAGGCAGGGTTGAAGTAGTCAACTCTGTGGTCAACTCCGTCAATGTCTCCATTCTGGACGCAGTACTGGCACTAGGCGTTGCAGTCATCACTGCTTCAACAACTTTGCTTGTCGGTGCAATAGTAAAAGCAGAGGAAGCGGCGTTTGTCACCACTGAAGTGGTTATAGTTGTATCAAGACCGGTAATGATCAATACAGATATTGATGGAGAACTTTCAGTTACAGAACTGGGGGTTGTACTGTTGAAGGGATTAGACGACATTATACACCAAATAGAGGTGCCCTTACAGTGGATCGCTTGAAAACTGTGGAGTAGTCACCGTGGAAGTAGAAATGGAGGTGCCATCTGTAGACATAGTCTCAGAGATTGCAGAAAAGGTCGTTTTGAAATTCGAAGAAGTCGACTGCGATATTGTAGATATGGAAGAGATCGCGGATGGAGACGAAGTCGAAAGGGAAGTCGTCGAAAAAGTTGGGATAGTACCCCCATTAGATGATGATAGTAAAGATATAGTACTTGATATTTCAGAAATAGTATCAGTGGATGTAGAGTCCAAACTTGTGCTCGAAGTGATGGAAACTGAAGATTCTGACGGGGGTGTAGCCATGGACGTAGACGACACGGAAGTAATGTCGTTAGTCCCGGTGTTGTCTGAAGAAGAGTTCGGTGTGATAGTCTCGGAAGAAGAGGAAGAAACAGTCTCGGTTGACATGTTAGATACCGCAGGGAGTGTCGAAGAAGATACAACTGAGGGGTTGTACGTAGGAGATGAGGTGAAGGAAATTGTTGCTGTAGTGTCTGCGACAGAAGTGGGAGAGGGTTGTGAAATTGTAGGTGACCCCGATAAAGCATTCCCCGTAGTTGTAGAATTCATAGATGTCGATGTCTCTGTTTGCGTTGACGTTGACGTTATTGACGAAAGGCTTCCAGTAGAAGAACTCCCTGACTCGGAGGTTGTCGCCGGTGTGGTTGTTGGCGACAGAGAGTTCGATGTGACATTCTCCGAAGAGGAAGAGGATGTAGTGTCCGCGGGTTCTGTCGGGAGAGATGCACCTGTAAGAGTGGACGCCGTATCTGTGACGGAGGTGGTAGAGGGAAGTAATATTGAAGACCCCGTAACTGGAACTGACGTTGACGGAGGATTTCCAGTGTCTGTGTCGGATGATGTTGGAGAGGAGATCGGAACTCCCGTGGCTTGAGATCCGTTGGAAGCAGATGATTCCGTACTGGTCACTGTCTGCGTTGGAATGGCTGTTGTTATTGACGAGAAATTTCCGGTAGAAGGACTCCCTGGCTTGGAAGTTGTCGCTGACATGGTCACCGACGGACGTCCCGATGTGACTGTCTCTGCAGAAGATGTACCGTCCGCAGGTTCTGTCGAAGAAGATACACCAGGAGAAGTGGATACAGGCGTGGTGGATGTATTTGTATTATCTGTGACGGAGATGGGAGAGGGCTGTGAAATTGAAGATGTTGTAACTACGGTTGAGGTCGATGGAGCATTGCCAGTAGTGTCTGGAGATGAGGTGGATGAAGGAGTAAAAGGCCCCGTGGCGGAAGAACCAGTAGAAACAGAGGGTCCCGCGCCAGTACTCTCTATCTCCGTCGCTGTGTTTATCGGAAACGAACTATCAGTAAAACTCCACGGCTCTGCTGACGAGATAGTTGCAGTGCTCGTGCTAGAGCTTCCTTTGGTTGACTGCTCCAAGGTGCTACTAGGGGGGAGGGCCGAAGTCGGATATGTGGTGGTTTCGGTGCCAGGTAGAGATTCTGAAGAGTTGCTGGTCGATGAGGTAGTAGTAATTGTGGCAGAGGATGGACGGCTTTCCGTCGGGACAACACTGGAACTGGATATGAAGGGAGTTGTACTAGTTTCAAATGTGTATGCGGACGAGTGAGCTATTGAAGTATTGGTGGAATAGAGGGATGAGGAAGCATTACTTGGACCACTGATCTTGACTTCATGAGGTCAGAAAAACGATTTGTACAAAGTAACTCACCCACTCATGAATTGTCGTTTCCTTGTGGGTGTGTTAGACGGAAGGCTGAACTCAACATGGGAGTTGAAAACACAAAAAATCGTTAGTGTGTGAAGAAAATATAGCTTCTGCATGGAGCCCCCTGCAGGAATTTTGAATTATGGAGCGTCAGCGGTGTTGGAGTCTTCCACATGTTCGGGGATAGCGTTCCGTTGATAGTGATGACATGTTCAGTTGGTCATTTGAAAATTCCATGTAAGGAGAACTAGCTTTGACCCTCGAAGTCGCGATATTGCGGTGCGTTCCCTCTGGTGGGTGTATGAGGACATATAGGAAATTCCAGAACGATGGATGAACGAACTTGAACACCGATGAAAGGAAATTGGAATGTTTGATTTCAATATGATGGGGTCGGCCTATGACGAGGACGAAAGATAATACGTGTGATAAACGAGTGATGGGAGGTGATGGGTGTAGATATGGGAACCAATGAACCTGGATGAAGGCAGAGTTGAGGCGGGGTCCATTCAATGCTTTTTTTTGCTCCAACAGAGTTATGGCATTCGTATTGCTCAAACTCCCCTGCATGTATTTCCTGTACAAAAACGAGAGCTATGGCGTATGACGAGGATATTGGAATTGGAGAATCCCTTACCCGGACAGTCGATTCCTACGTTGGATTCACATACCAAATCGGCCGAAAAGAAGGGACTGAAAGGACCTCGGATAACATGAAAAAATGAACGATGAAATTCCGTTGGAACGAAATATATACACGTTCATACTGTAAATACATACGACTCGAGGTGTTAGGTTCTTAGCCAGGCAGTCTTTGCGATCTTCTTCTGTTTTTTTTGTTCCTTGAACCTTTCCTATGTGGAAAACTGATTCAGGAAATATAGGCTCAAGATCATGTACAAATTACATACCAAGTCCTTCTTACTTGGCCTCTTCCTCTTCTTTTCATTCCCTCCTGCCTCCGCCTCCGCTTCCTGTTCATGGGCTCTCTGCTTCTCCCAAGCATTCACATCAAAGTAAAACTCGCTCATCCTCTTCGCCCTTTCATACTCTGATAAATGAGATGGATCTCTACCGTCCAGGCGAGTGAACTGGCCTGTACGAGCGTTGAATTTTGCCGCAGCACCATACGCGCCTGAACTCGAGCCCGGAATCGGTCCAGCGAGCGATGGATCGAGATGAGCAAGGGATGGATCAATGCCCTGAGCGATAGCGGCTGCTTGCAGAGCATTGTACGATGACAATGCTGCACCGTCAAAGGCTTCCTCGACAGGAGCAACAGCAGGAGATGAGGAATTTGTTGGGTTTTCGAGTGCTGGATTCGGCGTTGTTGAATCCGGAGCTGTCACGAGGGGATTCTCCCAAGTTGTCTCGTTCGTTTCTGCATTGAAGAAGTAGTAGGCATTATACTGTGGCGAGTATATGGCCTGCCATGGCGTAGAAGAGGCTGCAGATCCTGGGATAGCAGAGCCAGATGCATTAAACTCTATACTTTCGGCGTCCTTCTCAGACGGCTTTTCAGTGATTTCCTGAGCAGTAGTTGAATTTTCTTCAGTGTCTTTGGGAAAAGAATTAGAAGAAATATCTTTAACGCTCCCTTCCGAGTCCAGCTTTTCTTTCGACGGCCCAGAACTTGGCGATGTTGAGGTAGAAGAAGACACCGAGGACATGGTGGTTGTTGTCACAATCAGACCCTGAGTCAAAGACTATGCATTAACGGCCCGGGGCTTAGAGGCCCCGAAAAATCATGAACGAAAGCGTAAAATACAGGGGATTATAAGCGAGATACTCGAAAGCGTAGTCTATGTAAAGTTCTTCGCCTGTAAACCTGACGATGGTGTGCCTTCCCGAAACCCAAATGGCCCCACGTTGATTTTTTGAGCACCAAGCATATATCAACTACGCTGGCGTCGTGATCCTTTTATGTATAACCTATCCCACCCATCTACCAATAAACACACATATTCCCAGACTCGACTTCCTGAAATTTTGAAAGAGTAAATCGAAAGAGAGAATTTCGGAGGTAAAGATTATGACGAACGAGGTGTGTTAATCACGAAGCGAATATACCGATGATTCTGAACATAGGTACACCTTGGCCCTCTTCGCCCATGAGTTGACATTCAACGAAATGGTTACCACGGGAGACGTAATGGTCGATCATGAACAGTCTAAAGACCACGCTCAGAATTACACAACCGTTGCAGATAGGAACACTTACTTCGGTTGAGGTTCGCCAACATCTGCGGCATTTTCCAAAGTTTTGGCACCAGCAAAATTATCGTCAACCCAACACTGAATACTGCTACCCTCTCTGACGTCCTTCCTAGGTTCTAAAATGTAGTACACACCGATATCACCGGCACCAACAAGGATAGGAATTCTGATTTTGCTCGTTGGAAGAGAAGAGTACCAATAGTGAGCCTTAGTCTCAAGAGCAGCGCCACCAGCTGCGGAGGCACCGGTGGGGTGGTATGAGAACCAACCAGACCCAGAAAATAATGAAAGAGGGAGAGGGTTGACCAAGTCATTGGCGCTAACACAGTAGGGCGCTATTTCTTCGTAAGGGCGAGCATCGTTTGGTTTCGTATTCATACGACCAGGAGGGACATGCAACAACGGAACATGGGCCTTCGAGGTATCAGGCAGTTCAAGCTTAATCCTGTTACCATCGACATCAACATCCTCCTTCCCTTTTCCCATTCCAGGCTCCGGAACAACGCCTTTACGCGGTCCCATTCCTCCAAAGAGACCGTGGGCATTGTCTGCGGTGCCAGATTCAGAATGCCTTTGAGGCACGGCATCGTAAGATGACCCAGTAAGGACAGCCCAGGCAGTACATGTTTGAGACTGGAAATAAGCGATGAGAATGTCCGAAAGCAAATCATGACCTGAGGGATTGGCCAAGATAGGATCAATGTAGTATTTAGTGATAGAAGAGGGGTCGTTCATGTAATCCGAGAAAAGTGCTGATTTCGTGGATATATGGGGAACGTCGTAGAATTGGGCTACAACGTTATGCCAATGATCAGGACCAACAAAACCGTATGCATTGTGAATTTGAGGAGAAAAGTGCCCTAGCAAAAGGACAGCGGGCGCGTCTGGGCGAATGAGCAGGGATCGAATGAGCGTCTCAAAGTGTTCAGTGGTTTCCGCGTCACTGTGAGGTGATCAGCTATGAAGACAGGTAGCCTGAATACAAAAAAAAACTGACGGTGCGTCGTCTACGTCAAGTTCGACGATGATCAAATCTGTAACGTCCGGAATATGATGTGTACTGCAGTACGCAAAGTAAGCAGAGTTCGTTCGGCGAATTGCGCCATTGGTGAGTTCAGAAGCTGGATGAGGGAAAACGCTGTTCCACCACTGGAAGAATTTAGATGGATAGCATCTTGGGGATATAGGATCATCTCCGGCGCCATGACACGCAGATACTGCATAATGTGATTGAATCAGGAAAAAGAGGTACAACAACACTGGGCGTTACTCACCCGAACCTCCTAAGATACTGATGGTTACAGGCTGTCCAGCCAAAGCTCGACTCAACACTCTTTGAATTCGAGCGCTGCTTCCAAGATGTATGCGACTTTGCGAAAGCACAAGTGAGCCGTATTTTGCCCCAATTTCGTCCCCAGGACCGTAGGCGGGACAGAAATCGAAAGGATTGATTTGAGGCTCCGTGGTGTTAAGGTAATTCTTCGACTTCAAATTGGAGTTCGAATATGGATTAATATTCGAGGTGTGATTTGTCGATGGAAGAATGTAATGTGTACACCCGAGGATAAAGATAACCACGCCAACGACAACCCAGATTCGATTGGTGACGCCGAATGGGCGCTGTGGAAGGCGTGAAAATTTCTCACTGTCCGAGCCCATTCTGGAAGGAGCAGAAATATGAGCTTGAGTCTTCCCTCGCCTGTGCATCCGACGAGGAGATGGAGAAGGAAAGGGAGCGAAAGTCTGAGGAGGTAGTTTGCGGTGAGCTGTTTAGTAAGTCATGTGACTTGATATGTCTCAACTAATAGTAACAATTCCCAATGTATTCTCTTCGTGAACTACAAGATGACTATAGCCAGCTAAAACTAAACTCCTCGTGAATAACAATACTAAGAGTCAAAAGTCGAGGATTGGAAAATATCTCAAATGCTACCCTTTGAAGTTCCGGCACTCCCTATACCCATCTCCACGACATACTTCTGCCTCCCAATCCTCCGCATCTCCTCCATCACATCCCCGACCTTTTGAAATTCTCTCCATTGTCGCCGCGATGCAGAGTTGTAACCATCTACCCCTTCCGGGACAGGTTCTCTGAATCTTAACCTCAGCGCGAGCCATTGCATGGCCTTAACATTGTCGACGAATTCTTCGATGTTTTCTTGCATACCCTCGGCATATATAACACCTGGATAACCAACCTTTGCAAATCCGGAAATAGAGAGAGACATAGACCATTGCTGAAGGTTTCGTCGCTTAGTTGGTGAAATGAGGTGATGGGAAATGAATAGGGCGTGATACATGACTTTGGAAGAACTAGAATGGGAACTTCGCAATGATAGAACATCTCCGTGTGCAGATGTTGGTTCCAAAAGTTTAGTTTCACGGTTAGCATGGATATTGTCGGCTTCCTCATGCAACATAGGAAGAAGATGAAGAGAGAATAGTTGGTAGATTGGATATCTGTGTGCACATCAACTTAGAAAAGCCTTTGATACTAGAACGATGCGAAACAGTGCGAAACATACTCAGAGTCTCCGATATCTTCAAACTTCTCTTTCACAATCCGCTGCCATTTCTCTTGTTCATCCCTCGAAATATCTTCCCCTTTCACTGCAACGAGGGGTTTATGTTGTACAAGTGATAAAGTAACCTCGAACCAAACATTGTAATTTTCCAACCCGACATGCAAACTCGGCGAAGAGAGATTTGACTGTTCGAGAGAATCGCTGTACCCGAAGGACACATAAGAATGGAGAGCATCATTCCAGTCGTTGCAATGATCTAAAAAGAGGAAAATCTCTGCGGGAAGCAGCGAGCAGTGGATGAGCTGGAGTTCCTGAAGTATGCGTTCCATGTAAGTTTGTATCTTGATGACATGCGCTACTAGGCGTGTTCAATTAAAAAATACGGTTTCACGGCTTTCTGGAAATTGCACGATTTCTTGAAAAATAATTTCCATATTTAGTAATTTCTTACAGATTCCAGAAAGCCGTGAAACCGTATTTGATTAATTGAACACGCCTACTGCAGCAGATTATTATGTTATACATTATCTAGTCGGTACTTACTTGGTCTCTGTAATCCTTTGAATTTTTACGAGGCAATATTATTCTGTACCAAAGCTGCCAGGGTACCATGTAAAGTATGTACTACATTATATGCTTGGCTATGAGTAAGATGATTGTTCCATCCATTATTAACATAGACAAGTGATAAACACACCCCGCTCAATAAACACGTAGGAAATACTGAAATATAGTCCAAACAACCAGTATTATAGATTTTTCCCTCCGTCTATTTGATGAGCAAAACCCTACCAATCTCCTCGCGAGAGGACTGACCAGCTTATATGCTGATATCACCTTGCTGCTCGTTTTATTTCATTGTATATCCCTCAAGAATCACGAGAACCAATGACAAACAAGAACTGGGTTTCATAGTTCCATACTTCGGTCATGCCGGACGACAACAGAATCTTGGCTGCGCGACCTGTTCGACATTTCCTCCCAGATAGGATCGACATCAGGTCCTTCAAGGTCTCCTGCACCGTCCCAACCCCAGCACCATACTGTATAAGGAATCAGAATAAAAAGATATCAATAAACGTAGTCGGGGGTAGTTGAATCGGGCAGGCAAGAAAAGGGCAATAAACTCACCGTGATCGGGGCCAGGAACAAAATTTACTGGCTCGCTCTCTTCCTCCGTGAACAGTCTGTCGTGCGGGCCAAACCAAGATCGATCTTGGGGGTCGGTACGAGGATTATCAGGAAGCCCTCCTAGGCGGACGTAGCCTCGGATGGCGGTAAAATTTCGTCGATCGGGATGTATGATATCGTAAACTTTCTGTATGGAGCAAAAGAAATTCAAGAAAAGCCACAATCGCGAAAGTATAACGCACTCGGTCGTAAGCCAACTTGACTCTAGGAACCATCATGATTCGCCCATATCCTGATTGCCAGTAGTCATTGCAAATCAACGAACATTCACTCGCCGAACACTCTCCCTCCGTAATCTTTGCCATCCTAAATTTGACATGTGGCGGAGTGTAAAACGGCGCAGGGTCCAACACCGCAATTCCATTCCAGCAGCTTTGAACTTGCACAGGCAGATGAGCCTGGAAGCGCTGGGATGATTCAGTGTGGTGGAAGATCATTTCGAAAGGTGCATTTTCCAACGCGGTTCCATTGATATCACGGGCGACCCAATTGTCGTAGAAGACAGGAGCACCAATCTCGTCGTGGTACATGTAATCTGCAGCACAAGTGATTCCAGCATTGTTCCGGCGAGATTGCCAAATGAGCTCGAGGATGTCATCGACACAAGGAAGAATATCATTCATGAATACGATAGTGTCAAAATATTCTCCCTCGGAATCGCGGAGTTCGTGTAAGGGGACGAATGCGGAATTTCGAACTTCTGCGAGGTACTCGATACGATGGTTAAATGCACCTCGAGTACGCATGGAGGTCCGGATGGTGATTCGCATGCCGGTCGCACGAGTGAGGGCGTCGTAAATTCGAAGTAGTGCTTTAGTTTGGTCCGTTGAACCATTTTCGTAGATAGAAACGAAGACATTGTGATATCCGAGGATAGCGGCAACACGAAAGAGAGTAGCAAATAGGTCAGGTATGACATCAAACGAATTGTAGAGGTTGATTGCGAAGAAGTATTTGTGCTCGCTCGGCATGACGTCTCGCCGCTGATTTTCGATGTGGTTTTCGGATGAAAGACCAAGACTATCAAGCCAGGACTTTTGTGAGGGCGTTTTATGTCCAAACAGAGGTGCATAACGTTCCAGGGATTGTTGCACATAGAGAGGCTGGACATGAGAAGAGCACTCTCGTGTATAGTGAGGTGTCAGAGTAGTCAAAAGATCCAGGACGCGGTATCGTTGATCCGGCGTTGGAACTTGTATTGGCTGCTTGCTGTGTTGCCTGACACTTGCCGGTGTATGCGCACTCCTCCATGTCGGTGTTGTACTCTGGAGGCAGCCGGTCAGAAACTACGTGAATGAAGGTACAGTCTACGCACAGAGTTCCACGACGTCAGTTTGGCAAGTAGAAAACCACATATTACACCAAGTGCGATAGCAAGAGGGGTCGGAATTTTTCTCAGTTGAGCTTGAAGACCTGACAACTGATTCATCGTCTACTCCCAGTTCCGTAAAATCGAGGAAGACCGTGCGCGGAATGTAGAGCGCCAGCTGGCAGGGGTATAGTTGCTGAGAATGCGGTCAGGAAAGAGCTTGTTCGAAAACGGAATTAAGATGGAGGTGAGAAACTCAGAAAGGAGCTTGCCTGACCGACACCGACAACGTTTGACGCCGAAACCTCTCGGCCTAACACGGCGACGCGTTTCGCCGTTCCTCTCTCAATTTCTCCGGCCGACATACATAATGATCGTTTTTTTGAACTCTTTTATTCCGAGCATGTATGTAAGTATGACAAGTACTTAGGCGCGGGGAACCGTTTCTAATGATCAATGAAAACCCAATGCCAATGTCCACGTAGGTCCGACAAATGGTGTTTCTGCAATTTTCTGTAACGCCTTATTAAAGCTCTTATTTAGTGCTGGGTATCATAAGATTCTGTCTGGTATGATACGGTATCAAGAATTGAGCTTGTGGTATGATAAGTATCACTCGTATTATATGTATTATACCAGTATTATGTAAGCGCCGCAGGCGAATTTTTTTCTAGGTATAATACCGTATAATACATGTATTATATCTTGTATCATAGGAATTATAGGTATTGAACAACTGCATATCTACCAAACACTGTCAAGAGATCAGTTGGAGTCCTTCGCACTCCTTTTTTTTGATGCTTGTTGTGATTGAGAGTTCGATGGCTTCTCCTTTGGAATGTTTTTCATCTGCAATGGTGGATTGTAGCGCTCAAGCAGTTTTAGCTGAGTCCAGTGCATGGAACAGGCTTTTGCATCCTCCCCTCCTCTATTTTGGCCAAACACTTGATCCATAACTTCCTCAAGCTCTACTATTCCAAAGTCTTTCCTCTCCAAGAAAGAGACAGAAGCCTCCAGGAGTCTGATAATCTTCATCTATAAGCATTGCAGGTGATGAGGCAGATTGACGTGACACAACGTGACAAAAAAAAGCAAAAACCTTAGGCAGGCCAATCAGATGCGGATATCATGGGATTGCTTTGGCCTTGCATCTCTATAAGTGACAACAAGATCAATAGGTAAGTGATCTATCTACTACAGAAGTACTATGATGCACAAGGAAAAGCAACATATTGTAGTAGCTCGCAATAAAGATCAAGGGTTTTGATACATATAATACATCAGATTTCTAGGCCTCATGGTATCAAAGGTATAATACGGTATAATACATGTATTATACCGTTCTGTATTATACCACCTGGTTCAATACCCAGCACTACTCTTATTAATGTTGTTGTCAATTTTGAGAGCTTTCACAGCATGTGATCCCTTGAGCGTCGAGCCGTCGACGTTCATGCTATCAGTATGACTAATAAGACCCTTTATCCTGGAGCACTGACGGAAACTCGTCCCAACTTGTGAGTATTTGTTGGTACTATGATCATTGTAGATCGTTGTTCGATTCTTCACCCAGACTCCAAAAGCTAGCTATCAAACCATGGATTCCAGGTCCTCCTCGTTCTATAACGCTTATCAATGTGCTAGTTGTCGATCCGGCTTCAGGATCGCTACTTGGTACTAATGAGAACGAGTTAAAGCACACAGTAATCATGAAAAACGGCAAGTTTGCTGAAGTAAGACCTACAAATGAGGGAGACAAAAATCTCTTCGAAGAAGAGGAAGTCGTAGTGGTGGATCTCAACGGTGCATACATTTGCCCGTAGGTCGAATCCACTTCTCTTTCATATTGCTGCTAGTGATGACATGACTCTTCTCAGAGGTCTCATTGATTGCCACGTCCATGTTACAGCCGTAGCAGGTGTAAAGGTGAGGACATTTTCTATGCTTGCGATACTTCCAGTTCGCTTATTCGCTCCAAGACCATGGGTGAACTCATGCGTGTTAGCGCACAAGAAGTGCATCTGCGGACTACATACAATCTGAAGGGTGAGTCTTTGTTCGTATATAAAAATTTCGAAGCTATTTTAGCAACACTACTCGAAAAGAGATGCTCCAGAGAGGTTTCACAACTGTTCGTGACACCGGAGGAGCGACTAAGGTCCTAGCAAACGCAATTGAGGAGGGGCTCATTGTCGGACCCCGATTATTCCAGTGCGGCAAGGCTCTCTCTCAAACTGGTATGTATCATATCTTGATTGTTTCCCCCTTTGAAAATTTTTGCTATCAGGTGGGCACGGTGACTTTGCTCCTGCGCTTTCCGGGGGGCATGAACTCGGATGTTGTGGAGGCGGAGACGTAGGCCTCTTTGCTCGTGTAGCGGATGGTGTACCCGCAGTACTGAGCGCTGTGAGAGGAGAGTTGAAAAGTGGTGCTGATTGTACGTTGCACGTCCTTGCTTATTCAAGTTCCCTTTTTGTCCGACTGGATGTCTTTTTCCGACCGTAGTCATCAAGATAATGGTCGGCGGAGGTGTCGCGTCCGAAACTGACGCGATCGAAACAGTTCAATATACAACAGAGGAAATTCGTGCCATTACGACGACTTGCAAACAAATGGGCGGAAAATTGTGTAAGTAACATCTCAGTTCTTTTCAATTCGGTTCTACACCCCATCTATCACTATTTATTCGCAACAGCCACTGCCCATGCGTATACTGTTGAATCCATTCGACATGCTATCGAAAATGGGGTCCAAGGAATCGAACATGGAAACCTAATCGATAAACCTACGGCAGAACTGTGAATGTATTTTTTAATGTACGTTGTTTGGCATACTGAACTTAATCGTTCGCAGAATGTCTGCTAATGGGATATATGTGCGATCCTTTCGCTGATTCTTCTCGAATACGTTTAACTTGAACTCACTTGATCTAGTAGTTAACGCCGACATTATGTTGCTATTCCATCATGACTAGGCCACCATTCGAAGATTTTTTGCCACCGTCAGGAAAAGTCAAGAATGCAGAAGTGATGAAGCAAGGATTAAAGGCATTGAAGACTGCCTCAGATGCGGGGGTAACTATTTGCTAGTAGGTTCATAGTTCGCTTTGGAGTTCGCTTCGATATTCTTCATGCACATTTGTACATTCCAGCGGGTCAGATCTTCTCACCTCAATGCAAGCTCTGCAGACGGAAGAATTTACGGTTCGTGCTACTGTACTTCCATCGCCCGATATCCTACGGCACGCTACAACGAATGCAGGTTTGTGAATTTTATCGTTTTTCATATTATACAAATTTACACATTCTTCCTCTTCAGCGAAGATGCTTGACAGGACTTCCCTGCTCGGTACTATCTCCCCAGGGGCATACGCAGATTTGCTCGTATTGAACGCCAACCCATTAGAGGATGTAACAGTGCTCGACCGTCCGGAGAATCACTTGATGGCGGTTATCAAGGGGGGTAGAGTGGTAGTAACCTCTGGGGCGAAGGAATTGGAAACACTTGAAGGTTTGAAGAGATGAATGAACACATTTTCTCGAATCCCGCAATTACTTTTCGAGATCCATATTACAATTTGCCAGTGGATTATGTCATACGAAGTAAATAGCACGTATGATAAATGAAAGTATAATGGCTATATCCGGTGTTAGAAGAAAGTCATTCTAGAGATAGGTAACTACGACAATGTCGATGACTTGGTATCCGAGGAATCTTTCAAATTTGATCAGTATGTAGTCCTGCTTCACCGGCATTGAGACAAAACATACAGAAACCCTTGCTCGTAAGGTACTCTTCGTGCTCCTTTTTGTGTCCTTTCACGGTAGAGTCAACGGACATACGCCAAATCGGGAGACCAATCTAGAATCAAGCAATGATTGAACACCAGCAGTAGATGATGGACATGAAAGGAATAATGAAACGAACCCAACCGATGAAGTTCCATAAGGAGTCCACTATGAAATTTCCTGACGGAGCAACACCTCTCATGGAAGCACGGAAGATATTTCCTAGTAAATCCGGCGATATGTGAAAGTCACCATTCTGAACTCCTCGCAGTAAACCCTTGGCATATTGGTCTCCCGTCACACCAGGATCCGTTTCTTCGATCTTGAGAGTAATTTTGGGCTTAGTAGCATTCTCAATGTCATAACCAGGTGTGTACATTGTTCCAGGGAAAGCAATATGGACGTCGATGTCGTATAAGAGGAATTCTTGACGAAGAGTGTCCGCAAGTGCTACATGTATGACGTTAGTGTCAATTGGAGATTTTCGGTAATCAATATATCTGACCTCTTAGAGCCATCCTTCCTGGACCATAGGCAGCATACCCAATAAGTGTGATATATCCAATGTAGGCTGAATGGAATACAATTTTCCCCTTGGATTTGTCGCGAACCATGCGTTTGGAGGCTTCTAGAGCAGTCCACGCCTGCACCCAGTATGTCTGGTCCATCTGTGTTCTCATCGTTTCCTCTGTTTCTTCAATGAAAAAGCGCGGATGGCAGGAGCCGGCCAGCATGAATATGGCATCGGGGTTCTTCCCTTGGTGAGGTTCGCAAACAGCGTCAAGAGCCTCGCGTGAACCGGCAGCCGTAACAAGGTCGTATGAGTAGTACCTGAGGATTTGGTGAGGAGATGTACGGACAGCCTATCAGCCGGGTCCTCTGAGCAACATTCCTTGTGTGTCCAATGACTTGGGGCGTACCTCGAGCTCCTTCATTGCATTTTCCAATCTCCGTGCATCTCTCGACACAATCGATACATGTGCTCCCTTTGACACCAGTAATTTTGCTACGGCAAGACCCAGGCCAGACGAACCCCCAGTCTATGAAATAGCTAAGATCAAACAGGCCTCAAACAGCTCGCACAAATGAAACACTGACCACATAACAGTGCTACACATCAAAACACTTTTCTGAATACATTTCTTCGATACATTGTCATAGTTGTACGGTTTAAACTCACCTTGCTTTTGGGATCCCAAGATTTGGAGAATAGGCTTAGCATAACGGAGGTGAAAAGGACGAGAAGCCCTGTTATTATCGTTGGATATATGACCTTATACATCCACGACGACGGAGAAATAGAAATTCGAAAATGTTTCTACCGAAATGATCGGAGATTACTCGATCAATAAATTACCTTGGCAGCATGTGGCAGTGCCGCGGAAGCAAAGCTCTTTACGTTCTTCGTACCAGCTCGTACCCGCACAGTGTACTTATTGTACTTACAGAGCTTCAAGCTACAATGTGAGGGGAGTATTGCCTCACTGGCTCTAAGTTCATTAAACTCGAAAATTGCATATGCGTCCGCGCACCGAATTCGTAGCCGTTGGTACGCATCAATCGCAAAATCCTTTCATCGTTTCATCCATAGTTGGTTTCACAGCGTTGAGTAGCGGGTCCGTAACTTTGGAAAACTACCAAGAAAGTGAGCAAAAAACTCATCGATGCGTAAGTACCTTTGCACATTTGCACCATCACCGCGAAAAGCGGCCAGGAGGAGTTGCCTTTTGGTTTTATACATCTTACATGTTTTCTCCATCACCCGCGCCAGCTCCGTGCGCTCCATCACCTTAACATTCTATTCAGAACTCAACATATATATATGAACATATCTCTACAGTTCATACTGCCCCTTCCGTGCCGAAACAGACTAACTCTGAGAGGTAATCGTGAGTAGCGCGGTCTCGTTTTTCGTTGCACAGCCAGTTCGGACTCTCAATCATCACATCTTTTCTTGCTTCCTTCACCGCGTCCGCTTTTTGCCAACTAACCATGGGGGTCTCTGTCGTCCAAGGGCAATTCATCTCACTGTTCTGTGAAACATGCTTCTACGGTCTGGCGTTTTCAATTAGATTGTCTGCATAGAGAATGCTCAACGATATTCTACAGGAATGTACACAGTTCTGTTTATGACTTTGCTCGTGAATTACAGGTGTGAACTCATTCATTGACGCGTTGCCAACTTGGGGTGATTTTGTGTCATTGCTTTCAGGGAGAGGCCAGCCACCAGCCGCTCAGTTCAGATAATTCGAGCAATCACAATCTTTCAATATTGCATGGTGACGGTGCATATATCGCTGGCATTCTATCAAAATTACCTAGCTTTCACGGTGTTTGACGATGCTGAAACCGAATTCAACAAGCTTGGGGCCGCTTCGTATACTCTTGCACAGTTGGCTATCGAATGGACTAATGTATGCGCCGTATTCTTTTCCGGAGTTCGCTTGTTTAACTACTACATCCTTTCAAGTGTGCATGTGCTGATTCCATTCTGATATGGCGTGTATGGATTTTATGGAACCATAGTCTTTATGTGGTCATTTTACCAATAATCCTTGTCATTGTTTCGACCAGTACGTTTTACCGTCAGACTCACTCCGAGTGAAATGTTGACCATCCCTACTTTGAAGCTTCGGGATATCTCGTTTGCTGGTCCATGAACGCCGTTGATAGTTCTGCTTCATCCGATTTTGGGGATCTTTTCGGTCCTGCCGTCGAGAAATGGGCGATCTTACTTGCTATCTGCGTTATGCTCACGAATATAATATGTACTGGGATGATCGCTGGTAGAATATGGTAAGCGTTCCGATGTTCTCGAGTCCGATCTCCAGCAATGATACAGATTGTAGGTGGCACAATCGCGAAACGCAAAAGGCTATGGGTCTCGATGGTATGCCGCATAAGTATCGAACAATTTTCTATGGTATATTGGAGTCGGGAGCACTGTATCTTCTTGCATGGGTTAGTTTGATTTTTTGGTCTTTCGTGATTGATACTACATATCAATGATGTTAATACTGACCTTGATCTAACTGCTTCACATTCATACATGAAGATAGTGGCGATTCTTCTGTACCTGATCAATACTTCAGCAATCATACCCATGCTCGATATCATCTCTCAATTATCGGTCCGTGATTCTGCCAAAAGTTTTCCTGATATCGTCCCTTATATATCTCTTTTTCTTAGGGAATCGTACCTGCTCTCATCGTCATCATCGTCTCGCGAAGTATCGATGCAGCTACACACTATGAAGAAGCTCTTACCACAATCAACTACCGGCGTAATTCTCGCATGCAAATGGGTACCTCTTGCACAGTGGACCGCGAGCTCAGAGCATCCCCGAAAAATTCTCTCGAAATGATTCCAGTACATTTAACAAACTCTTATGAACCTGAAAGTCCTGCAAGGGAGAAAAGAATGGTATTCGCGGAAAATGCTAGTTTGGAAAAGATACCGAAGCATACTGCAACCACGGGGACACGCACAACGGTTAGTGGGGCAAGTAGCAGAACGATGGGGGCTGGTTCCGGAGGAGAAAGTAGTACTGGAGATATAATTTGATATGAGGTTAGAATAGTCACTGTATCTGTAATTGTCAAGCTCTCCATCAAGTTACGCCGTTTTGAGGATGGTTCTAGCATCGTTGAGGATGTTCCGATAAGATAATCTTTATGATGATTTGAAAGAGTTCTTACCGAACAGATCTTCCAGAACTCACTACTTTTACTTCGGAAGATTCTACTACTTTTCGTTGAAGGCGAATTTTACATGACTGCATGGGAATTTCTGGATGAGCAAAACCTTTGTTTTCTGGACATTCAGTAACTCTGGCTTGATCTGGGATTGACCATTATTTGATTTGGGCGTTGAGGTGAGGGTGTTGAGCGCTCCAAAACGCCTGCCCGGCCACGATGTTCACGTGCTGAGATTCTCAAGTCTTGGTTACACTAACGTCAATTCTAATCCTTGTTGTTGAAGATGATGGACGTTGATGAACAAGAGGCCGTACAACTACAACCCTCGCAACCACCACCACCACCACAGCAAGCTAGAAATTCCAGAATTTCTTCAGCCGTCGTATTTGTTGACGACAATCATCCATTTGATCTTGACTCCTACATCTCAAATTACACTGGAAGAGCAGCTATCGATCGGTTAACACATATCGTCTCCGTGTGCCCTTCTGTAGCTGTCGACGCTTTCACTCTTGCTGTCCGACTTATACAGAAAGCTCGCGATCCGGGTCTGTTTCAAACATTGTGCCACGCTTATGAACAAGTTTCCGCGTACTCTGATGTCAAGTTGCCCAGTATATCAGAACTTCCTGCTATCCAGACCAAGTGGACCGATGATACACTGAAGAAGAATCAGAGTGAGAAAATGAAGTTGGAGGCGGAATTGAAGAATTATTCGAACAATATGATCAAAGAGAGCATCAGAGTGAGTAGGCTGGTTTCTTCATCCATTGTGGAACTCATTGCATTCTTATGCAGATGGGTCATCGTGACCTAGCAGAATTCAGTCGCTCAGTAGGAGACTACCCATCCGCTCTCAAACATTGGACCAAGTCACGCGAATTTTGCACAACTAGTCAGCATGTACTCGATGGATGTTTGTCAACCATTGAGGTATGATATATATATATTTTCTTACGATACTCACTCCTGATATTGTCATAGCTCCTAATCGAACAAAGGAACTACTCGCATCTCCCAACCTACGTCTTTAAAGCTGAAGCTGCGCTAGAGGCTGTGACGAGCAGCGCGGCTACTCTCGCGAAAGCTGAAAATTCGAGTGGCGCAGGCGGTTCTCGCAAGACAGCGTCTGCTATGAGCCCGGATCGCGAGATCTTGCAGTCCAAGTTAGACTTTGCCACCGCACTTGGACAGCTGGCACAATCAAACTATGAGAGGGCGGCGTATCACTTTTTGAGGTTGAGTTCGGGGACAGGCAGTGGTGGAGGTTTGGGTGACTGGTTTGGAAAAGTAAGTATTATCTAATTTGCATATCGGCTGTATATTAATCATGTTCCAGCTCGTATCGCCTGGAGATATTGCCATCTATGGTTCTGTTTGCGCGCTCGCGTCGTTATCGAGGTCCGCATTCAAAGCTCAGGTTCTGGAAAATCTATCGTTTGGTGTCTATATTGAACAGGAGCCACATGTTCGAGAAATGATTGAAGCGTATATGGCCAGCAACTTCAAAGGTGTCCTTGAGACGTTGGGCAAGTACAACGTGAGTCACTGTTCTCAGATATCTAATCTCTCAATGGTCATCACCTTCAAATAGACTCGGCACACCATCGATATACACCTGTTCCCTCATTTGACTACCCTGAACTCATTAACTCGCAATCGTCTTGTTTCTCTATACTTTGCACCTTTCAGTAGCATCAAGCTTGACCGTATGGCACAGGCTTTTGGCTGGAGCGTGGTAGAAACTGAGGACTACGTCGTTGGTCTCGTGAGGAGTGGTGATATTGGTGGCCGGGTCGATAGTCGTGCCAAAGTTTTGCAAGTTAAGAAAACAGATCACCGAGCAGAGTTGTTTGCGCACGCCATCAAGACTGGCGTCGAGATAGCGAAGACCAACAAGAAATTGCTGTATAGAATCAAATTGTGAGATTCATTGCTAATCCTTCTTCTTGTGCTGAACCTGAAATGACCTCTCTCTTTGTAGACAACAAGCAGAGTTATTGATCAAACCGCCGAAAGGAAATAATACTGGCCAAAATCAAATGACCGAATACTTACTGGCTGAGTAGTGGTACAACTCTGCATCCACTCACAGGGTTCTTCAACGTTTTGCTCAAGTCGATGTAACGTATATCTCACACCGTTCCACGCAGATTTGCATGTTTTGTATGAATGTTTCCTCACGATTTTCAGGGTCGGTTGAAGTAAGCTAAACTGGTACTCTGAGGTCTTTGCCAGGAAATTGCCTTATGACTATGGTACATGGCGAACAGACTCTCAGTTTTTAGCAATCAGCTTTGATATTTGACCGGTACATAGGCTTGCATAGGGTATATACAAAGCGAAAATCAAAAATAATAGGCGTGTAAACAACGTCCAACAAAAGTTCCCATCAACCCTTTGTTTCCATTTTTGAACCTCCCATTATTTCCATTTCGCGACGTTTGTTTGTCCATTGTCTGTCAACCATTGTATCGCTAAATTTCAAGGCACCATTGTTCTGGGATTTGAACCCCGCGCACACATAGGCACAAATGCAAGAAGTATAAAGGGATGCAAGTTTCCCTCCATTTTCCCAGCTCCTTTAGAGTTTCTTTCTGCACACACGTATCCTTATTGCCTCTGCAAATTCGACTTCTCTGTCCTCCCGTTCAATACCGTCTTGAATTAGCCATGAAGTTCTTTGTTGCTGTCTCCCTCCTTTCTGCCATAACCAGCACCTGTGCCTCTTTACTTTCTCGTCAGACTTTCCCCAGTGCGCGATTTTCCACTCCACCTTGTCACTAACATACTTATAACCTCTACTCAGCTTGCTCGCAGTCCTGTCTTGCCAACGCCGACCTAGGAAGCTGCAACGCCGACGATGACACTTGTCTATGCAACACACCTGCCTTCGTCTCCAGCACTGCAACTTGCATCGCCAGTTCTTGTACCGGAGATGACTTGACCGAGGCAAATGCTGCAGCCCAGGACCTCTGTCTCGCAGTGGTACGTTTCTTTACTGGGTCTTTGGTATCTTATACTGATGTATATTCCCATGTTTTGTTTGTAGGGTGTCACCCTGACTGCGTCTTCAATCCCTATCTCAACTTCGACTGCTCCTGCTTCTTCTGGCTCTGCCAGCGCCACCACGACTTCTGCTGTGTGAGTTGACCTCACTAGTTGCTTTCATGACAGCTTTCTTACATTTGTTTCAGTTCTTCGCAGACTTCATCGAATTCCAATGGTGCACTTTCCAATGGAGTGAATACTTTCGCTAGCCTCACTGCCATTGGTCTTGTTGCCGTCGTTGCCTTGTGAAATTCACTTAGCCAAATATGCATTACGCCTGCTTCATCGTAATACCCTCGACCTTCATTTTTTGGATTTAATGGTTACTTCGACTTCGATCTTCCTTCCACGATGTTTACCGCAGCACGATCTTTTTTTGGGTTTTATGATAATGATGATAATGCATCGATGATGTATTACTGGCCAAGTACTGGTTTAGTTTAATCTTTGTGTCTTCGCTGTCCCATATATATTGTATCGATATCGCATCCTTGCTCCCAATATACCTTGAACTTTCGAGATATTCGTATCCCCTTTCAATCCCAGTTCAACGTCGAATCCTCGTAAGTGAAGAGCGACCCTCAAGGTGAGCAAGGAGATCCTATATCTACTATGTATTGATGTCCGTTTCAGACGGTGTCGTTTTTCACCCTGGGTGCCCTGACAAGCCACTACCTATCTATCCAAGCCATATGATTCATACATTGCTCAATAAGCAACGCGAAAACATACTACATATACATGGCTAAGTAGCTTCGCACACCCGAGTTTTTATCTCCTTTCCCCCCATCCAGATACTTCAGCATCACGGAGAACTATGATTTTACTTCTGATTTTTACGCTGACATTACTCACAAGTCCAGGTTACAGTACATATGTATGGCCTGATCACCTTTACGACGAGCTGGAGCATCTCCTCGTCGATCAGGAGGGATTCAACAACGGCGCAGATTTCAAACGCGCGATCACGCCGTGTACATACTATGTAAACGGAAACCAGACGTTAGGACGCATGACGGTGGCACAGTGGTTGAGAACAGCATTTCGTGAGTCTGATGCGCCTCTTCGCGCAGCTTGTGCTGCAGCTGACGAGTGCAAATGCGCAGACGATTTTGCCACTGCGGACGTTGCTACTGGGACAGGGGGGATGGATGCCTCAATTGGTTGGGAGACGGATAGACCCGAGAATGTAGGCTCCGCCTTCAATGATTCGCTAAGTTTCTTTGCTCCTTTCGTTAACCAACATGTCTCCAGTGTGTCATAAGCTTTTTATAATACATTCGCTTTCTTCTACTAATTACTTGTCACCAACCTCTAGTGGCCGACTTGATTGCTTTGAGCGTCGTCACATCCGTTGGTGTGTGTTCCTCCCCGACTATTCACATCCCTTTACGCGGAGGTCGCGTGGATGCAAGTGAAGGAGGGACGTTCGGTGTTCCGGAACCAGAGACAGATATTCAGACCACGCTCAACCAGTTCGCACAAGCAGGCTTCAATCAACAGGATGCTATTGTGAGTTTGTTCGATGCTTTCCCCTAATTGGACTAATTAACACCTAGGGCTTGACTGCGTGCGGTCATACTCTCGGCAATGTACACCATGCAGGATTCCCTCAAGTTGGTGAGTGTGCACTGTTACATTTTAATCTTGCATGTTTCAGAGCTTACTGGGCTCTAGTCGGTCCAGAAGCCGTGACTCCAAATAATACTGGAGGCGGAGTGCATTTCGATTCTACTGTGGATGTTTTTGACGTCCTTGTGTACGTGAAGTCATCTGATTTTTATTCAGCGTTTGCTGACTTGCGCCTTTCAGTGTGAACGAATACCTCGCGGGAAATGATCAGCGAGGAGGTATGTGTGTCGATACTCTGATTCTCCAATACTCAGCGACGACGCATATGTATCTTCTAGGTCCGCTGGTCACTAGTGACAATGTTACTGTTCGCTCTGACCTTCGCTTGTATACATCGGATAACAATATAACAATGAAAGGGTAACTGAAACTTGAATACAACCTCATGATCAGGACTGATTATGCTTGCGTAGGTTATCAGATTCTCAGGAGCATTTTGTATCTGAATGTGTCTCGTTATTTGCGCGAATGCTGGATACTGTGCCCAGCTCTACGACTTTGTCGGATGTGATCACACCTTTGGAACTCAAGCCTGTCAACATTACTTTAGATTTCGTGGAAGACGAGACCGGCTTCCATACCGTGTTTGCGGGATATATTCGGGTGAGTGCCCACCGTTGCTAATATAAATCCTAGTTATCATCATGATCACTCGATAGCTTCTTTCTACTGCTTTTACAGAAAACGCCAATGTTACGTGAGTGATTGTTGATTTTGAGCACACAATGACAATATCGATCATTCACAATTTTAGACTCTCCTGGCTCGATCGAAACGGCCGCTCCTCCCCTGCTTTTGTCACAACAACTACCTATCATGCTTCAGAACACAAGGGCACCGGCATTTTTGGCGACACTTTCTTTCATGTCTTTAACACCACTATTGATCCCACCCTCGGAATTTCTTCCTTTGATGTCAATGTTGAAGATTCCACCGGCGAAAGCGGTAGTACTGTTAGATACCCCATCCAGGACCGAGTATTTGTTATGAAAAGTAGAAGTGATGTTGACGATGAAGGAAGAGTTGAGGTCACTGCTGCGGTAAGGCGAGGACTTTCTTGCTGCAAATGCAATTCATTGTGACGTTTGTTGTACTAGGTGCTTTCATCCACAACAACGGACGTTAACACTGTAACCGCAGTTTTTGCGTTTCCGACGCCCCAGATTGGTATGTATACTTACATATTATTCCTTGGATTTCTGTCCTTACAGCGTTCTTTCCTTAGGAACCATGAGCCCGGGCATTGAATCGTTGTCACTTCCGCTGATGCTTTCGAACTCGAGCGTAGACTTTGATCCAGGATATATCATGTTTACCACCTCGACTCAGCTGCCTTTGGGTATTTCCAACGCGTACCAAGTCACCGTAGATGTCATTGCCGATTTCGGCGACGGGGAAGTGTCGGATAAATTTCGAAGACTCAAGATATAGGTTGCAATATGTACGAAGATCCATTATATGTTTAGTATTCAATCTGCCTGGGCAGTGTCAGAAGGAGAGGAAGACAAGTCCCAAAAAAGCACGGATGATACATCATGCATCATGTCTAATGCATAAGCTTAAAAGATGCGTGTGGTCATTCCAGATCATTCCTGACGGTCCCTAGTAAAATATTGTGGTGACAGTGTAAGCGTAGTCTCATAAAGAAAAGAATTCGGAATCGGAAAACGGCATCCGTCACAATTGCTTAGTCACTCATAAAACTATTTTTGCCGAAGCGCTCAGCGTATCCTGATTTCCTGACGGGCCTGAGAGACCCTCAATGACTATCACCATCCCATGGAAGATAAACGCGCCAAAACGTACGCTAGACTCCTATGCTCATAGTCAATGACATTCGTTTCTGATATAAAAGTCTGTCCGTTATAACAACAGTCTCCAGGCGCTCTCCACATTCATTGACAAGCAGAGGACGTTGTTGACTAGAACCCATGCTGATATAAGTCGCCTTCACGAGCTGAGAAGTCGAGCAGTGGAACATCCAGAAGATTTCGCGAATAATATTTCCAAAGAAGTGTGTTCTTTACTGCCTGTGTTTTCATCTGATGTGAATGATGCTCGTTACAGTTGAACGAAGGCCCGTTCAAGCTCAGTGAGCTTGAGGACGCTGCTGATCGTGCTCCAGAAGGGATTGAATGGTCTCTTTTTTCCAAACACGGTACGCGGCACGCCCTCTGTAAGTTTTACACCTTACAAGCCGTGTGCCACCCACAGACCCTGCGCCGTTGCAAGCGCTTGCCTCTAAATCCAAACAACAACCGACACCCACTGCTACACCTAATCTATCAGACTTTCACCGTCACATTCGGGAAGCGAAATCTAAAATCTTGGATCCTATATATTCGACTTGGGATTTATCGTTTAGTCCTGTCATCGAAACCAACGACGACGACGAAGCCAAAGACCAGCCATCAGTGGATCCGGCGGCCTTGAAGAAGGCAAAAGAACGAGAGAAGATCAAAGAGCTCAAGAAGCACATGATAATGCCTTCAGGGTTGACCTTCACACCCGCAGGTCCCAGAAACAGAGGTCCTGGAGGAGTCTTCATTCGACGGGACACAGTCGACGAGAGTATGGATGTAGATATATCACTAGATACAGAAGGCAACTTTAAGCCTGCTGAACCTTCTCCATCAACAGGCGGGTCCTGTCCCTCTCCATTAAAACGCATGACCTCCGTAGCACCTCAATTGCTTCCATCGACACCTCCCACATCACTCGACGAACCCTCCAGTACCGGGGATTCGACTGTCATCCCTTGTATCAAAAGTTCGCACTCAAAATCATTGAGGATCAAAGTTGGTCCACCGCCAATACCGCCTGCGCCACCGTTGACAACACACCAGCGTCGGAGATCATCCAGGGCTATATCCATGTGCACAAGTGATATGGTTGTAGATGATTCTCACTTTCCTCCAACACCAGACTCGCTCCCACTTCCAGAAACCGAGCCAGATCAAGAAGATCTGCATGGGAAGGACGACAACCATCCTCAGACCCTTGGAAAGCGTTCAAGGCCGAAGTCGGAGACATACAAACAACCTTGGTCTACCTCAGAACAGCAACATCTAGAAGCGCTTCTTGAAGAGATTCCGGAAGGCGAGAAAAATCGGTGAGAACTTCTTGGTTCCTATATACAAAACTTTCTTACCTTCATTGATTGATATTACAGGTGGAGGAAAATCTCAGAGGCAATGGATGGGAGGCGAACACCGAGGCAGGTTGCTAGTCGGGTGCAGAAATATTTCGAGAAACTGAAGAAATTTGGAATAGAGTGAGCAGATTCGCATGTTCACAATTCTGTCGTCCTTTTGGCAGCTTCTCTCACTCTCTTTGCTCCCCTATTTGCGTTCTCTTCCTGCCATTTTCCCTACTGAGATGTATAAGTCTTATCAGCTTGGACACTATTGTATATCCTGCATACCCTCTTTGCCATTATATATTCAGTTATAGCTCAATAACGTTACAGTAAAGCAATTATCTCTGCATTATAGTTTTGAATCAACTCCATCAATCTCGTTGTAGCATTAGGGTTTCAACTTTCGCTACTTGGCATTGAAATATGATCTTCGTCGCTCAATTTCGTTTAGCGAGTGTATGTAAAATATCCTCGGAGAAAAGGGGCTGATCACACCACGTCGTGGAACAATTAAATAAATCAGCTCTTGCATTCTTCCACGTACTTGCGATATTGCCAGCACACTGAGAACGCGCTCATTTCGAGACATCATCCATTTTTCTTCTCTGTAACAACAAACGAGAGAAACGGCGAACCATGGCTGGAAAATTTGATCCTCAAAACGCACAGAATCTCGTTGAGGTGAGCAGGATCCATGCGACAATCTGCAAGGTGAAAATCTGATCAGGTTCGCTGCAACAGATTGAGAAACAGTAAGAAACAAAATCCTACTACGTCCAGAATTGAGTTGATCTGTGTATATCCACTAGATTCGCTGTAAAGGCTGTCGAACAGGCTCAGGTGGGTTAGTTGTGGTTCTGAAACGGCGAAAACACTCACCTGCTTTCTCAGACATATTGGAATCTTCTAGCTAAAGTTCAACCGAAAGAATTGCGTCTTACCAAGTATATCTGGTCAATGGAGTGCCCGCATTCGTTCCTAACAGCTCACTAGACTTGATGATGAGATATTTCAACATACTATGGAGGCATTCCCTGAGCTCGCCAAAGAGCCTTACGAGAATCTTACGAAGCTAGACGAAGAGTGGATGAAGAGTGCCGAAGGAAAAGAGAGATGGAGAAAATTCATCATGTCGTACGTCTTGAGATCGTGCATTTAGATGGTAACGCTTATGATTTCTCTTCGACAGGTACGAAAAGAAAGTCAAAGACCACAACTTTGGCTCCCTCATCCGTATGAATGCTAGGGATGAGTATGCCGAGAAGAACACAATATTTGGTGCGGCACCTTCATAATTATTTTTGCTTTTCACTAACATTGCTATCTGCGTGACAAGTTACACGGATTCAGGTACGACGTTAGCTTTCGTGGGCTTCTCTTCCCTTCTTTATACTCACATGCGTTCCCGATCTCAGTTCTATGCCATTGAGGTATGTTGCCCTGCCTGTTCTACGCTTCACCTCATTACTTTTGCCCCCCCGCCGTTTCAGATATCAAGGAATAGACTCGGCCTCAACGACAAGGCTCACGAAATGGCAAAAGAGGAAGTGGAAAAAGAGAGACTACAGAAAGAGCAAGAGGATGCAAAGAAGAAAAAGAAGAAAGCCTCTTCATAACCGCGCAAAGGGACTGATTCCGAAAATTGTAGGGTGCTTTGGATGTGTTTCCACTGTTGATATCATATCACAAACAAGTATTGTTATTGATTCTCACATCCAGGATTCGATTTGTACAGTATAGTCTGGTATGAATATCATGCTCACTAAACCTCTATCAACTATACAACGTGCCAACTTCTCCGTCTCCGACTTACTATTACAACGGGTCTTGAGGTTTCGGTAAAATGGATGTTTCCATTTGCGGAGACAAACGTCGACGGCTTCTGATCATCGGTATTATTTTCGTTCTGTCAATGAACCTTTGTTGATTCGAAGCCTTGTGCTCAATTGGCGGAGACAATACTGAATGCAAAAAGAGGATTCATGGCGAAAAACGGCGGAGCCTTATTGATCATCCAATCGACTTGAGAACAGGCTACCTCTTCGCGCCGCTCTTCTCCGACTCCACAAAGGTCCTTCTAGGTGACTACGATGCCTTTTAACTTCGGATTTAAACGTCGTGTTCCATGCCCTCTTACTATCCTTCAAACTCTAGCATACCAAGGACGGAGAACTCGTAGCAATTGTTTTCACGAGTGTCGCTCGACTGCTCAGTTAGGCCGTCGAAACAACGAAAGTGCCAAGAACGCAGAAGATGGAAGGTCGTAGACAGCTGAATACTCGAAGGCTCCCTCCTTTCACAAATAAGCAAATTTCAGAGGACAAAACCGTATCACAAAATCGTCTGCCAATAACTTCACTTTCCTAAAAAGGCATTGTCAGTAGTATTAATATTTTCAAATCGGGAGTTCAACACTACGACTCGGAGTGTGTCGAACGGCAGCACTTCCGCATTTGTATATTTCCTTCATGTCGAAATGGTAAGTTTCAATGGGATATAGTAGCTTCAAGTTCCGAGTGTCAGTGTTTCTCGAATCTCACCTATGTATGATGAACGTCCTCATCTAATTCAGGAACCACCGACTCGCAAAGGACGTGCGCAACATTCTGTCAAGAATTTATGTGGAGGCTGAACGTTGAACGTTGAACACTGAGTCCTGGGGCAACAGGCAGTTTCGCCCAATACAATCTGAAGAACACACGCATGTGATCCTCGCTGCTACTTGATTTTAAAAAAGTCATTGATATACCGTACAATCCACTATGAGTATAGTGAGCTTCAGGTCCTGTGAATTTTGTAAACTTTGGCAGAACAATGTCACTAAAGCAACAGATACAACGGCGATAACCTTTGACCCAACAAGAGCGGGATAATGAGCCCAAGCTAAGTATTAAAGTAATCGAATCTCCAAGGGGTTCAGACAAGATCCCGCGGGGGACTGAGCATCCAGTCTAGCTGCAGATTTCCGATACGATCTCCACAACCATTATCATATGTTCGGCCATTAGTCTCCTCATCATTCCGCAGATCTGACTGAGACTCTGCGCAATGTTACTGGATGCTAGAAGTGTCAGGCTTACCGGAAAAGTGTAACAACCTCGATAGAATCTTGGGGAACACGTACAGTAAAGGATTGATCAATAGTGGTCGAGCTGAACTCTAACTCACAACTATTTGACAAGTTACTAAGAAACTGCAAAAGTACAAATGAAACAGCACAATGATTTAAGGTACTCCGAATCCAGAGAATTAGACATCGAAATCATACATCTTCAACGCAAAGCCTAGTACTAAAGATTTCTAATTAAAATTTATCATAGCTTGATCCCAGCTCCGGGGGGACTGATTCGGAGTCGAGTTGCAGAAACATACTACGTGAGACCGACCGAGTTACAGCAGTAGGAGCTATTTACTGGTAGGACCATGCGGATCTCATTATCATAACAGACAGCTTCGAGTAAAGGAGTAAAATCCTGAGTATATTTCGAGCAGCTCTGACTCGGACACGTGATCGTGTCGACCGAGAATGCCCTCCACAAAACTGTTCACGGGTGACTTCATCTCTGCACGAATAAATGGCAACCGGCGCCCATCACGGTAAATCATTCAGCATTATATCGATCCGTATGGAAGATCCACCTGGAATTATACATGTAGCAGGAGTAGAAATTTGTTGTAATGGATTTTTCTCTGTGCTTTCAAATCGCATGTTCGCTGACGCACTTTCGGCGACGCTTGCGCGACCGCTGCCAGACAATCTGGGCCATTCTTCTGCTTGAAAGACTTGCGCTTTGACACGGAATTCCTGCAACAGTCATACGCGAGAATCGGACATCATTTTCGAAAGTCAAAAGGGAAACAGAACAAAGAGTACGATCGGCCCAACACAGTCAAAAATTAAAATCAATATAGTAAAGCCTGAGAGCACGGACTCCAGGCAATGATTAATCGGAGGTTAGTGATGTGTCCTCGCAGACGATCAGGAGCGATATCTAACAGATGAAGAATTGGTACCAACAATTACAGTAGAGTCAAACCACTGATACTATCCTTCCAAAATGGCTTACAGCGCACAACCTACATGTGCCACACACATGCTTCCAACTGACTAACAACTCTTCGGATATATTTGAGAGCTGTAATTCTGTAAAGAAACAATATCAAATGGCATTGGTGGAGGCTAGTATCGTTGGTCCTAATGGACATATTCAAGTTGTTCCGTGCGGTTTCAGTGCTTGTATGCACATCTCTCGCCAAACCCCTTTTACGATGGAATTGTAGCTAATATGTCATATCCTTCAACTACGTCCAAAAGCCTTCCAATCCTATCTATCACCACTCGCAAATGATGATCACTTAATCGGACAGAGGTAAGGATTTCCCCATTCATGTTTGAATCCACTGGTACACTGTAGGATGTGGGTCTTTGCGGGGTTGCATCAGTAGGCTGCCGATGCCGCGAAGTGCGGATGGTGCAATTCCCATGGAACAGCAAATCAGGGTGATTCAAACATAGGAAGTCTAGGCACACAAAGGTGTGGAAGTGACTCTGAGCTTCGTGCTGCAGGAATGTATATGGATTGGACATATTGCAAATCCAAGTGATAGATATTGAGAACGAGAAGGGAGTCTGCTAACTCCCAAACTTTAACGACAGCTTATCGGGCAAGGTGTCTGTATGTATATGGTCTTACCATTGCCATTGGTGAGTTGCTTTTGAGGGTCCTTTCTACTTCGCCGGCCTTATGCTTTCTGCGACCAAGCAGTCAAAATATAGCTACTCCGATGACGGCCGGATGAAGTCTTTTTGATTGAACAAGATTGACAATCTTGTCTTTTTTGCGAATGTCCTAGGACCCTCGCTAATGATCATAAGTCGCAGTGGGTCCTGCCACTTTACCACCTCTTTCTCGAGGACTCGACTAGCTCGCTGAAGCTTCCTAAACCGCCAGCCCATTGGGGTAGAGCTCCATGCACTATTCTGGCAGCTACTTCAAAAATTGAAATTCAGCAATCCGCCAAGCTCAAATCAAGTCGGGTGCGTAGTGGCATTCGGAATCCGCCGGTCTTGCATCGTAGCTGTACGATTAAACCCGCCCTCATGAAAAGTCAACTCAACTTGACAGTAGTTGTGGACCGTGGTACGTACATATTGAGCCTTGATCGATATTGATCCACCAACACAACTCTCTTGCTGGAATAATAGTGGATCACATCGCTAGAAGTACCCTCCGAGACATCCATTTACCTTGCCAACGTCAAACCATGGTCTTTGAAGCGTGGATTCAAATAGACAAGGTAGGAATAAGACACACTCTCTATTTGTTCAGAGGGTTGTAAAGCGGATGTTGTATGTGGATAGTTCTAGTGAGTGGGTGAAGTTTCGTAGGGAAGTAAGTGGTTACAGAATGAATTTCGTGGACATTGTCACAGGGACTTCCGATTTCTTTATATTCTAAAACAGTCTGAATTCCCAGACGTTGGCTGGGATAGTATAGCTGACGGCTTGTTATATTGTCATTTTATGTGCAACACTGTTCGCAGTCATTAAAGTTGAAAACGCAACTGTGACTACTCATAATTGAGACACCGTACTGATGAGCATTAGTCCACCCATGTCGCCCAACACCGGCTACTTGTGAGCTAAAATCACTCGTCATAATCTAAAAGTAGACAGGCATAGTGACATGGAGGTCGAAATTCGAGATCTATGATGTGCACGTATAAAGCAATACGTTCAACAGTGCGACATAGCTACTGTACCACTACTGGCAATGACAGTTCGCATTCAACTCGAACCTCGACGTCAAAATTGGGAATTAATTTTGATACCGAAGAAAATTGGTAACGCAGGTATATTCCCTGTATATATATCATTATACATGATTCATGTAGCCGATAAAACCGAGAAGGTCTGGAGAGAACCCAGGCGTATTTGAGGCCCCCTAAGGCCTTTGACAAGAGCACGTCGCCATGCCGATGTTCATGAACGTTTCCCGAGCTCCCGGAACATAAGAAAGAGCTAGAGAGGGGCTGCTCAGCCTGGAACCGCGTTCGAGGTGCAGAATCATTGTGCGTTAAGATCTGAAACCATCCTGGAAGGAGTTAAGACTGGACCGAGAATATTTCAAGAGTTTCCCATCATGTCAATTGTTGATGATGTTCCCTCGAACAAAACAAGTACTTAGCGCTTGCCGTGTCTAAACAGAGCGGTGAGCTCGATATGATCCCCTTGAGTCATTCCAAAAGTCATGTCTTGGGGCCGACTAGAAAGAAGTGTCCGAAGGAAAGAAGGGAGGGAGGAGGGCTCTGTCTAGAAATTCAGATGCGCGTGAGTTATACCATCTCCGAGAAGCCCAACAATCATCATGCAATGTAACACAATACATTGGCCAAGATTTTGAATGTTGAAACTGAAGGTTCGAGGAGGAAACAGAATTTTTTCATTCTACTTTCTCAAAAGAGTCAAGGTCTGGTAGGTGAGAAATTGCAAGAAATCGAAGAGATATTCAAGACTTTTCAGACTTTTCTTACTGACTACTCCAAGGCTCATTTGTTTTGTGCTCCCGCTACGCTGGGGCAAGTTTCATTTTACTATACAGATCTTGTTGATATACTCAAAAAGGCAAATAACAGGAATGAATGAATGCGCAGTTACCACGAGTGAAAAATCTTGATACAATTTCTATGAACAAGCAACAAGACTTGCCTCAAGGATAAAGGGCAGACCAGGAGTAGATTATGAATGGTCGAGACTTTGCTTGTGCTGCGAAAGGGGGAGAAAAGGTCGCGAACGACAACTAGAAAACACAGCCGGTCCACGCGTTTTGAATTCCCAAAATAGAGGTCAAAGCCTTCCATAGGCGGTTACGGGATATTTGAGTGCCCCTTTGGTTCGCGAACACGAAGGTTTGTATGAATCGGGAGTGCATCATGTTGATGGTGAACGGAGGTTCTACTTAAGGCAGGAGGCTTCCAAGAAGAGATAATCATTATACTTTGAAGTTGAAAGTTGGAATGAATATAAAGTATCTACACCGGTCGGTGTGGAAAGAGCAGCAGAAGATGTACTCAAGTACCTTCGTATATTCTGCCATAGTCTCTAAATCATTTGTTTACTACCTGAAGAGCAAGCACAACAAAATCGAGATCCTTCCTGAGATGGTAAAAACGGAAGCATCTTCAGCTTGATCGCCGATCAGAAATTGTCCACTTTTGGCACTCGATTTCTGAGTGGCAACGGCAAAGTCCGTTGGGACGAATATTGCCTCGCTCTTATTCGCGGAACTATCGTATGGTATGTTCAGGGTAAAGGAAACGCACGTGGTGGACAAGGGTGAGCAGTGAAGGACTCAGTCGGGGCACGTTGGCGTCGGGCGGAACAGGAAAAATTTTCATTCCGTGGGGAGTTGAAATAGAGATAACTGGCACGCCTCTGTACTGCGACTGAGGTGTTTAACGGAGGTATTCTTCCTCGAACAAGGCTTGAGTACCCTTCACTATTGAATCTCGGGTTAGCAATTGAATCGACCGAAGCTGCACCGAACCCAGACCGAACCTAACCGATTGCGAGCGACTGATTTCAGGAACAACACGAGTAAAAGTACTACATCCAGTCGGTCATCCATTTGTGACTGTCCACGCTAGACAATACGGTCACGAATATTCCGCGGAAATACGAGAAATTGCGGGGATTCGAACCACTAAGGTGTGGCTCAAGGAACGTATGGCCAGCGGAAAGAAGGAGAAAACAGGCGAGGAGGGAGTAGTTAGTACGAAGCTGAAAACATCTATGCCTCGAGGAAAATTGGAGCCTGAAGCAATCCGAATAAGTTTACATGACCTGATGACGCGCTGAAAGCCAAGCCGGCGCACAGATGAAGTCTAGAAGAGATAGGGAGAGACTACGAAGGGGCAATCAGATAGATTTTTGGGTTTAACGAGGAGGGAATAGACGGAACGAATGTTCCAGAGAACGGACTGGAAACATCTAAAGTGACAAGTGTGTGCATGTGTGGAGAGTTGTTGCTTTTTCTAGGAGTTTGAGAGTAGGAGGCGGTTGGATTGCAATTGGTATCTATGGCAAGGGATAGAGGACGGCGCAAGATTGGAGACAGTGTTGGATCTGAAGGTTTGAAGGTTTGGAGAGACGGATGGATGATGACAGATATGAAGAAAACTTCGAAATGCATATTAAGCCACTGGGAAAAAGTTATTAAAGACCAAAGTTCGGAGACAAAGCGTCCAATCCTGACATCAGAAACAAAGAACAAGGAGAAGAAAGGTAGAAAAGCCGTCAAACGCGTCGTCAAAAGAAGGAAGAGATTTTTTATCCGATTTGATAGGAATTTCGACCGAAACTTGGAGCCGAATTAGGATAAGGGGTCAAAAGAAGCCACGGCCGAACCCTCGATTAGTATTTGCTCTATTTTCTGCGGAATTTGCCAGAGGTAGCGGAATTTTGCAAAAATCTAGATCTGGATTTGAATTGCATCTCAGCCTCTTTTTTTCTTTTCCTGAAAGCGAGCGGCCTTTTGAACCTTCTTTTTGGACAGGTTGCAGTGGGGCAGTACATATAGTAGCGCCAGCCACCCAACGCAACCCATCTGTTTTTACCAACCGTTTCTTACGCTTGGTATAACCTCATCGTTTATTCTCATCCTTTCAACAAACAAAGCCCACGCTTTGTCTTTACGTTATTCGAAGAGAACGGACATACGCGACAAGACAAGATGTCCGGTACAGAACGTCCAGAGCGTAGCAGAAATGCCAAAGCCCAAGCCAGACATAGAGCGAAAAGAAAGGCTTACATCGAGCAAGTACGTACCATTTTTGCCTGATGCCTTTTTTCACCACTGATCTTGCTGTAGCTCGAGCAGACCGTCACTAAATTGCAAACTGCCATGGGTGTCACGCCAGAGCAAGTTTCTGCTCTGCCGCCACCTTTGGCCAAAATTCGGGAGCTCGAGCAAGAAAACGCGCGGCTTGGAAAAGAAAACGAAGACTTGCGTCGTCTGCTCGCAGAATCTGGTATTCCTATCAACGGGCCTACTTCTTCAAACAGTGGAGGTTATGTGCCATCCCCCAACTCGTTCAATAGTGCTGGACGCGGTATGCAGCTCAATCGGACCTTGACTGGGGGTAGCCCTGTCAATGGAAGCGGTCCAGGCGTAGCTTTTCACGACGCACGCAATCTGACAGACTCCTATGGTGGATTGAAAAGGAGAAAAATGAGCTCAGAAATGGACTCGAATTTCCCGTCTGAGAATACTGATCTCAACGCTCTACGCGCGCCACCGCCTCTTACTATCCCGCATCATTCTTCCTCGTCGCAACACTACCCATCGTCGCATCCATCGTCTCATCTCCCATCTCCGCATCCTACTTCAGCACACGGTCCGCCACACCATCACTTCAGCAATATGGCAACGTCTCCGTTCCAAATGCCGAATACACCAGGCGCGTCAAGTGCGACGAGCAGTCCCCCGTTTTCGGCGAGTTTTTCACGTTGATAAATGTGGTGGTGTATTAACGAGTCTCGTATGTGCTATTGTCCTCGTGTTTCTCTGCACTTTGCTTCCTTCTTCTCTTTCTCTCGCACTTCAGCCCGCTCAAATGCAAAATTCTACCGGATCTGTATCCCACTCACCAGTATCGCAACTTGGAAATCTTAGCCGTCCGGGCACGAGCAGCTCTGTGAGCTCCATGCACCCGTACGGTCACGGCTATGTCAAAGTCGAGGAAGAGAACTATCATTCATCACATCACAATCCTCATCACTCGTCGCATTCCAGCGCGCCTTCGTCTACCGGGTACACTTTGCCGCCGTTCGATGCGATGGACCCCACCCTCGCTGGTCCTGGGTCATGGCAAAATACAAATCATGGTGGCTTCTCGACTGGTGATCGTGGTGGTCCGGGAGGCTTAGGCCGGTGATCATTCCTCCTCCTTTTCATCGACCAGAGCTATTCGCTCAACATAGATGTGTGTAGATTTGAAAACAACTCCTTGAACTGGCGACTTATGGAAGCACGGACTTCCGCAATTTTGGCGTAGGCGATTTCTTTGCTGTTTTGTGGTGGATGTCGGATTGGCTTGGAATACAGAAGAGGAGGTGTGTATTGGTATTTATCACAGACTTCGCTTGCGGACTTGGTACTATTCCACTTAAAATCACACTAAACGGTCGACGTTATGTCCTATCCTATCATCGTTCTATACTTGTGGTAATACCTTCTTTTCTCTTGTCTGACCCTCTCTTTTCCTCTCTCTCTCTCTCAATATACAAATGTCTCTGTGCTTTCAATCTATTGTCTTTTCATGCTATCGTGTATCCTGGCTTTTCCCCTCTCGTTGTCTCTTTCCTTGTGCTCGAACTCGATCTCTACTCCCATACCTTATCACAGTTACCCTTACACATTACACTACCTATCACTGTCCTATCATCGCACATGGTCACCAAATACATAGAAAGTACTACTATCCTTCATCCCAGCAAATTTCTCTTATATGCGTGCCCTATGTTCAATCGTGCAAATCTCGAAACGCAAAGCCGTAAAGCTCTGCTTACCTCGGGTCTATCTATGTATATCATCTCAATGTTACGAAACGAAACCTTACGGTACGTGCGCAGAGCAATACAAAAATCTTGGTTCTTCTTCCAGACATCTGAATTAGATCTGGAGATAATTGCAGTGGGGATTCCAGGAAATTCCTGGAGGCTGGATATGTCAGCCAATAACGATATGCACTGATGGTACCTCCTGCCGAAGTATTAATATCCCTTCCAATCCAGCAGCCTTACTTAGGCAGCCTCCCGTTTATACCTGGTTCGTACTCGGGTATGACTTCCTTCTGATATCCCAGTACAGTATACTGTCCACCCGGAGTCGCAGAATTGGTTTACTACCTACCGGCTTTTGGAAATCACTTGGTGCTGATAGGCCGGGACAAAAGTCTTTAAGCCCACGACGGGGTTATTCGAACGTCAGCAATTCTATTAAACTCGAGGATCTTCCACAGCTGTTCGACGTTTCATCTCCTCGTCTCAGTAACGAGATCATGATATAACATGATATTCATTGTGCAAAAATGACGAGAATAACGAAAAAGCTGGGACAATTCGCTCTGATCTCTTCTAATCTGCTTCAATCTGCTGTTATGGAATTGATTTCAGCATTCTACGGGTCCGAGAACTCGACGACTCGACGACGATTGACACAGTGTATAAGAGCATAAAGAACATGTTTCGTACATACATATACATATGTAACATAATTTGCCATATAAGGTAGAGGAACTTGCATCGGTCATTGTATATGTCAACTAAATGTGGTTGATTTCAATTCGCTTTGGCCGTCAGAAAAAATCAATCCCCTCAACCATACTAGCCTGGACAACTTTCTGGCTCTTGCTTCCCAAAGCCGCTTTCCGTTTCATCTCTTCTCTCTCCTTGAGAACTGCGCTCAATGCAAGCACCTGCCGTTGTCCTGGACTCAATTTAGCGCGACTATGTTGAGAGGTATTCACAGTAGAAAGACCATCAGTAGGCGCATTGGGACCCATAGGGGAAGTTGATTCGGAGAAAAAAGGGTTCTTGATTGGCTTCGCTGTTTTCCCTCCAGACCCGGTGTCCTCTTTATCAGTTCCACGAATGCCTAACATGCAATTTCCGAAAGTAAGAGCTATTATCTTTGCCACTTCTTCGTCAGAGGCATACCGGCCAGGACCTGTGGTACTCTTCCCTTCGATCAGGACAGGAGGTGTAGAGGGAGCAGGGGTTGTGCTTCTGGCTGGACCCTTCTCTCTCGCATGAGCAGATGAACGACGGAGAGGAGGGCGACGTGGTGAAGGCGAGGCGACTGATGAAGGAGAAATCGAAGCAGGAGAGCCCTTACCCAGATCTTTCAAGCTATGTTTCTTCTTGAGCTCTGGGCCGGAACTTCGTTTTTGGTCTACAGAGGATGGGGTAGCTGGAGCGGTATCAATATGGCAGCCGTATCTTGCCCCAAGATCATTCCGGATACCTTGTGCTCGTCGGCGAGCATATAATTCCTCAAGTGGTAAGACACGGAGTTCAATCCGATCCAATGCGCTGTTGTGTGTTACTTCATGTATATTTTCCATCTGGACCTTGAGAGCACCAACCGCCGTCAAAGTAATTGACGCGAGGAGAATGGCCGGACATGGTGAAGCAGGATGAGCAAGATTCATGAACGCCTCTGAATGTAACCAATCGTAATTGAAAGCGTAAGACTCTGAGCTGTCCGTACTTGGTTGCAGGCTCACTACCATGGCTGTGGGGAATTTCGGTGCTGCGCGCGCTATGTCAGAAGCAGCTGAGCCTTGTGCGAGATTGTCAGCGCTTTGAGGATGTCTGGTAGACGCGAAACTAGAAGCACAAAAAGGAAGATAAGCTGTACGAAGGTCGTCCATCCTGTTTTGAGATAATGACAAAGCGTCGAATTCGTGGCCAAGAATGGAGATTTCATGAACCTGAGTAAAGTCGTCAGTACGACAGTCCACGCGAAGTGAAATCAAACTCACAGTTCGAAAGTTTCCGCCAACGATCTTAGTTGAAATCGAATAAAGTCTGTAATATTTCAGGATCGATTGGATTGCGACTATTCCTGGATGATCGAGCAAAGCTTCTCCCTCTAAATTGTCCGATATAGCGACGTCGTCTTGAGCAGCCAATCTTTCATACCATGATAAAACCTGCGCGCCCAGTGAGTACCTATTGGGCGCTTACACAAGAATTGGATGATCTCACACTAGCCACATCGATCGTAATGCAGCAAGGTCGAGCCTCCGCACATGCGATAGCATGCATGAGTCCCGAGACCAAATACAAATTGGTGGAAATGCCGGAACTTTCAAGCATGGCAGCTGCGAGAACACCGATTTTTGTGGCGGGAATCTCCATACACATTTAAGTCAACATTGAAGATTTTAAAAAAAGTACAACGACTTACTCCAATTATCACACGACTTTGATCCACTCCCGCAGTGCAAAACTTTGTAAGAAGTTCCTTAGCATGTTCTTCGATTGCCTGGATGGCAAGTAGCGTGGTGTTGCAAGGGCGATCCGTTGTGTCTCTTTCACCATGACTTAGTTTCACTAAGGCTAATCGTGGGTCGATGAAAGTGAAATGTGGTCCAGGAGCGTAGTCCATCATTGTGACACCTATTTCAACAAGCTGGAGCATATATGAATAGGGAATCGTAATGGCATTCGAGAGGAGGCCTGTAAACGAACCAATTGATAAAATACATGCATGCCTATATATAGCATCTCTGGGTCTCTCTGAAGAGGATTCTTGGTCAAGTGATATCTGGTCGTGAATTACTTCAATCAAAGAATACACGAATTTCAGACTGGAACGTACTTCTCATATGAGTCCACTACTTTCTGAGTTGCAGAGAATAAGTGATATTCACCGTTGCGGTCTTTCCTGATCGTTTGAAGAGCGACCTCTGGACTTAATCCTGATGAATTTGATCGTCGTTCAATCAAGGCTACCACATTCCGCAATGAGTATCAATAGAACAGGATTTGAGGTTACTCACTTTCATAGTCAGTTGTTTCCGCAATGATAGGAATACCAGAAAGCCGTATCGATTCGTGTAACGTCGGCCGCCACTCCGGGACATCCAGAACCTGAATCTGTTGTAATTTGAGACGCTTGCTCGGAGGAACGGCCGGTAGAGAGCGAATGGTTCTTGCAGGTTTATTGCATGAAGTTGAATCGGCGACGGACATTTGGAAGATTGCAATGTTCAACAGGCGTGAAAGGCAAAATAGCGTCGACGATCCCGGGAGCTGCAATGCTTATGTATGTGATCCAGGACAGACTGTAAAGGCAGCAGACCACCTAAATGAACAATGAGTTGCCAATTGCGGTCCAAGAGCATGTCCAACAAGAGTGGACAATCACAACTAACTATTGTGATCCTGAAAGGTCCAATCGTGAACCATACGGGCCTTACCATGCCAAGGGGCTTTTCGTCAGTCCAAGCGCTTCGAGAGATCTTAATTCAAAAGTCACTCACCAGTAGTGGTCCCCATTTGTGCGTAGGAGGCTTGAAGTATTAGGTTGAACAACCTGACGGGTAAGGAAAACACGGACCCAGAAAGGAAATAAACAACAGAATGGATCATTTTAGCGAGCCTTAGAGCGAGACAAGATAGCGCGAATTCTCCAAAGATTGTTGATATCAGTCTACCTACAGGATACGAACACTACTGTAACACTATTCAAGCGTATTTGCCCTCCGATTTGGTACTGTTGAGAGGTTGACCGTAAGGCATTTCATAAGCATAACCCAAATGACCACCATTGAAGCTCGGCGGTCCAGGTGACAGACCAGATGCTGACAACGTCGACGAATTCAAAGACACCTTGCTGTAGTTTCGAGGCTTAGAGAACCAGTTAACCCTCGCCCTACGCGCGGAGCGTCTTCCAGATGTGGAGTTCGTTGCAAGCGCACTGCGACGTCTGTTGGAGAAACCAGGACTTGAACGTGAGTCTGCCGCTGCCCGGCTGTTCCCGGAATTTGCGCCACTACTGCGCTGTTGTGATACGACCACGTTCAGATAAAGCGGACTGAAATATGGGGAAACATATCCATCTGGGGCAGGGACTCTAGTATAAGGGTGTCCACCACTCTCGGCTGCCATTTGTGAACACATAGTGGCCGGATGATACGGGTCTGTACACTGTCGGTAGTAGGTGTACACAAGAAGGGAGGTGAATGCCGACGGGAGGAAATAGAACGTGAACACATATAGGATCTGGGACGAGGATTCCGAAGACCAGGCGTTGAAACATTCTAGATAATTTGATGAGGGGATGCAGATAACCTCCATTCAGGCGAACTTACGCCTTTGAGCATCTTCAGGACTGAATGCTGGGTTAACAAGCGTGTCGGCGTTCCTCTGCTAGAGCCCGATGTGAACCCCAAAAGAAGATACAGAGAAAACGGGCTTCTCACGTAGAGCAACTTGACGACGATCTTTCCCTTGTTTGCAATGGAGACACACTGATTGACGACATCCTCCTAGAAACTCGTGAGTTTGAATGTAGCCTAGTTATAAAAAAGCTCCGAAGACAGACAGCAAACTCAAAGTAAGCAAATGCAACTAGTACACCTGTGATCGTAACAGCCAATGCAGATCCAAATGCCAGGTGGACATATATCCGAATGAGACGTAGTCGGCGCTGTTCGACTTCGTTATCATCATTCCACTATGAGAGATTCGGGTAAAACCCACCATCACCGTGCTGACGATACCAAATATCTCCACCAGGCCTGTACTGACATACATCAATCCTACTGTAGCGAAAATGGCAGTGCGTTTTCTTGAATGAACTGGCAGCAGAAATAAGTATAATGAGAGTCGAGGAATTGAAAGGAGGATTGAGAACGTACGCGCGTTGTCAACTTGTTCCAGCTCGTTGAATGAGAATGCCTAGTCGACAATGAAGATTTACTTGTCAGATAAGACTATACAACATGAACTTACAATCAACAAAGCTCTATGAATGAATTTCGATACGTCAGGACAAATGTCGGATATAGAGCGAATTCGACATACGAGAAAAAGTATCGGATCAAATTGATGGAAGCCACTGAGATAAACCTCAGACGGGAGTCCATTACGAGAAAGGAAGGAACCACACCTATAACTATGAGCTTTCTCCAGTCCGTCTCATACACCTGTGCAAAGAACGAGTCCTTTTCCACTACCCGGGACTGTAGAACTGATACATTCATAAAGGGCGTCAAACAACCATCCAGCTTCAACACTGCAATTGGACGTACGTTGGCGTCCATATCTAGTATTATCATCTGGTCGAGGAATGTTAATGAGCTTAGAACTTTGTAAAAACAAACCAGTCACCTTCAAGTTGGAGAGGGGGCGGTGGAATTCTGCGAGTTGCTACCATCGTTCAACGATATTTCTTCCTTGCTCTGCTCTTGCTACACAATAACCAGTACCGTGTGGGGAGGTTTTTATTGAATCACCATCGCTATTTAAGAATCTCTGGATAGCGGCCGGATCACATGAACGGCGATGAAAGTGATAGGCGCTCCGTCCACATTGAGTTGGAGGCCGGTAGCGGTGTTTAGTACAGCCTCCGGCGGAACTCGAGTCGCTCCTCGAACTGGCTCGAAGCGTCGTACTCGAGAACGGAGGTAGCCTACAACTAGTACAAGAGTATTTCACAGAAGCCCAGTAGTAAGAAGTTAAAATGGCAAGAGGAAGAAGCTATCTACTAATCTGCAAAACCTGGATATTCGGCTAAGGGCTGAGAGCAGATCCCAGCAGATCCCAGCGCTGAAAGCAACATGCTCTGGGTGCTTTCACTGCTGGGAAGTGCTCTCGACCACTTTCAGACCCTTAGCCGAAAATACAGGTTTTGCAGATGCCGCCCTACTATCGTGCCTGCCGGCTTTGAAAAGCCAGGGGAGTTTGAAAACATATCCTGTAGGTGTTTCTCCTTTCTTATTACTGTATGTACGCTTCGGGATTGCATACAATGGTCCAGAGAGACAATAAAGCTGCCGGTAATTAGCCGACATCTCATCACTAAGGACTGCGCTGCACATCTTGCTTACAACCGTCATCCTCACTATTGCTGTTAACCTTTGTTTTATCTTCTTTTTAATCCTCTTCAGAATCTCTTCAGAACCCGGTCTCTGCGAGCTTTGGACCTTCTAAATCACTTTCCTCTTACAATATGTTCAATTCTCGTTCGCCTCCTACAGGTGTGTACAATAACCAAATCTTGGTCATCTCAAATGATTTACCTATCCACCCAACAGGCGCTCCTCCATCCTATGTTTCTCGACTTTCTGCGGGCAGGAGTTTGAGATCCATTGTAATGCTCTGTGGGTATCAACGGTTCATGACTTCCGTTATGCTCTAATTCTAAATCAACAACCTGTTAGTCGCTTTCCTGAGTGCCTTGTACACTTTGTTATCGTACGTGTCATCCTGTTTGACTCTTATGCTGATTCTGATTTCGAGTTTCAGAGCTGTTCGTGCATTCCAATTCACAAGAACTTCGCTCATGATGATACTGGCAGATTGGGAATTTCCGGAGCATCAGCATTGATAGAGGACGTGCGTCAACTCTCACCCTGATCTGTGTATCCCTGCTTATACTGCCACCTACTTAGAAAACGAGTCGAAGCTAGCAACTTTCTCACTAGTCTTGGGCATCCTCTACATCACTGTCTTCGCTTTCGAAGTGGGTTTTTGCTCGATTAATACGCCATTTTACTTATTTTAGCTTTCAGGCTTTCGGCATTGCTGCTACGCTGACTGTATGTCTTTCAACATCTGTGTCTTCTAGAATTGTGCTAACACCTGAATGTAGCAACGACACCAACTTGTTCACATCTATGCTATGTTGTCTTTCGCGACAGTGTTAATCGCTGCTGGCGGCGGACTGTTAAACGTTATCGTCCATTTCACGATGAAAGTATGTTCCTGCTTTCCTGATTTCCAGTATTACATCGAACATATTTTGACAGAACGATATTATTAATGAATGCACGAATCTCGTCACTGGAGACGATGTGGTGTTCTATCCTTTCGGATTTTTTGGACCTGTGAGTCACAGTGTTATTGACGCAGCCGATGCGAAAAACTGTGAGCAATATTGTCCTGCAGTGGTTCCGTATTGTTGACCAAGGCTGTCATAGGGTGTCAAAGTGAATGGGACCATGATTCGTGGGCTGACGTTGTCGAATTGCTGATCCTCATATGTGCGCAGAAGTGTTGTCGAATTCTTGCTTGCAAAGCTGATATTCTCTCGCAGTTCTCTCCATGATGTTCAGTCTATTTTCCTACGCTTATTATCGTCAACTTCTTGACCCTACTAGCGCCGCCAATGTCGTTCGCACACCTATTCGCGCACCTCCTTCAGGCTTTCCCTCCCACTATAACCCAGCCTACAACGCTTCTGTCCCAAGCCTTGGATATCAATATGGTCCCTACGGTCAACAGCCTTACGGACAGTTCGCTCCACCCCCTGGCCCTCCTCCTGCTATGGATGCTGCTGACAGCAAACCCCCTGGATATGCTAGTGGGCCTGGTTATGGATACGAGATTGATGACAAGGCCAAGGAAAATCCTTTCGCAGACTTCGATGAACATGTCGACAAAGCCGGTGGTTCACAGGAAGAGCACGATGTCACTAGTCGACCTGCTCCCGGTGGAAGAGATACTTTTGTTTGAGGGATGAAGCTCTCGTCAGACCTTGTATGATACAGTACACCCTACATGGGACTCGCCTTGATCTATTGGACATTTCGTATATAGTGTATTTTTGTCTATGACTGGATATCTTGCCATCGTGTGATTTTTATCACCACTTTCGTCAAGTTTGAAGAGCGCCTACTTCTGCGCGTCTATCGATAGGTAAAATTTCTAGCCAACTTGAACTTCTATCTACGGAATGGGCTTCACATATATCATAGGTGAGACTGGATAAGATTCGGTGAGATATTTGTAACCGTATTTGGCTAGAACATATGGAGGAAGATGACGAGAATTCGAAAGTTGTACCACCCTGGGTCGAGTTAGAGTACGCGGTCGGTTTTACGACGAAGTTTTTTCCATTTCACAACTCCTCTCAAACTTTCTCGTATTTAGCACATGCGTCAACTTGCAGGGGCCGAATCTCAAGTCTATTTCGCACACCTATCAAAAAATTCATCGAGGTCCTTGAACGCCAAATTCGCTGAACTCGCTTCGGATGGTCAAGCAGAAGCGGTTTGTCACGAATCTGGCGTATTGGACTTAATCAAAGAAAGTTTAGGTGGGTCTTTGGAAAAAGTTTGCCTGTTGGACCCAAAAGCAGAGAAGGAACTTTCTCCGGAGGATGGAGATGGACGGTTTGAATGGTTTCTGTTCGGGGTATGTCTTTTGCACATCCCCCTAAGAGCATTGAACGAAAAAAGGTTTTCAGGGAATACTAGGTATAGTGATAATCTTATTGCACTCAATGTTTCTCGTCGCTGACATATACATGCCCCTCTATCTGATATGTACAGGCGATGATCCGCCAAGGGACAGGACGGCCGAATTACGAGTCATGGGCTTTCCTGCGCGTCATCTTGGCCCAACGCAGATGACTACAGATACAGCATTGGGTGTCACTAAACGCGTCGTACATGACAAAGGTACGATATACGTCTGTATTCAGAGTAAGCCTCGATTTATGGTTCGTCTAGTCCCACTCAACAACATTCCCTATATTGTAAGTAGATAGGTCAATCCAGCTTTCGAAAATTTGACCTCAGTCGTATATAATTCAAGGATCATCCTACAATAAAATTCAATACGAAAGTATGCCCATCCTTTCATCTATCCCGTTTCTATGACTGACGATTTGACTATATACTTCAAATGCAGGACAGCGTCGAAATGCCTTTCAGTGTGTATTCTTCTTCTTCTCGGTGTTTCTCACTTCTGACCTTACATTTGAACGTCTCCAGAGTACATCGCTGAGAATGGTCAACCGCTTCTCCCTCCTGGAATGCGTGAACTTTTGTTCGAAGACATGAACAAGGGATTTGAATTTTGAACGGACACTCAGGATTCGACACGATGCGGTTGTGGTTGATCCTCACTGTGTACTTTGTTGTCGATCTTAGGGACTAAAATAGATACTAGTATATGTGAATATTCAAAGCCTGGGCATCTTGGCTAATTCTAGGGGTAGGTCTATGGTCTACTATGGTTAAGTATGTTGCAGCAGATCAAGAACCATCACATCCTAGAATCGAACATATTGCGACCTTGTAAATCACAAGACGGCTAGCCACTGGCAACCCACGCACGCCTTGCCTTGAAAGTCTTAGCGAAGAATTACAGTATTACTAATAGTAACAGTAACACTCATTGTTGCGGTGCCGCTTCAAGGCACGTGCCAGTGAAGAACAAGAACTTGAAGGTCTCCTCCTTTAGCCTCCTGAACATATATGCCTTCCTTTGAAACTTCCACAGCCAAATTATAGCTTCCGGTAATCACACTGCCCATCTAGCGGATGCTACCGCGCTTTCAACTGCAATTCTTTACTCATACTCTTATCAGTCCCTGATTGGAATTATAATTATAATGACCTCTGCAATGCCCGCAAGAACCAATTCTTCCGTAGAGGGTTCAAACGACGATGAAGCTAAACCTTATATCATTGCTTCAGAAATCGGGAGGGGGAGCTTCGCCATAGTATACAAGGGCTACCATGAAGTGCGCAGTGCCCCTTATATGTTCGTTGCACGAATTTCAATGCTGTTCTACAGGAAACTCATAAACAAGTCGCCATCAAGACTGTTAAACGAGACAAACTCTCTGCGAAACTGTTTGATAATCTCCAGAGTGAAATCCAGATCCTGAAGCTTTCGTCTCACCGCCATATAACTCGATTGATTGACATTGTTGTGTGTAGCAGCTCACTTATCAATGATCTGACTTTTTCGCTCAACTTCCGCCGTTAGCAATCCCAACACAACATATACTTAGTCATGGAGTACTGTTCAGGTGGCGACCTCACCCAGTATATCAAGAAACGGGGTCGTGTCGAAACTTTGGAATACATACCGAGACCTGGAGCTGCCCCGCAGTACTACCCTCATCCTAGAACTGGAGGTCTCGATGAAATTGTTGTACGCAGCTTTCTCCGTCAACTGGCCCGAGCTTTGAAATTCCTTCGGCAACACACTCTCATTCATCGGGATATCAAGCCTCAGAATCTGCTTCTGAGTCCCGCTTCTCTTGAAGAAATGGCCCGTGGTCACCCACTCGGTGTTCCAATCCTGAAAATTGCAGACTTTGGATTCGCTCGCTCGCTTCCCAAGACTATGATGGCTGAAACATTATGTGGATCACCGTAAGTTTTCCTTGACTGCGTTCAAGAGATCATTAATTTCTATCTTTGGTCGCATTTATAGACTTTATATGGCCCCGGAAATTCTTGGATACAAGAAATACGACGAGACAGCCGATCTTTGGTCTGTAGGGGCCGTTCTTTACGAAATGTCTGTCGGCAAACCACCATTTCGTGCTCAGAATCACATTGAGCTGCTAAAGAAGATCGAAAAATCCAAAGGCATCAAATTTCCCGACGAGGATCCCACTTCTTCTGCAGCCAAAAGTGGGGGAGGAGGAAGTGAAGCGCTTCCCGTCCCAAGTGACATCAAGAAACTCATCCGAATGCTGCTTAAGCAAAAGCCTATCGAGCGTGCAAGTTTCGACCAATTCTTCGGAAGCACCGCAGTTGCCAAAAGCAAGTTCCCAAGGCAGAAGGCGGACGCAGATTCAGATGTATTACCAGTGTCCTCGACGTTAAGCGGGGCTACGAGTACGGAAGGGAGCAGAAATGAAGCAGAGCCGGAGAAAGGTGCCACTTGGCCTGTCAGACCTGTCACTCCCGAGTCTCACAAAGTAATTCCTCCGGAAGTACTAGATGAGAAGGCTATGATTCCTCCTAGTAAGTTCAATTTCCGTCGGACGTCGACATTGGGTGAACCGGGAAGCACTCCACCTTCAAATGATACAGCGACTCCGAGAGAACCGTGAGGACATATTATCATTCATCGTGACACCCTATTCATTAGTATCTAGGCCTTCGCGGCCACGGCTTGTATCTAGACAGTCATCAGCCAGCTCAAATCGTAGTGCTCGTCCACGAATACCCGCGTCGAGACCCCTTTCTATTGACAGTCCCATCATACCTGGAGAAACTGACGAAGATGGGCTATTACGGCGAGAATACGTACTTGTAGGAGACACTCGTGCAGTCGAGTTCAATCGGGCAGTGGATGGTAAAATGGTTCAAAGCCTTGCAATAGTAATGATTTAACTCATTCTTATATGATAGAACTTGAGTCAATACCGCGACGACCTCTGCAAGAACGACGCGTACTTCCTTCGCCTTCTTTAGAAGATTATCCCCCCTCACCCGTTAATAATCAATCTCACGACATAACCTTTCCTCCACCGCCCAGTGCTATCTCTGCTCCCCCTCTGTCTTCTTCTCCGTCGAGTTTAGCTTCTCGCGCCGCTTCGCATGCCCTGAACCGTGCACTTAGCTTAGCCTCCAAGAAGCTTTTTGGCACCACCCAGACCCAACATCATCGTAAATCGTCTTCGACTCCAGTAACAACCAGACCACTAAGCTCGCCATCTTCTCCAAGACGGCCCCAGATTCTTCCGCTGGGTGCAGAGGAGCGCGATCCTCTGGAGGATGATCTTCTCAGAGCTTTAGAGGAACTTGCTCAGAAAACGGAAGTTTTGACACATTGGGCGGACGAGATGTATGACTATGTCAAAGCGGTCCCACAGAGTGCGTACACAGTCTTCTATCTGCTGCCCACGCTCACGCTCACTGTCATAGAGCCTTTACCCGATCCTAACAAATTCATCAAGCGTGAAGGTGAAGCGGATAAAATAGCCAGGAAGCGGAAACATGCCGATATGGAGGCGGAATACAACGCTGTAACATGTGTTGCTGTATACATGCTCCTTATGTCCTTTTCACAAAAAGGCATCGATAAGCTGCGAAATTACCAAGAGCATATGAGCATGCGGCATCCAGATGGCGATTTTATGGTCAGCGAAGGTTTCGATGACGGTACGCGTGTGGAGTTGAGAGTTGCCTATGCTTGAAGTTTTGCTAACTTGTGTTCCAGCCTTATCATGGTTCAAAGATCATTTTATCAAGTGCAATGATCGCGCTGCCCTCGTCAAAACGTGGCTGCCGGCACAGTACGATGGTCCCAAAAGTTGGCTCGACCAGTTAGTTTACGATCGTGCATTGCTATTGGTATGCTTCTCGATCTCAATATCTCAATATCTATTTGTTTTAATGAGGGGTAATCATTGACAGAGTCGTACGGCTGCAAGGAAGGAACTGTTAGATCAAGCTACTACTCCTGACGAATGCGAGAAGTTGTACGAGGAGTCACTTTGGTGTTTATATGCACTGCAGGATGACCTCCTTCAAACCGGTAATCCATTCATGGCGGAAGATCAGGCGACAATCGCAACTTGTGAGTCTCTTCGTGTTGTTCCATGGCCGTATGTATTCAACTGCAATCATAGGGATCAAAAGGACCAAGCTCCGCCTTTTCAGATGTCGTGCGCGAATGGCCATGAATGATCGGGACCGACTCAAAGATGCGCGCGCGGACCAGAATCTTGCTGATGTCGCTCGGATTCCTGCTCCATGGGATGCTAAACCTTCAGCCAAGGTCAACACCCCGTCGTGATTTGTTTATATTCGCTGCATCACATCTTTCCCTGCTTTCTGCTCTTCCGAATGCCAGAATTTTCTCGTATCTTAAACATTAATATCTCTCTTCTCAAATGTCAATGGTTTTCTCGGCGATTCTTTTTTTTTGCATACCATTTTTGCCTGTTGTCTGTTTCCCTTTGTTAACGCATATATTTTACATATCACATCATGACTATCAATTTTCTTACTGCTTATGATCATTATTGCATCGGTGTATTCCTTCTGCTACTTGCATACTCTGGCATTTACTAGATCCTCACTTGTATATGTATAATTATTTCACTTCTCATATCACGTTGGACAATGATTTAGGATTCAGCGCAAAAGAAAGAAAGTAAATAAGATTAAGTCATACAGTAACTACAATTAGGAAAGCGTGGTATGTACAATACTGTAAAAACTGTAAAAACACAAGGGAAAGTGGAATGAACAACGATGCGAAGCGATAATCGATTTGTTTATACGTTAAGAAGTTGTCTGAAGGGGACCAAGGGATTTATAAAAGAGAGGAATTATGTAGTAGGGTGAAGACGTGAAAAGAGCGAAAGGTGATTTATACATATGTACTTCCAAGATTATTTCTGGCATGTGTCGCGTGCTTCCATAGAGATGTTGGTCAGTCATAGGGTGCCGTCACGACAAGAAAATTCTACGCATCTCCTGCGTTTCCTGGCAAACAGTTCTCTGAGTTTGCGAATGTTCATTTAGTAAGAAAGATGTTTGAGAAGAAAACTCACAATTCTCTTAACTCAAGGCGACATGCTTTTCTCAATGATCTTCCTCATGGGATTTTGACTAGCCGGCATTGAACCTGACCGTTCCAACCTATCGAACAGCACGAACAGTTTCTCCATTTCCTGTTCTTTCTCATCTTCAGTCATATCGGCAGTAGCAGATACAGTAGGCCCATTGGGCGCATATGTTCCTGTGATCGGATTTATTTCACGTTGCCCGGTAGTCGAGGACGAAGGATCGGGTGCAGAAGAAGACAAGGAAGTTGAAGGAGGAGGTGGTGCAGACATGACACCTTTATTGAAAAGAAGTCCCGCAACATGACCATAGCCAAACAAGCTAGAAAGTAACGCGGCTGAAACAAAATGAGTAATCCGGAAAGCAGATCATATAAATATGAATTACTGACCGTCAGAATCACAAGCTGCATAGAGCATTTCTCCCACTGCATCTTTTAGCCTAGTGTGATAAACACTTCCTAATAACCTGATGCACCTCCCTAAAAAATCTGCTCTTTCGTCCAAAGGATTTGTCCTATCAAGATCAGGAGGGACAGTCCATTCCCGCATCCTAACTCGACTCGATTCATCCGCTAGACAAAGCCGGGTGCATAGGACGACCAGCGGCGACAGAATATCATCTAGTGAGGTATCTGAGGGTGCCCCAGTTGCTTCCACCTCCTGCTTGAAAGCCTCTCGGACTTCTTGTGAGTCTGGATCTGAGTTGTCAGGGAAGTGATGTGAGAAAGCAACCTCAAGTAGATCGTGTGTGCGTTGGAAAACATCACGAGAGGTGGAAGGAGGGCTCGGTGATGGCGATCGTGAGAGAGATTTACGACCAGCAGATATGACCGATAGAGCACGGTCCAGGGTGCTTGGCTTTATCGAGGTATTGGAACGTCTATCTGGAGATTCAGAAGGCTCCAGTGTGGGACTTCCCAATACAGGTGAGCTGGAAGCAGAATTGATATTTGTCGATGATTTGCGACTTGACGAAGTCCGACTTGAGGTAGATGAACGACCCATAGCAGGAGGGATCATATTGAACCATATCGGTCGCAGGGAAGGATTAACTGGTATAACGATCAAAGCATGTATGATATGCGTTAGTGGGGCGACAAGCGGCATAGGAAATGTAGGCGGAATTGTATGGTAGGCTCGTAAGAGAGGCGGAAGGAGCCTGTAAGGAAAATGTTTAACGTTGACATTCGATTCGAAATAGAGCGACGAACCCTTCTAGTTTCGTACTCCACGAGTCGTCCCACTCTTTAGCGTCGCTCGAGGGTTCACTGCCGACCATCTGTCGAAATTAAGTTGAACCAGCAATACATTAAAGGAAGACAACGAATACCTTGGGATAATGCAGCAAAATGTTGAACGCAACTTTGAGAATATCCGTCATTGCGTCCCGCGCAAATTTCGTTCCTGCTAGAATGCTGACCATGGTTGTGTCTAACTTGCTTGCAATGATATCAACAATGGTGCGACCTGGCCGTTTCTCTTCTATTAATGATTGGATGAAGGCTGATCGTGAAACCGTCAAGAAAAAGAGTATCCGAGCGAGTGTGAATGTCTGTTCTGGAGTCGTCGCTTTCTGAATGGAACGATTGAGGACAAGATGAAAAACAGAAGTGAAGCAACTCACATCCAGCATGGACACGCAGGCATCTCCGCCGTTGACTTCCTTTGAGATTAATGTCTGCCTCGCGTGATCAAAAAGCAACAGGGTATTTGCTATACATCTCAACGCTTCCGTGGACGCTTCTGGTTCGTCCTTTAAAGAAGTTGAAAGGGATAACAGTGTCGACAAGTTTCCCGCCTCAGATAATGGTTCAGAACCAGAGGGTATCCTTCCCAGGGTCTTTACAGCGAGTAGTGCTTGCGCCGCATCTAGAAAAGCGATGAAGTATAAACTCGAAATCAAGTAAATTAGGAACCTTCACACCCTTTGTAGTTAGCCTGGATTTGGGACCTAGGGATTTCAGATCTTTCAAGAGAAGCCTGATCAGTTCTGCGCGCGAGGATTGATCAAAAGTAAAGGGAGGTGCTATTATTGGGGTTAGAACGTTCTGCCCTGTTCTGAGGATTTATACTCACCATTGATTATAGATTGAAGTACAGAAGACACCTGAGACCGTGGCGTCGAAGACGATAGCTCAGTGTACGTTTGCAAAACGTCCGCCATGGCGGGAAGAAAGGCTGACAAGGAAACGAAAGTTCAGAGCGATTGCCGAAACAGCAATCGTCATCGGGCCGTACAAAGCCGCATTCAAGCTCTAGAATCATGATCAATCATGGCGCAAATCTTTGTTACCAGGGTCAATTAACAGGATTTTTATAGATACTATCATGCCAGTAGAGTTTGAAAATTCTTCAAAAAATCACTTCGGAAATGCCTTTATAATAGTCGTATTGTTCTCGGCTTTGGTACACTTATAGCATGACATATTAGGATGCCTTCCATCTACTTTTTACTACCAAGACTTGTTTTTATTGAGAGTAATAGAGATCCCGTCTCGCGCCTGGGGTGTTTGAAAAAATCAGTCACATCAAATGTCACCAATTTGCCGCTAAAATTGATGCAGGAGTTGCAGGAGAATGTCACAAAAAGTCACACATCTCCATCTTCAACCTCTTTAACCTTGAATACTGCTCCGGATAACTTCGGAAATGTGTTCTACTGAACTATGGAAGGCATATTCACACATGTATACACATTCCTAAGTAGTTTAAGCTATCTTGCTTATAAAATAAAGTGATTCTCGACAATTTTGCAAACCTGACAATCAAAAGGGCTTATGCAAGGAGATCTCGACTGTTTTTCTCACAGAAAAAGCACAAACTAGGTATTTCAGGTATTCATAATGCAATCCCGAAGCGTACATACAGTAATAAGAAAGGAGAAACACCTACAGGATATGTTTTCAAACTCCCCTGGCTTTTCAAAGCCGGCAGGCACGATAGTACAAAGACATGAACGACAAAACGAAAAGCAGAATGCGTCAGAGAACATAGATGCTACATAGATTAGGCTAGACTCTAAATGCCACAAAAAAATAAGACAGAAGATGCGGGGAAGCGGGTGATTAAATGATACAATATCCACAACTTTCGATATATTATTAGACCAGCAGGATGACAGAGCAATAACAGTCCACGACGACACAGCCGTCCAGGGTATAATCTGAAGATATTTTCGTTTGAGAACCTAGGATTTACTGTCGCATGACGACAGCTAAGTTCATTGCACCAAGGACAATGTCCCAAGCCAGATCGAGTGTATCCCACAGTTCGGAATCGAACAAGCCCAGAACGACCATGTCCTGCCACAGATCTTTTACGTGGGCAGTATATGTTGTCAACGTCTGCAAGTTGTGACCTGACGCTTCACACAAGTAGAGGGACAATTGGTGAAGGGCCGGCCCTGAAGACATAGTTGCTCTAACAGCGCTGTGCGACAAGTTCGCGAGGAAACTTGGGGGAACAGGGAAGAGTGCCTTGAGCACGCCGTCTAACCGATGGTCGTACATGAACGAGCGCAAGATGGTGAAGGCCGCTGGTGATGGAACAGACATCGGAATGACAGGAAGATGAAGGGTATGTGAAACAGCTGTATTAGGGGTGCGAAGCTCTGGAAGACGCGCACATTGTGCAGCAAGGACTAGTGAATGAACAGGAACCATGATAGCCTGTGTATCATGCGAAGACTTGGACGAAGACACGGCTAGAACATGGGTAGGATAAGTAGGAGTTGCACGTGAAGGTGGTGCCCGCAACGGGATAGAAAGCGAAGGGGGCAAGTGCGATTTTGGGAGACTGCTCGGAACATGCGAAGGAGCGAGAGAAGATAGACCAGCCATCATCCTGCATAAACGTGTTAAAGTAGAAGAGTGGCAAGAAACAAGCGCGTGCTTACTGTGGTGCCTCCGACCGGAGCCTTCGGCGAATGTAATCTAAGGGAACATTGACAAGTTCTGGAGCAGCAGCAGCAATGGCTACTGGAGAAACCTCGATGAACTCGGGACGCGCCAGAGTCCGAGGTAGCTGTACACTGGACGACGAAGAAAGGGTCTGAGAATCACGTAGGCCGTGCGCAGATTTACCGAAAGGAATAGGTTGCGCGGACATTGGGTGAAGCATTTTTTTGAAAGGTGAATTGAGATGAACGAAATTGTCGAATAGCTGAGGAAGGAGTGCAGATAAATGAGCTGCGGGTATGGTAACGACAGAAATCATTGCAAACGCGCTTTATATACACTTTTCTTCAGCGTCAAGCCAAAGTTGCTAAAGTGTATATAATCTAGATCGCAACAACTCTACATTCCTATTTTAGTAGGTATCAAAGAAACGACCTAAACGAGCAGAAAGGTCAACTATCAAATTTTTTTGCACACGCGCCACGCCCTCTCTTTCAAACTCACCTGAAAATCTTTCTTTGGACGTCCTTGTACGTTCTCATTTACTTTGGGCTTCCCATCATGCAAATGACCGCTTTCCTTAGCAATGGCGTTGTACTCTTTCTGGGTAGTCTTGAACCAGCAAACTTCTATCCTTCTCAATTCCCGCTAATGTTTGATATTTAGTACTTTTTTGAAGGGGTGGTTCCGCAGGACGATGAATCATTGAATGGGTCTTTGCCTGTCTTTTGCTTGCAATCATGGGCGTTTAGCGATGCTGATGGACGTGAGAAAAGAAGGATTGGCGGGGATTCGGCTTTCCCCTGTTTTCCCCACGTCGTCCAATATGGACCAAAGCGCGTATCAGATTGAATGTTTGTACTTGTACTCTGAATGGAATGTTTGCTCCGTGAATGTAAGATGACAAAGATCTCTTCATCCTACTTGGGCTCTTCGACGTGCACTGAGTCAATGCGATAACAGGAACCTTCTTCCAATGACTCGACCACACCTGGATCCTTCAGTTCTTTCCAATCCGACTACTTCGATATTCAATTTACATCTTCCCCTTCTGGCTCAGCATCAAACAATCGGATGCCAATGCCCATTGTTCGCCTTCAATTACATGTGCTCATTATCCATTATTCAGCTCTTTAAGGTCTTGTGGGCTCTCTCGCTAAGCACTTCGAGTACCAACAGACCACCACCACCTTTTAATATGTTTCATACCTGTCGTCTTTTGACGCCTCCTCGTTCATTCAGTGGACCAGCTTGGACCCACAAAGTGCGGTTTTCGTGCGCCTGATTTTGTATCTCAGTCCGTATCGATGATCATCTTATTGTTTTTTGCCCTAGGAATAACTGCAGGGAAGCGTTGGTATCAACATGAGGATTCAACATGAGGATCCAAACGGCAAACACTCCCGCCCTCTCAGATTTGAGCAGACTTAAGTCCGTCGCTTACCAGTGGCATTTCTTTTTACTCATCGTCGACGTTTCTATGCGACTCATTTTGTTATAGGGATGTTTCTTTGAAGCAAAGGAACTTTCTCTCTGAGCCTGGGCCCACCTTCTTCCATTCTGCGCTCAGAACGAGGCCCCGCGTATTTATCTTCTCTCCGTGATTTCTAGACTGTTGGCCGGTCACTCGTACGAACTGCTCTTCAAGTCAATTTTGGGGTGTGTACCTAAGGACTTCACTGACTTGGACCATTCATAGTTTAGCCATTCACAGCTTTCCCGCCGGGTATCGTCATCCTAAATATCCTTGAGAGTCCCATTTTCGTCCATGTCGAAATGCCCTGCATAAATTCGGGTTTGGGAAATATGTAGAGCCGGCCGGGCTGACCTACGTGCGTACGTATGGGTGGCTGCATGTCAATATCGTTTCTTCGATGCTTCAAACTCGCAAGTTGCTCGCAGAAACTAGTTTCAATCCATCGGAGGAGCAAAAATATCCCCGGCGATCTGACAGTGCCCACACAGGTTTTCAACAGGCCTTTATTGTCCTTTTCGGGCTGTACACCATTACCTCTTGATGCGTCTACCCCGATAAGCCCATATGCGGGTGCTACAGCTTCCCGCCATGACTGCGAACAATACGTGACTGCGATACATTCTGTTCGAAGATCCGACATGAGGCTATCATTCCTGATTAGTCGTTTGAAAACGCCGCAACGTGATATATTCTCCATGTTCTCTACATATTTGGGTTTTCAAAGTGTATTCCGGCTGGTAAGGTCACTCTGGGAATATTTGACCCATTTTACAACTGGTAAGTGCCTAGCTATGCTGTTGAATTCTCTACTATTCCCTCCTTCGAGCAGGCTATACAAGTTCAATCGGCATGCATGTGAATGGTACACTCCTCTGATTGCATTGTCACCCTAGGTAAACATCGAGCATATATATCGGAGAAGCGATTCGAGACCCTCCCCAGCCTCCGCCTCGCAGGATTTATATTGACTAAGTGGCAAGCTCATGCACAGAGGTCCAAGAGTCCGAATAGACCCAAGTTCTGTCCTACTTCCAGTGCAATTGCACATTTGACCCCGGAGACGAGCTGCATTGCGGGTTACACTCTGTTTCTGTTTCTGAAATGATTTAGATTGACCCGGAAGTGCCTCAATCATCGTTCTGCACTTTGCCATGTTCCTACCCAGAGTTAATTTCAGTCGTCTGTGTCTTCTCAGTTCACAGCTGAGGGCGCCATATTCAGCACGAATTTCCATTGTTTCCGTGATTACAGGATACCAAGCATTCTGGTAGATCGCACTTCGAATATGAAGAGTTTTGAACAAGGTTTTGAACAAGATCTGTTAATTACAAAGATGTACAAAGATATTTACGAAAAAATACTGTATGAGCTGTTCGAAATTTGATTGAGATCTCATGAGAGACTGTACAGCTCTCAACTTCAAGTTCGCGAGCTTCGCCAACTCAATTACTGAGTAGCACCCATTCCCTGCATCCCAAGCATTCCTTGCGACGGATTACCCATCATCAGGTTTGCCATCATTGCTTGTAGTTGATTAGGATGCATCTGGTTATAGAGCAACATCAATTCCGGCGATATATTCATGGGCACCGGTAGCGGCGTAGGGGGCATGGCGAGTTGAGGGATGGGGGGCTGAGAGATTTGAGCCATAGACTGTTGGGGAACAGGGGTTCGGGATTCGCCGCTTCCAGGCTCTGATTTCACCACGGCATCAGAGACATTGCTGGGGGAAGGAAGTCCTTGTGGATTAGGCGGAGACGGACGCTGTGCGCTGCGAGACGATTTCGATGCGGCTTTTGCCGCCCTTGCTTTCGCTAAGTTATCTGTGCGCGAAGTGGCTCCAGTATTAGCTGGCTTCGAGCGAATAGCAGTTTGTGATTTTGCTTTTCTTAACTGAGAAGACCGCTTCCGAGGCTGATAGTCCTCATCCTCCTCTTCAATGTTCGAGTCTGAGACACGTCGGCGTTTTCCTTTGGCTTTGGCACTCGGAGCTGGGGCAGAGATAGACTCATTCTTCCCTTTCGACACACCCCCGATAGATTGAATGAACTCTATCATTGTTTTGCCGACACGATCATTCATACGGATATCCTTGTGTTGGCCACGGACATCGTGACGCATATCCTGGATAGCCTGACTGAGTTCAGCGAGATCCATTTTGTGATTGGGAGATGGGAGGACGCCATGAACGTAGATGAGAAGGGAAAAACAAATCATCTCAATCGGTGAAACCTACAGCGCGAATTTTAGCAAGCGACAAGGAAACGCTTCAAAAATAAATACGTGCCCTCTGATACGATGTGAAGGGCGTTGCAAATTTCTTGTTGTTAGCCATTTCTACCATCAGTGAATATGCTTCCTTGACCCTCTTCGCAAATGCGTCCGGAATAGTGCCATAGTCATCATCGTCACCACCGGCTGATTTGCCACTTTTTTTATCCACGCCAGTACTTGATAACCACTTCTCGACTAGTGGCAAGCTACCTGCATGCTTGAGGGCCGCCCCACTTTTTGTAGTGGGCCATTTGTCCATCAGATAGACAGCTTGAGAGATGCAGCGAAAATCCGAGCCGCGGCTCTTGTCCCAAGGGATATTAGGGGAGCCCAAGGTTGTTTCAGAAACGAATTCTTCGAGGAGGTCACGAATGAATCGCGCACGAGGAGTAGTGATGACATGCAGTTTCTCAGCAGAGGTGAGAGCCATGCCTAATTGTACACGCTACGTGATGCGAATAAACGACTGATGCACGACGCGGCTGAAGAACGTACTTGGAAAATATCTCTCTCGTCTGCAGCAGTCAAACCGGAATACTCAACACACACGACTTGCTTATTTGAAAACATCTGCCTGTATTTGTCAGGCAATATTTTGCGTTTTGCAGCATTTTTGGAAGATTCCGAAGGGTCGTTTTTGAACCACAATTTTTCTCCTGTATATCTGCCAATAGAACGTAAGCGAGCTATCAAGGTAATGAGAATCATTTCTTCTCACGGGTCTTTGTCTGAAAATATGGAAGAGAATGTGAGATATGAAGTCGAGAATTTCATTAGAGGGAAGAAACAAACGTGGAATCTATAGCGAAAATCAGGATCATATAATCATAAGCGAGAGGTCGAAACTCACCAATCCATCCATGAAACTGAATGACGGCGAAAATGAAGCAAAATTAGGCCTGAATCCAATGTAAGGTCGACCATTTACACGCACCGTTGAATGCTCGTTAACCTTTGCTTTCCGTCGATACAAGTTTTCGATTCCCACCCGTCTTCGTGGGTTTCTACCGCTGCGTTTATTGCATTAGGATTGTTTGGACAAAGAAAAAGTCAAAAAAACGAACCAAAAATTATGGGGGGAATATAAAAGTTTCTGAGGATAGAGTCGATAAGGTTGGTCTGCTTTTCTTTTGTCCAGACAACATCTAATCATACAGGATCAGGCGAAAGTTTAGCGAGGTGAAAGACTAATACCTCGCTGGTATTCTGGTTCAAGGTCGATATCGGAGTTATGAATCTGGTCTTTTTGGTCCAATTAGTATCATCTAAAAAATAATTATCACGCCACATACCATATAGAGCCTGAGCAGTGTACGTCGTAGCCCGAGGTGGTTTTAATGCTTTCTGTATGGTATATCCACCGCTTGCACCTCTATGCTTGCGGGTGCTTGAACCTTGGGCATCATTTGCCAACTCATCTTCTTCAGATAGTTCAGAAAGTTCTTCGTCCTCATACATGTTTTGCTAGAGCACGCTTCAAAGTTGAGCAACGTTTCACGGTCTGGTTGGGATAGGATAGAGAATGGATTGTCCATGCGTTGTGAAAGAAGTCGTAAGCGAGAGTCAGCCTATGCAGAAAGAGCCAAATTCCTGTTACATACAGGTTATTGGAAAACTTTGATAGTGAGAGAAGTTTGACGGCAGATTGATTCATGATCATTGATCCTGAATTCGCGAACCCCAGTCGCGTGACCTACATATTCCAGCGTCTAAAAATTCTAAAGTTCTCTCTTGGTTGATCATTATTCTTACATGCAGAGATGTAAAGAGCTTAGTCGACTTCCTAGGGCCCCTCATTTTTCCTCCTTACTAGTATGTCCTACAAGCCCAAATCAGACTAATCTCTCTCTTTTCCTGATATCAGAAAACAGTTTCGGAAACAGAGCCCCGCATCTTCCTCCGCCATCCAACCTCTACAGAAAGCGGCAACTGTCCTGGATCCAGGTCATCCGGCTGCCTATCTGCCAAGGAAAATTCTTCCTCGTTTTCGCAATAGCGTTTTCAGTGTGACGGCCACACCTTTTGGTTTACTTGAACCGGAGTCCATTCCGTGTCAACCGCCGTTCGATGTTTCCTTCGAAACATGGGCCGAGCGCATCTCACGGTCTTTAACTGAGCCTATAACAAATGGACTCGTCGGTCCAATTCTTGCCCCAGTTTGTTTGCCCAAGTATCAGAAACGCGGACGTCTGCCTATGTCTTTGGTCACGGTAGTAGGGAAGAAGGCAACAAGCAAAAAGAAAGTTGTTCGCCTGAGGATCATAAATAAAGTCAAGAATGCATTGAACTTGGCAGTCACACGAGTGGCGGAAGTAAAGGATGGAAAGCTTGTTCTTGACGAAGCATTGTCACGAGAGAATCTTATATGTCGAGGTGTGCCACCAAATGATTTCTACGTTATTTTCGGCTTACGTGCTTTACCTCTTCAGGCTGGACATACTCTGTTTATCCCAGCCTTGAAGTTTATCGGATGTCTTTTACTGAGCTTATCCCGACGGTCCTCCAAGCTTTAAGAAGCATACACAAGCAGGTAACTGAACTAGAGAATAGTTGGGCACAGAAGTCTTTTGTTTGTCACATCTCTAATTACAGCCATCTGCCTGGATGCTGATTTTCAGATAGGAAAATCAACTTCATAAATCATCTACTTGGAACATCACCCAGCATTCTCCTGTGTCCAGCAAACTGCCCCTCAAAACCGTGACTTCTCATGAGCGCAGAAATGTGAGTTTCTCCTCTTGCATGAGAAGCACGAAATTACTAATTTTGGCGTCAATAGCGTCGACTTCTCGATGCAGAAATGAATGATCTGACAGCTCGCTCACCTATGTCTTCTGGAGAATGGCCTTCCGAAAGGAGCACAATGAGCGATGGGACTGTATCTACACAATTTCCATCGCGGACGGAATTCAAACCATCCAAATATCCTGAAGAGAAAAACAGATCGGCTGGGAAAGTAGAAGGACTATCTCAGTTACTTGCAGTACGTTCTGTATCATATTCAGCGCCTTTCCTCAAAATTAACTTTATTCCGATAGCGCATCAGTTCGGCAGCCCCTCAGATGTACCAGAACGAGGGCGAAAATTTGTTGGAGGAACATCAGTCAAGCCACGTCGACAGCCTTGCAAGTCATCCTACTAATACCAACCCTGTGACATCGAAGGACCTACTTCGTATTCGCCGTTCCCGTGAAACTCAAGTCGCCACGTCATTGAAGGAGAAGGTGTTTGCTACTCGTCCTATCGTCGGCAACATTCCCCAGGTCAAAGAAAAATTCAGGTTCAAAGACAGCGTCTCACATAGGGATCGGCAAAAACGTGAACGAGAAAAATCCGAAAATTCGTCGCGTTGGGTAAAGACAAGGAAATCTCAACCGTTTGACCTCTAATGCCTCGGTAGGGGGTATCAGTTTGGGCATCGGCGTCACAATTGACAAGGGATCCTCGATTGAGATAGAATAAAAAAGACTAGTCATATCCAGGATTATGACTGCATCTGACTTCATGTAATCGCCAGGCAATTGCAGCATTAAAAGCAAACATTCCGTTTCTATCAAACAAGCTTATAAGCATCTTCGCTTTTATCGCTTTACCCCAGCGTTGACCCTTATGAAAGACGAATCGATATGCTGACAAATATGTCGATTCTGCCTACCTTTCGAGCAGAGAGTGCTTTTTAGGTGCATGAAATTGCTCTGACGTCACGCAATAACCTTGACAATCAGGAGCAGTTCTGAAGTATGAGGCATGAACTCTTCGTCCAATTAGACATGATACGAGCCGCTTTGACATCAAATCATCTCAAAATACTCTAGGAGCTTTTTAAGTACTTCTTTAGGCATCTACATAGATACATTATTACCTCTCAAGTATACGTGCTGCCAGTCATGTAAATCTCTATCACACTTGCTGCAGCCGAACATGTCCGGCTATTCGTTGCAGTGGAAACGGCTGGTTCTCTTAGGTGAGACCCCCTCCACCTCCTTCGAACGAGGCCGCGTACCCACCTATCTATTCAAGATTTTTCGAAACACGGAATGAAGAGAGTAGCCTCAGGTTGAGTTACATAGGGACTCCTCATTGTACTTTCGTTCAGATTACTTACAGATATATGCTCAAAACGCGAGAAAGTATAGTAACATACTATATAATATAATCTACATACTACCCCATATTTTAGTCGAACCGATTTCGAGTAAATCGAAGGGCCCTACTGCATTCAGAAATATGGATCTCTCACCACTGCAACCATTCACCATAGAGATTTGGACGCTCCGACCTTATGTATGACTCGAATGTCCTTTTGAGAACAGCAGACCAATCCAGATCGCGCTTATCTGACTCTACAGTCTCCTCTTCGTCTGGGTTTTTGCGGTCCTCCGCAACGACAGAACTAAATGAAACATCCTTGCCTTGTAGAGCTGCGCGCGCCATCCGCTCCCCGACACTAAATCTTGGTCCAAGGTCAGGCCAATTTCTCGTTGGATCGAATGGTTTCCACCTGTATTTAAATTATGAGTCGAGAGCCTCATGAATCAGAAAATGCCCAAACCAGAAGTTATGAAAGTGATATGAGTATGCCCCTTTGAAGAATCCATTGAAACCTAAAGATTGCGGTGCAGCACTGCTCTGTTGTGGGGTGTCGAAAAAGTCCGCGAACCTAGCATTGAAGAGTAAGTGGTCGAGTTATGATAATATACTATGATAACACGCACTCAACAAAATAAGGTTGTGGAGGCCTATCTCGCTGATAATACTCGGTGTTCAGCCACGCCGAGTCAAACAAGGCATCCGGTAGTCGTAATAATAGACCTTCGATATGTGCATCGGCTGTGTACCGAGAGACCGTCATGGGGTGGAAGTCGAGGCCATTCTTCAAAGCAGTCCTGAACAAAAATGAGCCTAGTGCAGAGCCCTTGTTCATCCTCAGGACTGCGGTGTTGTACTTTTCAAGTCGTGACCACCGGTAAGCAAAAGCTCCCTTCCATCCCCAGAGTTCTTCCCAGTCCCGTAGAAGGATAGTGTCCGCATCAAGATAGATACCTCCGAAGCGGTGACAAAGCACAAAGCGGGCCATGTCGGATAGAATGACTGACAGTCGATCGTACGCTGAAGCCGACGTGGAGCCCGTGCGGTTCATGATATCATCATCATCTGCTTTCTTTGTAGACGTCTCGTTCAAACTACTCTCTTCCTCGTGCTTTACGCTGATAACATAACCACCAGAGTTGAAAAGGGAGTCCTGCAATATTCTCCACTCGTTTTTAATTTCTGGTACCCCATCAAGCTGTTCAGTGGTATTCCAAAGCTTAAATTTAATCACATCTTTGAATCGAGGGTGAAGGAACGGTGATGCCCATGGACTGAGCTTCAACTGTTCAAACATATCATCAAGGGCATTTGGATTAGGAATTGCAGCAGCAGGACCAGGATTGATCCAAAGCCAGAATTCAGGACGGCACACAGGTGAATCCTTAGGCCATTCCTCTAAATGGATACCAGTGTTCTGTGTGTAGAGGAAAGATAGAAGGGCGAGGTATGGTTTGTCAGTAAAAGGACCAGTCCAGAACATGTGAAAGAGGCGGGGATTCTCTGGGTCGCATGGGGTAGGGAGAGCTGCATTAGGTGTGTGTTTGAGTGGAGAAGGGAGTACGAGTTGAGGTTCCCATTCGACGCCGCGCTTCTTAGAAAGTCCTGCATCAGGATCTTCTGCAGCGTCCGCTTCGCCAGGAGCAAGAGGACGTCGGAGTGGATAAGGGTAAGTTTCTTCGTCTTCTGATTTTTCAGACGGAATTTCGACAGTCGCGTTAGACTCCTCCTTGTAAATGTACTTCCAATCATCCATCTTTCCTCTTCGCGTACGCTGGCCATTATCGAGTCCACCACCAAGTCGCAAAATTTCTAAACAATCCCTGACATACTACGAAGGAGGTATCTCTTTAGCGGCGATCACTTATTGCACGCGATCGTCGTACCTTGTTCTCGGAGAAGTCGCAATGCTTCATTATTACGTCCATGTCAGCAACACTGCCAGGTACAGGACGCGGTGGATAGGCAACATTTGGCGGAGCGCTTTGGATGTCGAGATAAACTCTTTTAGAACCGACGCCCAAAGTATCGGTGTCAGTGTTAGGCGTCACCACAGAGGGTGGCGGTCTGTAGCGTGAAGGAGGTAAATTTCGCTGTTTTATAGGCAAAGCTGGATTAAACGGAGGTGCAGTAAGGCCAACCATCTTGGGTACTGTGCATATAATTAATTAAATGATACCGGCAAAAGAGTGGAGAAGACACACTGCTGCGCCGAGAAGGATAATGGCCACTGGCAATTTCCCACTTCCATATTCGCTGTAAATCCTCCCTCCTGAAAACCAGTGTGGACGTGTCACCGGGAGGCCATGATTCTGGCCATTCTGGAGCTCCAACATTTCTTGAGAACAACATCACGGTCATGACCATTGCCATACACGCAAAGCAAATGAGAATCAGTGTTCGTTTTCTACCCATTGGCTTTGGAAGTTTGCCCTGAAATTGACGCCACGTAGGCAAGTTTGGAGCTAGAACACGTAGATGGCGGTTCGGAACGCCTGGTATCGGTACAAATATTAGTTTCGTCCAAGATCCCTGAGATTTGTGGTGTAACTTTTCGTATACAGCCGAATGTGTAGGGAGCGTAGCGCTGGGCATAATGCTCAGAAAAGGGGCCAGCCGTGAATACAATGGCCAGCGCAGCGCCGAGAGCGGAAGAAGAGACTATAGAGATGAAAGAACAGACTGGAAACGTGTCTGTACAAACTTTAGTGGCTGTGCTTAGAAGCAAGTTGATCGACGTTCGCTCTCGTTCGCTGCTCTCTACTAAATCTATTTTCGCCTACCCTACACTCATTTTTACCTACAGGTGAATATAAATTCTAACCCTTCGACAACTTCATAGATATCAAGCTTTGGACTGCTCAATAGCCCGGACTGCCGCTTAGAGTTCTCACTGCATACACTCTGTATATACTTGTGATCACTTCATTCTGTATATGTACTTACATACGAATTACGGGGTGATTAATTTTATAAATCAACCTACAAGTTCATGGAATTGTAGAAACCTAGTAGAAGTTGTTCAGACAGTTCAGAACTATGTAAGCGACAACATTCACAAAAAAAACTCTTCCACTGTGATTCTTCACGGATCTGCATTTGTTCTATCCAACACGCAAGAGACCGTGACATCTAGAGGCATGTCACGATTTCAATTCGGGGTTTACAACAAACACAGTCGTCTTTTCCTTGAGGTCTGTAAGGCAAAATATCCAAATATAATGCAGGAAACGCCACATTCATCTTGCTTCCGGCCTTGGACTCGATCATCCTGTCTGGAAGCCAGCAAAAATACTTCCTTCAGTTCGATGCCTAATTATGCACAAAATTATACTGGGCCTCCTCAACGCCAAAAGGCTCAAAGAATGGTTGGACTTCATATCGGCGATGGAAAAAGGAATTCCGGCGAGAGTTTATTGCCAGTGGGCGAGAGTCGACATCTCTTTGGACGGCACTGTTATGCAAAGAACAGATGATTCTCAAGGTCTATATGCATTGTAGGCATGGCTTGTAGATAATCTGCTTAGTCTGCTTTGAGGAAGGGAGAGAATCGTAAGTTGAGGTTGCGCGCTACCAACGCAAAAAACGAATCAAATGGGAGGTAAGTGACGTTGTGGAAGAAGGGCAAGATCAACGCACTTGACTTATCCAAGTCAAGAGTGAGGTGCGTTGGTGAACGATGCAGTTCCGAGAACAAAAGCGTATAAACGACATCGCCGATAGAGTAATCCAAGCGAACGCCGCAGTTCGTCGCCATGGGTTTGTGAATGAAATCCTCAGACACAAAAACGCTCGAAAGAAAGCTGTAATCGTCGTCTGACTGGATCGGAGTACAGTGGTGGAATCTCCTTGCCTGCACGGTACGCAAGCTGAACGCAGGTGTACAGCAACACAAGCGATGCTTGTACGGGATGTATGTCACGGAAGAGGGGTGCCTCCCGATATCCGTTTCGGCGCATTTTGACAACATTTTCCGCTCGTCAACGGCTGATATGTTGTGAGGTCCACTATCAACCGAATCAAGTAGATGGATCGAAGCCGGACTCGAAGATTGGGCATGAGGAAGTTGAACCTTCTGGTTTGGCAAACCATATGGATCATTGATTTGACTAGAATTAGAATGACCCAGAGGCAAAAAGAAGGCTGGGAAGATGTGCAATAAGCATCTGCCCCACAGGAAAGCAAGTTGAGATGCGGTCTTGTGTTTAACGCAACGGCAGAAAAAGAAGCCTTGAAAATATATATTCACAACAATAGTACAGTAAATGGCCGCTCACAGTGCACACGTGCTTTTCGTTCCAGTCTCCCTTGCTCAGCTCATGTATGTACTTCAACCAGGTCTATCCTAAATCGGCATTTTCACAAGACTGACATAGCTCAGTCGGTCTTCAAGTCATTTCGAAGTGCAAAAGCTATCGTTTTAGTCCTCACCTTTTTTCGGCTTCTACAGAAAAGTATGGCACAAGACTTTCATATTGCTTCAGAAATATCTAACCTGCTTAAATAGGGAGGCCAGGAACATCAATCCTATCAGAGTTTGCCAGGCAGTGAAAATGCTTGCTATCTATCTCGGAGCCGATACAAGGCACGGTTTCGTCAGAGTTTAGTTCTATGGACGTTCTTCTTCCTCCTCGTCATGCTGAGGACTTGTCAGACGGCAATACCACAATGAAAGAGCTCTTTGACTTCCTGCACCTAATGAGCCTTTACTATCAGGTCCCAGGAGTGGCAGCAGCGGTAGGCGCTGCTTTACAGTACTGTGCGTTTCAAAAATTTGATGCACTGTGTTATCTTCACGTTCTTCTAAGTAATATATGGGTGTGACTCAAATAGGTACAATTATTTCCACAGCTCATGGATGCTATCGATTTTAGTGGAGCTTCATGTTGAGACAACTCGTGGTCACCAAAAGAATTCATTAATGCTAGAATTTCGGGCCATCTCTGGCTATGGCTTGAATTACAATCCCAAGAGTTATCGCCTCTCTTTGTCGCTTTTCAATGTCAACGGAAGCGCTATCGTCTGTTTCATCAATTCTAGTTTGAAGCCGTTACGCTCCGATAAAAATTTAGCGAAGTTCAGCTTTCACCCATCGATATGCAACTCTAGAACTTGACACCTGAGATAAAAGATAATCAATCTCAGCGCGGAAATACCGGAGGTTTATGATGTCTTCCGAAGAAAAGAGTTTCTCGGCTCATATCAGGTTCTACGGCTTATGCGTCTGCAAGACGTCTGGATTTGGCATCTTCAGACCTTGAATTTACAAGTCAGTGGTCCATGACGCGCACGCGTATCAGGTGAGTTCATGTCCTTGGAGAGTTCAGATATTTTTCCCAATGTTCTTTCAATAAAGGCGGGCCGATGAAGCGCGTATTTAAGTCAGGTTCATGAGACCGGTATGAGTCTAGGACACAATGGTTCGAACCTTTGCATCCCTTCTACTCCCCATTAGCGCCTTCTTGTCTGCGGCTGTAGGTCAAACTGGCCGTGAGTTCATCCCTGTATCCATGTTATATAGGGCTAAAGACGGCCCAAAGTTGCACCCAAACAATATCTATCTCTTCCTTTAGGAAGTATTAGACCAACAGGATGGTTGTACGATCAGGTGTGGTGGAGTTTTATGGACCACTTCGCTCAGCCGGCTAACAGTTTCTTTGAAGCTCATTGTTCAGACCAACGGGCTTGCAGGCCACGAGCACGAATTCTACGATTAGTAAGTTTCGAATATCAATCACAATGAAGCTTTTTCATGTTGGTCAGTGTTTCTGAAACCGATTGGATGGGTGGTCCTTCGTACTATTCCAGTTTGGAAGAAGGTGAGTAGAGAGACCTGATTTCAATCCTCACTGCTCAACTTCGTCTAGCTGGTAGTTACTGGTCAGTTTATTGTCCCATAATTTGTAGTGCTGGAGCCCTTCCTCCTTGACCTTTAATCATCGTCCTTCATTATCGGCAGGTTCAATGCAATGGTGCCCAATGGTATTTTGGCAAACAACTCGGGCATCATTCAAAGAACGCAGGAGTTCCTCGATTACGTCTTAGCTCATCAGGACTCCACTGGTTGGATGGGTCCGGAGGTCAACACAACGAAACCGAGATATTTGTGGGGAAGGTACTGTTTATTATTTCAACTTTTGAGATATAATATGCCAACTAGGACGATAGATATCCATTCATGTTCGGTGCTATTCAGATGGTGGAATACAACCCTGATCTTACTGATCAAGTCGTCGATGCGTTTTACAAGTTTGTCACTCTTGCTAACCAGATGCTTCACAATGGCGAAGGGGTGGAGGCCTGGACTCAAACGCGTTGGGAAGATTTCGTCATGACCTTGCAATGGTGAATTCAGAGCTATGAACTCATTTTGGAATCACTGTAAACAAATTCACTACCTACAGGTTATATGATTTCCATCCGAATGGAAACGAAGCTCTTTTGATTGATACGATGGAACAACTCAAGTATACGGGTGTTCCATGGGAGGAAGTCTTCGAAGCTCAGGTGAGTCTCATTTTACAAAACTTGCACTGTCCGACTTACCAATCAAATAATAAAGTACTTCCCGACCACACCTAGTAAGTAATCAGAGTAGGCTAAAGTCGACCACAGCTCTAAAACTATCATGAAGCGGATGATCTTCCCAACCCTCTAGGATATGTTCTATCGGTGAGCCCATTCTAGACGAGATCAACACCTCTTTCTCAAGTGCTTTGCTACCGTCAGTGGCATGGTGTGAATATGGCTGAAGGATTAAAAGCGTTACCTGCCACTTATCGATTCACTCATAATCAATCTGGTCTGTTCGCAGCATGAATATTATGTCATTACTTTTGACCATAGTTGTAGATCTCAACAGAGCAAGTGAGGGTTGGGATTTACTTTTCCAATATCATGGACGACCATCTGGAATTTATGCCGCGGACGAGTATCTAGCTGGACTGGAAGCTGCGAGAGGGTCAGTCCATTTGCAAATTCTATTCAATAATGCACTGAAAATACAAGTATAGCACTGAGCTGTGCTTAGTCGTGGTAAGTGCCATTGTCAATGATTATTGACATGAAATTTATACGCGAAATAGGAAACAATGTTCTCGTTAGTCAAATAATTTGCATCCGCTATCCGTCATCCTGAACTCGATGACTTCCCTTTAGAGGATCATATCTGTATCAAGTCATTGGAGATCCTAAATATGTAGACCGGGTAAGAGAGTTAAGAACGTCCTGGTTCAGGAAACTGAGCACTCACTGAGCAGGTCGAGCGGATTGCTTATAATGCCCTCCCAGCGGAATTAACCGGAGGTAGGTTGTAAGTCTTTGATTGTGTTTCCGTCTTACATCAAGTTTAGACTTCTGGTCCCGACAATATCTACAACAACAGAATCAAATCGCCGCCAAAAATATGACTCCGTAAGGATTTGAGCAGCTTGTTCACTGCGAACTCGTAGCTTATCACCCGTTCCATATAGGAATCCATTCCCTAATGATGGGTAAGTGTGCAGCGCTTCAAAATAGAACGTATCGGAACAAATATGTTTCTACAAGGCCATATTCCAACGTATTTGGATTAGAACCAAATTATCCGTACGTGACAAATTCGAAAGTATGTGACAATCTGTTGACAATATTACAGGTGCTGTACCGTGAATCACCCTCAAGGGTGGCCAAAGTTCATCACCAACGCCTTTGTAACCACTGCAGATCAAAGTTCTCTTGCTCAGGTTTATCTTGGACCTTTCCAGACGAAAACAACTCTTGCTGCGGGTCTGTCCTCAATTCTAGGGACGTCAACCAAATCTAACTCATGTCAATGACAGAGAACCCCGTCACTGTAATGGTAAATACCATCTATCCATTCAGTGATACGTTGAATACCACTATCACCGCTGCGAAAGCCTTCACATACTACGTCCGCATACCCAGCTGGGTTGTAAACGGCACAATATCAATCAATGGTGGTACACCGTCCCCAGTCTCACCTACTAATGGTCTTCAAGCAGTACAAGTTGAGGCGGGGACTACCACATTCATGTTAGATCTTCCAGCCGAAATTACGACAGGTGTGTTTCTCATATTGATGTACGTTCTTGTTCACTAATCTTCCCTGTACAGAAAATCGCCCTCACGGATCTATTGCTGTTCATAGAGGACCTCTCCATTACGCATTTGACAGTATGTTCTATGACACCCTTGAGCAATCATGAAACTCATCCACTGTCATTGTGTTTAGTTCCACGGACCTCCAAAATCCTGATGCAGAACGGAGAGCAACCTCTTGCGAAAGATCTTGAATTTGATGCATCTACGGCATGGGAATATGCTATTGACCCATCTACGCTTCAATTCGTCAACAAGCCACCCGCATCCGGAACACTTCCATCACCAGTATTCGATTCGGGACTGCCGCCATTGTCGATGACGGTGACTGCTTGTCCGATTGATTGGCCTGTAGCTGGTTCCACTTTTGCCGCTTCCCCACCGACAAAGCCTACCTGCACCGGGGCGCAAAAGACGATCACTCTTACCCCCTACGGAGTAGGTTTTTTGCCTTCTATTTTTCGGTCTATTGCTCATTGGAATCGTTTCAGGCAACCAAATTACGGATTGGTGAATTCCCGGTATTCACTGCAAAGTGAAGGAATACGTCTGATCTGTACTGTGCTTACCAAGCCGAACTTATGATTCGGACGTGATTGTGTGCTGTGTACTGTATCTTTCCCTCAATCACCTGCTATACATCGAGATGTCTACACCTGGTTTTGGATATTCGAACCAACCTCGCCTTTGAGAGCTCAGTGCCATGTTCTTTTTGCCTTTGTTTTCCATTGAGATCACAACAAAACCTATTGGAAGAACCTTCGCGAAATATAGAACGTATCAGACTGCCTTCAATGGTCCACATCAACAAATTCAATCTCCTTTCCAGATGTTGCAGATCATGGTGTCACAAGGTACTGTATGCACTCTCGACTCTGTACGTCCGTGGATGATGAGAAATCATATTCTTCCACAAGTGTAGTGCTTCTCTCTTATCCGAACCATGCGGTATGTTCGGGTATGGGCGAATGGCGATAATACTTATAAGTGACAGCAAAGCTTCGAGAGAACAGCCCTTACCCGGCGTCGTGTTTGCGATGGCATTCTTCTTCCTCATTGCTCTGTTTGCCTGTGTAATCAGTTCCTATATTCGCTGCTCAAACGGTCTACCTTTGGAGCCCGCTCGTATTACTCAAACCTCCGCCAACCTTCCGGACGTAGACATCAGTTATGTGAACAACTCTGGCATATGCGAGACAACTCCTGGCGTGCAACAGATGTCTGGATATATAAGTGTTGGAAAAAATATGAACATGGTTTGTAGCAAACTGCTTTCCAGTAAGTACGCGGCTCAAGTATCCTGACAGTGGTTCTGGTTTTTTGAAGCACGCAATTCTCCGGAGACCGCCCCGTTCACGCTATGGCAAGAGCTACCAATTTACTACCATTTCAGGAATTGTTAAATGCTTTGCTACAGGTTGAATGGTGGTCCAGGTTGCTCATCTATGATAGGGCTCTTCCAAGGTGAAAATTTTCGGAACTATATTGTTTGAGTGACTCAATTTCGACACAGAGAATGGACCATGTCATGTCAATGCTGACCTTACTACCACTATAAACCCCTATAGCTGGAACAACCTCAGTAACAGTGCGTTTTATGTTCCTGCCTTCATGAGTCACAAGTTTAAGAGCCTGAAAAAGTATCTCATGCATAGTGATATACATTGATCAGCCGATAGGCACTGGCTTCTCGTATGGCACAGACACAGTGAACAGCACTGAATCCGCAGCTCCCTTCGTCTGGACAGCTTTCCAAATGTTGTTCGAGACAACCCAGTTTGCTAAGTTTGAATCAAGAGAGTGTGTACAGTTCATGTGCATCAAATGCTGTAATTGTACATTGCCCTGACCATTTTTTGCTTTCTTTAGGTTCATATTTGCCACAGAAAGCTACGGAGGACATTATGGGCCTAGCTTTGTGACTTATTTCGATCAACAGAATTCACTTGTCCAAAGCGGGGCAATTCAGGGCGAGCAAATTCTTGTTAGTGCACTCATGATCAATAAGTATGAAGTTACTAGTCTTACTCTTTACCACACTGCTTACATTTTGCAGCGGTTGGTATGATCCACTTCTCCAGAATAAGGCATATGTAGACTTCGCTACCGACGCACCCGGATATGGTCAATTGCAGAGCGACGAAGTCATTGCTCAGCTGAATGAGGCTTTCTATGGTAGCAATGGCTGTCAAGCACAGGAGCAGGCGTGTTACGACGCGGGGAATTCTTCAGCTTCGAATAAGATTTGCAATACCGCTGACAATTTCTGCGTGAGCTTTCGTTCGTGGTCTTTCAGCGAAAGCTACCTCACCTATTCAACAGATTGACAATGTTTTCGTACCAGCGGTTGGAAACGTCAGTTCTCGCAAAGCATTGATTTGAGTGACTGTGTGCTCACCTCATGATCACCTTTTTATCAAAGCGAGACTCAGACGACCTGCGACAAAATTCATCTGCATTATTTCCTCCTGAATATTATGTCGATTACCTCCAACAAGCATCAATTCAAAGTGCTATTGGCGCAGAAGCGAAATATTCAGAGTGCCCCGATGCACCCTATGAATTATTTACGAAGACCGGAGACGTAAGCCCCTTTCATGTAGGAGCGTGAGCAATCTAACTCTCATAATCCAAAATACAGGATGCTAGAACATGGCTGCCACAGCTAGGTGCATTAGCTGACTCGAAGTTGAAATTGTTGATATGGGTACATCCGATTCGTCTGATGTAAAACTCCTGATTCGACTTGATGTTCATTCAGGCTGGAGATGCAGATATCAAGTATTTTCATCTTTGATGAAGTTCATCCAATTCCAATTCTCAACTGAATATAGCTGTAACTGGCTCGGTGGACATGCTTCTGTCCTTGCTATGGACTGGTATGGCTCAGCAGAGCTTGCGAACACTTCTTTCACAAATATGACGATCGACGGGACTCCAGTGGCTGCAGTGCAAAACGTTGACAACTTTTCCTTTGCGTGCGTCATTGTCTTGTATTTCATTCACAACTGATATTCATTTATCTGTAATCATTAGGAGAGTGTATGCATCTGGACATGAAGTGGCACGTACTTGATGTAACAATTGCCCGACTTGCGCTGACAACTTGCTTTTCATAGCCTGCGTTCCAACCAGTTGCTGCCCTGGAAATTTTTAAGCAGATAATCAACATGGAGCAATTACACTCTGTCTAGAGCAAGCTTCCTGTGAGTATATGCTAAGAGTTTCCATATCGTACATGAGCTCGAGTCTAACAAGGGATTAGACTGAATCCTCAGCTACAGAACATCGCGCGATTATCAAACCTCCATAAGGGTTTCGAATGGGATTGTTCTTTACTTGCGATGATTATCTGTGCGCTGTACATATGAATCTTGCATTTACTCGAATTTCGATGATTATATGGGTTATAGTCGCGACGCGTCTGTGGCGTGTGAATGTCTATAATAAACGTGATATATTACTCAACATGGCAGCAACGATACTGAGTCGATACTGTCGATACATCTGGAATGAAGTCCAGACTTTATCGACATCTCGGGCTTTCAAGCTTCATCGATCATCGCTCATTTCAGAATTCGCCTAACATCTGGTAAACTTGTACTCAAATGAACCAAAGAATTCTGCGACTATCATGCAGATTGCACGTCAAAACGGCTTCTTATCATATTCGCCAAATCAATCAAAACTGTACCTTGCGACATGAACCTGAGATCCTTGGAAAGCCTTGGAAGTCAATCACTCGAAAGCACTCGAAGAATACTAGTTTGGAATGTTCTCTCATATTTCTTGTCACGGAGGCTGGCACATGGTGGTTGGGGTTGGACAGTGAGAATTCACCCAAACTTTGTCGAAGATTCAATGCTAAAGCTATTTAGCAGCTTCATATTGCCTCTTGAGTTCATTTGTATTTTGGTTCACATTTACCTACTCCTTGTTGCGCTCCGCACTAGTCTACGTTTCAAGATTATAATAAAAATTATAAAGTCAAGCAGACAGACCTATGAGATACATACAAACCCGATTCTTCATAGTGAAAAAGTAAACGTCGAGTGCTGCCCAACTCAAATCTCATTCTACATCATCAGACCCAAGTTCAGATGTAGATCCATCTTCATAAGAATTCTCTTCCTCCGCATCGCTATTAACTTCTTCTTCTTCCGAGTGGATCTCGAAAAAACGCATCTCTTCTGATTCCAACTTGACGACCACTCGCATCCCCGACTCCTCGATGAGGTTTAAAGGAAGATAATGAGTCCCTTGGAAGGGATGTCTGAAGTAGAGCTCTATCGAACGCAAGCACTGAATGCCAACTTTGGAGGCGGCATCTACGTCGGGTAGCCATCGAGACCGTACAGTGGAGATGAACTCCTCGGAGTCGAAATTTTTAGACCTCGACTTTAGAGTCAACGAGCGAAGGCAGGGAAGAATGGGAATGTCTTTATCGGATAAATTTGGGTTCAGAGAACGGCATAGGTGCTTTGAGACGGGAGGGGAATGTTTGAGGGTTTTCCCAATGAGGGGAGGGTCTCTGATTGTGAGTTCTTGTACGGAAGGAACACATTCCAGGAGGTTCACAACATCCACATCAGTCATCAATATACCGTCTAGAGTTAATGTTGTCAGAGTGCACTTGGAGCGAGCAAGGAAAAGTTCTATAGCCAAGGCCGAGATTTCGAAATTTAATTTTCGTCGCTTACTCAGCAAGCCGTATTCGTTAAGCCCAATCGTAAGGGCAGTGAGGGAGGGCGCTATGAAAGAGAGAAGTGTGGCTTGAAATAGCTTGGGTTGACTGGATAAACGAGTCGCGCTGACTTTCAACGACAGAATAGACAGTTTCCGGGGTGGATCAGAAATAAGGTTTTGATCTTCTCGGGACAATGGAATGTCAAGGATCGTAAGGTGTTGAAGGTTGGGACACATCTCGAGCATGTGGTAGAAATCATCGGAGTCTGGACAACATTCCAATTTTGTGATTGAATTCAAGACAGTGGGTTCCAGGGAGAAACCTCCAAAACCGATTTCGAGGCAGCGCAACTTGGGAGCATGAGCGAAAATGCTGAGTGCTCCCTGTTCCTCGTCGCCTTCCTGGAAAATCGAAGCTGTTTCGAGTTCCGGAAGTTGCAATTCCTTTAGACTAGGGTAAAGATGGAGTAGGAGAAGATATACTGAGAAGTCGACGGATTTCCACCGAAAGGAAGACCGTGCGAGTTTGGCGAAGACTGGATGTTCGCCGTTCACCCATATTAGGCTGGCATCAATCCTCACACTGAGGAGCTCTTGTTTCGAACGTTCGAGGTAGATATCCAGAATACATTCGAGCTGCCGGTAAAACGTGTTGACTCTAGCCTTCGCCTGAGGGGGGTCATCTGCATCACTCTCATAATCCGAGTCCTCAGGATCGCCGCCAAGAAACACCTCAAATTGAGACCAGAGTGTTGGATACGATAAGGCCAGTTCGCGCCATAGACTGCACACAGCGCTAACATGCATTGAGTACCTACGCTTTGGGTCTATGATGCTATTCTTTGTGCAGGTGTAAGTGAGGATTATGACCAACAGCTCGTTCGGAATTCGGTTAATTGGTGAAATGGGTTGAAGCATCCTGCTCTGTGAGGGCAAGCTAATATGGCAATTACTCATGTCCTATATATCCGGGGCGCGGTCAGTTAAATCAGTAGGATAGATTTGAGTAACATCTACTCGCAGTGCGCAAAGTTCGTGGACGGGTGAAAAGGAGCGGCGCGTGACTATGCCGGTCTCCTCTAGAAATCTAAAGGCTTTAGATTTAGTCATTCGACCGTCAGAAAACGATATCAGTTATATCCAATTATCGTATTATTCCAACAGTGGCTGATGCCTTGATTGGTAAAAAATGCTAGCTATAGTATCTGTAGTAGTGCTACGACAATCTAAACTTGAACTCGAAATTTCTTTGAGGAGCTTGGGCCACTGATGTTCTCAATTGCGGTGTCGTTTTTCTCTGACTCCGCAGATATTTCAAGTTGCGCGATCATGTTCTGATCCTTGTCCGACGTCGTGATTGTAGGTTATTGCCTTCTTATAGCGGCCTCTCCTACGGAAACATGGCACTTCTGCCAAGGGTGCAAAGTTTTTGGTTAACGGTCTTGTAGTGCACGAAGAGAATGCTCGGAGTTGTAACCTACTTTCGGATGTTTGACTCTAGAACTTCGGTGATGAGTAATTTCCACGTGGTGTGAGCGAGCCGCCAAAAGTGAGGAGGACGATTTTAGCCAACTGCCGCTGAGAATCCTCTAAATCCGGTCTTTGGGGCTGGCAAGCTAGCCTTTAAAGCTTCTGCTCGTTCTGCGCTCAACATCCCACCTTTCTTGCGATCTTTGCTTGCTTGCTCTGCTCTCTCCTTTGGAGTGAACGTTGAATAGGAAATACAAGGCAACCACAAACGGATAACAGGGCGGTGTCCGCCAGTCAAAGAACAAGGAGATTGGATCAATCGTGATATAGAGACGATAATTTCTCTCGATAATTCCTTTTTTTTCCAACCAACATCATAGTGTGTCCTTCCATTTCAAAAATTGGCCCGGATCATATCGTTTCTCTTACCTGCTACCAATCTACTAGCAGCGAATTCAATTGAAGGAAATGCCTGTCGTTGAAGAAGACCGAGACAAGGAGGAGAGGAATACTAAAAAGCTGTCTCCATCGGGACCCAGTGCTGCGACAAAAAGTATGTTTTTTTTCAGAATTTTTCTTTTCTTCGTCTCCTGATGTACCCATTTCGTTCCAATTAGCTAAAGATCTATCTCACGTCCCGTGTAAATTCTACAAAGTTGGCTCTTGTACAGCCGGCTCCTCTTGCCCTTTCTCTCATAGCGGAGTTTCTGGCCCAGGTGCTCAGAAGGATGTTTGCGCATGGTTCGTCAAGGGGAACAACTGTAAATTTGGACACAAATGTGCACTGGCGCATGTTCTTCCTGGCCAAAGTATGAGTATGGACAGAAAGAACAAAAAGTTAGCGCAACAGCAGGCTCAAGCTGGAAAGGAAGGTAAAGAAGGCAGAGAAGGCAGAGAAGGAAAAGGACGCCGAAGGGACACCCAAGGTCCATTTTGCCTATTTTCTTTCCTCCTCATAGTTACTCATGTTTGAATGTATCACAGCTCGACCTCCTACGACTCTATCTCTCAAATCCCTCAAAGCTTCTATTTCACCATCTGCCCCTGCACCTGCTTTGAACGACACCGATTTCACATCCTTCAGTGCTTTAGAACCCGACAAAATGCCCGCTGCCGCACCAGCCGCCAACGGTAAACCACAGCAGCAGCAATCGAAATCTGACTCAGTGGAAATAACTCCGTCGTCCCCACCAAAGAGGGACTTTGGTCCCATCGGATCTCCTCCAAGGAACACCGAACCTGTGAGCGCATCTCCGGGAACGCCGACGAACAAAATACTGTCATCGTCTCCCTACAAGCACTCGATGCTTCGTAGCTCGTCTGGTGTGGGTGCTAGCGGTACCTCGGCCACCGCGCGCCCTGGACTGAGTATGAATCGTTCTACATCTTCAGGGAATTCGGGAGGGCTTACTCTTGGCGCTGGTATTCCCGGCGGCAAAAATCCGTCATGGGGAAGTATGGGGAACGGTTCTGATATTGGCTCTCTTCCTTCTCTTCCGTCCGCCCTGCTGCGCCCATTGAATGGCGTTCAGCCTCACACTCCCCTTACGCCAACTTCTTCTACTGCGCAGCAAAGCAGCAAGGACTTCGATTTAACATTCGAGTACGACGAATACCTAGGCAATGGTCCAGGGCGTGCAACTCCAGGACGAGGCGCGTCTTCGTTCTCTGAGGTTATCGTCGAAGACGATCTCGACGGTCTGGACGACTTCTTGCCGAGTTCGTTAACCGACCTTCTTACTCCCGAGGAGCGTAAACGTAGATTGTCGCGAAGCAACTCGTCTTCACATCAGGACACTCATAGTGGGCTCACGTCTCCTCATAGCTACAGCTCCCGACGTACGCTGGGTGTTCCTCTTGCTTCACGTATCGAGGGAAACTCCTCTTCAGGAGGTAGTACACCTGGCCACAGATATTCACGTTCCGTCCCGATGGGTGATATGAGCCACCTCTGGGCCAACCAGGATCAGAACCCCATTCCAAGTCCTAACGCAAATCCTACCAATATCTCATCCTCATTCACCGGACCCTCTTCTTTGTCTGTTAATGGTACTGTTGGTGGTGGACTACCCAGTTCTCCCCCCCGCCGCATTGGCAACGGTACTCCTGGATCGTTCACTTCCGCCTCTGGACGTCTCGCCGCAGATGACTATTACCCATACACTGGCGGTAGTGGGTCACCTGGCTCAGCTGCTTTGGCAGGTATCGGAAGTTTAGGGGGGATGGGTGGTTTAAACCCTAGCAATGCTAGTGCTGCTTTCCTTCCTGGATACGGATTCGGTACAGCATACATCAAGGCTAAGAGAGAACGTGAAGCCGCCGTTGCCGCAGCGGCTGCTAATGTTATCGGAGCTGCACAACGAAGTGTAAGCGGCGGAATTCTTACGAACAGTAGGATGTCCGCTGGCGCAGGTATGCCTGGAACGTCGCCAGGTAGTAGCAGTATGGCGTTTGGTACACCACGTAAAGAGCCTACAGGTCTTACCACCGCTGCTCCGTTTGGTGTAAGTTCACGAGACATCAGCGGAATAGGAAGCATGGGAATGAGTGGTGTGGGTCTAGGAGCCATGAATAGCTTGGAAACTGCCGTGTCACCTTCTACCAGATCTGCTTTACAAAGTCATGCTCCTGGCCAGAGTCTGCCTCAGGGCCTTGCGGCGGGCTTATCAAGGATACACGCGAAGACCTCGCAAGTAGGCTCTTTGTCCTCGGTAGGAAGTCCGCCTGCAGGCAGCATTGGTGTGTCTCCTGGTGTTGCCGGCCTTGGGTTCTATAGCGGGCCGTACGGTACGAATCGCATGCCTAGCCACCAGTCACAGCCGCAAGTCCCCCCTGGCCTGGGGCTTGGTTTGGGCTCAGGATACTATGTAAATTATCAGCAAACGGCGTCGGAACAACCAGCTTCTCAGCCCGTGCACCATCAATCTCAGGCTCAATCACATGCACAATATAACTCTCTTAACCCCACTTTCAATTCCAACTCGCAGACTCCCGATGCTGGGACAAATGGTTCGTCAGAGTTGGACGTGATGTTCTCCAAACTCGCTTACAAACCCTCAGTGCAAAATTCAGCTCAGATGTCCGCTCCCTTGTCCTATGCTGGGGCTGCTTCTACCCAATCAACTTCTGGCCCGGGGACCCAACCAAAGTCCATCGCTGCTGGGGCTGCTCGTAATGTCAGTGGCGGAGCACACGACGACGATCTGTTTGACATGGATGAAGCGTGATATCTGCAAGGAGGAGTAACTGCAGAACCAATGAAATTTTGTAAAAGTACCTATTTACCTCTCCACTGATTAAATATTGTTTACTGTCAACCTTGGTGTTGTGTGTACGTGTGTACTCGTTTACCCCTTGGACTGTAACTGTTTTTTCCGCTTCTTCTGGTACTTATTAACTAACACGTCTTTGAACAAATTCCCTTCGTATATCTTGTTTTACTATATCACTATATTACTTTCTCGATTCATCCTCTTTGCCTTTCTCATTGCAACTGACTATTGACTATGTTTTCTTGCATTTGATACTCGCATGTATGCAGTGTACACACTCCCTACTTATCTATTCTCCTTCGAGTTGCCCTTCGATGTTATTCTCTATAAGTAATGTTAATGACGACTATGATCTCTACAAACATCTAGGCCTCCTAGCACCCTCATGACCTTGGATATTCAGATGCACAATTGGCATTTCAAGGATATTTTCTTCTCAAGTCTGGCCGTGCGAAATTCGGGCTTACGACAATGAGGTGAAAGGCTTTCTCATGAGATGTGAGACATACCCTCTTCCTGGTTCAGAGAGCGATGCGCAAAGGGGCAAGTTCATGCTGTAAGGGCCACTAGCGGAATGAATGAGGCGGATGAAATAGGAATCACAGAGAAAGACGATATGAATGATCCCCCGCTTGATGCTGTATACTGACATTGACCTAAATCGAGCTTCACGAATTATTCTTAGGTGTCTATATGTAGACACTTGAACTTGTATAGTATGGATATTATCATCCCTCCTACGAGATCTCAATCTAGTTGCAATTACCAGAAAAATACCGATCCTGCACATTCCGATACTTTAATCATCGTTTTGACTGGTCCCGAGGTGTACCGCTGTGTCCGGTTCTTGCCAGCGTAAGTGGGGACCGCAATGGTCAGTGGTGGTCAGTGGGCTGCTCGGAGTCAAGGACCGAAGGATCTGAATAGACAGAGAGGGGATTGAAAAACGGAACCGGAGAAGCAATGCAATGACTTCGCGACGTGAAAGAGTGACACCCCAACACATGTGAACGTTGTATATTTAGGCAATCGTATGTGGCTTGCCTTATCAACCTTGTTATCGATTACTCGATATGAAAGATTCCTCTCAGGATATTTTCTGATAGATAAGTTCTGTCCAAGTTGTAAATTGTAATCAGATAAGATGAGAGAATATCAGATATCCTCAAGCTCACCTTTGATTATCACCTTCTTCGCTGCAAGTAGAACCCGCCAAATTAATACTATCCCAGATTTCTAAGGGAGATTGGGCCTACCAAATGTGTGTACACGATAGAAGCAGCTTTATCTATTTGCAAGGGTTCATCACAATTGGTCCCCAAACTGCAGGACGACTTCTCTGCACTTCATCCGTTGATTATTCGGCAGGAGCTGGCAGGAGCGTTCATGCAAGAAAGCAAAAAGGTTAGCTTTATTTGAAAGATTCGTCCCATGACTGTACGTATGAAAGCACGACAATGGGCATGGTTAGTTAATAAAAGACCCTTTGCATTTTACATACACCCAATATCCCCTCATATCGACATGCCTGACGCCAAAGGTCAAGGTTTCGATTACCATGATACATTGATCATCGCCCATGGTATGTATGATGTTCATGAACAAAACGTTTACTTACCAGAATACATTTGCTGTGTTTTTTTGACAGCGGTCTTCGCATCGATGGCCACACTCATTACTGCCCCAGCTGCCATCCTCGTCGCGCGCTACTTTCGCTCGCGTGCCTGGTGGTTCAAGGCCCATGTCGTCCTCCAGACTCTGACTGTTGTATTCACAGTCATTTTCTTCACGCTGAGCACCGTCGCTGTCGCTAGTGGAGGCCACGGTACACAGTTCGTAGGCCCAAAAAAAGATCCACACCACGACTTGGGTCTCTCCGTCGTCATCTTGCTTTGGGTAGAAGCCATATTCGGCATTGCTGCTCACTACACGCACACAGAACATTCGAAGACTCATAGCGCATTCCCGACGATCAAGGCTAGGAAAAGTCCTTTGAGACATCTTCACGCCTGGTATGGTATTTTTGTGGCCGGCTTACTTTACGCAGGGATGAAGACTGGGATTGACGAGTGGAATATGGTAGCCGACTCTGGAACGTTGGTGCCCAGCGGTATTCAGATCGCGTTTTGGGTGATCTTCTCTCTGGAGATTGCTGCGTACGTTATCGGATGGACTTTGGAGGCATTCCGTGGTAAATCGAATCTGCGCATGATATCGGACCACTCTACAGACGAAGATAAAGATGGATCTCCTTCCATCTGACGGTGGCGGAATGGTCAAGAATAAACATTATGGGATAGGATAAAAGAAATGACAAGAATATATGGTTGAGCGTACTAATACTATTGGAGCCTCGTTTGTAGTAGTACATATAGTGTTTCTTTTTTATATCTACTTTGTTGTTGAGTCAACAATCATACGAGTGAAAACATGCAAGGCATACCAAATATCAAGGCCTTAGGTTAAGAGTCAAACAAGAACGCGCGACCAGCTAATCGAGGTTTCATTAATGCTGAGAATAGTTGCACATATGTCAGCTTATTACCTTGCTTCACCTTCGATTGTACTGCATGATCTTCGATATGTGGCCCCGTCTACGTAAGGCGGGCAATTTAAGATATGGTCGAAGTTACGAACGCGAATCTTACAGATATGGACTCCCAACAATCCTGAGTTCAAATTTCCCAAAAACTCTGCAATCACGGCAAGATCCCAAGGCAAAGATTGTTTGGAATGGACAAAGGACAGGCTGAACCTGCGCAATGACGAAGCCTCGGAGAGGAAGTCCAAATCGAAATCGCCGTGCCAAGGATCAGTCGGCAGCTACAAAATAATCAGCATCATATCCTAGATTGCAAGGCAAACGACTCGCCCTTTCTGGAGTTATCCATTTCACGGACGTACACAACAATGAAAGGTGTTCGACTTGGGGTAGGAATTTCAAAGCGGCATTTGCTGCTGCGGGCGAATCGCAAATAATCTTCAAAAAAGATAATGCAACGGCATCTCGTTTACCACCACTCACATCCCTGGAACCAAATTTCTTCAAGTGTTGCAACGTCGGATCTTCCGATATCATATCGGTGGTAAGAGGGCCGCCAGGGAAAGGAGAATGCACGAATACTTCGAGGACGAGTGAAGAGAGTCTTTTGGACCCTTGCGCGAGGGATTGCAGAAGGATAGAAGGACCCTTATAGGTCGTTAAATTCGGAAGATTTGCTTTTACGTTAATGCTATATTGTGCGCAAAAATGTCCAACACATTCTATGAAAAGGAGTTCCAAGGACGCAAGCTGTGAAAGAAGGACCTCAAAAGTGTTGGAAAGAATGTCGGGCCAAGAAATGCCCAAGGTAAAGGAGGTAAGGCATTGGGGAAATAGAATCTTGGATATCGAGAAATGACCTTTTGCCATGCCAAAATCCTTAGTGATAAGTGTTGGTGCGTAGACCTGCACTTTTTCGACATTTTTTAGTTGAAATAAAATGTCTTGTAAGGAATTGGTATCCGGTGACACAAACGTTGGGCTACGTGGGATAAAAGATTAGGATTTAACAGCGAAGAGAACGAGCAACTTTTGAAGAAACTTACAATTGATCTGATTTGACTATTATCACTTCAAAGACTCGTATTAGCTTTGCGTAGCCCGCATTCGCGTCAACCAACGTTCTATGCAGGCTTTCGAGAGCGTAGATTTTCGTGATCCAGATTGAGTGGTAAAGTGAGCGGAGCCCCAGCTCGTGAAAATGCTTCGATACTCGTAGAAGAACAGCACGGTCGGAAGTAAGACAGGTATTGAAAATCATCACAATCAGCTCGTTCGGGAGTCCTGGAATGTTCCTCGATAAATTTCGTTTTCGTCTTGTAGCATGGCGAGCCATTGAATGCTCTTTTTCTCCTAAGCTATGGCTTTGCTGTAAACTTTGAAGTTGGAGCAGGCAATAAGCGCTAAGCGCTTAATCGAACAATTCACGTAAAAGGCGCGTACTCCTCACATACCTGGAACGGCCACCTACAAAGTTATGAGCCATCCTTCTCTTACTGCTTCTTATTTACCTGGTTCCTCCAAATCGTACGGGCACGACTGGTCGCAGGATGCACTTGGAGGAAAAATTCGAGTTTCTGGCAGACATTTCATTGATAATTACGGACGTGTATGCGGGCTGCGGGGTGTAAATCTCTCAGGATCATCAAAGTCTTCTTCGAACCACAACAATGACACCTTTCCTTCTGAGGCAGAGACGGTCACATTTATTGGCAGGCCGTTTCCCCTTGAAGATGCTCCGGAGCATTTTGCCAGGCTCAGAAGATGGGGACTGACTTTTAGTGCGTAGCGCTCATAATTACGCTTCACTGAAACTACGGGGATTGATATACCTACTTACAGTAAGGTTTTTGGTGACTTGGGAAGCTGTAGAGCATGCTGGCCCGTGAGCTTGCTTGTCAGACTGCTGTTTTCCAGCTCGGATAACAATTCCCTCTTCTAGAGGCATCTATGACACTGAATATCTTGAATATATCCGGAATCTTCTAACTTTACTTCCGCAGTACGGAATAATTGCATTTGTTTCTCTTCATCAGGACGTATGGTCTCGATACTCGGGTGGTTCTGGGGCACCTGCTTGGACTCTGGAGACTGTTGGGTTTGACCTGCATGAACTAGAATCTACAGGAGCGGCGTGGCTGAAAGGTGTTCGAGGAGGAGGACACCTCGAAGAAGAAAGAGGATTATGGCCGTGTGGGTATCAAAAGGTGAGAGTGCATTATTTCATAAACTGCCATCCGAATTGAGTATTTTCGTCAGCTAGCCGCCGCGACTATGGCGTAAGCGTATACTCCACGTATCACACTCAATGCGCTTACAAGACTACTCTCAGAACATGTTTTTGGGCTGGAGATGCGTTTGCGCCCAAATTATTGACAAAGGGCAAACATGGAGACCCTATTTCCGTTCAACAATTCCTTCAAGATGCTTACCTTGACATGAGCGAAATGGTGGTCAAAGCTGTTGGTGACCTCGAAGGAGTTGTTGGGTTTGAGGTAATTCGCCCTTCCAATGCAAATCATTCGAGTCTTGATTTTGTCAGATGATGAATGAACCACACCGTGGATATGTAGAAATTCCATCTCTACATTACTTTGATTATAACACCGATCTTCATCTTTCCGCCGTTCGTAAGCAGTCCTGCGTCTTTCCTTAAATCTTAGGATACTAATCCACTCATGTCTAGCATCTGCTCTGGAGTCTTTCCAACTCGGAGCTGGTCGGCCAACTGAGGTCGCCGTATGGACGCGATCTTTTCCTATGCCTACGCGTAAAACTGGGCACGTTGTGCTTAATGTAGATAAGCGCAAAGTCTGGAGAGAAAACGGACCGACGAAGGGACAATGCTTATGGGAGATGCATGGTGTATGGGGTTGGGATAAGAATAAGAACGAAGCAATTGTATTAAGAGAAAGCTATTTTGGAAAACACCCTACGAATGGGAAGAAGGTGTTTTCCTATCTTTGTACAATGTTCTATAAACGTTGACGTGCCCTTGTGATTAGATCGACTGGTACACAGATTTTTACTACCCATTCCTGAATAAATGGGCAGAGCGTATGCGAAGAGCTTCGTCCCCCGACAAGATAGTCTTTCTAGAGATGATTCCCAACGAGGTGTGTTATCTATGACCTATAATTGAATTTTGACCGAATTGGTGCAATTAGTTTTGCCCGCCGTCTTTCACTAAAGGTCACCAGCCACCTAACATAGTCTATGCACCTCATTGGTACGTGCTTGAGCCTTGTGTTCCTGAGATCATTATAAAGATTAACGTTCTATAGGTACGACCTCAACGCGCTCTTCACAAAAGCATTTGGCAATTTCACGGTCAATGTACAAGGACTTTCAAGGGTATGTGTTCCACGTATCATCTGTGCCCTCAATGACCTGATTATCTTCTTCAGGGGATGTTCCCCCTCAAAGCTTTCTACTGGGGTCATAAAGGCGCTAGAGACAATTTTGCGTTACAGATACGTAATATTGTCCAGGAGGCCTACCAAGTGCTCGGTGAAACGCCCGTCATCATTGGGGAGTGCGGTATACCTATGGATATGAAGTGAGTTATTCTCGACTCGCCTTACCTCTTCTAACATTTTCCAAATCCATAGCAATGGGGAAGCGTTTCAAACCGATGATTTTACGTGGCAGGCGAAAATGATGGACGCGATGTTAGTGGGACTGGAGAGGGCAATGGTCGGTTTCACGTGAGTTGAATTCTGAAGCGCATGTTTCGAATGTGCTCATTTCACCCCAGCTTATGGAATTACAATCCACATAATACCGACCTTGCGGGGGATGACTGGAACGGAGAGAATTTCTCTTGGTTTAGTCGAAGTCGGGCTCTTCCCCGGGAATTGTTATACCATGAACAATCTTCCGCATCATTGGATAACGGTGGCCGGATTCTTTCTGCGGTAGTGCGCCCATATCCTGCCAAAACAGCGGGGATACCATTGAAATTTGAGTATGAAGTTACTTCAGGATCTTTCATGTTTAGGTGGTGCAATCCCGACACCCACACGAATTATTCAAAAGCTATTAATTGGGCGCCGACTGTGACCGAGCCATCACGATCTCATCCAGAAGTCAAGGCTCTAGAAACGGAAATCTTCTTACCTTCCTTGATTACACATGGGAGGTCTGTTGTCGTTTCAGGACTCGACGAAGACGACTCGTATGTCTACGATGAAGCGAGACAGACTTTGTTCATTGTTGCGAAAAACACGCAGCCTGGAAGCATACACGAGGTCCGGGTAAAATTGGCTGCATTAGAGGGCTTTAGAAGTAGGCCGCTGTTGTTCGAGGTCAACGACATCTGGAGTGACTTTGGTATGGGTGTCTGTGCTTTAGTCGTATTGTTTTCTGCGTTGCTGCTGGGAATGTCTGGAATTGGGGAGCAGCTTTTGCGGAGGGTGGAGCTTATACTATAGATACACTCTTAAGACTGTTCATTAGCTCTGAAAATACTATCGTAGGTACTATCAGCAGGTACTTAGGACTTGGAACTAATGTTTCAGTAATGGGAAAATGTGTGCCACCGGCTATGTTGAATGGCCGTGCCTGCCTTTTTCTTTGCCTTCATCTCGTCCATTTCACTAGCGGCGGAATGCTCGATCCTTCGTCGACGGCCCCTCCCCCGGATCAACTTTTACAACCTCCACCGAAGCAAAAAAGGTCGAGTGTAGCTTGCAGGCGATGTCGAAGGCTTAGAGCCAAATGCGTGAAGGAGGAGAGAGATGGGGGCCTTTGTAGAGGTTGTATTGATGCTGGAGTGCCAAATGAGTGCGAGTTCTTACCTCGAGGCATGAGCGCCATCGACAGGGCAGTAAGTTTAATACCAGGTCTTGCTTTTCCTTCTTTGGTTGATCCTTCTTTAAGCCTCGCCCGGCTCAACGTCGCAAGCGACAGCGACGAGACATTTCTGCTGATCAGTATGTTGTTTCTTTTCACAGAAAACTCCTTACTAATAGATGATATATCCAGCGTTCCACGTCTGTTGCTTCCATCTATGTAACTCTACTTGCTGATTGGTATGTGTGCCTCGCTTTACTTAATCGAATGTCTTGCTGAACTGGCACAGTTTGTTAGCTTTCCCTCAAGTCCACGCTGTCGTTAATGGCATCTGCTCTTGTTGTCAACAAACAGTCCCTTCGACATTGGGATCAATCCCTAATGACCAGCCAATCTCGCCTGTTGCACACGAGGACCTGTGCGTTATGCTGAATCTGCCATCCCCTCAACTTCTGATTCAAATTACAGTCTACCTCCTCAAGATGGACTCGTCGATGCCTGCGAGTGGTTTTTCACTACATACTTTCAACTTGGTTTCCTTCACAAGCCAACGTTCATGCATACACTGATCACTGCCCCGCAATCTATCAGCACATTTCTTCTTCTCTCTATGCTCTCCATCTCAGCACGATTTTCCCCCCGGTTGATTGAACGGTACGGATCCGGAGCCGCTGCCGCTGATGTCTTTGCTCGTCAAGCTCAGAAGCTCGCTGGCGAGGAGCTGGCCGGAGCTGCGACACTCGACAGAGCACAAGCGTTCTTTTTGTGTAGTATCTGGAATTGGGGTAGTGGGTACCGAGATCGTTCTTGGGTGTGTTACTCGACTCTGTGTTTAAAGCATCTCTAAACTTTACTTTGTTGGTTGAAAGATTTATCTGGGAGTTGCTGCTCGCAGTAAGAGTCCACAGTAGCAACCATTATGGTCATCCTCACTTACCCTTTTCAGTGGCATCCATCCTCAAGCTATCTCAAGAATCATCTTATAATTTGGGTCCCGATGCAAGTGTAGAAGCAGTAATTAGTGCCGAAGTATCTCGTCGAACCTGGTGGGTGATCTTCAGTAAGTCCATCTATCTCTATTTTCAATTTCGTAATTTATCAAAATATTTACAGTGAGCGACAATCTTCTGAGCTCGGGCTGCGGCCGGCCAGTTGCTTTTGATCTGGACCAGGTTACTATACCCCTACCTTTGGACGAAGATTATTTCTCTTTTGGGTACCAAGGCCCTGCTACCGTTCTCCCTGGCACCAACGCCGAAGCGAGGCCGCGTTCATTACATCAAGCTCCCTTCAATGCACCCCAGATTGATCCCCAGTTGCAGTCCCAGTCGCACCCACCCTCGCCAGGATCCCCAGCTAACCCGAATCTTAATGAACCTTGCGAGCGTTCCTTGTATGGTAATCTTATCACAATAGCAGAAATATGGGCACGAGTGGCTAGGAGTGCACTGGTGCGGTCACAACCACCCGGTACTCCTGCGCCTCCCTCCGCCAATCTTGCACCTTGGCATCCAGAAAGTGATTATATAATCATCAAGGAACTCGAGGCTTGGGAAGCATCTCTCGGTCCTCGCCAAACCTGGAGTATGAGCAATCTCTTGGCATATCAGTCAAAGAACTTAGATATGGTGGGTTTTACACTGTTTATTAATCTTATCATACTTGAACTGTCATACAGGGTTTTAGGGGAATCTTCCTCTTCATGCACCTTGCCCACATCGTCATGAGGCGGTCTTATCTCCCTATGTTGGCGCATGATGTGCAAAACGGCCAGTCTTCCTCTATTCGAACTGCCTTTAATGATGGCCAGTCTCAACCTCCCCCGGCACATTTCTGGGAAACGATGGTGCATGACATGTTTGCACATGCGTTCAAAGCTATTGAACTTGTGAAAAGCTGGGTACCCACCAGACCTTTTTCGAGAGGGTGTACGCCGATGATGGTGAGTTCATCTCATATGTCGAAATCCTGTTCAGAATGTCAAGAATACTTCACTGAATAGGGATTTTCACTATTCATGGCTGGGTCTGTGTTGGCGTACCTGAGAAAATGGAAATGGCGTGAGTCGAATTCCCTTTGCCCTGTCAGCTTGTACTAAAGTACTATCTACTTTTGGAGTTTGTCTAAGTCTGTATCCCTACACTGAAGCTGCAATACAGAATGCACTTGATATGATTGCAGACATAGCTGTTATATGGCCGCAAATGGGCTCGCAATGGCATACAGCCCTGACTAAAACAGCTGCAGAGTTAGGACCTCCTGATTCGATGTCGCTCGACGGACAACGCAACCGCGGAGTTGAAGGGCTCGGACGAGCAGCAGAAGAAGACCTCATCGCAGATCAAAGAGAAGGAATGTACAGGCACAAAAGTATGGAGGCATTTGAAGAAAAGGCTAAGCAACAGCAGGAGGTATGTTACATACCAGTAACCTTTTGAACACGAATTCACTCGACTGAGTAGCAAAGCTCGCCCGTTACACCTGCCTCCGATCTCAGTGGCTTACTAAATCGTCGAGACGTGGAGCTCCCTCCTACCGGCGCCAGTCGGACCCGTTCTGAATCCACCTCATCCGTTCAAAACACCAAACAAACTCACGATACCCATATGCTATACTCCCTTGCAACCGCTGCCAGTATGGATCAAAAAATGGAACCAGGTAGTAGCTTGCCACAACCTCCTATACCTTCTCCAACTTCCGCCTCTACTCCAGCACCGAATGGGTACCATCCCGGACATCCAGCACAAGGTATTAATGTTCTTCCACCGACATACCTCCCTACCAGCGAAAATGGACCAAATTCCGTGCCAATGGACTGGAATAATTTTCAAACCGATATCGCCACGTTGTTACAGAACGATCTAAGCAACCACTTGGAGCAAGGCGGGAATGGTTGGGCTTTTTGAGTGGCCTTAATAGCGAAGATGGAAATGTGACAGAATGATTTGAGCAAACACTTGGAGCAAGGCTGGAATAGCTGGGCATTTTGAACGGCTTTGGATAGTTGAGCTGCAGGATCCATATGTGGATTCAAATAAATTAAAGTAACTTTAAGCCCTAGTCGTTCATTATGTTCGACTTCGTTGCTCTGACTTTTCTCTTGTAATCCTGTTCTTGTACCTGGCACTCCATGTATGACGTATCGTACCAATTTCTGTCATGTATTTTTTACAAACGTTGAAGCGCCCTGGCGCCAAAATGGCATGAGCTTCATCTGTTACCATTCGGAGATTTCAAGCTTGAGCCTTGAAGCACTCTCTAAAGTAGCTCGCTTGAACTACAAAACACGCGACCGCCCGCTGGAGCTCTGCCACGTGCAAATACACATTCCTTCCAGCCAAGTCATACTTTCTTTCCCCTAGGATACCGAAATTTAGGGCTCTCTAAGCTTATGCCCAGCTTATTCGATGTACTTGGGAAGGTATGGTGTGACCAATGCTCCGTGACTCAGGTACATTGCTGAACTACCAAAAGGTTCTTATATACGGACAAAGACTCTGCATATATCCATCTGCGTTCGACTCCGAAGATGAGAGAAGTGCAGCAATTTCCTCCCTCAAAATCTCCGAATCCAACTCAACGGCTTGCATCACACAGCTTTCAATCTGTCCCTTGACAATCCAGGAGTCGAAGATGTAACATTAATCACTTCCGACAAAGTTACTCTTAAATGCTATCTTTTGCGCGCGTCGCACGATAGATCGCGCACAAGTTTGCCTGATCTGCGAGTGAGATTGACCCACCATGAAACCAAATTCTCGTTCCTCATTCATGACATCCACTTTCTAGCTGTCTATCCGTACCGTAACACCCTCTGTCGTTCCTCGTGCAATCATTATCATGTTTCATGGCAATGGTTATCATGCCTGGCTCCATTTATCCAGTGCAAAACGATTTCTTCGACTTGGATGTGACGTCTTAGTGGTGTCTTATCGAGGGTGATATTAATGCCGACGTTCCTTCTTTCTATTTTGTCCAATTTATATCCTCTGCCAGATATGGACATTCATCTGGGAAACCGTCTGAAAAGGGTGCGTCGTGTGCCACTCCTTCTGCCTTTGCATTAAAGTATGTTTAGGGCTTCGAAGAGACTCCCAAGCAGCACTCGAGTATGTTCTCGCCGACGCTGAACTTTCCAAATCACGTATCGTAAGTTTCTCGAGCAGTAATCTTCCCTCTTCGGGCTGTTTATTTGCTTACCCTTAGGTTTTACACGGACATTCACTCGGTGGTGCAGTAGCTATAGACCTTGCTGGTCGGAATCCCGACAAGGCACTCATAGTCTACATGTATGACAATGATTGACTGACGCAAATTTCTGACTAGATCTCTGGACTCATTGTTGAGAACACATTCCTTTCTATACCTCTTGTTGCCAAAGAAATCCCTGGCATTCGACATTTGACGTTCATCATTCACCAGAGATGGGAGTCGTATAAACGGATATTGAAGATACCCAAACACATTCCAATATTAATGCTATCCGGAAAGGAGGACGAGGTGGTTCCCGAATGGCACATGCTAAAACTTTGGGAGCTAGCGGGGATGCGCGGTGAGGGAACGGATGTGAAGAGATCTGGGTCGGAAGGAGAGGAAACGCATCCGAATTGTGGTAACGATATGTTTAAGAGCATAGCTGGAGGAACTCATGGTGAGTGTCATTCTGAATCATTATATTCAACACATGTAATTCATTACATGGCCTTCAGCGGATACATGGACGCGGTCAGGTTACTGGTCAACAGTGCGCACCTTTCTGGAAAAACTGAACACATAAATTTATGTGTCACCTAAACACATGACGACACTGAGCCCCCAGGCAGGCCCTCGGTGCTCGCTCAGAAACAATTCTGCGATCAAGTGTAATCTTGTTGCAAAAGATGCGAAGACGGAGTTCTGAGCGGTTCTCGCAGGGGGAGGACATCCTGAACTTATCTAGCGGGCCTTGGTCGCTGACGTGATAAGATAAGATATGATTAGATATGAGTGGGGGCATACATACAAATTACAAATGACTCTGAGGGATGCCTTGTTCGGATCGTGACAAGTCCTGCTGTGCAAATTAATCGTGCTTAGCTTTCTTTCTATCCATGGCGGACCCGATTTCTGCCATTAGTTTCGCCGCGCAAATGTTCTCTATGGCGATGGATGCTTACAAGATATTTCGAAAAGCTCTTGCGTTTCCAGACAGTGCCGAGAAGTTGGTTTTGAGATTAAAGGTGGAATATGTCCGACTACAGCTTTGGGGCAGAAATTCTGGCTTGGATCGAGGGTACCTCCCCCTTCAATTTCAACCATTTGAGGATGTCGTTCTTGATTTACTAAAAAGGTTGACGATGCTTTTTCAGGATAGCGCCAAATTGCGGGAGAAGTATGGATTAATGTTAGTAGACGAGTTGGACAAAATCCCGGAAAACTTCGGCACTTCGGAGGCTCAGAGGACCGCATCATTCTTTCGAATCAAAGAGGCATGGAGGGGTATCGCCAAACTTGATCGTGTTAGGTCTGGTACACTATTATCGCCTACTTCTTCTAAAACAAGGCATTCAGGGAAAAGCACAGGTCGTGAAGACAACTCTGCTTCTATGACAAGTCGCCTCCGATGGGCAATCTCCTCCCAGTCCCAGTTTGAGGCACTCATCCTCGAAATTCGAGGATTCACAGATAGCTTAAACAACCTGCTCAAAGAATCCCAACAACTCACCTTGCTCCGGGACTGGGATAGAGTCCAACTTGACATGCTGTCGAGGGTTGAAGACATTGGAAGCCTGCGCTTGGTGCAAGATGTCACCGAAGGATATTATGAGTGCGAAGGGATTTTCGACATGGCCACGCGCAAGGCGATAGTGGTAGCAGATGAACTTCCCACTGGGCTATCATTGGGTGACCAGACTGTAGACTTCGCGGATTCTGCTCAGGTTGTTAATAGTAGCCGCTCAATCGCGGTGATGCAGAAGGCCGATTTTGATCTTCCAAACAACTTTCCCGAGGTCGCGCGATGCCTTGCTCGTTATCGAAATTTGGAGCATCCATCAAGTTTGGTTCTCATCGAGAAAAAACGTTATCCTGCTGAGCTTTCAGCAGAACATCGCGAGTTATTGCGTGTCCGAATCAAAGCTCTTATCCACTTATTAAATTGTTCCCGTCAAGACCGACAAAGTCTTCCTTTGTGCTTGGGATACTGGCACGATCTCGAGGATTCTTGCTGGTGTCTTGTTTACAATATACCCTTACCGCTCCCAGGCGACGGAACCGTTCGTCAGATCCAGTCATCTGTCCAGCTTCGCACATTGCTTCACTTCATTCGCGATCCTGCGGTCCGGCCACCCCTAGAGCACCGAATACAACTAGCAAGTTCTATCGCCAGAGTCCTGTCTCGTTTGTTTGGAAGCCAATGGCTTCATAAAAGCATACGGAGTGATAACATTGTCTTCATTAGGCGTGGGGACCGCCAATATCTCTTGACCGATTCACCACTAATTTTTGGCTTCGAATACTCCAGACGGTACACAGAAGCCAGTATCGACCTGATCAATATGGATCTTGCTCAATCTATTTACCGTCATCCGGAGTACCAAGGTAATCAAAGAGATAGGAAGAAATATCGTATGGCATACGATGTCTATTCTTTTGGTTTGATGTTGGCTGAAATAGCATTGTGGACACCCCTGCTTACAATTTACCAGGAGAGACTGAAGAGACGTCCTACAGAGCAGAGCCCCGCCTTTCTGGAGCCACAGGCGATGAATTTGAGGGAAGAAATGGTCAAGATAGCCGAAAGGCAGTTGGCATTCAAAATCGGGTCAGGATATCGAGACGTCGTGTTATGGTGTCTTAAGCAGAGTCAAGGCTTCATGACAGCTGATAACGAGTTGGCTGCAAAGTTTTATTCAGAGGTCGTAATACCTCTGGAAACTATATCCCAGACGTTCAGATAATTTCCATGTTAAACGTTGAACAAACACTTGTATCATACTAATTCTCAGCTTGCAAGTAGATGGTCGGAGACAGGGTGGAAAATAGGGGAAAATATAAGATATTGTAAAATGATATGTAAGCGCCACACTAGCTCGCCCTTTGTTCGTGGCATCGTACTACTACCACTACGCCGATACAGCTATGGAGGCCAGATTAACACGTCGTAAACACACGCAGGCACGTCTAATCAGCAAAACTCTGTTTAATCGTTTTATTTCATAGAACTGCAGGCTGGTTTGCACGTTTTTCTTAGTACAGCTCATTGATTACCGAAGGACCGAACCCGGTTCTTGTCAACATTGGAGTCACTGGCTGCGCTTGTATAGGAATAAGCATCAAGACTGCACCTTCATGATAGCATAATATGAACGTGGGCACTCTAAACGACACATTGCCTCGCAGCATCGCAGATGGTTTCCTGCCTTCAACCAACCTGCCAGTTATTGCGGATAGTGGATAAGTAGACAAGTCTCTCTGCACTCATTAACATAAACCTCGTATTCACTTGCCTTTTTGTCCTTCGAAATGTCCAATACTACTCCGCCAAAGTCGCTTCGTTCACGGATGGGGACGGCAATGCGTAGGACATCGTCTATACTTACGCTAAGTCGTCCCAATACACCTGGGGTCTCCTCTTCACCAAAACCATCCCAGGGAACTACCGGTAGAGCGCGCTCCTCCTCAGTTGCTACCTCAGATTCCGACATAAGTTCTGCAAGTCGTCCCAGTGTCGACACTACGGCCCCCACGATCCCTCCAATTTCCCCTCCCTCAGCAATTATGATGCCCAGTCCGATCGCAGAGTCACCAGCCAGAGAGGCTGCTGCCACTGCGGACGAGATCCGCGAGGAGCTCCGAGAGTCCAAAGTGGGTCCTACTCCTCTCACACAAGTTGTCACAACGTCCACCGACCCTGGAACTCCGGCGGAAACAGTAGAGTCTAGTAGGAGCGAAGCTGGAGGACCGACAATCCTTGGGTCTGCGGATGAACCCCATATCCTGACAGAGGAACCGGACGAAATGTCTTTGCGAGCTCACACCGTAGAATCAATCAGAGAGTCCGATCCAAACGAGACTCGGGAAGCGCCCGCGCCAGTAGGTTTTGCTCCTGCTCCTGAATTATCGCCTGCTCCCGTTCTCGAAACAGCTCCGTCATACTTCGAGATACCTGCTCATCCTTCATCGCAAAATTTGTCAGATTCAGCATCCCTGCATAGGGCTATCATCGAGAATACGATGGGCGTAATCTCAACTGAGGAACCGACTCCGGAAGGAATGCAGTCGGATCAGACCACACCACGTCCTCATGGACCTGCGGATACCGAGAATGCGAACGTGTTCTATGCGTTCTCGGAAATGCCCGTACATAATACAAGTCAAGTTAGTACGGAAGAAAAGCCAAATTTCCCAAATTCTGCTCCCGGTGATATTATACCTGCTGACCTACAACGCGAAAACGAAATTGTTCAAATGCCAGTGCCAGAGATTACGGGTGATATGCCGGCTCAACTCCCTCCCGTTACAATGCCTGCGAGTAATCCGATACCTATCCCACCGAAGCGACGCGATGCGGATATCGAGCCAATTCCAACCCCCGGAACTGCTACTGAAGCCTCAGTTCATCACACTACAGAATTCGTCTCGGAAAAACCTCAAACGAAGAGCTCAGGGATTGCGATCGTTCCTTACGACGCAGGGTCTGTCGAGGAAATCTGGGCTAACCAATCAGATGCGCAGCATAATCAGGACGCTGTTGGCAGAAAACGTGCTGACAGTAGTGCACAGTGAGTTTATTTCAGCGACTCGGCTAGCCAAAGTCCAACTTTTCATGTGTAGAACCATACAAGATCCGTTCGCAGATCCAGTACCGTCTATACACCCTTCGACAATTGGTACAACGGGACCTTCAGTAGTGTCTGAGTACACACACTATCTATCGCCATGTTCATACAATACTTAATATATCCTACAGACCCGACATTACTGCAACCCAAAATCAAACCTCAGTCTTGACTACGCAAACCGTGCCAAACGTTGTGGTGTTCCCGATAGTACATCATGAAGACATTTTCACCAGGTATTTACCTAAAACCGTCAGCGTACCATTCCAACTCATCAATCCTCAAGGGAAGCAAACGACGATTCTGTTTCTGGCGGTATGTTTCATGAGACTGAGTAAACAATTCATTATCATTGCCGGCTCTATCAAGAAACTGACAAACGTATTCACTAGCGAAACACGACCTCTTCTCGGCCCACACACAGCACCTCAAACCTCCTACCTTCACGTCAACTCTCCTCAGCCTACGACTGCCCATCTAAATGTTTCCGAAATGCCAAGCAGCACTTCATCATCAATACCATGGCCTTCAACCAAGCCGACGCCTTCACATTCGTCTATGCCCCGCTTACACCACCTTGGCTGGATCGAATATGCTCTTCCTGACTCTACGATATATTATTCTCATCCAACTCTTCGCGTTACGACTGACATTGACCTTCGGAGTATAACAAAGTTGGATGCTGTCACGGCGTATCTGGAACATCGTAGGCTGCATGATGGCGCTGGGACTCCTCCCGGATTTGAACTGTGGTTGAGAGAAGGTAATTTTACAGATGGCAAGACTACGAGGAAGAAAAGAGGTCTAGGAAAGACAAAGGAATTTGTTCCTGTAAGATACTGGGTAGATCATAAGAAACGATTGGTGACGACCGACCCTATATGGGATGCTCAAGGCGACGGGAGTGCCAGGAGACATCCAACAGGCAAGGCAGTTGATGATTGTGAGTCCTATTTCACTCTTACGTGTGGTATATATCTAATCTGTTCTTGTAGCTCTGGACATGGAATATCGGTATTGGGCATTTATGGAAGACCACCCAGCGCATGTCACACTCCCACATAATGCTCGAACTGATGCCATGGATATCTTAACGTGGTGTTGGACTGGTAAGATATCCTCAACTTCCTCAATATATCGATGTCCATTGGTACTTTTTCCAGACCGTTTACTACCTTCGCAAAGAGATCTCTCTCCGCCCTTCAATCAAGCCGAGTGCCAGGAGCTGAACAATATTTTGCGCTCTTTCGGAGGTAGGTCATTCATTGTTGATTTTATCAAGTCACGATTGACCAAAAGAGTCAGATTCCAACGGTGATTCAGGGATTCAAGCCGTGCTTCACACTCGATTAGTCTCTCGTGTTTTAATGCGTGTAGGTAAGTATCCTTTGCACGCCAGTCATTTTTGGATCGTTTCATGTATGTTAATCAGCCCGATGGCGTCAAACAAACTTCCGACCCAATAAAGCGCTGCCGCAAGACATCGGCAATAGAGGAAGAGCAGATCGTCCTCGCCAGTCAGGATTTCAGCGCAGTATTCTGGATATCGTGGTCTTCATTGTATTCCTTGGTGTTCCGTCCCTATTTCTCCCTCAATCGAATACGTCGTCATTCTATCGCCTGGATGAAGAAAGTGGTCTTTTTGGCCCACGTAGTGCCGGTCCTATATTCTTGCTTGGTGGTTGTGCTTGCCTTGTGGTTAGTTAACTTTCCGTGCTCCTATTGGACTTACCGATTGAACACCTCTATGAAGGCTGCAATCATCTTGAGTGCATCAGTGACTTTCCTTTCTTTGCCAGGGCTGGACAACGCCGCGCGCATTCCAGGACTCGTCGCGGTTATACTTGCTACTTTCTCCATAGTTTTCAGCGTGATCGCTCTTTTTCGCTACAAAACTGATATGGAGTGCTTTTCGTCGAATGTAGAACCGTGGATTCGTTTTGGCGGTGAAGGTCTCACGTTACATTCGGTATGTTTAAGCCATTTTCCTTGATTGTGGATTATCCCTTCTAATGTGAACAATAGAGACGCATCGTGATTCTATCTCTGCCTCTTACTCTTTTAGCATACTCTATTATCAGCTTCGTTGTTGGAATCGTGCTTTATTCGTTTTTCGGAGTATTGGAATCACCAGTGAATATACTCCAGAAACATTTTGAGGAATATACTCGTTGGACAGTTGTCGGAGTTGTTGGAGCGTTGACTGGGATCTTGTTTACCTCTATTCTTTTCTTACGCAAGTAATAACATGTACTATTACTCTACTTACGCCATCTGTGGCGACAAAATTATCTATTTAATGTAACTACTAGAGAATTGCCGACTGCGTAGGCAGAAGAGAGATAAGAACCGTTGTTTGTGAACCTGGACAGAAAGCCATTATCAAAAATCAAAAAATATGCAGCAGCATGGCGCAGTGGTAGCGCGCGGGGCCCATAACCCCGAGGTCACTTGATCGAAACAAGTTGCTGCTATACAAAAGGGTCCCACACTAGGGTTTCTTTTTGGCCTCTTTCGAGTTCACGGTTGATGATAACGATGACCACGTCTATGATCTTGATAATCGTGGATCCGACTAATATTTCTTGCCAGAAGTTGTGCATACGGACATAGTGCATACTGAGACATACTGAGACTAACTACAGTACAATCAGGATATGCACGAAGGAAGGAGAACAAGATTCTAACTGTGAAATCACAGTGAAATGTAGATATACTTTATTTAATCGAAGAACGAAGATGTAACGTATAAGAAAGCGAAACTCATAACACTGCAGAACATTAATAGTGCAGGCTGAGTAAAGCAAGAGGGAGTACGAGTATGGAAGGTCGAAGAATACACTGGTACAGGACTATAGATTTTACGTTTTGTAGATAGTAAAAAAGGATGTACCCCAACAGAACGAAAACGAACGTGGATGATGAGGGCATAGGGGAAAGCGCTTGATACAATCAGGATCCTGCGAGGATCACGATAGGGATCGATAATGGGTACAAGCCCGCGTAGTATTAGAACGAAGAGAGGGAGTGGGGCAGAGATAAAACAAGAAATAAGAGAATGATAACATAAAAGGAATTCGTACAAGTAGTGTAACGCCCATTCGCTGGCCACGACGACACTCAGTGCAGGTCATGCGCAGTAGACCGGAACCGATGTGGTATCTGAAATATTAATTCTATGAGCTGAGATTATTGAATGTGGGAAAGGCTCACACGCACCCTCACAACAGTGTCATTCCAAGCCTGCTTCAGATTCGTGATTGACGAGGGTCTCTTCATTCGTAGACCGGCACCCTTGATAGCATTGATAGCTAGAGCAGTGGTGAATCCACGATTGGCGATGAGGACACCGTTAGACCCGTATTTATAGAACCAGCCATCAGGCCACCCGCCATCAATTTCTTGCATGTTACGAAGCGTCATAAGATCGCCAGAAGCGTCGATCCCGGCGAAGTTGCAACACACAACCCGCATTGCCAAAGCGAGGGCATCCCCCTTCAAACCAATACGTTCACGACAGCATTCAGCGAACACGGTTCCCAGGCGTTTGTAGACATCTGGAGCCACGAGAAAAAGACGAGACAAGAAGCTGCATAGAATTGATCAGGGGAATATCATCAGAATTGACGAATGTAAACTCACAACAAGAAAGCTTCGGGAGGCTCGTAATAGCGTGTACCTTCGCTGAACGCCCGGTATCGGAGAACAGACTCCACCCATTCAAAACATTCCTTGAGTTGCTTCCCTCTGCCATACTTGTAAAACAAAGTGAGCACGTTGACACAAACAACCGGGTCAATCCGTGGTCTGGATGAATCAAAGTACACTTGAGGAATACCATCGGCGTTGCGAAGGGCAAGGATGGCATCCATCACCTCGTGTTTCTTCTCAGGTGACATGTGGTCTGAACAAGTGATGCCGATTGATGTGGTGTCTGCATCACAGGGAAAAGCTGAAGTTGTCAACTCGCCTTCGCCGCGGAAGAAGTTGAATGGTCCATCATACTTCGTGTACTTGACCAGGGAAGGATCATGGGTGGCTTCAAGGATGAGAAGTTGAGCAAAGTTTTCGTGAATGGTAACACCAGTGGAGGTATAGGAGAGATGTTGACCCGCATTTTGCTTAAGGAAGGCCTCGCCCCGAACGGTAGGATCAAAACAAAGATTTCGGAGAGTACGCTCTACGTTCTCGAAGTCATCGTATAAGATACCCGTCATCCCGAAAGACCGAGCCGCCAGTACATTATCGAGTTTGTCGTCAACGAAGATAGTGCGCGCAGGGTCAGCGCCTGTGCGTTCGAGGACATGTCGAAAATACCCGATGTTAGGCTTGCGCTCTCGGGCTGACGATGAAGTGAAACAATGGTCGAAGAGATCCATGTCTGACGACTTCGTCTGCAGAAAGGCGAAGTCCTGAAATAAAACTATAAGCAGGGCAACTAACATGGTAGATTAATTTACATACCTCGGCCGAGATATTGCTCATGGCATAGATCTTTCGCCCTGGTCGGAGCTCCCTGATCAGATCAACCATGACTGGACGACTGACAAGCGTTTCACGGGCGTGCTGAAATGCATTGCGAATGTCTTCCGAAGAGAGAGCCATCTCCAACGCAACGGAAGCATAACACTCGTCCTCTGAAATGTCCCCCTTCTCGTATTGAAACCAAGTCGTGGTCTGCAAAATGCTGCGAAGTGTCTTGGGAGAGATGGAGGTTTTGGTCGACGGTGACCACGTAAAGAGAACATCACCGAGGTCAAAGATTATGGTGTCGTATCTTATCGACGATGAAGATGATGATGAAGGCCTAGAGAGGGCGACCATCTTGGAAAAAGAGAAGTAGAACAGTGGGGGAATGGGCAATCCATGTTCGATTCGGTCTATTGTTAAAAAGCAAAAAGGTTATTGTTGATTTACCGAGCCTGAGCGCTCGGCGTCCAGGTGGCGAACTGGTGCGAGTCGACTTTGTAGCTGATTACGTTATGAATCTGAAACTACGCACCTTTTTTGGCCCTTTTTGGCCCTTTGACCGACCACCCTCCCGATCTCTTATAGATTCATGAACGGCAAAGTGCAACATAACTCATGATCCCCGCCCATCCCAAATTTTTTCCCATTCGTCCACTAGAGTTTTTTCAAGTTGCAAAAATCTTTCTCTGAACACTATGTATAACATCGTACCCCATCTCAAATCAGTGTTGAGCCTATTTGAGAATGTTTTATTGTCATTGACATGTACACAGCACGCGGAAAGATGTGAAAGTGCGGCATATGGCGATAAATAGAACAATAAAATGCTCACAGGCACTCACCCGGTACCCACTACGAGACAATACGATGTCCGTCCCTGGCCCGTACGCGAGATGAAAACGCGGGATGAGCGGCCACTGACAGTATTGCGTCACGACTTGAGACACTGGATTAAAGGAATCACAAGAAACCGCTCCTTGTGTTGGGCTCAAACAAAGCTTCGTTCAAGAAAAGACCACACCGGCCACATCCTTGTCGCTTACCCGCCGTAGAGATTGACGAGATAAGTTATCATTAACTCTATCTTGCCCAGCGAATACTGAACAATAGTAGACAAGAGTAAATAGGCCGTGTCGATTATATTGCCTGCGGAAGATCTTGATTCCTGAATCCAGGACTTACATATGTGGAACGAAAGGTCGTCTGAGACCGCCACTTTCCTCCATGTAACAAGAAAACTTGATCAATTCCTTTGAAGTTGTACGATCCCAATTGAAGGGAGGAGATGTATCTTGGAATCTCAGTTCACGCAACCACCCTAGCGGTAAGTTCGCGGATGAGACCACCAAGGGACTGTATGCACCACTCATAGCCTTATACCATATGTTAATTCCAGGTTAATGCTGACCACCGCAGGGAAGGATTGAGATCTCACCAGATATCATTCCAACTCGGCTTAATTCCCGCCAGATTCCTGTAGTATCCAACGATGACCCTGTCTAAGTACAGACTTTGAAGTTCTGCAAGGCAATGCGAATTCAAAAGGGCCCCGCTCTTCCAAAATGTCGGCAGCATTGTTGAAGGCAACCCGGTTAAGTACCGGTGATACTGGTCAGTGGTATGTGTAGCAGGCGACCTCCAAGATCTAATTTAGACATTGGAAAGGTCGGAACGGAGGGATTAGGCGGTAAGTTGGTGAAGATGAACGAAATTTTGTTAGCTTTGGCATTGGGCAGTGAATTTCGTAGGAGGCGTCACCACGTGCCGGTTTTTCCTTTAAGCGCGAAAGGCGCTTTGGCAAGTGAGTCAGATTACCGTCGGCACGTTCATTGTTTGTGCTTTGTGCATCTCTGTGTATGTACTTCCTTCAAATATCCGGGGGTGAAGGGCAGGATATACAGTATATGCTTTCTTATGCACTACAACTTAAGAAACAGAAAGATAACTACTTTACCAATGTCCACTCAACTACAAAAAGCACTCAAAAGCAGCGGCCGGAGCAAATGTTCTACCAATGGGGAGATGGATACCCTGCCGAGGGATACAACTGATACAAGTGACAACTGTACGCACAAATCCTTTTGTCATTTCCCTTTTCGAACCACTGACCGGAATTGTGGCGAACCGCGAACCGGTAAGTCTATCGAGTCAGTTTCCAATAAGCCATACAAAAGTGCCTTCCCTGAGAAACCTTTACCGCAACTTCACATAAAACAGCCTCAATTAATGGTGTGACCTACATGGTTACATAGAGCCTCATTGAGTAGATTCCGAGCAGATCCCAGGAGATTACCCGGATAACAAGATCTGGAAATGCTATCAGTTTGTAGGGCGGGATAATGCGGGAAAAAATATGGGTTTCTTGGCCTCAAATTCTTGGAAATATGTAGCAGCCTGAGGTAGTCTGCAAAAAAAACATATAGAAGAGCCACTGGTCATCGTGTTGAGCGTAGGGCAGTGTTGGTATTTTTTTCTCTTTTAGGATCTTTAAGTAAGTACTCCATTCCACAATGTCCGCAATTACCGGGGTCTTACAAGGCCGACGTATTATATCACCGGAGGTGTATGGGAACGGAAATTATAAGTGACGGAGAACAGACGGACAGTCAATCGTCAAGCTGTTGAAGGCTGTCTTGAACGTGCCATGTTATGGAATTTTTCCCCCCGAACTTCCGTTCCTTTCGTGAGTATAAAAATGGGCATGTAAGTACACGCTGCACTTAGAAGTTGGGAGATGATGGGCCTGGCCTCAATGGAACCCAAACAATCATTGAGCACGAAACACCTTTCAATCATTTCGAATGGGTCTATTGTTTGCTAAGTAAAAATTGAAGGCACAAGGGTGTTACGAAGTGTTGAAGGTTCAAGCCAGCCGCTCAATGTCCATGTCAAGTGGGTTCGCCGCGTCCAGGATACAGCGAAGTCGTTTGCTTTTACGAATGCGGATAGAACCTAGAGATTGTGACAAAATGTGAGTCAATCTAACGAACTCTCACGATTCAAAAAAACATATGCGCATAACATTCAGATAGTCCGCGGGTCCCTATAGTATGACTGCGACGTCGCAAGTCTGTAGAAACTGAAAGTCAACTCGAGCGACATTGACGCTCGATTAATTTGACATTAACAAAATCTGACGGGCGCCCACATCGCAGTTGGACTACCAGCCGCGGATATCATCATGTTCCAATCATTTGGCTACAGATTCTTGACAGAGTTATTCCTGTATAAGTATCTCGAGGTAGAGGGCTTCAAGGATCCGAATAACCATTGAACAGGACAAAAATACTGCCTATCATCATATCATTAGATACAAGTTGGGCCACTAGGAATGTGTTTGGGGTGCTACTTACCAACTGTTGACAATTGACCAATCTGTTTTCGATCCAGACAAGAATTGAATCCAGTTATAATTAATCCGATGGGGGAACAAATCCGATGCCGAATGACGGCCTTGAACGAACGTCAGTAACGCATTGATGACCTTGGCTCATTGTCAGAGCCTATAATTGAGCGAGGGATGGGTCAGCTATACTAGAGCTATACTTGGAAGAAAGGAAGGAAAGGCACTTCGGAGATTCCAATCCGTGTAATTATTGCCCTGGAATTGCCCCTCAAGAAAAACCCAGTGCTCTATCCTGAGAAACAGAAACGAAATGTAGAGCTGGAAGTTTCGAAAAATCCCTGCCATCAGTCGAAGAGCTATCCATTACTACTGTTACCGCTCAACGAGTTACTAAAATATTACAACGGCCATTATAGCAATTGTTGAACATACATAGTAATGCTGATAGAAGCGTCCAGGAAGCCTCAGCCAAAGTTTTCGCAGAGAACGGACCCGGAGATCGTGGTGAGTTACTTACGGTACCGATACCGTATGTTGAAGATAAACACTCACAGGACAGTCAAGTAACTTGAGTTGCACAGTTCAGCATAAATTCTCCTCTCTTCACTTCAACGACCCATGCTCGACATTCCTCCCTCATAATTTCACTCGCATTTTTGTCTCATAGTTTCTGCGCCGGGTCCGCCCCACTACCTAGTGTTCCTGTCGTTATTTATCGCCTTATCATTTCGATTACATACGGCTTAGCATACAAGCCGCGATGTAGACGAGTCGTCCGAACGGTTGCACAGCTGAAGCAGCGATTGCGATATTACAGGGGAGGCTCGTTCGAAACTCTGATGGTTCGACCGCATTCCTAGTCCCTGGCAGATTCCTAGGGATAATGGCAGAACATTCTCCACGAACACCTGGATTCACTTACGAAGTGCTGATTCCCATAAGATAATACTCTCAAGTAATACTGATTCGTTTAGATACAAATCACACAGGCAACACGATGCAAAGATGGAGATGGTTGGACACGGAGGAAGAAAAGAGTATTTGTAGGTGAGAACGAGAGATAACCAAAGCTTTCATCGATTCGACGACTTTTCAATCGTAATCTGGAGCGTCACGAGGCCGGAAGCTCCTGGGTCCCTGAGAAGCTCGTTCAAGAACGATGTCTGTAATAAATTGGACCTGGGTTAGATTGCTCCTGCCTGTTCATCACAGCATTTTATATCTCTGGCAACTCACAACGTGGCTTTGGTCAGTCGAACTACTATACTGCCAATTGCTTCAAACAAGCACAGATACACGGTTTTTGTACAGAATAAACGTGGGATGAGATGATGGGGGAACGAGAGAAAGGGAGAGAATGACAATAACCGGAGTACGAAATCGTCAATGTAATAATAATGATGATTTGTTTGGCTTGGGCGTTGTGCCACGCGCCTCTTTCACTCACAGTCAGCAGGACTCAGCACCGTCACGACCACCACCAGTGTTTCTCAAGCCGTAGTAATTTTTGTAAATTCTACTTGTATTCAAAGAGGGGAAGTGAAGAGCTTTAATTTGGCCTGTCGATAGGAATTGTATTCTTCGGTCCTCGTTGGACGTCGTGACGAGGAGAAAGGCGTATAAAGCGAGTTTACATGTCGGGCAAGGCGCCGCCGACAGGTCCAAGGGCGTTATTAGGCAAACAAGGACAACAAGGACAGCAAGGACAAGTACCGTCAGGCGAGTAAAAATATTGTTCTATTTCTATGAGCTGGACTAAAGCTACCGCTTACCAGCCCGTGCAAATCATCTAAATCCACGGCAACCTTCTGGTGTGACTAGTAATGGTGGCCCATCGTCGTCGTTACCGTCGTCATCTTCGTCTTCATCGCCTGCTGTGAACGCCAGATTTGGAGCGCCGCCGCCTACAGGACCTAGAAGTTTGTCAGTAAATGGACCTTCTCGAGGAGGAAAGAGCAAAATCTCTGTTAACGGACACAATACAGGCCGAGAAAAGGAACAAGGCTCCGCGAGTCCTAATGGAAATGGAAATGTGAGGTCTAATTTTTCACTCGAGACTACATTCGCTGACTTTGAAACTTTCTTATCAGGTCTTACCACCGGCTCGTTTCGCCATCTCGATCCCAACCAGAAAACCAGAGTCGACTGTTTTACCAAAAAGTTCTATACAGCTGCGAGGTGAAGCATTTCAAGTCCAAATTCCCAAAGCGCCTCCAGAACCAAGCTACGATCCACCACCTCCACCACCACCTCCGGAACTTCCTCCCCCACCTGCTCCGTCTGAAAATAGTCCACCACCACCACCACCACCAACAAATTCTCCTCCTCCACCTCCTCCGCCAACAAACTCTCCGCCTCCACCTCCGCCACCAACAAACAGTCCTCCTCCTTCACCACCTCCGCCACCATCAATAGCAACTCCTACAGGTCCAAGAATACTTTCTGCAACATCTACAATACCGACGAAAACTTTACCTACTCACAACGCTATTTCAATCACGCTCCCGGCTTCGCGGGCCGTGCCCTCCGCTGCGACGCCTACTCCTGCACAAATTCAGATGCAGCCGCCACCTCCACCTCCAACACCACGTCCACGCTCACCGCCCAAGCCTTCACAACCCAAAACATATTCACTTCCACCGCCGCCTGCCTGGCCTCCACCTGTAGACCAACTTCCGTCCGACGTACGCGCACATCGAGTCATCTATGATTCTACGGTGGCGCTGCTTCCCGCTCACGATTTGATTAGCAAGGACAAAGACTTGAGGGAAAAGGAAAGAGAGGCCAAGATTGCAAGAGATCGAGCTTTGGAACGCGCTGCATTGACCTCAGGATATGTTAAACTCGGCGTGAAGAGCCAGAAACCAGTTGATCTCGGGCCGAACCCTGATTTGGACACGATGATGATGGATATTGATTTCAGTAAGGGTGAAGGCACGTCAACAGGGGCCGGTACGCTTGCTGGAGCTTCGGCACTGGGCTACAACGGATACACCTCAATTGGTCGTCGAGGAAAAGACAAGAGTTCGAGTTCAGAGTATTTCGATGTCCTAGCTGCGGCGATCAAGCGTGCGAAGAACCAAGTCTCATCTGAATCTTACCCGCGGATTACTGGCAAGGGCAAAGGGAAAGAATCAATCATACGCTACGAGGGCCAGGTATTAGAAGATGGAGAATGGGTGTGGGTGCCAGAGGAGGAAGTTGCTGACTTCTCGACAAACGCGGTATCACCAATCACCCCCTCGATGTCTTCTTCAGTTTCAGCATCGCTTTCCGTGTCGTCTTCAGCATCCGCATTTTTGGCTAAACTTCGCAGCAGTGAAAGCGTGGCAAGTCCTACTCCTGAGGGTCTGAGCAGAAATGACAACAGTGACGAAGCACGCGGGTATTGGGTATGTGAGAGAATACCCGTACCCCGCGATCCGAGACGAACGATGGTCAAGGATAGGGACAAGCCCGTAGTAGGTGAGGATGGGGCGCAAGTCATAGATGTGGAAAAGGAATCTCAATTGTTATGGTTGAAGGATCGAGAAAAAAAAGTCAGATCACAATTTTACATGCTTGATGAATATGAGGTCGGTCTCGTTAAAGTTCTGAATTGATTTTCCCGTCGTTGACCTTCGTACAGTATGACCACCTAACATCCACCTCGCCCCCTCCTCCCTGCAAAGTCATCATTACTAACATTGCCCTCCTCACCCCAACAAACGTTCTCCGTGCCCATTTCTCTCAGTACGGCAACATCATGAGCTTCGAACCACAAATCGATAAGCAGAACGGCAGCTCGCTTGGTATTGTGTGCATACGATACCCTACTCACATTGAGGCAAAACGGTGTGTGGAAAAGGAAAACGGGCAGAAAAGGCCTTGGGCTGGGGCTGGGTATGGTCCAAATGGTGTTGGGGGATATCATGATCATGGACCAAACGGAAATATCAAAGGAGATGCTGGAGACCAGATACAAGTCGATTTCGATGGGACTGGTCAAAAGCTTGCTGCAGTGTTGAAAGAGTTGGATGACAGGAAGAATGGAAGGAAGAAAGCAGAACCTGCGCTCCCAATTGTGCCTCCGTTAGCAAACTCGAATATGAACAGTGGAAATTCGAGTGTCCGTGTTCCTGACCATCAAACACCAACACAGACTCAGACTTTGACGTTCAAACTTCCTTCGAGCTTACCTCCCCGTCCTTCAAGCTTACCACTTCCTCCACAGTCGAATTCAATGTCCGGTTCATACTCCCCTGTTCCCTCTCTACCTTTGCCTCCGTCATCGTCTTCTTCTCATCAACGTTCAGGTCCCCCGTTATTACATCCGAGCCTTCCAATGCGTCCTATATTGGATACTAGAGATAGTAGAGAACGGGAACGAGAAAGAGAGAGAGACCGCGATAGAGACCGTGAACGTGACAGGGACAGGGACAGAGAGCGGGATAGAGATCGTGACCGTTCAATACTTGCTACTCCTGCTTCAGGTTCCGCTGGTCCTTCTTCAGCTCATGGCGGGTCCACGCCGCGGCCGAATGGTTCATCGTCTGCTTCCGCTGTGCCACTACCGTCTTCATCCTCCTCCGTTCTAACAAGTAAAACAAGTAAACTCCCAAATATTCCTAGCAAACCCAGTGGAGTGACCATCGCTACAAGTATGAAAGCTAATCCTCCACCTGCACTGATAAAGGCTAGGGCTCATTTGAAGAGGAACGCGCTGTTGAGGAAACCTGAAGGAGAGGAGGATCCAGCAGGACTAGGTAACGGCAATGGAACGCCGGTGCAGATTCGCCTGGAGAATGAAGCCAAAGAGAGGGAGGATGATAGGGAAAGAGAACGGGACAGGGAAAGAGGAGAGAGGGGTAGGGACAACGATAGAGATAGAGATCGGGACAGGAGACGCAGTACGGATAGGTACGGAGAGAGGTTACCTCCTTCGCAATGGAGAGCGGACAGAGAAAGAGAGCGGGAATGGAGGTCAGGACGAAGCCCAAGTACAGACAGTCGAGATAAGTATGGATCTGGCCGGAGAGACAATCGAAATCTTCGTCGGGATCGAGATCGCGGTGACCGAAATCGTAGTCTGTCGCCTTATGATGACGGTAGGACGTACATTCCCGGGAATACGAGGTATGGTGCTGGATCTGATAGATGGAATCATCATTACCGTCGCCACGATCGTTCTCCTCCGCCCTCGTATTCAAGGAGAGACCGTTTTTTGCGCAGGTCACCCCGGGCTTCTAGGTCTCCTTCGTCGGCACGGCCCACGCGGTCGATGGGTTGGGAGAAGGATCACGGAGATGTTCTTGAGGAGTTGGGGAAAAGCAAATTTCCGCATCTTAAATTAGAGCCAGATGCAGGAGGACACTTCCCTCATCAGGTGCAGGAAGAGGATGTCAAGGCTCTCCTGGCAAGTTTTGAAATTGATAAGGTGTGTTTTACTCGTCTAGAAATGTGAGTGTACTGATGTCTTTGATTCCCATTGTCAGGTCTTGAAATCCCTGCAAGGAATTTTTGTCACTTTCGCGAAAGACTCTGCTCGGCGGGCTGCTACCTACATCAATGGCGCTGCAGAAGCGAAGTTGGCTTTTCTCAAAGTAAAGGCGACCGCTTGTGCTCCTCCTATTCCTGTCAAAACCACCTGGACTGACGAAGAGATGGTTCTCAAAGCCAAGGAAATCATCACCGATGAACTCAAGAGTGCTTTGCAGCAGGATATCTTGAGTAAATACATTGGTCCTCAGTTGAAGACAATGATCAATGAGCTTCAAAATTACCCGTCTGTGGAACTTGGGACAGTAAAAGAGTCTGGTGTTTCGATGGTGGACCAAATCAATGCGAGGCAGCTGGGGCTCGTAGGGTTGTCTTTCAAAAAGCAGCGAAAGGAGAGGAAACCTGTAGTAGAGGAGATTGTTCATGAGGTTGATGTGGAGGAGGAGCAGGATGAGGATGAGGAAGAGCGGCCTCCAAAGAAGAAGCGGAAGAAAGACGTCGTTTTACCCAAGAAGCAGAGGAAACGCGTGCTCGACGACGAAGGCGAGTCGGAGGTGGAGTCAGAGGACGGGGACGAGGATGTCATTCCTGCAGATGAACGCTTCAGGAAGAGACCGCTCTCTGTGGAGTCTGAATCTGAAGCTGAAGAGCCCGTAAAGAAGAAGTCTAAAAAAGAAGAGATCAAACGGAAAAAGAAGGAAGTGAAGAAAGTTGGCAAGAAAGACATTCATGATCATGTTGTTCTTCCTGATAACGAATATGACGCTCCCGCACTTGATCTCCGGCTTACTCCTGGAGCAGACTCGTTGATCGCTCCGTCGCGCTCCGTCACCCCTCTTGACTCCCGTGTGCTTACAACTCCTCCGCCTACGCCGCCTCCTGTTGACCCAACGGAGGGTGTTTGCGATGACGACGAAGATCTCTATTACGCCAAGCTCGTTCTCTCAGGACGCGTACCGTCAGATGACAAGATCAAAATCCTTTCTCCTCCTCCAACCCAAGAGACAGACGAAGGTCAGTCCCTTCTCCGGAAGCACGTTACTGGATCCGCCCGCACGGAAGGCTTTTACAAAATCACGCACGCTGAAAAGGCTGTATATGTCACTCAGTACCAAGCGAGGACAACGAACGCCGCAGCTGCTGCCGCCCAAGAAATTCTTCCCGAAGAAAGCAAACCTCAGCACGTTACCTCATCTCGTTCTAACCGTGCTAACGCTCGTCGTCGTGCACAGGGTCTAGAAGAGATCAACCAGGTTCAACGGGCCGTTGCTCTTTCCAAAGGAGAAGCAGCAAGTGAACTTACGTTCAAATTCAACCAGCTGCAGACGAGGAAGAAACATCTGCGTTTCGCTCGTTCTCCGATTCACGACTGGGGTCTTTATGCAATGGAACGAATTGCGCGGGGAGAGATGGTTATCGAGTATGTGGGCGAGGTTATCCGCGCACAGGTGGCGGAGAAGAGAGAGAAGACCTATGAGCGCCAGGGAATTGGCAGTAGTTATCTGTTTCGCATTGACGAGGATTTGGTCGTTGACGCTACCAAGAAGGGCAATCTTGGGTTTGTTTTGTTGTCTTCTCCATTAACAATTACTGATACCGATTCCCTACAGGCGTTTGATTAATCACTCGTGTGACCCCAATTGCACAGCGAAGATCATCACTATTAGTGGCGAGAAAAAGATTGTAATATACGCCAAACAGGATATTGAGCTCGGTGACGAGATCACCTATGGTACGTTTTGTTTCTCTTCTTCTCTTATGTCCAGACACAATCTAACCTTTCGAAATAGATTATCACTTTCCATTTGAGCAAGACAAGATTCCTTGTCTCTGTGGCTCAGCTAAATGTCGTGGCTTTCTCAATTAGAGACGATTGCATGGTCCTACCTAACTATTTCGCTTTCCTCAACCATCTTCTCTCTTTGCAAACATCTCATCTTCTACTGCTTTGCTGTGATTCTATTTTCTATCATATTTTTTTCGCCACAGTTTGTATCTACTAGTTTGTTCCGGGTAATGGTTTGTTCTTTATCAAAGCATCCACTCATCATAAGTACCTACTTACCATAGCTCTATTTTGAGGCTATACTGTCCTTACAAATTCAAAGGCTGCAGCAATGCAGTGGTATGACCGCAACCTTACCCAAAAGGACACCTTTCCACTAGCAGGAGCAGATGCCAAGGTGATGTGGAAATCTGTTGGTTGATGGTGACTCGAAAGGATTTCGACTCTAGCATTATCCATGTTCGTGGAGGAGTCAGAAGGTAAGTTTTAGCCCAACTTGTCCCCTGGTTTCAAGGCGCGCCATGTGTGAAGGTTTGTGTCTATACACTAAGGGTAGGAGAGGGCTCCCTCACCGTTTTACCGGAGGCATTTTTTGCGACTCGTGTAAGAGGCTCTTGGCCCACTTTTCCTTTCGTACTCAATCTGCAATACCCGTACTTTCCACTCCAGAAACGAATCACAGGGGCGCCAGCCTCATAGCATATATCTATAGTGACTGACCTAACACGAACACTTACTCCAGGTTGCGGTCGGTGCTGTGCCAGTTGAAGCCAGAACAAAACTAAGCACGACCACGATGACAACCGGGATCATACAATCAGTACAATTTACGAATTACTGTGCGCACAAGGTTTTTCCTCCAGAGCAAAGAACACTCCTGACAATGTACAGTGAGTAAAGGTAGGTATCTACATGTCAATTGTATAAATTTGAGGTCTTGCGGGACTGACAACGTGGAACAGAGAAAACAAAACAGCCTGAGTTCCCTCAAATACATTTGCTTGCATAGCATATAATGCAAGGCCACACAACACAAAGGGCCCCACCCACCGCCGACGGGATGAAATTTTTCACTCGGAGTCGCCTCGTTTTGCGGGAAGACAGAGGAAGACAGGCGTGTTCAACACGTAGAGTCCTGTATGTACATGCATAGATTTTTTCCAGTCAAGTCAAGGCTCTTTAATCCAAGGCCGGACCGTGTACGAAACTAGAATCGGCGAAGAACCTTCTGAACTTTTTTTATCGGGTTTTTTTATTTTCCAGCTTGACAACGTAATTTGTAATATTTTCACGTAACCACCGTCGTTACCAAGCTTTTTTTGCCTAAATGGGTCTATGAACCGACGCGACCCTTTTGTCGCGTTCGGCGTCTTAAATTAAACACAGCCCCCCCTCTGGGTCCCCCACTCTTTTTTAAAATCCTTTGTTATCTGGTTCAACTTGTGTGGCGACCAACATGTCTTCGTCGTTCATCTCGAAATCCCCTGGGCCATCGTGTATTTGTCATTCGTCCAGAGGTTCAAAACCTCCACAACTAGAACTCAACCTTGGTTCCATCAGTCCTCTGCGTATATTATCCGGATACGCGTTCAAGGACTTTGAGAATCATTGTGAGCACGACATGGCGCCCTCAGATGAATCCGAATCTCTGTCGTCGTTCGAAACTTCGTCTTCTACCTGTTCATCTCCTAGCCTAAATGGCTCTTCAGAACATTTAACAATTACCCTCCAGTCTCTGGTAGACGGAGGGGATGACGAGGCAGGCTGCCGGAAAGACACAAGACCTCTGCCGCCTGTTCCCACTTCTGCTTCTACACTTTGCCCTACACCAGCTATTTCTCCCAGAACGCGACCGCTCCCTCCTACTCCGCATTTGAAGACAGAAGATGTGGCGATTTCCGTAACCCTTGCAACGCCCTTGTCTTCACCCATTCCTCCCACCAGTTCACCTAACCATCTTTCTCCACCGAGAGTACGACGTCTACCCACTCCTTTCATATCACCTTCTATCCCACGACAGCCTTCCTGTGACACACTTTCAACCTCTGACTGTCACTGTTTGACCGCAGATAGCCCTCCGAGCCCCACTTTGACAATTGAAGGTCTATCCCCTGAAGCTGTCATACATCGTCGTCTGTCCAAATTAAGACGTTATCTGGGTGAAACAATACCCCATGACTTGGTCCCGGTTATTTCCTCTGCGCGCGATCCACGAGCTGCGAAAGACTTGCTTGTGCGTTTGAGCAGTTTCTCGGGATCAGAAAACACCATCCATGAACCAGCACTAGATCCTGTCGTGATCTCACAAAAATTGAAAGAATTGGAGGCTGATGAATCTTTGTCTGACGACGAAGACGAGGATATCGTGTTCGTCGAAGCAGAGTCCCCTGTGGAGGGATCAGAATCTTGGTCTGCTGGAGGCGATATTTCTTTCCGGGCCGCCCCTTTGCATCGATATAGCAAAAAATGGGTCTGGGAGAAGAAAGGACGCCGACGTGAGGAGCAAGATTATGCGTATATCCTGCGCGCGCTTCGATCGCTTTGATCAAATCATTTAGAATCAAGCTTTGTTTTTATTTTTCGTCGCTTTCATGCATGACTTCGCATCACCATCCTTACATATGTACTTTTACCCATCCACATTGTCTGCGTCTTTCCCTGCATTTCCGTTGCCCGTTGCATCTTTTTCAATTCGACTTGGAACATCATGACATACACACACACCATCTTCTTGCATTAACCTATAATTTGCTTATTACCTTCGTTTACGAAGTATTATGATCCAGACCGCGCATATAGCTCTCTATTTTCTGGATTTCATGTCGTAGTTTCAAGTCTGTGACCTTATGTGAATCCCAAACCCTTTAACATACTGGATTATCTTCACTTCCATAATTCATCAATAATTGCGGGAGCAAAACTCAGCACATGGTCAAAGCTGGCTTTACGAAGTCCAAATCAGGACAAAGAATGTACGGTACACTTTCCTTCAGGTACATATACACAACGCGGCTTAGCGCGGCAGATGATGAAAGGCAGTCATGAGTTACAGCAAGCATATATCGACAGTCCTTGAGCAAAGCAATAGTTTGACTTTCTTCCAGGATTCGTTGGCTCGAAAAACATCAATACGAAGACGGGTGTTTCAACAATGTCTGGAGGATGTAAGCCTGAAGCAGACTTGATACGATCATTGATGTACTCACGCCACCGTCAATCAGCACAGTCTCTCCGTTGATGAACCAGTTGGTGATTAAACACAGCGCCAGCGCACCGACATCGTGTTTTGTTCCACCTGTCTTTACAGTCGGAATTTCGAATCCCCATTTCTTGTCGGAAGGTGCGACCGCAATACCAGCTTCGTTTGAGTGTCCAGGTAGCGACATCTATGAGGAGTATCAGTTATTCTATATTAACCATTCTTCCATCAGGCTCGCCTCAGTGGGAAAAAGCCCTACAAGATTTGGTCAGTTTTTGCTTCAATATGACGATCGTGGGACTGACCAGGTGCTATCCCATTAACCCGAATGCCTAAGGGAAGCAGCTCATGTGCCAAAGAGGAAGTTGCATGCCCAATGGCGCTTTTACTGAACATGTATGGATACGAACGGCCAGATGTGGCGGAATCCTATAATCATGTTTCCGATTATTTCGTGGGGCTGGGGATCCGTATAAAATATCCCACTTTGGTCCACCCATTCATGCTACTTGTCATAATCACTTGGGGTACGAATTTCTTCGTCACTTCTTCGTCCGAATTCTTCCACTTCTCTAGCAGAGGTAGAAACGCAAAGGTCAACCAGTATGCGCCGACGGCATTGGTATTGAGAACGTTGTTGAAGTCTTGTGGCTCGATCTTGTCGAAGAAAGCCGAGACGTAGGCTGCGGCAGAGGCTTCAGAAGGAGGGACGAATTGACCTGCCTGTATACCGGCGTTGTTGAAGAGGACAGTAACATAAGGCTGGACTTTTGCTACTTCTTCTGCAAGTCTCTTGGCTTCAGTCTATCATATGTATGTAAAGTTGAGCCACATTCCACAGAATCTGAACAAGTAACGTACCTTGGAACTGATATCACCTTCGAGTCCGTACATCTTACCACCAGATCCAGATTTTAAATTGGTGCTAGCATCGTTGTATATGCCACAAATCCTATACACAACGTATTATGTTAACGTTTGGTCATTTTTGAATCATGCGGAGGTTCCTACCTATCAAGGTCGGCTTGTTTAGGTCCAATTATGTACACTGTGGCCCCATTAGCAATCAAGGTCGAACTTATCATCAGTCCGATACCCTGCGAGTTGACCTCTGATCTTGATTTGGAATTCACAAGTCGAAACGACTTACGCTCCCACCACCTGTTACAACCGCGACGACATTCTTGAGATTGAACAGATTCGTAGCACATTGCCCCTCCAAGTCAATTTGCGTTGACATTGCGTTCTCAGATCTTGGGTACTTACAAAGAGAAAGCTGAGAAAACAGAACACGAGCTGGTGACCTCATAAGTTATAACAAAACGGAGGCGCGTGACTGGTTAAACTTCTCAGAGAACGAAGTCCTTTACTTGCAATTCAGGATACAGTACAGTCAAAACTATCTAACCATTTCAAATTCCATGCACAAAAAATCAATCGTGGACGGGTCTTATAACGGATGCCACAGGAATAGCATCAATGGTTGCGATCATCTTTACTGGTCGCGGATATCCACTCGGGTCACCCTTGTGAATCAAAGTGAGCATCTTTGAAAAAAACATGCGACTGAGTCAAAGTACACACCAAAGCGTCCGACGGATAGCCCTTATCGAATGCCTTCAGGTTATCTAAGTAGTCCATTTGCTCCTTTGAAAGGCTAATTTCCAGAGCTTCCAAATTCGAGTGTAGGTGCTCAACTTTTCGCCCCCCAATAATGGGAAACATGTACGGGGCTTTATGAAGGACGTATGCGATCGCCACTTCAGAGGCAATTTTGGTTACTGATCAAAGACGAATAACGTCAAACCACTTACGGGCATTGATATTCTTGACTCCAATTTCTGCGGCTAGTTTCTCGAGACCATCACATACTTTTACTTCATCGGGAGTACGCTCCCAGGGTCCAAAGAAAAATCCCTGTCTTCCTTGTTCTCCACTGGTACGCCGTTGCTCTTCTTCAGCCGTTGTTCGAATGTGACCAGCAGCAAGAACGAAATAGAGAGTGAGAGCGATTCCTGACAAGAACGGGTTATTAATTAGGTACGACGAAATAGCAAGTATACGACAGCACCTTCATGTTGACACATAGGAAGAATCTCTCGCTCTATGTCCCTTTTGAGGATAGAATACGGCGCTTGATAAACCACAAATGGAGTCTTGCCAGTTGAACGAGCATAATCATTGGCCTTCACCACAAGCCAAGCAGGGGCATTCGATATACCCTGCAGGCAGGTGAGCAGATAATGTGAATAAGAAACTTGACCCTACCAGGTACAAGATTTTTCCTGCAGCTACCAGATTGTGCAGTCCGTCCATAATTTCTTCAACGGAAGTATGCATATCCCAAGCATGGACGTAAAATATATCGACATAATCTGTACGCAGCCTTTTGAGGCTGATATCGAGACTGACGCGCATTGATTTCAGGTTGTTGCCCACGAAATTAACTTTTTGTTTCGCTAAAGGAACGCCCCTCGTGCGGCCAGGAATGTTTGTATACTTAGCTTCATGAGAAACGAGCGATTTGTAAAAGGGAATAGCTTTCCTACTTTTGTCGCAATGATCATTTGGCTTCGAATATCACGCTGTTCCATCCATTCGCCAATGAATTCCTCAGATGAGCCCTCTTGACTGTGGGCATGTATCAAACAACGTGAAAAGGGCATGAACACTGATTCCACATACTAGATGTTGGCAGTATCAATCCAATTTCCTCCCGCGTCGTAATATGTGTCCAACAGCTTGAAAGAAGATTCTTTATCCATGGATCCGAACATCTCAGACCATTGATCCCCAATACTCATTCCACCTAGACAGAGTGGCGAGACATGCACGGAAGATCTCGAGGAAAGTTGTCGGTAACGAGCGAGTTTCTGGTGGGGACCAGGAGGAAGCTCAGGTTGGAAGATACTACTCATCGTTAAAGAAATCTAGAGAAAGTCTGGCCGTTTTATAGCGCACTCGGAATGGAATCGGATGAGTCCTACCTCTCATCGATTCTCATCACGTATCCACCGATTTGTCTTTGTCTAGCAAACATTCAATCTTCTCAATTATTCGAAGCGGCAAATGCAATAAAGACAAACCGATTTGAACGTCTCTATACGTCCTCTTGCGTGAACACCTTCAGCTAAGACTTTCCGTTTCCATTGAACGAACAGCTAGAAGCATCAAAGCATGAGTAGAAAAAATCGGCATGTGTAATGCGGCTTGTCGAGTCGGTCCGGGGACGAAATCATTTTTTCTACAATTTCAGCCTGCTCGCTGCTCTCAAATGTCGGATGTCTCCATAGGTTCACAGATATTTGACCTAGTGTTCCACCCTTCACATGCAACTGTGTACACTGCCCTTCTTTCTGGTAAAGTCAAGGCTTTTGCGTATGATCACCATGGACGCACCAAGGAAGTCTTTTCGATTAAACTTTCTCAAAAGTCTTGTCGTGGGATTGCAATAAATGAAGATGGGGGAAGATTATACACAGTTGGGAAGGGAAAAGGAATACAGTGCGTTGATCAAAGTCATTTTCTTACGTGCCCTTTGATGATATTGTCGTATCTCATCTAGTACTATCGACACAGTAACAGGAAAGCTCATTGAAAGTCGGGCTAAAGCACATGAGTGAGACAACTCCCGTCCCCACGTTTGCCTAAGAATACCCAATCATTCACTGGAAGGATTGCTATCAATCGCGTAGAGAGCGTTACGCCGTGGCTGTTAACTACTGGCGATGATGAGGGAGTTATTAAGGTCAGTTCACGTTAGCACCATAGGCTTGTTCGAGAGATAACACTGACCTCCCTGACCACAGCTGTGGGACCCAAGGAAAAAAGAGCCTGTGCGGAAATACACCCACCATTTTGACTACATCACCGATTTCTTGTGGCTTGATGACAAGAAACAGCTTGTTACCACTAGGTATGATATCAATCTTCGGTGTTAGGCCGTACTGAACTTAGCGTCCTTTAGTGGTGACGGTACGCTTTCAGTGATAGATGTTCGGGCAAGGACGTCCGAACCTTTTGCTCAGTCCGAGGATCAAGAGGATGAGCTACTTTCCATTGTCCCCATAAAAGGGTAGGCGTTGATTTCGTATTTTCTCTTCATTTTTCGGTTTGGATTTTCTTGGGCGCCCCATCCTATCATATTATCTCTTCGGTCGTTTTGCATTTGTCCGCCGCGAAATGCTTGGACGATACACTTCACCCTCGATTTTCTTTCCGCTGTTGTACCTGTGCTTGGTGTTTCATTTTCTACTGTGGCGCTTACTATATTGTGAATAGCGCTACTAAGGTTGTTGTTGGAACCCAACTCGGAATACTCTCAGTCTTCAACAGGAGCAGTGGATGGGGTGATTGCGTAGACCGCATACCAGGGTCAGTAATTTTCATACCATCTCATGTACTGAAGTTTTGTTACTGAGATCGTATTATATGTAGCCACCCACATTCCGTGGATGCCCTCTGTGCGCTTCCTGCTTCTCTACCCAATGTAGATCATACGAGCACCATTTTGACTGGCTCATCCGACGGTTTTGTTAGAGCTGTCGGTGTCTTCCCCACAAAACTACAAGGGGTCGTCGCGGATCATGGTGAATGGCCGGTCGAAAGAATCGCAATCGGCGAAGGTTTGAACCAGCTGACGCTGGACGATAGCGAGAAAGAGTCCGTCGATGCTCGAAAGCCGTTCAACGCTGGTGACTCTGCAGATACTGATGATGAGAGTGACGAACTCCCAGAAACAGGGCAGTTCTGGGTTGGTAGCGCAGGCCATGATGAACTTTTGAAGCTTACAAACCTCGGACACTTCTTCAATGGGAAAGTCCCGGAGGATGGGATTGACGAGCGGCAAGATGACGAAGATACTAAAGGTATTCTCCCTTCTGTGGAGGATGAGCCGGCAGGAAGTGTGGGGGAGCCTGATAATGCCGTGCAACACTCTTCGAACGACATTCGTCAAGAACCTAGCAACATCAAGGATTCCGATCCCGACACTGACACTGAGTATGAGCTTGCCAAACCGAAAAAGCGAAAGAAGAAAGAGAAAGATCCTCTGTCGCTCAAGAGGAAAAAGGGGAGAAATGAAGTGGAAGTTGAAGGAGCGTTCTTTGCTGAGCTTTGAGTGCTGTCGCCAAAATAGTTCACGGATGCGTATTCGAAGGACTGGTCACTAGTGCTTCAGGATACCTCGTGTCCCTCGTGTCACAAACTCAGTAGGAAGTACTGTCTAATAGAAAATCACTTTTCGACGCGAACTGAATTGATTGGAGCCTGTTGGAGCTGCTCTCAGCCAATGAAATCCCCTCGAAATATGCTGCTAATAAGCTCTAATATAAAGCCTGAGTACATACACATGATACTATTACCACTAACTTCGCGAAGGCCCTGTCCTCTTACAAAGTCGCGAAGCTCTACACGTGATCCTTCCGTTCGGATCTTCGACTTTGAACCGTTGAACGTCAATGAAGTTTGAACGCTTCAATTGTGACTGTGTATACCCTGCCTTGCAGTCTTACTACGAGGTGGTTGTTGTAACTCTCTCATCATGATCATTGCCCCACGAGCTGCAAGCACCGGAATACGTGTGCATCTGAAGCGTCGCTTGTCATCTAGAGCTTCCGGTATCCTCTCTGCTTTGAACATCCCCTTGAACAAGGAACTCAGTGGGGTATATGATGGTCAATGGAAGGGTTCGGGTGAAGTCATCGAATCAGTATGCCCTACAACTGGGGAAGTTCTTGCTCGTATCAGAACCGTGCGTACAACTCCTGAATCGGAATAATCCCCGTAAATAATTCAAGGCTTCAGGCTTCGCCTGCAGACGTATCGGAAACCTTGACGAAGACTCGCGAGGCCTACCTTCAGTTTCGTGGTGGGTGTACTCAGCGTCTCAACACGAACAGGATAACTTCACTGCCGCTCCAGATGTTCCAGCGCCACGTAGAGGCGAAATTTTGAGGCAGATCAGGGAAAGACTTGCCAACAAGGTCCGACCAACTTTATCCGACTGATGCATGCGCTGTCAAGTAATGTTCATCTTTTCAGCGAGAGGAGTTGGGTGCTCTTGTCACTCTGGAGATGGGCAAAATCAGGTCTGAGGGTGTGGGGGAGGTTCAGGAATTCATTGACATAGTCTGTTATCTCTTTCTTCACACTTAACTGAAATCAAACTGCTGCTCCAGTGTGATTATGCTGTAGGATTGTCCAGGATGATGAATGGAAGGATTGTCGCGTCAGAACGTCCTGGGCATTCTATTCTCGAGGGTTAGTACATGTCATAATCATCTGGTATCCCTTCACTAAATTGCTTGCAGTGCCCAATCCCCTAGGGGTGGTCGCCGTCTTGTCCGCGTTCAATTTCCCTGTGGCTGTGTATGGATGGTCTGTATCCGTCAAGCCAAGCATATCCATGCATTAATCATAGTGGTTGGACAGGAATCTAGCCTTGTCTTTGGCAGCGGGGAATGCAACGATCTGGAAACCCTCGCCAACCACCCCATTAACGTCAATTGCGGTGACATCCATTATCGCTGAGGTGCTGTCGAAGAACAACCTCCCGGGTGCACTGGCTGGACTAGTCACTGGCGGGCAGCCTGTCGGTGAGGTGCTTGTGGGCAGTAAGGAGGTGGAACTAGGTAACTGTGGACTGTAATCTGGAATTTGTCAGAGATGAATATTTCCCGCAGTATCATTCACGGGCAGCGAGCGTGTGGGCCGTATCGTGGGGCAGGCTGTCGTGTCCCGGTTTGGCAAGTCAATCCTTGAACTGGGCGGAAACAATGGTCAGCATCCAGAACTCATGAATACACTTTTTTTTGAAACTCAGTCGCGCTGTTTTAGCTTCAATTGTAATGCCAGACGCGGACCTCTCTTTAGCGGTACCCGGAGTATTCTTCGGCGCTGTTGGTACAGCTGGCCAGCGATGCACATCTACCCGACGTCTTTTCTTGCACCGCGACATTGCTCCAGAGTTTCTCCAGCGACTTCAGAAGCTATATGCTTCCCTTAAACCTGGTGATCCTTTGGACGATAATACTCTTTTGGGCCCATTGCATACCCCTGCTGCGGTTAATCTCTATGAGAGTACCGTTGAATATTTACGTTCCATCGACGCTGACATCTTGTTCGGAGGAAAAGGATATGAGATGACACCATATGACGGTGGAAATTTCGTACAACCCACTATCGCGGTCCCTAAGTCTGTCGAGATGTCAGACCGCATATGGAGCACCGAAACGTTCGCACCAATCCTAAATGTCGCTATTTTCGACGAACTGGAAGAGGCTATCCGATGGAATAATGCAGTACCACAGGTGTCTATTTTTCACGCTTATACTCTTGCTTCTATTTTCCATTTTAGCTGTTAACTTAACTTCTATCAGGGTCTTTCCAGCAGCCTCTGGACTCGTGATTTACGAAACGTTGGGAAATGGACGGGTCCTAGTGGATCTGACGCTGGGATCGTCAATGTCAGTGCTCTCACTTGTTATCTGTCCCATATCTATCTCACGGATGGGATTCCGCTGCGGCAATTCCCCATAGGTCAATGCAGGGACATCAGGTGCTGAGATTGGAGCTAGCTTGTGGGTGCCTGTGTTCTGCAACAAGAAACAACCTGTACTGACATCCCGCATCTAATGTGTCTCAGCGGCGGTAATAAGGTAAGTCATCACGGGATCCACTTGCAACGAGAGAAGAGTACTGGCAGTTGAATCCGACACTTTCACTTCCAGAGTACAGGATGGTACGTGTCACATCAAGCTCTCTTATGTATGGATTCAGTTGAACTCGCCCAACAGGGGTCGAGAATCTGGTGGCGATGCTTGGAAACAGTATGTTCGCTGGAGCGCCTGCACAAGTACGCTATTTGCGTCGTCCTCGAGATGCCAGGTTTTGATTGTTTGCATTGACAGTCAATTTTTCGAACGAGGCTCCCCTTGCGCAAGGAGTCAATTTCAACATTGAATGAACTGGAGAAGACATGATTAAGTAAACCTATAGCATATTACTCACAGCAGCGTCGGTTTTACTCACAGGTAAGTAATAAATGGTATGTATGCGAAGGTCGGTACAATTCGGTACAATAGAGTAAATTGAAAAACAGTGCTTGTCATAAACATTAAGGGTGACTTGGTCGTGGAGGTGTATAGTTTCCCGTATGTTTTCTTCTTCTGATAGTCTTGATCCGACATCACTCTGTATAGAGTGCAATAGTTCCAAAAGAAATCAGCAGCATGGAATACTTCTGAATTTATCAATGCCATCCACGCTGAAAAGAGACAATTGTGGGAGCTGCGATGGCCGACAGGATAACTCGAGATCTGATTATTTTCCACCTGTTCCCACTTCGATTGTAAAGGTTTCCAAGGCCAAATGCAGACATCCCCGATTGATTGAATATAACCATCAGGCATCAGGCAGTGCCTTGCAATACTGATGCCGACTTATAAGCAGAAGCCGACATTTCCTTTCAAGTTTCAGAACATCCTCGCTAATTTTTTCTCCCGTCTTTTTTAAGCCGTGCTAAAGCGGTCAAGTGTCGGTTTCTTGAGTTCCTTGCATCCACTATCATCATTCCATTTCTTTAATCCTACACATCATGTCCGTTACCGATGATCTACCATGGCCCGAATTGGGCAACGTATCTCGAGGCGCCACTCGAGGAAATCAAGGGCAGAAGGGGGTATTAGGACCACCAGACCGTGACGGACGGTGCACTCTCCAGTTACGCGTTCAACCGGGGGTTTTAGCAGTACGATTAAATCGTCAAGCCAGCGACTGGTATAGGACATTGGATAACGAAGTTAATCGCGCTCTAAAACTCACTAAAACCTACTGGCGAAAAGCAAGAAGACGTCAGGACTACGACGCGCGGGCTGATCAAGATCATATGGAGCTGCATGAATGGCTGCAACAGTTAAAGGACAAAACAATGTCGCATCTAGAATTGCTTATGCAAAAAGGCGATATACAGGGACCACCGTACACCATGCCCGATGACATCGAATTGACATTTTTGCGCAAATTTATCGAACGCCAGGCCGCAGGAATGCCCCACAATCCACGTCTGCGCAACGGCGCCGACCCAGGCTATATCATTCGGGCCCACTCAGTAGATTCAGGATCCCCCGATCCTTCAGACCAAAATTATCAAGACCAGAGGAATCGAGGTGTCGGTAAGCATGGGTATCGTTTAATGATGTTTGATTCGGATCTCATCATTGCGACAGACCCAACAGAGGCGGTTAACAATCATATGTCTATGGGTAGTCGGCCTTCCGACTCGCCTACTCTACGGAATCCCGACTCTCTAGCTCAGGAAGCGACTACGTCCAGTAAGCTATGTGCAAGTCACCTTTATCGCCGTTCCTGATTCCCATCATAGAACAAGCGCTTCAAATATCCCGCGCAGCATTGGCTCGTGCCCAAAAAGATACTCAAGATGCGTTTTTACGCTATACTGCGTGCCTTGACGCCGAGCGGCAAGCAAGACAATCAGTGGCCGCGGCAGAGAAACGTCGGGATGATGTTAGTACGTCGATCCGAAGCTAATCCTTCGTTTTTACGGTTTCTGAGCATCTTCACAGTGGCTGCTCTTTTGTCGATGAACACAGCTGGTCTGTATGATGGCTTGACATACCTTCGTGCAGATCCTAAAGAAGTCGTTTTACATAGAACAACGATCAAGACAATCTTCTGTGTCATTAGAAGAAGCTCAAGCTGCACATGCATTAACTCGTTATCATAATGAAGTAAGTACCGACGTCCGCTAGTTTTGTACCCAGCCATCGTTGACCATTGCTTGTACCAGGCTCAAGATTTCAAAAATAGGTCCAATACTAAGCCTTTGGAATGGGGTGATGCTGAGACACAAGGAATCTATGCAACTGAGCCTATGGCTCACCTCGAAGTAAGCGGTACTAGGTTCAATGAGTTGGGATATCTCTTAAATCAGGATCTAGAATCATGGGCGCATTGTCCGAAAACATTCACGGACTTGGGAAAACGGCGGGCAATTACAAGGCATGTTTTCTATGTTGGTGTTGCGCTAACTGTTGATCATTTCTTAGACCACCAGTATGGCGAGGTACTTGGGCCTGCGCAGTTAAGATCGCCCCCGTTGAACTCCGATTTCCAGGATCTCAGTGGCTTACCACCGCGAAAACGCATACACCATATGATTCCAGGATACGATGTGATGAGCAACCCACTACAGGCGCAAAACATGACATTACAGCCATGAATTCTTGGACCTACCATGCATTGCTTACGATCTACATGCGCTAACATTCATGATATTTATTGATTGTATACTAATTCGCATATACCGCCTTCTTAATATTTACCCTGTATAGGACGACTCCATCGAGTATATGTACCGCGTTGAAGTCGTCTTTTGTACTTATATTAACCAATTACTTATCTTTTGGCATATGTAGTCAGAACATCATTCACATGAAACTTGCATCGTGTTCAGTATTCAGTCATTTATCAGGAAGGAATATCAACATCTGTTGGATATGATGCAGTCAAAAAATGCCTTGATTTCCGGACTGGGTTTAGTTGAACGCTGGATTTGGTCTGAGTCAGTCTCAATCCTTGGACATGGAACGCTGCGACGATCGCGGGCTATACACTGCTACTTGGCTATACTTGAGGAGTCAGTTAATTAATTCCTCTTGGGCGCTTAGTGGAATATCGGTAAGCGCTCATACCAGTCCCTTTCACCCTCATCAAAAGACAAAGAAAGCTTCGGCGCATCGTGCATTATGCCATGCACGAACAACGGTGTGACGACTGCTTTGGACAAAGTCGGGCGTAAACTTCTTTGTGGCCTTGGCTGATGGATTTGCCTATTGTCGCAATCGATTAATCAGGAAGGCCCAATATTCTTGAGGCCCGTTGTCCCCATTGTCAAAGCTGCCACCTCTTCGGTATATAAGGGCGTATCTGGTGCTCTGATCATCGTGCTACTCAGAATCTTCAAGGACTTACTCGTCTCTTGACAACTCTCTTTTGCGTCCTTCACCGGAACCACACAGCGTCCCTTAAGCTTCTAGTCCTCCTAAAGTATCTCTCACTGGTAAAATTCGTCAATGTCATCCAGCAAGTCCTTGTTGTCTACCTCCTTTTATAACATGAATTAAAGAGAACCCTATAGCATCTACTCCGACTTGCTGGAACTACGTTCGAGGACATTGTTCTCTCCGAAAATGCAAATACTATCACCCAACGGATATCTCTTTCCAGAGTCCCTTCGCAACTTCAATTTCGAAGCGCGTGCCGAATGAAGTAGACGAGAATTCTTCAACGAATTGGAGAGAGGCTTCACTCACTACGCCTATTCCGTACACGCCTGTCGCCTGGAAAACCGCACCTTGTAAACATTTCATACAGACTGGAAGCTGTGCGATGGGTAACAGATGCAAATTGTAAGTTTGTTTTCTTCAGTTCTCTTTCATGAGAATACCGAGTTTCACTACATTCCTCGTTGAATAGCATTCACGATTCACACCTTGTCCGTGGTGACAGGGATGCTCGTTCTAATGGACGCTTGATGAAGGAAAGCATTACATCGTCAAATGCGCATTGTTGGTCGTATGTCCAAGGAAAGTGCAAAAACTCTTCCACTTGTCCCTATTTCCATCCGTCGAACCCAATCCCTTGTAAGTTGATATATTACGCTATTTTAAGTTTATATCCAGATTGACTTCTTCAGATAAAAAATATACACCTTGCCTCCTTTGGCCAAAATGCCCGGCGGGAGATCATTGCTCGTTCAAACATCCGAGACCATTGAAAGAACCGCTCCAACCTGCCGCCAGTAATTCTGCGACTGTCCTTTCATCGGTTACGTCTGCCTTGGAGTATCCTCGCTTTACATGTCACCAAGATGATTCTTTTGACTCATCTCCCTCGACCTTGCCCCAAATTGCGTCCCCAGTGCCAAAGTACTTTGCAGGCTCGAGATTGAAACTTTTTGACAGCGACTTTTCTGGAGATCTTTACCAGCATCCTCATTTCAGCCCCTCATATAACGCCTATGGAGGAGTTGCATCTACTCCTTTGGCATATGGTGACCGCACTGTCTCTAAAGCTCAGTTTTTGCAGTCGGGGACCCCTCGCTTCCAACCTGGTCATGCACGTCGTATCAGCGTCCCGGTGCGGAATCCTGATACCAATGTGAGAATCGATTTCTAAAGTTCCAAAGGACGGGAGCCAACCTTCAGCGAATTATCCGGATTTTCTATCGAGGATAATCCGATTCAAACCCCTCAGTAGTCCTTAGGACTACGGTGGTTGTTTCTCATGATCATTTTGTACTTGCCATTTTTCCCAAATAGACTTTCTTTCTTTCTGATCATCCGTGATCCGTCTTCCTCATACTATACTGTGGTACTTCCTTGCCCTCGCTTCAATTAATTCCATCTACAAGTTGTATACCTCGATCCAGGATGTGCCCTTACATAATCTCCACCTACTCCAAGCAAAGTCGGTACAAAGTCGGTATAGTGTATTTCCACAGAATGATACATGTCGGATTAGACATATGAACTTACAGTTCATTCCAATTCTGAGTTCTGTCACTGATAACGTTTCAGGGGATGCAGTTAGGATCGGCGATCATCGTCGTAGTCTATAGTAACGAGAACGGGAAGGAACAGTGCGATATAGTCTGATATTATCATAAGTGAAGGCTGTAGTATAGGAATTAGTTTCAACGTCTTCTTGACTTCTTGATTTCATCAATCTGCTTCCCGCTCACTAGCGGATCGATGTCCCGTTATGTGACTTCATATGGTCAAGAGAAAAAGTGGTGGTATCATTAATACGGATGGGTAAGGATCACTATTCACCGGTGGAATTTGGAGGATAATAATAAGTAAACTCTAGGCACTCCAATCGCCTGGTCCATGGGAAGTGTAGCAAGTACTCACTGAGAAGAGCGTAGGGACGGAAAAGAATAATGATATTTTCCGTGACGCCTCGGAGGGAAACTTTACATGAGATAAACAACCCAACAACACCCCCATCGATGGCTCGCAACATAGAGCACAAAATATGTATTGGGGTATGTAAGGATATGTATCGTATCCTAAAAGAACGGAGCTTACAATTTCAATAATCATTCACTGTTGAGGTAGTCGCATCCCCACTTGTAACGATGTTCGATGAAAGCATTATAGCTACGATCCTGAGTATAGGATCCCGAAGTTCATAAATCATCATCATCAGGCACAGCTGCAATTCCGAATGTTAAGGTTCGAGAAGAAAGCGGAACGCTGAGGCCTACACCGTGCGAGGAGGTGCGAGGAGGTGCGAGGCCCATACTGAACATGAGACCGGGCCGCTTAATTTCGCCAACACGATTCCGGGGTAAGAATACTTTGCATATAAGAATTTGTAACATGGGTTGAGTTAGACAGAATTGGAATGGCGTGCGCGGGAGGATCGAAGCTCTTAGCTTACGTTCTCATGGTGGCCACCAAAAGCCACCAAGTCCCTTCAAACTCCAGGGTATAATATCTCCGAAAAGAATCGGACTGTTTCCGACGTGTAGATGTCTTTCCGTCACGGCCTGCCTTAGATAGCCAGGGGCCCCTCGGGAGTTTGACATAGACTTGAAGCAGCATCGACAACCTGTCACTCCATAGAGGAAAGCGGAAGCCCGGTATTGTCTGGGTACGTAGACCCGGAACGTCCCGGAACGTATGTTGTTCAAATTAGCGTTCGAGGATACAGATGCCAAAAAAATTCTCTAGCAGCAACTTGTTTCGATCAAGTGACCTCGGGGTTATGGGCCCCGCGCGCTACCACTGCGCCATGCTGCTGATACACAAACTGGGTACTAAAAATAGAGAATCATGACCGGGCTTCAACGTTGCAACGTCCAGCAGCACAAATCTTCCCATACAACTGATTTGCACACGAATGCCCAACAATTAGCTTGTAGCCTGCGGCTCTTTTGGACCTGGAGATACAAGCATATTGGGTGTCGGTTCCATCTGCTTCTGCTCCTGCTTTTTAGCGGCATCTTCAGCTTTCGATTTCGCCATATCTTGCCGCACTTGGTCGTCGAATGTGTTTGGGATGGAACTGGAACGACAGCAACGGCAACACGAGTATGGCGCGACTAGGGAGAAATTGTCATAAAGTCAATAACACACGATGAGGGGATACTAAACGCACCGGTGTCACACCAACTCGACAGAGCGGAAAATAGACCTATGCAGCAGCAACCACAGAACATGGAAGCGCAATCTCCACCACCATTGTTGTCCATTTGGATGAAATGGATGGAAGTTGAAAATATTTGAATACGTGCGCGAAGGACGTAAGAGCCAAGGTTGTATGTACAGTATCGAAGGAGCGTGCAAATATTGAACTAACAGGTTCAATCCACGTAAGGTTATATCGTTTCGTTAAAGAGGCTTAGACCTCGGACCTTTCCTCCTTCTTCGTTCTCCTTCGCAACTGTGCTACAGAGAAGACTCTTCAGGCTTGGATGGTGAGGATGAAGGCAAAGGCATTCTGCTGAGCGAGGGCCGGGAAGATACCAGAAGATAACCTCGATTCAAAAAAATCTTTTGCTTGGCGTCCCGACGTTACTGAACGGCTGTTCATGTAAGTTGTAACTGTAACACGACTCCTTCAAGTTTTGCAGCCCTATCACGAAACCCGTGCATGAACGAACAGTTTACTAGTCCTACAAGTACTACGTTACATCGAGGCCTACTTCTTGCGGTTGTTCAAGGCCGAATCAAACGATGCAGAGTCAAGTGCTTCCAGCATATACATAGAAACTTTAGGAGAAAAGCACGCCCATTGTCCGGTGCACTTCGTCGATACCAATCATTATAAATGAACATGGAACGGTGAAGAGACCTGATGCAAGTCAATAAAATGCTACGAAAGCAAACGTTTATGAGAGGATCACATTAGACAAGTCTATTCAGTAGATGCAGGTGGTTTAGAAACGTTCATATTGGGTGTTGGTTCCATTTGCTTCTGCTTTTTGGCGGCGTCTTCAGCTTTGGACTTTTCCATGTCTTGCCGCACTTGCTCATCAAATGTGCTCGGAACAGAATTTGAGCGACAGCAAGAACAACAAGAGTACGGTGCGACTGTAGAAGATTGTCAGATAATATCAGATAGAGGAGAATAGACACATACTGGTATTGCACCAACTCGACAATGCAGACATGAGTCCTACGCAACAGCAGCCACAGAAAATCGAAACGCAATCTCCACCAGCATCATCGGGCATTAGAATGAACGAAGTTGAGTTGAGTTGAGTGCAGTGCAGTTGAGAGCTAGAATTCGAGAGGATGTAGAAAGTAGGAGGAAAAAGGAGTTGGTTGTAAGATCGGTACTTAAGAGGAGGCGAGCTGCGGTAGATGAGTGTCATCATTTTCCTTTAAATGGCACAGCACGTTTTCATAGACAGATGCTCCCTCACTCACTACAGGTGCAATGATGTATCATCATGGAATGATTCTTGACCAATCAGCTCTTCTTTCAGACATCGAGGAGCCCATGTAACCTTCAAGTTGACATATATCATCTTCATTATTTCCAGCGGAGGAGAACAGGCACCTGTATGGTAATTTTCTGTAAAGGTTATTGAGCCAAGGGCGGAGTCAATCTCACGGGAGGGGAAGACAAGAGGTATAAAGAGCATATCAAGATAGAATGTGTATCAAGACGTTGACGGTTATAATAAAAGGTGACCACCTTACGACATTTGATTCACCTGGAAATGGACGCATTGACAAGTTGAATATCATCTTGTAAATTTATGAAGTTTCCTCAAGTTTTAGCATTGTTCTGCCCATAAACTACTGCATGACCGACCAAACGTTACTGTGATGACTTCGCTCTTTGCTCGCCACATTGTTTACTCGAGCCCAGTCGTTGGGAGTATTCATTTCTGGTAAAAAAAAGTAATACATAAGTTCCATCCAAATAAGCAAGCAAATATAGAGATACATACAATACAAATGATTGAGAGGGTTCTCGGGACCGAAGATAGCATTAGCTTCTTCGTTTTTTTTCTGAGCTCGTGTTTTGGACTCGACTTTGGGTTCAGCTTCCTTCTGTGGACTACTGTGTTCAATGGGCAAGTTCTGCTTTTTGGCACGGTCCCTAGAATGATCGACGTAAGGATCTCCGTGAATGTTCAAACGGACGACGCCAGTGGGTGTTGGGGTCCGCAAATCAGTTTGCGAGGCCGGTGGACCGAAGGACATGGTACCATCGACAACAGGAAGTGTGCTATACGGTCCGTCGGTGACGTTTGCGTAGGGAGGTGGGATGGACAGAGTTAGTCAGTAATGGTAGTAGCGAGTAACGGAACACACGGAGATGCATTTGTCGCCAACGAGATCGCTGTAGGGAGCGCTGTTACCGGTACGACAGTCATCATCGCAACGGCCGCAATAGCGAAGGTAGAAACGGAGATTGCTTTCATTTTGTTTCGGCGTATATGTAAGAGTTGAATTTATCGAAGAAAACAAGACCGGCTTGACTTCTCGAGTGATATGATCGTAGAGGTGGAAATGAAACCTGCTCAGGTGAAGTTATACACCATCTAAATCTTGACCTTTATATCGTTTTAGACGCACTGATTAATTTAGGAAGTGAGGGAATTTTTGAAACTCTTGGACGGGGAAGAAAAAAAAGAGGGGTCACGTATACGAAAGCACCGTACGATGCTGGCTGATGGTCTGCGCACCTGTATCACATATCTTTGTTTAACCGAGTCACCGAGGGGCGAGGCTCGAGACATCTCCCAAAAGACTTCAAATAAGCGCAATAATACGTCCATTCCAGGCAACTCCAGGCAGGGGTGGACAATCGACCAGGGGGTGTTGTCAGGCTTTTTCATGTGTATTGCACAGCTACTGAGGCGAATACGAGCATGGCAAACCGAAGACAACATCCCGATCCTGCTATACATGACCTCCGAATTTGTATCTAGGTTCTGGTGGTTGTGTCTTACCCAGATACAAGTGTAGGTAGGATGTTAAGCCTGTGAGTATGTAAGAGTAAGGGTAAGTTAGAAAGATGAACACAAACATACCTTGCACTATGTATGCGAGTATGCAAGCGTACATGAATACTGTTGTTCATCCAGCAGCATGGGTGAGTCTGATTGGAAATGCGAGCCCCGCTTTCTTGGCCCTAGAATGGCAACCAAGTGCACTGCATCAGATTGGATCTAGTACAGTCTAGTTTAGCAAGGCACAGCCTGGGGCAGGGATACAGTATAGGATACAGTGTGTTCGCGAGGTTTAAAAAAATTGGACTTGGTTCCATGTGACATCTTGGCACGGAAGCTCATCCACAGCAGAGAGCAAAAATATGTTGGTACATAGCAGGGACGGCGAACAAGGAACGAGAGCAAATGACATGGTACTCGGGCAAGATTATGCAAGAAAGTAAACGGGTGAGTACGTACAGAGCTGAGATTAGTGACTAGTATTATGAATCAGAAGGGAGAGGGTGTGAACTTGAACGGATTTTTTGACAATTCTTCGAAGGGCCTTGAAAATCTTGACTCTTGAACATCCAGTAAAGAGTGAAACCAGGAGAACACCACGATTGGCCTAATTTCGGAGGCACGGCAGGTATAACCCACATAGATAAGAAGAGTCTATGCAACGAAGCGCAACTCGGAAGCCTAACGAAGCCTCAAGTCTTGATGCCATTTTTGAAGATATTTTCTTTTCGAGTTCACATTCTCGTGATCGTCGTTGATTTCAAGTTCGTAGCCGAGATGGGCTGTTGATCCAGAAGATAAGAGAGATCCAAACCCGAGAAGACAAGTATTTAACGGTGGGGACTGCGCTGATTTGGAAGGTGTGTAGGAACCGGATCGGTGCCACAAATACTGGCGGTACTGGTGAGGTTGGGATTGATACGTCGACAGGTAGTAAATCCATCACAGAGGTTACAAGGCCACGAAACTAATCCTCAGGTTGTCCGGAAGATCAGCGAATCCCTGAGTAACGCAGACGATCTAGAGAGCTCTGCTCAGAGCCTCAGCTGGAGGTGAAAGTAATTCATTCCAGCGACAAATCATGTTCTACCTTCGTAGAATCGTCTGAAGCAGCGTGTCTGTCTTGTCTTGTTTTGCATAGCATTGAGAAAATGCTGATACAGTTGGGCGATAACTTTGTCGTAAATTCTGGTAGTTGTTGGATGGTCTAGAACCCATAATATAGGCGCGCGCGTGAAATCTCCCACGACACCTTGACGGGCGCTAAAATTGTTACACTCGTCGACCATAGCTAGTGGCGAATCGTCCGCTGGTCTAGCCTGGAATTTTATAGATAGATTTAACGTCCCAACACCCTCTCGCGCACCCTAACAGCACTTTATGGCAGACCCACAACTTGTGGATGGATCTAGGTGGAATTTCTCCCAAACTTTCCTAAACGACTTTCAATCCCTACGCTCAGGTGGTTCAGCTTTTCCGTAGTCTACTCCGGACAGTGACTCATAAATACAGACTTGCAAACGCGTATCCAGCAGGCCAATCAGTCTGTCTCGATTTCGAAGCAGACACTCGATGGTTTAAATCTTCAACTAGCAGAATTATCCAAAAGTATTGTTGATGCAACTGGATCTATTCCAAAATTTGATCAAAGGAACTGCGAAAATGTGAGCGATTGATATATGCAGATGCGCTTCAATCTGATTTATTGATGAAGCAACTGAAAGAGATCGAGCAAAGTCTTGAGGGACTCCGAAAGGCTTCGGCGCCGGCCTCGAAATTCGCGTTCAAGAGAAAGGCTAGAGAGGCGGTACAATCTTCGCCCAACGTGTCAACGCCGTCCATGAAAGCCAGTGCTGCACCAACGTCCTCACTAACTTTATCTTCATACACGATGAAACTTGTCACACCGGATGATTTACCAGACCCCGAAACAGTTGCTCCAGAGCTACGTTCCGAATTGAGTATACACGATTTGGATTCCTGCATTCTTAATTTGATCAACGCGAAACAACACGAAATCTCAGCGTTGCACATCCGCAATGTTAAAAATTCGATCCTTCTTCTTCCGGCTCTCGATGGCAGCGTCATATTGCATGATCTGATAAATTGCATCGTCGTAGTGAAGTGTCATCAGGTGAGCAGTGAAAGTTCATCTCCAGCCATCGTACCGCCTACTAACTTCGGAGAACAGTTTAGAATGCACTCATCAAAGAGCATCGACGTCTACCTTTCTATCCAATCAAATCCCATCATCGAGCACTGTCACAGCATCCAATTTGCACCATATCCTGCTACCTTTTCCCCAACGATCGTCCAACACAATTCTGACGTTTCAGTGCAGGACTTCTCGCATATAAAATCCACGCCGTCTCCCAACTGGAACGTTCTAGATGAAAGGGCCAGGAAATTACCCGAAGATTGGCAGTCGATTTCAGCCGTAAGCGCAACAGACGTTGAGCGGATTTTACAGAAATGTTTGCCCAGCGTGTGATATGAGCATTTTGATCTATGGGTTACTCAGAATGAGCGATGTACTTATGGGATAGATAAATTTGCCCTTGGAGGTCGAAGAGGGCATTTTCCTCGTAGTCATTGCGGATATTAGCTCATATGTACGGTCGTTCCTCCATCATTTAAAACCAGTGGAACAAAAAACCGGTTCGTCAAATTATCATATTCCGCATGTTCTTGATGCACACAAGCCGGTACATACATATTTCAGACGTTGCAATTGATTGCTGTTCGAGTACTCTCATCCTATTACAACAACATAAACAGAATCAACAGTGTATTGTAGAAATAAATTATTGAGAAAAAGAAGACAGCCGCCCAAACTTTCGTCATAGGAGGCCTACGTACCCAGATATCAGCACCGAATGAAGTTGCCCACAATCATGCTGGGTATGCCCCACTTATCCCTTCTAATCGTGAATGAGAAACAGCAATTAACCAAGCCCTCCTCGGTTGAGGTGAGAACAGGACCCGCATTAGACGATGCCGTCGGATGAAGGGTGAGCGAAGCACCAGGCCCTGAGGACGAGGAAGTGCTAACGCCTGCAACACCTGCTCCCATCACACCTGAAGCGGAAGACCCTACGGGACCATTACGCGGCGAATTGGGGCTGATATTGAGCTGGGGCTTGTACCGTAGCACACAAGAAGTGAGGACGGCTTTTTGAGATGAGTCGAAAGCAACATGACCGTATTTCTAGTGAGGGATAATTAGAAGTCAGCGTCAGAGAGCATTCTTTCAACCGACAGACCTCCCAATAATTGACCGCACTTTCTTCCGCCATTAATTCATATATACATAGCTTTCCGTCTCTTAGTAGATAACCATTTATCCCGACTAATTCAGAGAATTCTCTGTTTCCTTTGTATATCTCGCCAGTTCGCCGCCAAAGACATGCAGGAACCCCCATTGCAGAGAACACACGATCATAGTCCAGTAAGAGCCGTTCAAATGCCTCTTCGATGAAGACGAGATCCTGAGGAAGTGAAAGAAAAATCGAGGAAGCCCACACAATGATATTCATGGTGATACTTACTATATCTCGCAATGATTGTGCTACAGCTCGAAATTTGGGTCGTAAAACTGAGAGTGGTTGTAAAATTTGTTGCTTTGACTCTTGAGAAACGCTGGAATTCATTGAGCAAGAGGTAAGCATTTGATGTTGAACAATACACAAACTTGCGATCCATCCATCTCGATAATCGAGCGTAGCCTTTCACATAGTTATATGGTTTTAACAATCCCGCTTCGTATTTACTCCTGATAACCCAACTTAAACGCTCGTCTCTGGATCCAGATTCTTGATCTGCCGCAGTGAGTAAAAATTTCTCGGTTTTGGTAGCCGCAGGAAGAATTGTCGCCGGATCTGGCGCTTGTGTCTCTGGAGCTTTTTCGCCTTCACTAGTCGAAGGGTCATCTGAATTTGACGATGGTGAAGTTTCTTGATTAGAATTTGAGTTGGTTGAAGCTGATTCTGTGGTGCCAGATATTGTTGTAGCCGTCGCTGACCCATTTGTCGGAATAGTATATGTATTGGTCGTGAACGAGCTTGTTCCGGAACCCAATAAAGCAGAGGAAACACTTTGAGGAGCTCCGAAGAATGAATTGTCATCGAGGGTTTCTAAAAAGTCCCTGTTCGTGCAAAGATAGGATATTAATCCCATGCATTGTGGTAAATGCTCATAACGCACGTTAAAACAGAAAATTCATTTCCTAGAGTATCCGAGCGATACATGAAAGGTGATTGGGAAACCATGGGCCAAGAAGACGCAGAAACACCGCCTGTGGTCGGTGTGGGTTGATGTCGATTCGTGGTCGCAGCTGTAGATGCATACATTGTTGCTAGAGATCCATAGAAAAACAAAGACCATGAAAAGGTAAACGGCTTACTTGTACTGAATCCTGGGGTGGAAGGGTTTGTAGCTGGGGGAATGTCCGGAGGCTGATTATCGGATTTAGGTCGACGATCATCGTGACATAGATGTCCTATCTCCCTCTTGATGCTGAACAGGATATTGAGTCTGAAAATAAGAAATTATGACAACAGTGATGTACCATCTCTGACAGGGCCTTCCTTCGTCGCAAGTCATATGGCTTCTTCTGCAATATAAGCATGCATGATTGACCTTTCTTCTTCTAACTGTTTTCTTCTTCCGTGAACCGATTCCCGACTCCTCTATACCTGCATCATCGTCCACTGATACCGAGCCAGATCTCGCAGCGGCCATTCCCTCGGCAAAGGAGCTCCCAGCGCTAACAGTCACCAAAATGTTTGACATCGAAGAACCAGCTTCCTACTGATTTTGGTCGTGTGCTCTGAGTGACGGAACAAAAGTGAATGTCGACAGAATCAACGCTCAGCAGATGGGGAGGTAAAGGTGTGTAAGCCGGGCCGTACTTGCCCGTAGACTGTGACGTGCCTCAGATTTACCTCGGACATTACAACTACATGAACATGTACATTCTTGTATGTAGCAAATAGTGTTACTGTACAGTACTACTCTGTATCGCACTCGGCGACATATTTACAGCGTGGAGGAGCCGTCATGGTGCTACAGAAGTACTAGAAGAGGAGCCCAAGCAAAGGCCCCAGTCTAATAATGGTGGGGTGGCGAGAGACAGAGAGTGGCTAGAAATCAGTGGCGGCAAGAAATGAGCAGAATTATAGCAGAACCGATAATGAGCGGTGAGGGAATGGTGGCCAAGGCATATATGGTACGAAATCGGGCGCGACCCGATGATATTATGACAATGTAAAAGATGGGCGCGCAGAGAGCGATAGCATACTGTATAAACTAAAAAACAGACCAAGATAAGGAGTTGGGGAAGAAGATAAAGACATATAGACATAATAGACAATATAAACAAGGAACATAGTGATACTTTTTTTGGTGAAGGAAGAACAGATAGTCCATTTGGACTAAGCATGGTTTTGTCGAACTATAGATATCAGCAGAGTTATACTCCTGGCGTAGGATAGCCTAGGCGAGATTGATAGTTCGGAGTAGGGTGGCTTCCATTCGTTGCTTGTGGTGTGAACTGTTGAGTTTGCTGGTACTGATGCGCTGGTGTTGAAAGGGGCTGGGACGAAGGGGTTGGTGCAAACTGCTGTGTCGGCTGGTAGCCCGGTGTGGCAGTAGCAGGAACCTCCCCTTGAGTCGCAGGGGCATAAGGCATCGGCATCGGCGGGAACGTGGTAGTCACAGGTGTACTGGTCCTACTCGCGCTGACGCTTGAAGCGCGGCTGGGAGGCTTTGAAGATGAGCCTGCTGCTCCTCGGACTTTTCTCCCCTCTCTCTCTGTACCTCCAACGCGACCTGCAGAAGGATATGCAGTGCTAACTACGGAGCCCACAGATCCTGTCCCGGTGTTCAGACCTTTATTCTTACCGGCACTCTTATCTCCCCGCTGAGCTAAGCACTCATGCTTCCCGCTAGCTAGCCACTGTAGCCCAATTACACCATGATCTCCAGAGTGCATATAATGGTAGCGAAGACCATTCATGTTTTTGTAACGGCGAGGGCAGTCGCCAACACCACAAGCGTAAGGCTTGAGTTGACGTTCGGCCTCGGCTTCAATTGCCAGAAGCTCCGAAGGAGGAAGAGAAGACAATGTAGAACGGAGCGAAGTAAGTGAATCAGCAGCGGAGGTGTTATTGGAGGTGGCCGAAGTGGAAATAGGGGTAAGCGCATTGATAAGTGACGATGAGGAAGCATTCGCATTTGGTATGCGGTTTTGGGAGACGGCTTGACCATATGAGTTGGACCGATTCAAAGATGTTTCTTCACCGTCTTGGTAAGTACCTTCGGCGTAACCCGAGGTCGCAGTTGTAGGACTGCTCAAGCTTAACGCGGAACTTAGGGCAGTACTTAACGATGACGGTGTAGGGATGAAATTATTCGCTCCAGTAAAATGTGAACCAGACGAAGGAGCCACTGGGGAGCTTAAGGCAGAGCTAGGGTTGCTACCCCCTGTAGAGACGACTCCAGTATTCACACTTAGAGCAAGAGTGAAAGGCGAGCTCAATGAGGAGGGTGTGACCGGAGTTGCCATTCCACTTCTAGGCGTGTTAGCACCGGATGAAGAGGCCGAGGGAGACGGGTTCACATTCGCGGAATCTTCTTGGGGTGTCTGCTGTTGTTGCTGCTGTTTACGCTTCCGCTCCAGGATGGCCTGGACGTGTTCCATGTCTTTGGGAGGAGCGAAATTGCAGGATCCATGAGTAATATGATATTTAAGACCTTCGAGATAAAACATTATTACATATGCTGAGATGAGCTGTAAGTCGATGAACATACCATTGGCTTGCTTATAGCTTTTGTTACAGTTTGGCTTGGGGCACTTGAAGGGCTTGCTCTGTAATAATCCACTGCCGCCTCCACCGGTAGGTGGTCGACCGATCCTCGGAACCGGTTTAGCGGTGTCGACAGGAATACCAGATGAGGCAGTATTTGTCGATGCAACGGGAGTGGTGGAATCGTCAAGAGGATTGCCAGTATATTGACCCTTGCCTTTCGTATTTGTAGCTTTAGCAGATAGTGTCTTATTTGTAACCTTCTCTTTCTTTACCTCCTTCTGCACGTCATAGACCGGTTGAGAAACTTCTTTTTCTTGATCCTCTATGTCAATGTCAAATTCAGCATCGGCGTCTTCATCGTCGGCTCCGTCTCCAGGATGAGACTGTGGACTTGACGGCGTGGAAAATAGCATCGCAGGCTGGACACAACCCATATCCACGGTGCCATTTTCGGAGCCCACAGACTCTCCTTCGGGATAATTGTACCCATAAGGATTCTGATAATGGAAGTTTCCGCCAAATCCACCTATGCCCAGGCCTCCGTTCATTCCGATGTTACCCATGTACGTCATGTCGACACCACCGGGCATCCCGTGACTATGAGCCCAAGCTCCAGTTCCGCCTGGCGGTGGCGGCCCAGTTATGAAGGGAGAATGTACAACTGGCCGGGAGGATGACGATGAAAAGCCTGGGAGGTTCAATGCCAGATTCGGGCGTTGAACAGAGCTAGCGTCATTTGTGATGTTTTGGGGGTTCTGAGTTGACGTAGGAGCATTGGTCGTGTTATGCAAGGAGTTTTGTTGACGAGGGCTCGGAGGCGATGAAGATGGTAATGACTTTTGACTTTTAACACCCGGATACCCTCCTGGGTAGGCTGCGGCCAGACTATTGTGAATTAAATTACTGGGCGATGAGTACGTAGATAATGGTGTAGCCAACAGAGTTTCCGGTGGAGACGGCGTAGAAGTGGGGGAAGAGGGCATCGAAGAGGCCGCAGATGCAGTAGCAGAAGGAAAAGGGGTTTCGAGTTCCATGTCGTCAGGATCAACGGGTCCTCCTCCTTGATGCATCGACTGCTGTTGATTCTGCAGCTGATTAGACGGCATAGGCTGTGGAACACCACCGGCATCGATGATTTGGGGCTCGAATGGCACTGAGATGTGCGCTTGAGGAGCACCGCCACCTGGTTGGTCGATACATACGACGTGAATGTCTTCAAAGTGCTCCAGGAGTGCATGAAGGTCAGTAAGATGGAGGCCACAACAAGTATAGTTCCTGCAGAGTTCATCCTGAAACTCGAATAGCCTCAGTGCATTGGAAACTGCTGGGTCTCGATGACTGAAACGTACTGGTAAGCGAGGTAGTCAGGAACACAATTAGAGGGGCCACTCACATATCCATCGGACTTCCCATAGTGACTGAGCCCACAGAGCCTGGGTAGCCTAGTAGTCTACTGTTGTAAGAGCCCACTGCGCTGCGGTAGCTCATAGGAGAGCCCAAGAAGTGCCGAGTATATGAAGCAGGGTTGAACGAACCCCCATCACCAGATGTATACGAGCCGGAGGCCATGTTTATATCCTGTGAATTGTTATAAGCGTTTCTGCCATGGCCACCAAGAGATATCGGTTGAGTTGCTGTTGTGGCCATATAAACGATATAATCAGAGGATAGATGGTAGATATACAGATAGAAGAAGGATGCGGATGGAAGTAGGGAAGTAAGGTTATACCAGCATCCGCATCAACCTTACATCAACCAATTAGTAAGTTAGCACGCGGAAAATTCCGAAACGGAGCCCGGATCCGGTGCACTGTTTTGCCGTCGACCTTCATCGACATTTCTCTACGTCCCCCTCCTGCTAGTTCCTTTGGAAGTTATGCCAAAGGTGCTCAGAGCCTCCTCATGAGAATCTCCCCTGTACGCCTCTCAAAGTTAAGATCACTGATGATTATTGAGTCGCATCACTATCTATCGCATTCAATGTTTGCATATGCTTTTCCTCCTTTTGAGGTTCACGTTCTCCCTGTCGCCGAAAGACCGACTCTCTCCCCAACTGGCCCCGCAGCTCTCGGACGCGAACCAAAGATGTTTGACTCCGGCAGGTCCCACTTACGCAGCAACTCTGGCGATCCGGGAAATGTTCTACCGTTCTAATATAATCAACTTCGACCACGCATACCGGTATGCATAAATCATCTCCCCCTTTTGGCCTTAACATCTATCATCATATCCTTCCTACGATTTGCTACTACATTCATTCCTTTATTGAGGATGTTCTTGTTCTTCGCTAGTCTCGGACCGTAAAGCCTAAGATGAGTGGAAATTCGTTCACTTGTGGGAACCGTTCGACATATTGAAAACATCCACCAATAACTATCAAAAGCAGCTTGGATGGTTGTGCTCGCAGCTTATCCTTACTAGATAAGTTCCACCACGACTAGCAAATTATAACGGCTTCCTTAGCTCAGTCGGTAGAGCGCCAGTCTCATAGTTGATTATGAGCAGTGTGTTTTCTACATTGCTATGAAGCCATGTACTTGTTGAAAATGCATATTGTGTACCAAAAGTGCGTAGAGCTCGAAGTTCGTTGGGTTTTCAATGGTGAATTCACACTCCCCCCGCAGGACATGAACACTCCGAGGACAAATTGTTGGTCTCGCAAGCTGAATGAGGGATTTGAGGAGCTGAAGGCTCTTAAACACTCTTTCGCAATCACGCTATCTCAGTGTCCGCATTTCCACTATCATACAAACTGCAACCCTGCTAGTGAGAGAATTGAATGCCTTTAAAGTCCAGACAAACATATGGTAGATAACTTCGGACAGATTTCAATAAAAGTATTGAATAAAAATGCATACCTTTGCGCAACAGTATAGCTTCCTTGGCTCAGTTGGCTAGAGCGCGAGTCTCATACTACTGTATGCGGGGCATCAATCCCACAATCTCGAGGTCGCAAGTTCGAGCCTTGCAGGGAGCAATTGCTTTCTTTTGCTTCTTGTTCTTACTTTTTAGAAGCGAAATAAAAGTTTTTGGAGACCTGTGGAAAATCGTAAATTTGCAAATCCGTAACTTCGAAGAAAAAAATCAGGTCACGTGGAGCTATTGCTATTGGTAGATCACATGCACATGAGAGCTACGTACTGGAAAAAGTTAAAATTACCAGTGGCACATTCTAACTTACATGCCCTCCTATTTTCAGTTTACAATTATCATTTCAATGCCTCTCCGATAAGTTCGAGCCTTGCAGGGAGCATGTATTTTTCTTTTTTAGTCTGACCTTTGCCGCACAAATATTGTGTGTGGGTTGGAACTTGGGGGACGTGTAGAGTATTTTTTCAGAAATTTCAAAAGAATTCCGCCATCCTCGTCCGAAATAGTGTCACTGAAACCGAAAATTCAGCGACATTTAGGCCACTCTGCCGGACAGGGTTTATTCGGTGTGTAGGAGCTTCAAGGGGCCTTTGATCAAATTTATAAAGCTGTTTACAAAAGTCTAATCAACGAGGTAAGAGACTTGAGCTTTTCTCTCTCTCCTCTCACCGCAAGTTCGAGTCTTGCCGGGAGCAGGTTGCTTATTTCACTATGGAAAACGTTGATCACAATGTTCGCCCAAAATGCTTCCATTTATTTGATGTCATGTAATAAATATTATTAAAATCAGGCAAGGTCAAAGCTGTAAATATCAAGATATATGCGGTCATTGCGGTCAAGAGTCAGCACATATTCCAGGACATCGAGGTAAGCAGTAGTTTTGGGTGACATGTCGGGGTTATACATCTTCACAGGCGGCAGGGCCAGTACAAGTAGTGACCCCAAGATGAAATCATGTGCAAGTCATGTCATCGATAAGTGAACGCTAATCATAACAACAGACATTCGACATGGAAAGTGTAGACTGTAGAAGCGCCATGTAATGATTCTGATTGATAGCACTTCCCACTCACGCCAGCTGTCGCCGCCAATCGTGAGCTTCGAGTTGGGGGCCAATTTCATGATATGAGGCACCTTCAACGGAGCTTGAGGGTACTTACAGCTTACTGCACGCATGCAAGTTAACAGCTGACTGTGTTTGACGCGCGCCACAGGTACTGGCCTTCAAAGATGTATTTCAATAGCTCGTGCAAGGACAGAGAAAGCGTATGAAGCTTCATACAGGTACAAAAAATCATGCGACCCTCAGAAATTGGTTGGAGCAGCCTCAAATTGGTCAGAATGCACCGGTACGTCTCGGGGCAGAAGGTGATTTGCAACCGAGGCTCCAAGAATAGCGAACTGCGAGACAGACTGTAGTAGACTGTTGTGGGGTTCTAGTTGACGGAGAAATTTCCCTTGCATCAATATTAAATTTGTTCGTTATCGATGTTGGATCACCCGTGGCATGAAGCTTAAGCCTGTGTAGGCGACAGCCAATCCAGTTTGCTCGAGTAATGCACAGACCCTCAGGGATAACTACCGGAAAGTCCCAGAACAGAATGTTTTTATGCGCCGTTGGAAGGTTGGGCCGGGATGGCGATGGCGATGGAATTCCTTCAGACGTCCACATGTACACTCCGCATGCTGTATACACAGGTATACACCCGCAGTCACTTATTCGAACCGATTCTCCGCCGCCCGGAATTTTCTGCAACAGAAAAAGATTCAGAAAAATCACCGTCGGTGTATAACAAGATGCGCAAGGTGACTAGGGTTGACTAGGAGGCGAACTGGGGCGACCAAGGTCTAACGTCAAAGGCTGGTCTAAGTACATCTGGGTGGATTTGCAAAATAATACAAAAAATACATGCGATACATTTGATGATAATATACAGCCCAAAGCATTGCGAAGAGCGAGGGAATCCATGGTCCAAAAAGTGTAGCGAAAGCAATGGCTTACTGCGACTCTACATCAGGTAGCATTGAAGCGTCTATGTAAAACAACCGCAATTGAAGCACACGGTACGCGCTGATACCCGCTTCGAATGATTACATAAGTGATTGATTGTCATCATAGAATTCCATAATGGTTAGGAATATGACCATACGGGGACGAAAATCTCGAAGGACTCAAGTCTCAAGGATACCAAAATTGGAAAAGGATCTGCGTTGATCTGCGTCACCGACGGAAAGCGTTCGAGGGAGAAGTGCCCTGAAACCCGGTCGGGGATGTACCTGATATGGCAGATCCTAGAGACATAGGCGAGGAGGGAGGTGAGGAATTCGACGAAGTCGAACAAGGTCGTGATGGAGGGGGGAGAGAGCGAATATCAGACTGTTTGTATCGATAAGGCAGACTGTGGCTTGAATAGCGGTCATTAAAATCCGATACCGGCTGAAGTCGATAAGGAGAAAGTCCCCGATGGGAGTACAACGGATTTGGACAACCATCTTCGTCCATGAGTTCATCCTCTTCAAGTAATGACTCGGCATCTGACTCTTCGGAAGCTTCGCTCATGCTCAGAGCAAATGATTCACTCTTAGTATGACTTTGTGTGAGAAATCCGAAGGAAACGTCCCGTTGTACCGAACCGCGTGTCTCGTATGAGGGAGGATGCATGGGAATGTCCGTGCGTAAACCTGTGGAAGATCTAGCACGGCTGGAGGTATTCACGGGGGGTGAAACACTAACACGACGTTTCCGTCTACGAATAGAGGCGGTCATGTTGGCGTCCTCTTTATTCTGCGACCGATTATTTAGAGGATTCGTGTGGTTCCTGTAGTGCCTGCGCATATTCGAGTTGACATTAAACTCTCGACCGCAATTAGGATACGGGCATCGAAACGCTAAAGATGAACATCAGATAGGTGATGAATATTGAATGGCCATGACTTACGAGTGGCACCTGTGTGGGTATTCATGTGGATACGGAGGCTACTCGGGCGGTTGAATCTTTTGTGGCAAGTGTTGCATACGTGTTTTTTGTCGTCGCCATCATCGGATACTTCATCTGAAGAATAAGTGACGGGGTCTGAATCTGACGGCAACGATGAAGGTGCATGAGGATGAGACGTCCTCGCAGAAGCCAGAGACGGTTGAATTGAGGAAGAGCCACTAGCTGGTCCTGGCAAAGGACTGGGGTTTACACGAAACACGGGGGCAGAACTGTTGGAATGGTCTGACACTCTGCTAGGACCTGGAGTGGCAGATGGCCGGTTCGATAGTGTGGCGCTCGACGCGATGTGCAGCAGGGATGCAGATGAAGGGTCTGAGCGTAGCACATCGAAAGAATATATCTGAGAGTTAGTGCGCGAGTCGTTCAGGTGGAGTTCCCGATGTAAGTGGTGGGGTATGTGCGAGTGCTGTGAAGGCTGTCAAAGAAAGTTGTGAGAAAAGGGTGACATAGGCATGCAGTAGAAGAAATCGCCACTGACAAAAGCATTGGATGTGGTTTTAGGTATTCCTAGCCGATAACTGGGAGAGATTTTGAGGAGATGTTCTGAAGTTAGAACGAGGTCAACACGATGAACCACGCGTAGAGAACACAAGACACAAGACTTACCCGGGAACATCTCATGGATGCTGGGAAGAGATACGGACAAGGGGGGAGCAGAGGTGGCAGCCATTTAGATGAACGAAGAACACGGATAGTCAATAGTGGGTGGGTAGCCAACGATCATAAGGATCTACTCTTTATACCGTAGCGGGTATACAAAAAGAGACCGAAGGCCCCGAACTTTAAGGCACTTAGCGCTCTCATTTCCTCCGGATCGTGATCTAATTGTAGCTAGTCAAGTCCTTTTATCCCGAGGGAATAGAGACACGTTTTATAGAAACTACGTACGTTTCGCTGTTCTTCTGGCAATTTGGAAGGTCCAAGCCACTCAAACGTAAATTGAGGAGGTGTTAACAGGTGTTAACCCGAGGCGCTGTGGTGGATGAAGGATCGGCGTGAAAGAGGCTACAGCTGAAAAAGGCAACACGCCTCATGCAAACTTTTGCAACGTAGGCATTAAAATAAGTTGAGTACAGAAAAGAATTACAGACCTGACATAATATTTATTCATCACCTGCATACATATATCGTTTCTGGTCAAGTCATCTGCATTCAAACATATGTCAGTTTTCATTACTTGTTATGGAATTTACCAAGAAAGGAAATAGGCGACAAGGATTTGCGATACGTGGAATCAGGACCAATTGAAACCGCGGGGATGGACCTGCCAGTGCGATGGACCGATGGCCAACTGCTTGCATGAAGTTCTTCATGAAAAGTCTTCGAAGGTTCACGTGTAGGAGTCGCAGGGAAGCAACTTCTTCCGCTGTCCACAAGAGGAACGCAGGCTCAATCTGAACCGTCGGACTTGCTTCATTACATGTGAGTATAGATGTGAGTAGTAACGGGAAATCGGCTGATATTCTTAGCCGTTGGAGCGTTGAGGAATTTGACGCAGCCCGGCCGCATACCTACATACGATTCCGTTCATTGTTGAAGCTCTTGAGATGATGTTTGAGGGTATTCCATGGACAAGGGTCGAATTCTTTGCATACCATGGAATATTCAAAGCAAAATACCCTGAATTTACCTGAATTGAATAAATTTGAGACAAATCGCCGAGAATGCATGATTCTCTTCTGTAATGGATTTCCAGGGCATTTTCATCACGGTCTGTAGTTCCGCACTAGATACCTGCCTCGTTCTCGAACTTCTGGCGTCTGAATTCTATTTGTTTGTAGCAAGAGCCTTTATTATGTGGCCCGAAGTCTTCGCTCAAGAGAGATCGACAAAGAGAGAACAAATTTCCCAACGTTGAACTAGTGGCGGTAAATTTGAGAATGACCTCATTCCTATCATAACCTCTGCTGGCATTTGTGTGATGAACTATATAATGATACATTATAGCCACTCTTTAGACGAAGGCCAAAGTGGGTCATACTGTGGATGAGATTGGCGTGGGCTACAGAAAACAACCTTCTCTTCCATTAGTTCGGGACGGCAATCCTGACGATACACTTTATCTGCCGATCAGCCTAAACAATTTTCCTTGGACTACGCGGACCCACGATCTTGGACAAAAAAACCGGCGTATACACTGTTGGTGGTGTTGGGAGACCTATTCAAGCATCGCCGGGAGCAAATCGCGAATACAAGGTTCACCTTAGTCCCGACTTGGGAGGAGTGCTTACTTACTCGAGTACAAACGTTCACGATGGCCTTCCTATAAGATTTTCGGTTTCGGACGAAAGAGACTCGATTTATACGCAGCGCAATTGAACAGGTTTTCCAGAAGTACTCTGATCTTACGATACAGAGAATAACACGATAAAGTCGGGCAACGAGAGTGGGTCCTAAATGGAGAGGGGACATGGGCTCACAACAACAAAACGGACACACAACGGTGGTCATCGGTGAGCCGTGACACAAAACATACCTTCTATGTTCCGATAAGCCCAAGATAAAGCCCATGCCTCTGCCATGAGGGACATTTCCGGATTAGCTACGAAACTCAAGCGTGCGTCGATCGGCGTATTAGCAAGGACGGTAGTATTAATGGGAGATCTTAAGTTTCCAATGGAGCTTTCGCGGCTCGAAAAGGATAGCTTCGAATCCAGGAACCCGAGGATTGTGCGCCATGTTGAGCTCGTACTGGTAAATTACTTATTGCACGAGCGCAGCGTTCAGTGAAGCTCAAAGCAGGTGAATGAACATATAACTTTTAACTCAAAGCTCACGATGAATGTGGCGCTGGAAAGTCATGCAGTCGCTATTCGCCGTAATAATTGAATTTGGACATCAGGTTCAAGTTCCCTGTAAAGCCACAAGGTAGAATTCAGTCAGGCTACCGATGACAATGGATGGAAGTGGTTCTTAGAGGAGTAATGTGATTACCCGTCTATCGAACAATCATTGCGGGTGCAGTGTATGCCAGTGATATGTATGGCCGCAGATTATCAGCCGCCCGAGCTCAAGACAAACAACGTCGATAAAGAAGAAATGTTTGTAATTCTAGATAGCGGTTTAAAAGATTTTCGTTACATGTGTCGCCTTCAAAAGAAGGGGGCTCACCCAAAGGATTCGGCAGAACATTATAACGCGCATACTGTACTCATGAAGAGGGCGAAGCTCTTCTGTTGTGATAACCGGATCGCTGTGTCAACTGGCGATCATCTCAAAAGAGCATACAGATATCATGGATCACTGCGTGAATTCGAATATGTTCACGGAGAGGTCTGAGGACTCCTTGATGAACATGACGAACAACCTGCATTTAAAGTTCCAGTATGATCGGTCATGCTGTATTTCGGATGGTATCAGCTTGTTGGCATTGGTATTCAGGAAACGCCGGAAGTGTAATATTTCGCACATGGATTGGATCTCCGGATCGCAAAAGGGAACACCGACCAATGTAGTTGAGTGGCCTGGAGGTTTCAAATTGGAGCACATCATCGCGTCAGCCTTGCGTTTGATGCCGTCTGCAGTTGCCAAAAAAATGGGTTGTTTATTGGAAGGTTACAGCCCATCTGGGAGGTAAAGACGACTGATTCATAATCAAGGAGTATGCCCTCAAAATAAGGATAATACTCACAAAGTGCCTCGGCTTTACAGTCCATACGATATGAGCCAATATGACATGCCTTGTCAGACTCTACTTTTTTCGAGATAGAGTAGAGCGAGGGTGAGTATATTGTTACTTGCTAATCTTACTGAAAGGAAAAATTGTCGCCGCAGCCTAGGACAGCTATTGAGCTTCTAGCAACAGAGTAATAACAACAGCATGGAGGGGCTGGGCACTATTGGTTCAAAGAGTATAGCGATCTATTTGAAGATTATCCACACTAGTGAGCGAACCATGCTGATTCCTAAGGGGTGTGGCGTTGCCAGCGTGCTAATGTACCTCTTCATAGGGACCGTATGTCCCTACTCCACTCTGTTGACTGCATTAAACTGTAATTAATTCACTTCAACAAGATCATGATACGAATCATATTCATTGGGTACACGACCAAGCATGCTTCAGTTCCGTCTGCAAGGCGCTGTCGTCCTAGCCAAATTTCGTTCTTCACAACGTTGAGTCCCCGCGGAATTAGAGTTTGCCCAAGCTAAGGTAGGCTGTCCACAATGAAACGACGCGAGTAGCACATGGATGCTCCGCCATTAGCATCGGATAATGACATGAGTTGCGGGAGGAGCTGCGGGAGGGATGGGAAGCAGTATTAAATTCGAACTTGCATAAAACTATGGCCTATACCAGGCCTATACTTCGTCCCAATTGTTGAATTGTATGGACCACGGCGTAAGAGAGGCCATCGCCGTCGCCGTCGCCTTGGGATTTACCGTTTGACAAGGAGAAACAGAGAGTCCTGAAGTTCCCTGAAGACTCAGAAGCGAGGCAAAAACGAGCGTATCGGGTAAACGGCAAAGTCCAATAAAAGTAGTCCGGGCCCGGTATTCCTATTGAAGAATTCAAATTTTTAGCTACTTCAAACGTTAATTGTAGGCTGTTAGATACCTGCCAAGTAAACGTGTAAGTGCCAGAGGCGGACGCAAACACTGTGTCACTGACCATGCACGAAGCGGAAATTTCGAAAGACTGAGCCAGTTAATGGAGCATCCCGATACGATCGGGCTTACGTCACGGTCACATGCTTCGAAGGGAAGGTCAAAGCGACACATATCAACTCAAAGGTTTCATTACCATCAGGAATTGTAATTGAGAAGTTGTGTGGTCATATTTACGGTTAACTCAGTAGGACTACGTTCATAAATATTGGAGGAGTAGTAAGTATACCATATTATTGCACTACTGCTCGGTTTCAGGCATCGTCTGGGCCTGAGGGAGCTTCCTTTGCGGGTGGCTGATTTCCAGCATCAACCTTCCCTGCTCGAGCACGTTGAAAGTTGGAGAATATGGTAGGTAATATGAGAGTCTTATCAAGAAGCAAATAAATTTTTTTGAGCCGTATGTTGACTTTGAACAGACATACCCTGACAACTTTTCCTATATCATCCTTGAACGGTATTTGCTCGACAGGGAGATCAGGCATGAGGAATGGCCAGGTCGTTCCCCACTCGAAGATCAGGAGGAGAATGCCGAAATATTGGCGACTGAAAGAAGACGAGTGAGAATCGACTGATGAATCCACGACTGGTAAATAGCTCACCCCTTCTTGAATTTCTCTTGCCACGTCACATCCTCAGACGACTCGCTGAGTTCAATGATGTTAGGATCTACATTAAAATTGACGAGTACATAGACCGCAAACTCACGCAAAGAACTAATGGACGCAAGCAGATCTGTTAATTTGTTGCGATGAAAAATATTTTTCGACGAACCTGGTTTATATCTACATCTTGCACCCATTCCATCCGATCATATTGTCCCCAGTTTTTGCCCCACCGGGTGCGGGACATATTAGAAACAGTTATTGGCAAATTCGTATCAGTGGGAACCCATGATGTTCCGGTAGGAAAGCTGCAAAGGTGAAGGAGTACGTGAAATTCTGAAAGAACAGTGCGAAGGATTTAGGTATACCTAAAAATACCATGTAGAACATAAGCAGCGTATTTTGAGTTTTTTTCATCCAACCCGAGGACGATCAATCCCTTGATAGTGTCAGACACAGTGACAGTGCCGTCGCCATCTGGGTCAAAGAAGGTGGGAGTCTTTGATTTATAAAATTAGACTATGTGTAGGTGTGGCGCAAGAAACATACCTTGCCGCTCATATTCAAAGCCTACATGGAGGATAAGCTCAAATGACCAGGATACGCTTACAACGCGCTCAACACTCACAGTCATTGTCCATCTTCCAACTGTTTGCACAGCTCCGACGGGCAACCCATTAATGGCCATAAGCCCATCGCCCAATTTGTCGAATCCCTCAACGGCCTTCAAGCCACTAGCCACTGGCTCAAAGACCTTCCCGCTCGTCTCCGCAGCTGTATTAACGATTCCACCAATGGCAGTTCCAGCCAAATCGGCGGTACCGCCCACTACACCGATACTCATGTCCAGTCCGGATCTGGCCACTGTTCGAGAGATGGAAACACCTGCATTGGCCGTATCAGAAGCTAGTTGAGCGCCATTTTTGGCGAGATCGGAGGTGAAGTTAATGCCACTGGTGAGGCCGGAAGTTGTGGTGCTAGTTATGGTGCTGCTCGCTTTCCCGATGCCTGAGATGAAGCCGCTAGAAGATTTGGGTTCGTCTTGAGGGCCGGGAGAAAAATCTACCGACGAGGATGGTGGCTGATCGGAGGAAGGCTTATGATCCTGATTCGAGCTTTCGTTGGTTGTCTGATCGTTTGTTTGCTGAGGAGCTTGGCCACGATCAACTGATTGCGAAACGACAACGTTTTTGGCAGCTTGACTAAGGTTGCCTACAGTGTTTGTTAGGAAAGACATAACGAGGTTGTTGTGAAGCAGCTTACCTATGATGAGTTATATACATACTGCTACGGTTGAACATGTCATGGTTGGAGTATGCTAGTATGTTCCTGGAGAGGATGACGTTCGTATGCATATCACACTTCCCGTCTTGAGGGCACAAGATGCGACAAATTTAGAATTCAAATTCCAGTGCACCAAATCAGCATGATAATTAAGACTTTCGAGGATGATGAGAGGGCATCTTGTTTTGTGGGATTCTAGAATTCTAGACCATTCGCGCCGGCCGGCCAATTTACATGAAATAGAGCTGAGAGTAGGCCTCTGGGACAGCGAGATTGTTGTTGAACGTGATGTAGATTTTATTGGTACTGAGCAAATTTGGATTGGATCGTTCTTCAAAAAATGTAGAGAAAGTAGAAGGAAACGTGTGAGCAAATGCGAGGGTCGAGAGAGAAAGTCATCAATTTTTGATGCACACACACCCGTAGTTGCGGAGGCTATTATTTCTCACAGCCTCTATGTACCCAGGCGTTCTCTTTCCCCTACCATTAGAGACAGCTAAGTGATGCACACCGCTTCCTGAAAGCAGCATTGGCCATCATGAATTCGTACATTATTCCTCTTTATCTGCTTGCTGTTGCTTTCTTTGCCATCGCGGACATTGTATCGACCGGAAACTCGAATAAACACAACAGTTACGAACTGTCCCGGCATCCAAGTGTTAATCAGAGGCCACATTGGTCTTCTTCGTCGAATGCTGGTACCGGTGCTGGTAGTGGGGACCCTTCTGTAACTCTCGACCCGCTACAGGACTCCGAGCTGCTCGACATTGTCCTCGTAGCCTCTGTGGATGGGAAATTTCATGCGCTTAATCGAACCTCCGGCCATTCACTTTGGTCTATGCCTTCTCTTGCACCCAGTCAAGGCCCAGGGCATGTCAAGTTTGACTTCCAGAACTTGACTTCCCCATATCCTTCCACATTGGCACCTCTTGTACGGACAACTCATAATCAGCAGAATAATGAATATCTACTCAATGACGATGAGCTCCCTCTCGAAGACGAGGTTTATATCATCGAACCGCAGTCTGGTGCCATATACATTCTACCATCCAACCCGTCTTCCACCCAAAACCCTCCCTTACGTCGTTTTCCTTTTACGATGCCTGAACTGGTCGACATGTCGCCATTCTCATTCTCAGATCCAGATGGTCATTCCCGGCTCTTTGTCGGAAGAAAGGAGACAAGTATGCTGGTAGTGGAGTTGGAAACCGGCAAGATTAAAGCAAGCGTTGGTGGAGAGTGTCCGTGGGATCCGTTCGATGATATGAAGGATGAAGAAGATAGTCAAGACTATGAGCTGGATTTAGATGAGCTGGAGCTGGAAGAAACAGACGAGAAGCCAGCTAAGGAAAAAATTAAACCAACGGAGGTTTTTATCGGACGCATAGGTGTGTATTAGCTTTGGGATTTGCGGTAGTCTCTCAAACTCAGACTCTGATATTACAGACTATCACATCTCCATCCATACTCGGCCTTCACGTACCTCGAGCGGCTCTCGTCTGCAGTCGCCTCCGGTTCAAAATCTATCCTTCTCTACGTATGGGCCCAACAATCAAGATACATTGCTGCAATCCTCCTACAGCCGCCCGAAAGATGACTCATACGTTCAAAGCTTGCCAAGCGGAGAATTGCTTGCTTTTCGTGCCCACAATGCACTTGCAAGCTCAAACGATAAGGATTCTCTATTATGGTTCAGAAAATTTCCAAACCCGATGTGAGTTCAACCTTTTTAGCGCGCTTTCCACTATCTTTCTAAAACAAACACTCTTCATACCGCAGTGTCGCTACATTTGATGTCTTGAAACGCCCTGCATCCACACAACTGCACAATGCTCCCGATTTCCATACCTTTGTCCTACTCCAACCTCAGCCGTCGTTATCAGACTTTCATCCTTCCCTTTCTCACGCTAATGCTCACAACGCACTACTCCCAAATTCAGATTCTGCTTATGTTGGAATCGTAGAGGAGACCGGTAGTCTATTTGCTATGAGCTCGAATGGCTTCCCGTTCGTGGCTTTTGGGGGTTCAGATGGGGGAAAAGCCAGGACAAGGAAGATGATTGATTATGCGCCCGGCGGTATGATCGTCAGTGATGGCGTTGCCGCCGCTCCTGCCGATGCGGGGGATGAGAACTATGAAGATGGAAGAGAGTTCCCGGCTGATATTGACGAGGTGACCAGACGGCGTAAGCTTCGTGAACAGCGAGAACAGGAACGGAAAGAATCAATTGAACGAACAACGAATGAAATTCCGGATACGTGCGATCCTGCCTCAAATGTGTTTGATTTACGCTGCCTTGTTAAATTGTGGAAGCTTGAAGATAGTGATGGTGATGGCGATGGTGCGAAGGGCGTAGGCAGCGGAGGCCAAGATGCCACAAAGTTATTAGACGCTGCTCCGAGCCCGAGCGCTAGTAGTCGTCTTCCTTCAGATCAGGTTACACATTCTCCAACAATTGCGTCGGGGAGCCGACAATCCATACCAACGGACGTTCATCAGAACCCAGGTAATGGTAATGGGTTTGACACCACATCCGAAGGTTCATTTACTTGGAAATGGGAAATCCTCGTCGCACTGCTCGTTGGGTTCGTTGGCTTATTGAGTGCTATTGCTGGAAGACACCTACCATCGCTATCCTCAATAAGACATGCCGAATCACAGTCCCAAACTTTGGCACCCTCGTCAATTTCTCGCGAATCTCTTTCCGCTGTCGAACACAGTGCTTCCGCTCCTTCAATAATGGATTATCCTTTACTCGACACCGCAAAGCCTCCGCCGTCTCCCTCATTTTCAGATATAGATGTACCTTCAGAAAACATCTCCGCTTCCCCTATCCGTTTAGATGTTCCTGAACTTGAAGACAGTGAGGGCGAAGCCGACGAGGTCGCAGATGCTAGTGGACGTAAAAAGAAGATACGTCGTAAACGAGGAAAGAGGAAAAAAGGTGGAGCTGCATTGGCTTTATCCGCACCGCCTGGAGAGAACGGTGCAAGTGGGATCGACATTGGTTTGCCGATAATCACGCCCATTTCTCCCACAGTTCCTAACTTAGTTGCTCCTCCTCTTCAAAGTCCCATGTCGCCTTGGCCCCCTGCCCCAAGCTTAGTTGTCATACCGGCGACACCTATGCCACTTACACCAGCGCCGGTTCATGCACCCCCGCCATCGACATTAGTCGTCTCTGAAACAATTCTCGGTGAGTCCGTCCCTTTCCCTCTTAAGCCCAGGCATCTAATGTGTATCAGGTTTCGGATCTCATGGTACAGTTGTTTTTCGTGGCTCCCTACAGGGACGGTCAGTCGCTGTAAAGCGTTTACTACGCGATTTTGTTACGCTCGCCTCTCGTGAGGTTAGCATCCTTCAAGAAAGCGATGATCATCCCAACGTCATACGGTACTACTACCAAGAAACACACGCAAACTTCCTCTACATCGCTCTCGAACTATGTCCGGGTAGTTTAGCAGACGTTTATGAGGGTTCTGGGGATATTAACCTGGCGTTCGCTGGACTCGATGCCTGCGAAGGGATTGAGAGTAAAGAAGAATGGAGGGAAATACGGGAATCGATTATTGCCGATCCCAAAAAGGCGTTGAAGCAAATTACTAGCGGGCTGAGGCACCTGCATGCTCTAAAACTTGTCCATAGAGATATCAAGCCTCAGAATATCCTAGTCGCTGCTGGGCCAGGACGCAATCTATCTACCCCTTCGTCCGCCTCTCTGTCTAGAGGCCAAAACAAGAGCATTAGGGGTCCAAGTTACCGAATGCTCATCTCGGACTTTGGCCTTTGCAAGAAACTAGATTTCGATCAAACAAGTTTTTTGCCAACAGCGCAGGGTGCAATGGGGGCCGGGACATTTGGTTGGAGAGCGCCGGAGATATTAAGAGGTGAAGTAAAGTTGGACAACTCTGAAGATACAAATTCATCGAAAGGAAGTGCTGGCACAGTCAACGGCAATCCTCCGTCGGTAAACTCAAGCTCCTCGACTACGTCATCTATCAATAAGCCAACCCGCCTGACGAAGTCGGTGGACATATTTGCTCTGGGATGTCTGTTTTATTATATGCTTACTGGTGGCGGCCATCCATTTGGGGATCGTTTTGAAAGAGAAATCAACATCATCAAGGGCGTCAAGGATATCACGACGCTAGGGGAGCGTTATGGGGAAGAAGGCGTTGACGCTGCTGATCTCATTGAAAAAATGCTCAACCCTGATTCTTCTTTGCGGTACGTTCTAGAATAGGAATTTCCTACCAAATCCTGATTTGTTCATCGTTTTCAGCCCCGATACATCCTCATGTCTTCTTCACCCTTTCTTTTGGGATTCTGGTCGTCGTCTGAACTTCCTCCAGGATGCTTCAGATCGCTTCGAAATCATGTGTCGCGACCCCAAGGACCCTCATTTGATCGAGCTTGAGAAGGACGCGTTCAAAATTGTTGGCCATGATTGGCAGTCCAGAGTAGATAAGGTCTTCATCGAAAGCTTGGGAAAATTCAGAAAATACGATGGCAAGTCGGTGCAGGATCTCTTAAGAGCTCTACGTAATAAGGTAGTGAACAAGGTTCTGAAGTTTGATTATGAGCTTATTTCTCCTATTGCTGTAGAAACATCATTATCAAGACCTTCCAGGTAATGTGAAGCGCCACCTTGGACCTCTGCCAGAAGGCTACCTGTCCTATTTTACTCGTCGATATCCTCAATTATTTCTTCATACTCATCGGGCCATCAGTGAATCGGAGTTGCATTCAGAACCAATGTTCAGAACCTACTTCGAATTAGTCGAGTGAGGTCTCAACCATTTCACCATTGCATTTATTTCTCGCCCTGCTACTACATCTACCTAGCATCTTACATTATTCCATAAGTGTACTGTATACGCATTATTGCATGCCCCCCGTTTCCTTGTTTCATGTCTACACCCAAATGTACTCCATAGGATTGGAAATAAAATGTACTACATTTACCCTTTGTGCCGAATGAAATCATGTAAAAAACGGATACATAACAATCTGTCTCTAGGAGGAAGGACATGCTATTTTGGTGCCTAGAAAATGCAAACAGTGTGTAGTGATAAGAGGGTGGGCGCTATTTGTTCTCCTTCCTCCTAGAGATAAAATGCGAAATGAATATAGTTAGCCTTCTTGAACTAGGTAGCCTATTGCTAAAAACCTTTTGCACCAAATCAGACGCGTTTCTAGCGTTTCTGTGAATGCAACGTGTACGCAGTCGCAAGTTTTTTCCTCAAGAGTGCTGTACGATGTTTTATACCAAAAGATAATGCATAAAAAATAGTGCAGATATACGGGGCATAAATCATGGTAAAGCAAGAGCACTGAAAAGAGAACAGCATATAAGAATAAGAAATGAACGCAATTGGATGTGAAAGCAAGCAGAGTCGTATATGGTTCGTACATGTATTAGTAGACGTTACAAGACGTTACTCGTAACAGGCGTGAAGAATCAAAAGAATAACAAAGAGTCGAAGTAGTGAAAGAGACGTAATCAGAACAAGAAGCAATACAAAAGATAATCTACACTAGTACACCTACGCCCTTGAGTCGCGAGGAGACCTAGCTCCGAACAACCCAGGACTGTCACGGTCAGGAACGAGCAACGTAGGCTCGATGGATGCAGGAGTCGGGGCCAAGTTAGGATCGGCTGGGACGTAAAACAGTCATTCTACTGTTTAAATGTTAGTCAAAAATAAATATGCTCACGTTGCCAAGTCGCCCAGCTTCTTGTAACCTGGGTTCTAGGATCCACCATGCCGGTAATTGCCGGTACACTAGGACCAGGGGCAGGTGGTGGAGCTTTCTCTTTCTTTTTACGAGAACGTTGATGGACAGTACGCCACCCAGGTCTAGCTGGTGGTATTTCTGGTGGAACGGGAGGTTCAGGTGGCGGCGGTGGCTCAACTGGAGGTCCTCCGGGAGCACCTGGTGGCGGTTTCCTGTTTTTGTGAAATTGTCATCAGTGAATGAGATGTATCTGTATCGAGTTGAGATAAGCCACTTACCAGTCAGGCTCGAATTCTCCTCCAGGACCGTACTTCGATCGCATACATAAGAGGTAACCGATCTCACTACAAATTAATCTCGATATGAGCAGTTTAAAGAATAGTTACGCATATGGACGTACTGTTGCAGAGCTCTCCTCTCTTCTCTCAGTTTTCCGACTTCTCCGAGCAGAATACGGACCTCCGACGCCAAAGCTTTACTGAACTCGTCAAGATACTAAAAAAAAGGTAATAAGAATCAGTTATTCGTCATAGACTTGAAAATAGACGTACTCCTTGTATGTTATAAGGAACTTGTTCGTTCGCAGTTTCGCGGACGGCATTGATGATTTCCGCGTGGTGTTGTTCACATTCATTACGCCAAGCTTCAATCCCATGAGATGTTATCAAGAAAGTGAAGACTGAATGAACATACTGTCTGAGAACGCCCTCAACGCTTCTTGAATCTCATCATGTCTCCGCATAACATCTTCTAGGATTTTCTCGACACCTGCGGGTCATGCATTAACATCAAAAGTAGAATGTAAAAATATGAAAATCACAAACCAGGTTTGCCTTCCGCCTCCATCCTCAACGTTTCTGCTCTATCTCTCTCAGCCTGGAATTCTTCGAATAATCTCTGGATCATATCTCTCATCTCCGCTGTTTCTGCATCTTTATTCCTTCTTCTCTCCTCCTTCTCGGCATATCTCGATTCCATTAATTCCTTTTTCTCATCCATGACTTGTCTTTGCTCGTTCATGAGGTTCGTTAAATCCATCAATTGAGAGCGGATGAATTCATTGTGCTCTTCACGTTCCGCCCTCTCACGTTCGCGTGCGTCGGATTCATCAGCTTGCCGAGCCTCTTTTTCGGCCTCGAGTTCAGCACGAAGAGCAGCAACCTGTTCCTCCAATTCTTGAATACGAGCATCCTTGAGTTCTTGAGCAGCTTGTATAGCGGCATTTCGTTCGGCCTCTAGCTCGAGCCTCTCAGCAGCTGCAGCTTCTCGCTCTTTCGTGTTCTCTTCCCGTTCCAGATCGATAATCTCCCGGATTTCTTGCGCGTGTCTCGACGCTGTATCACGAATATCCTGAATAGTATGGATAGATGAACGATCTCCTGGTTCGTCCACAACAACACCAGGAATACTTCCTCCAGCAGGGGGCACAGAAGGCGGCACATGTCCTAAATCACCCAAGTCATGGAGTAGTGCATCCCGAGCTTCAGCAGCTTCGCGAGCTCTCGCTTCTTCATTCTCCCTAAATATTCTGTCTCGATCTTGTTCACTCATTCGGAACTCGTCTTCGCGCTGTCTTTCCTTTTCCTCAAACTCAGCTTCCCGTTGTTGTTCCGACTCCCGGGCACTCTCTACAACATCATTGATGCGGTGTTCGGCTTCATCTAGGCGGGCAAGACGGTCTCGCTGTTCCTCAGCTAGCGCAAGATCCTCGAAAGCGGGGGTACGAGGCGTACGAGCACGTGGAGGAGGTACTGTTTCGATGATACTGGGAGAACCTCGTCCACTAGGTTCAGATGGGAGAGGTCGAACAGTACCAGGACGAGAAGCCGGGATAATAGGAGGACCTGCTCGCAGTGGGCGTCCATCATCATCAAGCAAGCTGTAGCCATCATCATCACGAAGTGTAGGACCAGTACCATGGGGTACAACCTCTGGTTCGTCCATACGCACAGTACGACCTGTGGGAGTACGTCGAACTGGTGGACCGTCCCCGTCACGAACAGTGGGAACACGACGAAGCGGAAATCCATCATCATCAAGAACCGTGCGACCATCGTCGTCACGTACAGTGCGAGGGGAACGCGTTCCTAGAAAAAGTTTTATCATCAACCGTCAGTATCAGTGAAAAGACACTTACGAGTGACCTGGGGAATTCGTTGTGCTTCTTCAGGTACATAACCACTGTGAGCGCTTGGATGGATGCTACCGGGGGTAGGGGAACGAGCAGTTCGTGGTGCGGTACGCGCTTCTCCCTCATATATTGACGGGGGTGGATGAGTACCAGGTCGAGAAGGGTAATGTGAAGGAGCTTGCTCCGGACGATCTTCCTCGAAGGCGGATGGTGGGCGATGAGTACCAGCATGAGAAGGATAATGCGATGGAACATATTCCGGACGATCCGCTTCGGAGACAGAACGGGGGCGATGAGTACCAGGTCGAGATGGTAAATGCTCCTCGGGAAAAGTGTGACTGGGAGCATGACTAACTATGGTAGGTGCATGGGTTGGAGGGTGAGTGGGAACATAGGTTGGACCAGGAGGAGCACCTGGATAAACAGATGTAGTAGGAGAGTAACTACGACTCCTTCGACGAGAATCCCGACCATGATCTCTACCTCTTCGACGACGGTCATGATCGCGATCTGGGGATCGAGAACGTGAATCGGAATATGAGCGAGAACGACGGTGGCCTCTGGGAGATCGGTCACGATCACGGTCACGGTCACGAGAGTCACGACGGTGGCGTCTAGGAGATCGGTCACGATCACGATCACGAGAGTCACGACGGGGTCTATCACGAGAGTCACGACGAGATCGATCATAGTCACGAGAGTGACGGCGGGGACGGTCATAGTCTCGAGAGTCAGATCGAGACCGTCGACGATGTCGATCACTACGAGGAGACATAATGCGAGTCGGAGAGCGAGAAGGTCTTCTACTTTCATGATATTGAGAAGGAATTGGTACCACGATTGGAGGAGAACGACGAGAAGGGTGTCGAGAACCTTCATAATAAGGGGCTCCACTGGGATGAACCGGAGCATACGGGGGAGAACGCGATCTGGAACTTGAAGGACTACGCCGAGTTCTATGAGTTCCTGGGTATTGTGAGGAAACGTAACCTGAAGGTTGTCCTGGAATAACTGTAGGCTGTCCTGGGATGATGATAGGAGCACCATGCGAAGAGGGGGAACGACGTCTGGACCGAGAACTATGGCTTCGACTCTGTGCAATAATGATTGGCGGCGAACGAGAACGACTCCTCCGGGATTCGACAATTACAGGTGCTGGTGTTGCAGATGGTGCAGTAGGCATAGGTAAGACTGTTTGCAACGGCTGTGCAGGCTGACTTGGCTGCATGATGACCTGAGGAGGGGGAGTGCGCCTATGCCCTGATGAAGAGCGGGACCTAGAACTCGAAGATCGCGCATATATGATTGGCTGTGTCGGTGGGTAGGAGGAGGGTTGTACAGGTTGTGTCGGTGCATAAGTTGGTACTTGCGGGAAACCAGTACCTTGAGCTCCAGGAACAATTATTGTGGGTCCAGGTGCAGGACCCGGCTGCACCATTTCCACCCTGTGAGGAGAGTGCGAGGAGTGCGTTCTATGCGGTTGAGAAATAATAACTGGAGGAGGACTTCGCGATCGACTGTCAGTACGATGCCGCCGACGACTTGGGCCGTCTGACACAGAGCGCGGGGACGACCGTCCGGAGCTGGAGCTCGGGGATGATCGGCCAGACCCGACTACCACGACCGGAGGTTGGCCAGTTTGGGACATCCCAGGCTGCATCCCCGGCATTACCATTGGAAGTCCGCCAGGTATCATACCAGGTGGAACTATTCCACCAGGCATCATACCTGGCACTTGAGTTGGTTGTTGCGGCTGACCCGGTATATTGATGATTGTAGGTCCTGCAGGCTGTGCTCCTTGTGATGCTTGAGAAGGTTGAAATTGCCCTGCCAAATCTGGGTGCCGTACCGAGCCAGGCGGGGGATATTCCGAAGGTTGGACAACAACTACAGGTGGTGAAGGTCCACGACTCCCTTCAGGCACAACACCAGGAACCTGTGTTGGTGGTAGTATCTGGATAGGAACTGGAGTAGGTGATCTACTATAAGACGCCGTAGACGGACGACGACTGGGTCTACGAGTGTGATCACTACTTCCACTCCGACTGCTTCCACTGTCGCCATCACTGCTACTCGAAGAGGAACTTCCTGGAACACGCACTATGGAAGGACCAGGTGGAATGAATGGGATTTGCTGGCCAGTTTGAGCAACTCCCGGTATCATCGGTTCCGGCATCCTCATTCCTCCTCCGTGCGGAAAGTCCATTGGGATGATCGGAGCCGGACCAGGAGGATTGACAACAATTGGACCAGAAGGCATTCCAGGTGGCATTCCAGGTATGACAGGTTGGAAAGGAGGATAAGGAGACGGACCACCACCACCAGGAATAACTGATGGCGCGAAAGGCGGGGGACCTTGAGGAACAAATCCAGGTGGCCATGGGCCTGTTCCAGGAATAACAGGCTGTGGCATACCAGGGCCAGCTGCTTGACCTGAAGGTGGCATCCCCGGTATGAAAACAGGTTGTTGTTCAGGACTGCCTTCCGAGCTACCTTCTGTTTCTTCATCCCGACCTTCGTCACCTGGAACCGTCACCACATCTAAAGAAAACAATTAGTAATTTAGTAATATTAACAGTGGAGAAAATGTACATACAAGGTCTGTTTCGGAGGTCGTTCAACGAAGCCCGCAGCTCCTCTAAGCGTTGAACGACAGCAGTCATTTCATTGTGACGGTCAGTGACATCTCGACCCAACCACAAATTGAGTTCAGTCATATATCTCAACAATTCTCGAGTTTGGTCACCGCTTGTAAGTGTTGCGAGGGCGTTGTTCTTCAAGGAGATCCGTCAATCGCTGTAGCATGAGATTCAAAAACATACATACTCGATTAAGTTCCAGGAGCTCGGCCAAATCCCGATTGAAATCGGGAGGCATTTGAACCATGACCTGAAAAAGTTTAGACTAAGATCAATAGACAGGATGCAAACTTACTGGTCCTGAAGGCATTGGAACATACGTAGATTGACCAGGTTGTGCAGGTTGTGCAGGTTGTGCAGTTGCAGGGGATGGTCCCACGACACCTGGCGGAGGAACACCCACTGTAGGGGCAGGTGCAGCCGGTGCAGCCTATACAGATTGTATGAGGACCGATATACTAATATATTCAAACGACATACCTGACGTCGACGGTACCAACTTTCGCCTTCAGGTTCAGCATCTCCGCCAAGATTTAGAGGAGGCGCCGTTTGAGAACGAGGAGGAAACTAAAATGGATCAGGGAGGGTTAATGGAAAATTTATGAAAATGTCTTACCACAGGCTGTGGTGGAGGTATGTTGGTTGGTCTTCTCCCGGGAGGAGGGGGAGGAGGAGGAGAAGGAGGTTGACGACCCGCATCTCCCATTTGATAATCGGGACGTTCACTAGATGGACCAGATGGGGCCGTCGGTGCGAAACGGGACGTGGGGGATTCATCAACAGGTCGGTGAGGATGTCGACGAACACGAGTCCGTCTTGGATCTGGGTACGGAAACGGAATAGGCTGCGAAGTTGCTCTAGGTGGAGGAAGTCTTACTTCTCCTATGGGACTGTCTGCATGTGCTCGAGGAAGTGGGGCATAATCAAAGGGATGTAAGGGTTCTGGTGGAACCGCTTGACGAAGCTGAGGTTGTATACCTTGCGATAATATTTCTTCGAGCTGTTGGGCAAGGGTCGTGCCTGAGGCAGGTGGTTGTGCAACAGGAGCAATTGGGGGATTTTGACGACGATAATCATTGATCAGAGACTCATATCGGCTTAAACCAGCCGAACTCGAGCTCATAGAGGGGGAAGCAGGTGGTAGGCTTGGTTCGGGTACTGGCATCGGTGGTGGTTGTACAGGTACACCTTGGTTCAGCAAGCCCTCTAACAGGTTCTCCACTCGTCGCATACGGTCTAAAACCTCATTGCTTTGAGAGTCACTGCGGAGTCCTCGTATTTCATCCAACAAATGATTTGTCGAAAGTTGCCCATCCCACAAAGCTCGAACTTGATCCCTTATCTCATTTAAGAGAGGTAAGGGATTCGGAGGAGATGGTCGAATGGTTGTTGCAGTTGTTGCTGGGGAACCCGGAGAAACCGAAATAGGCGTGACTGTCGAGGGTGGAGGTGTGGGTGTGGGCGATGAGGATGGACCTGAACTGCCAGGATAAGGTCCACTTGTGCTCGATGAGCTTAACATCGGAGTGCTCAAAGGACTGGAAGATTCAGAAGATAATTCGCTTTCGTCAATATCAGGAAGCGTTGGCATTGGTGAATCCGGTCGGATAGATCTACGAGAAACGGGAGAACCAGGCGGCTGAGGCGTTGGATACAAAAGCCAATCGTCAGAATGATGGCTAGACAAGAACGACACACTACTCGCTGAGCTCGGCGTACGATTCAACGAGGAAGGGGCTAAAGAAAGACTTCGGTTCTCGTCAGCGCTCATGGCACGACTGCTTCCAACACGTTCTTCAGCATAGTGTGGATATGGCTGTTGCGGGTACTGGGGTTGTTGCGGATACTGGGGTTGGTGCGGATACTGGGGTTGGTGCGGATACTGGGGTTGTCGCGGATACCTTGGATATGAAGGAGTTTGAGGTGGTTCCTGGGAGGGAATTGGATGATGAAGAGAGTCAGAAAGCCCTAACAGCTCTTCTCGCAAATCTCGTAAAGCATCCCCCAAGTCCCGGTTTTCTTCAGCTCTATTTTGATCGTATTGTCGAAGCTCCTCTGCTAAACGCTCAATATCGGCGCTGACATCACGTGGAGAGGCTCGACCCGAGAATGAGGTACTGGGTGTAGGCACAGTATCAAGTGTTGACCGTTTGGATGGCGTATCCCCGCGCGGGGTAGAGATACTGACACTCATGGAACGCTCTGACGGAGTGAGTGATCCGCGACTGCGAGGACCAGGAATAGCCTAAGTTGTAAAACTCAGTCCAGAATATATAAAGGGAAACAAGCTAGACTCACAATCCTAGAAGCTCTGGGAGTTGCAATAGATGACAATAGACTGGGCTCGGTCGATATTTGGCTTTCAGGGATGGAACGTGCATCATCATCTTCCTGGTGTTCTAGTTCCGGCTCTGGTTCAAGATCAGATTCTGAATCAACTATCGATGTAGTGACACTCGTCGAGGACACAGCAGACGAACTACTAATTGTTGACGGCGTTCGAGGTAACGACAAGAGACTTCCTAAGCTACTGCTTCCAACACTCGTATCCGAGAAAATGAGACTGCTCGGAGTGCGCACGGAGCTGCTTTCGTCTGTAGGAGGGAATGGGGGAACAGGAGAAAGCGCTGGGAAGGACGGGGGGTGTGTTGAAGTTATCGCCGTAGGTGTCTCGGGAATGGTGGACATTCGATCAAAGGAGGACCACGATCCACTAGGTCGCAAGAAAGAAGTTTCAAAAGAGGTATCAGGATCTTGTATCAAAGCAACGCTAGTGGCACTAGGTGACGGAGCAAGAAGACTCGACTCATACGAGATGTTAGTCTCTGTAGCCCAAGGTTGAGGACTAGGTGGAAGTGGGAGAGAACTTGGAGAGCTACTGGGTGGTATAGAAGGAAGGGTTAGAGAAGGAAGTGTGGTAACAGGCATAGAAGGAGTCAAGCTAGACTCCGAAGAAATAGTCAAACTGCTCATGGTAGATGATGGCAAAGTTGTAGGAAGTTGTAGTGTTCCCGACAAACTAGAGCTTTGAAGGCTCGTAGTAACAATCGAAGAAGGTACTTCTGTCAGTGCTGTAGGTGGCAATGACAAAAGACTAGAGCTCCGGCTTTCCGACCAGTGAACGCTAGATGGGGTAGGTACACTAGTGCTCAATGCCGTAGACGGAGGTAGAGGAAGATCGGACTCGGACGTTGGAGTCAAAGACAAATCAAGTTCTGAAAGCTCCGATGCTGCTGAAGAAGGCAGAGGTACTCCTGAAGGAACAAGCGAAGATATTGAAGAAGGAGATGAAATGGAACGGTCTGTCACTGAAGGGGGAGCGGTAGAGGTGGGAGGTGGAAGCGAAGCAGACGGCAAAGAAGAAAGAGATGGGGAAACAGACGGGGAAACAGACGGAGGAGCAGATGGGGGAATAGATAGAGGAGCAGATGGGGGGGTAGATGGTGGTGCAGACGAGGAAACAGATGGTGGTGCAGATGGGGGAATAGATGGTGGTGCAGACGAGGGAATAGACGGTGGTGCAGAAGAAGGGGGCGCAGAGAGGTGTGCAGAAGGGGGTGCAGAAGGGGGTGCAGAAGGTAGCTCCTCCGGTTCGGGAAGATGTTCTGAGTACGCTTTCGGTGTCCCTTCTTCACTTGGAATAGTCTCAAGCTCGCTGGGGCATATTTCTGCAGTTGAGTATGCCGTTGTTGGTTCCGTGATAGGTTCAGAGATAGTTTTGTATGCGATAGACCCTTCGCTGGCGGTAGTATATTCAGAAGGGATAGAAGGAAGAGACTTGAACGATGCTTCAGAAGAAGGTGTCCGAGTTGTGAGGTAATCTGAACTGCCTTGTGAAGCGGTGACAAACTTTTCACCATCGCTGCTCAACTCCCTATCCGAATCCGACGAAGAAGATGGGTCAGAAGGCATTGGTGTGCTTCCCGACATCCACGACGACGTAGAAGTGTATGTCATTCGACTCGTTAGTTCTGAGAGATCAGACGATGGGCAGACGTCGTATCCAGTCTCGCTTGACCTAGTCCCACTGAGAGGTCCACTTGGAGTCTGGCTATCAGAACCTGAAGCCGGTGTATAGCTCCCGCTTTCACTTTCATCATTTTCTTTGTCGCTACTCTCCTCCGAAGGCTGATACCCACTGTTGCTACCACTGCCGCTGCCTCCACTTGACGAATAACTCCTTGTGGTACCAGTCCTTCTCCTCATCGCAGCCGTACGATTCAGAGCACTCCGAGAAGGAGATGTAGGCGGGTAGGATGAAGACGTGCTGCTTCGAGTATATGGGGAGGAATAAGTGACGGTTGAGGTATACGGCGAGCCCGTGCTATGCATTTCGAATCAGTTAGAAAGCTGAGAATAGAGGATGAAAGGAAACAGCATAACAGCATACCCAGTGTACGAAGAGCCAGTCACTGTGTAAGGCGATCCTGTCGTTCCTGTATAGGGTGAGTATATTGATCCAGTTCTATAAAGTGATTTGGTATTAGTCTGTAAATCATCATGTGGATATGGACCGGATACTAACCCTGTGTAAGGCGAGCCACTATAAGAGCCTGATCCGTATCCAGTTCGGGACTCGTAGTCAGTTGTAAAAGTTCTGCCAGTGCCGGTTACACCAGTAGTCGCAGACCTGTTCTCTGAGTTTGTACCAGACACTGCATATGAATCCGAGCCAGTTCTGGTGTAAGAGCCACTTCCAGAATAGGAGGTATACGTTCCTACTCCAGTACCAGTGGTACGACTATATCCAGTATATCTCGTTGACTCTGTGACTCTTGTCCCGCTCTCAGTACCACTACCACCGGCAGTCCAGGTTCCTGTCCTAGTATACGTATCAGTTGTCCCAGTTCCTGTGATTCCACTACTGGTCAGCCCAGTAAACGTCCTTGTCCCTGTGCCTGTACCGGTTTGCGACGAATACGAATCAGCTGATGAATACACTGAGTTGCGCGGTGCACTGCTACTGGTACCTGCAGTGAAGAACTGGTCGTCACTCTCATCATTCAGGCCGGATGATCGGTTGCTCTGTAATGCATCACTGCCAAGGTCCGTCATGCTCCCGCTCCTTCGCAAACTCATCCGGGTGCTAGTTCGACGACTAGGAATGGCGCGGGAGTCTCCGGGATATACATACTCGTCGCCATCAATCACAGTGTCGTCGACGGTGCGAGAGTGGTACGAAGAAATCAACGTTGATGGCCTCAGTCGTGCTCCGCTTCCAGACGATGATACTGAAGGAGACGAAAGAAGGGAATGATACCGTCCAGTACCCGATGAAGATGAATGTCCTCGCGTGCCATCCGATTCTGAAGCATATAAATCATCTTCCGCCATAGATAATTCAGGAATATCAGGAATGTCAGACATTGGAGGGACGTAGACAGTACTACGACTCCCGGTTCCGCTACTCGCAGTAGAAGAGACACTCGAATTCGAATCCATTGACATGATGGTCCGGATGGAGCCAGTAGGAGAACCAGAGCGTCGGGTGATAGTACGAGTGAGGGAAGAGAACGATGGGGTGAAAGAAGGAGTGATGGATGGTGCACGAGAGAGGGACGGTGTCGGGGGTGTATTTATCGCTTCCCTGTAAGAGAATGAGAATGGCGATGGAGGTTATAACTGATCAGATAACCTACCAGATTCTTTCAATCCATCTTAATCGCTGTACTAAACTATCACACGCCAACCTCTCTACGCCATCGCCATAAACCATCCAGAATGGTACCAGGGACTCCATCAGCCCAGTGTCAGCTCCAGCGTCTTGCTCTCTAGCAGCAATTGCTCCAACGTCATCTCTAGCACGAGGATGACTGAGGCTAAGAGCACTCTCAACCGCAAAACAGTTGACGAGATCCAATTGTACGACAGCGCGGCCCAACGGTGCCCGACCAGTAGATGGTCCAGGTACAGATTGAGTAGTAGGAGCCAACCATGACAACAGAAGTGTATGACGATAAAGTAGTGCTTGACATCGCTGCCATCGATAAGGAGGCTCTGCATGGACATTGAGGTAGTATAAAGTTCCAAGATGAAGCGGCTGTGGGAAATATGAGGCGAAAGACAGTAATGAGGTAAAAAATATTGACTAACTGTCTCTGTCCCGTTTCCGCCCAAAAATTTTCCCAGTTCGCTTATATCAATACTACCTCCATTGCTGCCATTACTCGTACGTTCTCCTTCACTCCCGCCCAATGATTCAGCGCTAGCTCTCTTTCCGCTCGCTCTGCGGCGAAGTTCGAAAAGCCCTCCGTTATCGGCTCCACCCGAACCCCGTTGAGGTTGACCTTCCCTCCGTCCACGAGCATCCGGAGTAGGGGAAACGCTGGGAGCCACAATCTCACCTCTGGGATTTTTGGGGCCATCATTGCGTGTGGGTGTGCGTTCTTTCCACAAACTCACGATGTTTCGAACATTCGTCAGAGGGCTTCTTGGAGAACCTTCCGGTTTGGTTGGTCGGCGAAGAGAAGATGAGGTGGGAGTAGTTTGAGTCTGTTCGGAGCTTCCGGTGATACCTGTAACTGTACCAGTACCGGTTTGGGTTGTGGTGAATGCAGAAGGAGAGAAGGTGCTTTGCGTAAACGTGCTCTGAGTGTTCGTGAACGTGGAAGGCGTGTAAGACGATCCAGTGGCAGTGAACGGTCTATCCGGTGGGGATAACAATGTCGAATAAGACAAGTTACTGGGTGTCTGTGACCTCGTAAACGAAGAAGTGCTTTTTGTTGGCGACGGAGATCTTGAAGAAGAACCTGATTCAAATAAGCCTATGAGCTGGTTCGCTCGTCCAGGAGGCGGCAAGTCGCTCGGATCGGTGGACGACCGACTGTGTCGACCTGCGCCTGAGGAAAGAAAAGCTGATCTGGGTCGTACAGGAACACTCGTTGCATAGGAAACACCGGAAACAGGGCGGGACTCTGTGCCTTCCGTTCTCTCTGTTATATGACTCAGTCGCATCCAGGGGGCATTCGACGGTGGAGGATAGGAAGATTGGAGAGAAGAAGATCCTGCTGTAGGGCTGAACAGAGATGGTAATGATACAAATGAGGGGGATCCAGTGTAAGAGCCTTGGCCCGTTTGTGTAACGGTGTTCGTTCCCGTAAATGTTCCGCTAGGTGTGTATGTTCCACTTCCAGTGTACCCAGTATACGTCCCGCTTCCGGTACCAGTGTGCGATCCATATCCAGTAGAAGGTGTTTGAGATGACCAAGTCGATAGGGCCTGTTCAGTTTCATCCAATTCGTCGTCCAGGTTGTTGAGAGTGGCTTCCACTTCGTCAATAGAATTTGATTCTTCATATGAATCTGTGTCTGAGAAAGAGTTGGAAGACGGCGAAGCCGCTCGTCTTTCCATGTCGAAATTAGTTGTTGCTGTTGAAAGATGAGTCTGACGGGCACGTTGATGAGAAAAGTAAATTTTTTTGAGTGAATCGATAATACACACCTTGAGGAATTAAAGGTGGAGGAAGTAGCTGCGAGGGCCGTCGTTGGACTCACAGCATTCAGGGAACAGAAAGAAGAACGATTTCAACTTGGGAATCAACAAACAGGTGACTGTCACTTAAGGGCAAGCCTTTCGGTGCCATCGTGCCACACGTGGTCGCGTGCGTACCATTGGCATCACGGAGCCAATGTAAAGGATCTTTCTCTGTTGCTCAACCTCACCTATGAGTATGTGTTTTTATTGAAGGTCTGCATCAAATTTGAGATGACCAAAGAATTTCCGGAACCAAATTTACCCTCTGACGAAGTATCGCCTTTACAAAGTATGTAGTAGACTGGCGCTTAGAATGAGGAGACAGCGCCGTTTTTGTGAGCTTCGTCTTTCGAACGCACTGACAGTGTATTTGTTTATTCTTTATGACCTACTCATTGCATATGTCAAATTATTGACCAAAGGGCAATATCCAGTAATATCCAATTAATTGCATGATAGGACACCTCTGGGACACCTTTCCGAAAACATCTTCATTATTCTCAATTCATTCCCATTGCAACCAGCGAAGAAAAACCATTGACCCGAAGAGGGAAGCCAAAGGGATCCCTTAGAACAACCTTAGAACCTTACCTTTCTGCGTCCTACTTCGCACAAGGTGGGTTCAAGAGGGATGCATCAGGGTGCATAAAATCTTTCAGCGAGTCTTTTCATTGATCTGGGCATTTGATACAAGATTCATGTCAGGGCTAAATATGTCTGTTACTTCATCGAGAACAGCAAAAGCCAGTGGAATGGAAACAGGTCTGTATGAATATCTATTTCTCAAGCCCCATCTCCTACAGTCAGATGTTAACCATTTGAGCTGACGAGAGGGGTAAGAATCTCACATATAGTCGAAACTAATAGATCTTTCTCTGGTTGCTCATTTGGCTTCCCCATTTTTAACAAGGTGACGGGCATTCACTGCTACGATATGGTACCCAACAACGGTCAGCATAGCGAGTATGCCAAGAGAATTAGCCAGTGCATAAAGCGTTGCGTGTGTCATGGTTTCCTACAAAAATTCCGTGAATAAGGGGCAACGGCCTGGAAGTTCTTCACAACTTACGAGTGGAGGTACAAGGATGAATTATTGACAAGCGCTCGACGCGACGTGGACATTAGCACGTGGCATTGACGCCGGACGGGCGGGACCGGCTCAGCTATCCTCCAACCTTCCAACCCAGTTCCAACCAGCCTCACTCAAGAATTAATCCTTTTTTCTCGCTATCATGAGGCCATCAATTGCCCGCACAAGTGAAATGCCCGGTCGTGCGTCCTCTCTGTTGTCTTTACCTTGATTCTCGATTGACCATTGTCTTGCGACAGCTAAAAGGGCCTGGGTGAGCTTTCGTTCTGATTGTAAGAAAAGCAAGATTGTTAACCCTTTATTCCCTGTAGAGCTCTTGGTGGGGCGCCCCAATCATAAAACAGAAGGGAATTGTCGAATACAGTGCGCTTTCCAGTCGAACCTCATTTCCTATCTTGACTCTTTGAATGTTCAGCTTTGTCCCCTTACCAAACCAAGGCTGCTCCCCACTGGGTTCGAAGCTACGTCTTCAACTTTTATAGGCGTGTATCTGCAGAAGCCGTGTATTTTGTCATTCCTTTCGGTCTTGGTACGATGTGCTCTATCTCGTTGTTCTACGTCAACTGAGTACGCCAAACTCTAGGCTACGGAATCTACGCCTGGGCCAAGCGTCATGATGCATACCAAAATTCTAAAGCTGGACACATTGCGTCCGGAGCCGCTCACCATTAATGAACTACTCCGTGACCTCCTGTGCGGAATCGGTTAGGTTCCTCTTTTGGCAATATTCAAACAAGACATGGATAGTTGTATACACCTAGATTTCAATGACCAAATTATACATCTGCCCGCTCTAGTGGATTCGATAACTGCTCGCGTGTTTTTCGAAATGTTGTATTCGACGAAAATACCTGCAACGTGAAGAAGAGATTATCTCCGACCTACTGCAACAAGAGGGATTTCATCTATCAGGCGTGTCTATGTATATCGTCGTGCCTCTTGGATGCAGGAACGCTTTGACACTGACTCCGAGAGCCTGGCATACTGACATATGTTGCCTATGGCGTACCACTAAATGACCACATGCAACAACTCATTAATATATTCTATGTTCCAGAGAAGTCCTTTAGTTAGGTATATATCTATCTACTCTATGTTCTACATTTCTATGCTTAAGCTTGTACAGGTTCACCATTTCGGACAGCTGCCCACGATGGTCTTGATGAGATTTCTGTCCACCACCTGTGTATGATTCAGCCAACCGCTGCAGAATAGAAGAAGCGGGAAAAGTTAGGTACCGAGTGATATTTGGCCCTTTTCTTGTCATTATATCGCTCCCGGCGTCTGTGAGCTTTGTTCCATATGGTATGTGGTACAAATCCGCAAGAGTGAGGTCCTGGAAACAGCATCTTTATCGTTAGTCATAGCAATGAAATCTTGTATTTTTACTCACATCCCCTGCAAGGTAATTCTGTCTACTGAGGATATTCTCGTACCCTTCCAAATTTGACGACAATGCGGCAACAGATCCTGCGAATATTGCTTCATCGGGAGCAAGACCTTTTGATCTATGGAACTCGTCAAATAAAGTTAGAGCCTTCAGGAAGTACCTACATACCGTTTGGTGACCTTCTCATAAACGGCTTTTGACGCATACGGTTCGAAAGCAAATACCTCTGTGAAAACCGCTTGCTCGAACAGTGCACCAAGCTTCATGTTATATGCATCGGGTATTAGTTTAGTCCCTTGGTCGGCATATTTTGTAGCAAGATATCGACATATAGCTCGGGACTCGCATAAGGTGAAGCCGTCGTCTTCCTATGATATGATTTAGAAAATAACAGAAGGTAATAGAAACTGGCAGAGACTCGCAATGACAGGTGCACTAGAAGGTTGTCGTATTAAATCTTGAATTTCGGGGTCAGACATAATATCGAGGTCGATCAATTCATATGGGATGTTCTTCTCGTGCAGAATAATTTGTACTTGCTGTGTGCTAGCACTGTGTGGAGAGCCATACAGCTTTAGAGCCTTCGTTGAAGAATTTGACGAATGTTGGGCATTGTTGGAAAACAAGAATGAAGATGTCCCATCAAACGGAGTCATCATAGAAGACGCTAGGAGTGGGAGATCCTGCTTCGAACTTTCCGGTACGTGCACTTTGTGAGGGTCTGTGGAAGTTGAAGCATTTTGTGTTTGGGACATGGATGGGGAGGAGGGGTATTTGATTGGAGGTAAGGTAAACAAATCATCCAGTGACAGTGTCTCCAGGGTTGATCGGTAACCTTGAGTCTCCATAGACGGCCAAGAAAGTTCATTTAAATCAATATCAAAGCTAGGTGATGGCCAAAAAGCCGGGGTAGATCCGCCAGGTAGGGACAAATGGGGGGTCATAGGCGAAGTAGACGAAGAGGAACTGGAACAAGGTGCGGGCGAGGTTTCAAGGCTCGAGGTCGGGCTGGGGCTGAGCTTAGGGAGTAGATCCAGACCCCCGTTACCCCGGGTAATGCTATTATACCTAGGAGAAAGTCAGTCCATATATCATCAAGCATCATGAACTCCTTACCTATTTTTCGCCGCCAATCCTGTCCGTCCTGGAAAATGGGTTTTCACAATCTTGGACCAGACGTTGCCATGAGCTTTCACGGCCTCAAGTAATATCGCGTCCTGTCCAAGGCATTAAAACAGGCTTCCAAATTAATCTGAAACCGCACCTCAGTAGCACTCCAGCTGGTTCTGTCTATCGAGGGATTTAATGTGTCTTTCCAACGTTTGGCACACTCTAGAATATTTTCAATCAAGATCCTGTCTCGAACCATTACACTCTTACGGTCGCTATTTCTTGTCTCTACCGCTGTTGCAATTGCCGTCCACCTATCAAAAATGAGTTGATATTAAAGAAATGTTTTACTGTGAAATCGACTCACCTTGAGCCATATCTTCCAATTGCTTTCAAAAGCCTCTCGTCTTCCTCGGGACTCCAATTCCCTTTCGCCACATCTGCCTTGGCAAGTTTTGCAAACCAGCGTTTACGACAGTCCTTGTTATTACGATTTGGAACATGTCGTGAAATAGCGTGCCACTTTGAAGGATTTAAGGTTCTCGTAGGATCCTCTGATAATAACATTAATGAATGGAGGAAAGCGTACCAGGTCCAGATCCTTTACCTTTAGCAACAGCATCGCGAAGGAGCTGATCCTCTGCTGTAGTCCATGAACGACGCTCTCGTTGGAACATATTATCAATGACTATGTCCTGAGTATCCTTTGATACCCTTTGCAACTAAGATGATTGGTTTTCAATCTAACACTTATCTACATATCTATGTATCCGAGCACGAGGGGAACGGGAATTCATGAGAAATCGTCCGATATTGTGATAGAATTTTTACAAACGTTGAAGTGCTGTCTTCCCGCAACAATCCCGCTCCCGAAAGAAATTTTGTCAACATCAGTTTCAATTTCTCTGATAGCGGCCGTTGTATGTTGACGGACTGCCATATAGAGTTGCTATATGGAGAAAATGCTTGAATGAGGGCCGGCAAGGCTTGAATCTGCTTGAATCCCATTCAAAACCGAGGCTCAGGTCCGAGGTTGCCTGATTTCGGTGTAAAGTTTGATGTATGTCGAATCTGTTACACCGTCCGTGATGAACGCTTTTCAGAATCGAAGCTGTCACATCGAAAATCTTTTGGTGCAATTATGTATGTAGTTCCTGCATGCATGCATATGGATTTTCGACGGTTATCAAGAAGTAAATGGGATTCTGTACGATAATGCCGTATGTACTATCATAATGAATATCCTCTCACCTCCAGCTTCGATTGAATCCCTTCACTCGAGACACTTGCATTGCTGTTGTTGGCGGTGAAGACGAATCCTGGTTTGTTCTTGCTAAGGATACTTGCATTGACATGAAATTTGGGGTAAGGACGAAAAACCGGAACGTCTATTTAGATTGCAGGACAAAGATAAAGCATTCAACACTGCAGATGGAACCAATATGGAACAGTACCTCACAACGACTTGAACGGACCCGAGTAGACGCAAGAGGGTACATACTACATAAACGGGACTGCCAATCAAGAAAGAGAATCGAGGAGTAAGGAACTTGGACTTGAACGAATATCCAGAACATGCATATCATTGATTATTTGATCGTATATGTATGGTACAAAAATCAAAATGGGGGGAATACATACTGGCTGGATAGCAAACAGCTGTCAAAGGGAAAAATAACAAGAATCGAACAAAAGATTATCACGGAACGATAGCGCTGGTCATGGAACCACTCAAGAGATAGTCGAACGGCGGGTCCTGGGTCCCCGGGGGCGAGCTCCTCGAAATCCGGACAGAGCAAGTTCAGTTGACACAGGAGGGCACGAACTTTTTGCGCTATCGGGTGGCGTAAGCAGGCCATGTCCAGTATTTCCTAATGACATGAATGAGATAAGAAACATATATTCGATCCTTAAGCCCACCTTGGTAATCGTTCTGAAAGTGAGATTGTCCTGCGAAATCAAGCGCCTTCCCCTTCCCTTTATCTTTAGACATGACTTGAAATCGATTTCCTTCGATCTTCTCTAATAAAACAGGAGGGCTAGGTAATGCTTTGACCTTTGTGACAGGGATCTTGGGCGATTGAGTATCTGGTGTGTTAACATCAGCAGAATACGAGCTTGCGGTTGTACTTGAGGTAGCTGAATTTGAATTATTATGAGTATATATTTTGAAAATTAGTCATGAAACTGTTACTACATACCGGTTGGAGAAGCAATCCGGTTCTGAATTTGATGTCCAGGTAATGCGACGCTGGTATTGGCTCTTGCTCTCGATAAAGATGGGTGTTCTGATCGAGTGAAATGGTGAGAAGGCTGATGAGAAGTTTTCGAAACAGAAATTCGCCCTGTGGAAACGGTTCCAGCATCTATGGGAGGAAGATCGGTGAGATTGCGACCCTTGCGAGAGCTGAGGCTTGAAGCACCGCTGCGAAAAGTGTGCTTGGACGGAAGGTCGTGCTGGTGATCTTATCAAGGCTATTAAAAGAAAGTACAAAATCAAAAATCCAATCTCACCCATAAACATTTCTGGGGCTTCATAGTCTGAGCCAACAAGTCTCTCTATAGTGGTTGAAGCAACTACAGCTGGGGGATCAGGGATAATTTGAATTACATCCCTTCGAGTTGTGGGTAATTTCGGGAAGAGACGAGAGACGGCTGGGGAGTGCATCAGATAAAGAAAATAGTCTAGGGAACGAAAGATTGACCAGACTGAGTAGCGGTGGATTGAGCTCTAGGTCTGCTTGGATTGTTTCTTCTACTTGGCACTGGCAACGGTCGGATGATTTTCGAGCTTGAGGCTTCGGAATCGTCTGGAGTCTCCTCTACAGGCGTCAGTAGGCCGAGGGCCACTGTGCCCTGTTCTGGGATAATGAGAGGCTTCAGCTTGGGTGGACAGGCGAGATTAGTCGCACTTGCTAAGATTCAAATCTCAATTCAGCATTATCAGGCTTTCATTCTGAATACACGCACGCCTTTCTATGTATAATGGGTTTATACTTGACTCCATCACCGTTGACGATGTTTTGGGAATATAATCCTGGAGCACCATAATCGCCGATTGATCTTCGAGGTTCACGGACGTTATGGTCGGAGACCAGAGAAATTGTCGATGCACAGCGTACTAGACACAGAGTTGAGAGTGGTGGAACGTTAAAGGTGAATTAGCTCGGATTGACAATGTGAGCCTTACGGAGGCTTCGAGTGCGAAGCCATTGTGGGGTTATGTAGGAATCAACCAAATGCCTCTTTAATATTCCGATGCCAAGGGAAGAAATCAGGCTCATGTCAATGCGACGTTCGAGGACTTTTGACTATAGCTTCGGTTCGTCGTCGAGAGGAAAGCGGAAATGAATTTGTTACACGGCATGATCCAAGGACTGAACGTCAATTTTAAGGAGAAGGAAAGTGCTGAAGGTTATTGAAGAGCACTACATGTCGAAAGGCGAGCAACAACAGATGCGTAAAACCACTCAGACTGACGTGGCGGAACCACTGTTGTGAGAGTGGGAACATTGAGGACGAATATACGGATCGACGGCAATTCCGAACCGGACCTCTCATCCCATCGCAACCTATCGCAACGTAAGTACACACTCCTTTATAAATCGATTCATAGTCAATGGCAAAAGACGGGGGAACATTATAGACGTTCTCGGAATGGCTCAGGTATGGCAAATTTCTGTTTAAGCGTTACTTGAACGAGTTACTCCAAATGCAATGACTTTTTGCGCATAGCTCCGTGAGCTAGTTGTAGAACTTGAAGACCACAATATTTTCTCTTCGTCCTCGACGTTTTACCCAAATGATCTCAGAGGGGTTCAACCGAAAGGGAAGTAATATGAAACTTCTTGGATCTGGGCTATGCTCAAACCGTCAAGAAAGAGCAAGAGAGAGGACTCAATTGCAATGAAATTTGATGAATTGCAGCATCCCGTGGCGTTTGACCAGGTTTGACCCGATGAGTTCTTGTTTCATTCATTGCTTATGCTAGCAATGGGAATTCGCATTGCTTATGTTAGCAAAGAGAACTCATTTCAAGTCGGTCAATTTCAATGACAACAAGATGTTGATAATCCAAGTCAATAACTTTGAAGACCAAATAGTCGTCTGCCAATATCTACGTCAATATCGTGTAAACCTCATCCGATTCAGCTGTGCAGCCAAAGTTACGGAGTGCATCCACAGCAGAAGGCCCAATGCGAATACAAGCGTCGGAAAGGTTATGAGGTCCAATCACACAACCTTGACCGAGAACGTTTCCCGAAGAAATGTCTGTCCCACAACTGTCGCAGGTAATGTCGAAAACCTGGTTACTGTAAGCAAGGGGACTTAGTCGCTCAGGGCTCAGTGTAAAGCTAGCATATCGAACTCACGGTTGGTAGATGGCATTGTTTACGGGATTGAGAATTAACTCCCCACCGGTGATAGTTGCAGCTAACCCACTGTCTACATCTCTGTAAGGTCATTAGTACTAGTTAGTACTCATTCAAGCCAAGGTTGGGAAACTAGGACCGACGTAATGAAATAACTGGTCGGAAACTCGCCACTTTGACGAATGTACCAATCTGGAGCACTCAGTCCACGGTAAGACTCTCCAACAAGGAGTGTATCTGAGGGACTCGCAATGCCCCATTCGAGCCCGGGGAGTCCTGTACTCTGGATGGAGACGGGCACTCCTTGGGCATTGGGATTGCAGGAAGAGCGCTGCAGAGGTTTAGCCAAAACTCCAACAAACAGAGTGGTCGAGAGAGACAGAATAGAGACTTTGAACATAGGGAAGAAAGAGGTAGAGAGCCTGAGTGTGCAAGGACCTACAGATACTCTTATTATATGTTTTCTTAGCGGCCATGGTACTCCGATAATGTTGAAACAAGTTCAGCCAGCCACCAGCCTGCTACCTATACTGCTACCGTACTACGTACTAAACGTGGGCTCTGAGTGCATATTTCGGTGTACCTCTCCGCAGATAACCCGAAAATCTATGACCTTTAGGAATACTCGACGCTCTGCAATGGCCGTGGTACACCCTAGTGGTTGCGGATCCAGGGCGGGTCCTAACATAGCACGGAACAAGACGCTACTTTGCAGTCAACGGGCAGGGATGTATAGCAGATTGATATTGTCGCGGGCTGTACCTGCCGAAGGACTTGACAGACTGACAGTCGAATTTTTAGTTTCAAATCTAGTACATAGTTCTGTGAAGCCACCTGATCATGTCTATATTCGTCCTGAGAAGTAACGCTTTGCCCTTTTAACGCCCATCATCAATGGGCCTTCCCCTGTGTCCTTGACAATATAAGTATCTGAGTGATCTAACTACAAACAACTCGAATTTTTCTAATGATCGAATAAATTTTACGCTTGTCTCAGTCTAGTATTTGTGTTTGACGACCTGGAGAATAATCTTCCAAAGAGCATGTCGAGATTCGAGTATAGGTAAGATAACCACAAGGAAAGCAGCGAATAATAGCCATATCTTAGAATTCCAGAATTAGATTTGAGCGAAAATGAACAGAAATCTATATAATACTTACAAACATAAAGCCCACTGTCCCAGCAAAAAACCGAGGTGAGAACACATACGGGGCAGCACCCAGCGGGACAGGTATGATCTATATGATCATTGCATCTGAATTTGGATAGTGAAAGAAACACATTTGCTCACAATTGTAATGATTAGTGCCAGGAAGCCAAAAATGAGAGTATATCTCTTGAATGTTTTCTCCAAAACAGTCATATCCAATTTCGCATCGAGAATTCCAGCAGCATCGTTTGTTGATCGAGGAAGTGAATCAACATCTATTATTAAAGGATCACTTTTCTTCTCCACCTCGAGGACGTCAGCTACCACACTGGAAGGCACACCGTTGCTTGAGAATGAACTGCCGTCGCGATCTTCGTCGATTTCGACTTCCTTTACGACAATCAGATTCCGCGTCTTTTCCCAATCAAAGTTGGCGGGTCGCAAAAGAGACAGTGTGATGGACAATACTCCCCCGGAGATGATAGCTGTGGCACCACCTGCAAAAGATGCCCATTGATTGCTCAAGGTATCGACAGTGATCTCTCCTCCGATTGCTCTGGCTGTAGCAAGCCAAACGATGAGTGCTAGAAACATACCAAAAATGGAGCCGGCAACAGCTCCCTCTCTGTTGAGATCTTTCCACCTGCAGAATTCGACATCATCAGCCTGACAAAAGAAGATTGTTAAGGTTGCATTCACATACAGAAAAGTAAGAGCTATAGGAAAAACACCAGAGGCCGTAGCTACTCCAAGAAAATAGAAGAGCCATCCTAGAGTCTAAGCAACGAATGCGTTATGAATTTATATCAAACCTAGACAAACCAGATTACTCACAATTCCAGCTAATTTGAATACTGAGGCAAGAGACCCAGCGAAAACACCCCAGAACACGATGAAAATACGAGAGGTGCCGACAATCTGTTTGCTTGTCGCGCGCGGGCGGAAATAATGGCGATAAATATCGTAAGAGAGGAGAGTTGAAGTAGCAATCATCTCTCCACTCAAGGCCTGTAGCAAAAAAAATGAGATGAGTTTCAATTTCTGGACATTCCTTCAACTGACGGAGGTGACGCTCAGAAAAATGAGCAACAACATGAGAACAGATCCAGCAGTCCCAAGAACATAGTTGACGGCTTCTACGGCGGCGAGCCCCGCACTGACATCTGTGCTCGAAAGTACGGGAAAATCGGGTTGTGTCTCAAGCGCTCGGGCGGTTAATCCCAGTGCGGTTCCACATGCAAATGGAATACTGAACCAGGCAAAGCCTCCTAAAAAGTAAGCTCGTGCGGTTGTGGCAGGATTCGAAGCAATTGCTCTTGACCAGTAACCTAGCACACAGACCGATGAGTGGAATGAGAACGTTTTGAAATAGGATGCGTACCTTGATCGCACATTACAAGACCAAACCCTTGAAAAAAAACATGATGTTGAACCAATACCAATCTGGGGTGTAATTACGCACCAGTAATAATTGACTGGAAAGAGCATCAGCTCGTTGCTTTCTCGAAATTCTATGTAGGAACGTACACACCTGCACAGCAAAAATTGCTCCTGGTCGAGACCGAAAAGTCAAGTACGAGCCTTGATAATTTCCGTCAACTGGTGTAGTCTTTGCCACAGCTTCAAGTAGCTCCGACAGTTTTCGTGGGCTTCCAATAACGTCAGATACGCAGAATACTCTGTAGTGACACAAATGAATTATTTTCATACATGTCACAAGTGGAGGACCGTACTCGAAACAAAAATAGAGCAGTATCGCCAACAGGAAGAAAGTATGAGTGGCATCGCTAATAAACGTCGCTCGCAAGCCTCTACATCATATAAGTAGGTGTAAGGAAATACACGAAGTCTGAACGACTTGAGACACGTACCCTGTTGCAACATATACCGCGACTCCCATAGGAATGAGGAAAAGAGCAGCGTACTCATTCATCCCTGTTAGAGTGGATACAACCGCTCCTCCACCGAGGAGTATGCAGGATGATACAATTGCGTTACAAATCAATCCACACCAGAGAAAAGATAAGTGGCCAGCGGTACCAAAGCGGGCGTAAGCAACCTATTCTGAATTTCAAAACGAAAGGCTTGATGAAGGATGAAATTGGCGAGAAAGACCGCACTCTGCCACGAACCTCCGGAAACGTCGTCGCTCTGTTAGCATTCATTTTGACCTTGCTAGCGATTACAGAGAAAATGGCAATTTGCAGCGTTCCGCCGACTGCATACCTGCGCATCGCCGTGCGCTGAGCATCCCATGTAGAGGGTGTGTCATTGAAATACGTACCACCACCCGCCAGAGACACCCATCTCATATGACTGAGTAGCACTCTGTAGGAGAGTCAGACTCCAAGTCCCTATGTCAGAGTTCATGCATTAGACCAAATTAATCCGATCTATCTCCTTTGCTCTGAAAAAGCGTACAGGAGCTAACGATACCCGCAACCACCAAACCAGTCTTCAACGATCTACTCGCAGCGCTGAATTCCGAAGCTGAGTTGGGTTTATACTTGGAAAAACGAGCTTGTATCCATGTTGTGACATTCATAGCCAGCGCAAAGACGATACCCAATCCCAGAACGACCGCATATCCGACGGCTTGAGGTAACGGTGGAGGATTATCACTAACAGCCATGGAAAGTATGTGAGTACGTTCCTATCACAGTGATGATAAGGGATGATTTCTGTGAGCACGAAATAATCCGTTACAGTGGTGTGTACTGGCAGGTCAATTCATACACTGGTCAAATGACGTGCTTATATACTTTCTTTAGGCAACTCCTACCAGCACGATTTCGAGAAGCTTGAATTTCGTTGGGCGACTGTTCCTCTTCGCTTGAAAGTTATTGCCGGTAATAGGATAGCGTTTCGGGAAAGCGATCCGCAACAGTATATGCTTGAACGCGCAAGTTGAGGGTCCGGGGCTTCAACGTTGCAACGTTCAACGCCGCGACGACGTAAGGCTTGGATAGTTGGAATTGTTCCAATCCACAGGGGCTCGCTTGACTCATCAAGGGTACTTGAGCCTTGAGCTTGAGGGACTTGACTGTACTTGAGCAACTCCGTTATTGGCGGACACATGATGAGATGCTGTAATAAATCTTATCTGATTGAGCACCCGTTTACTGTTGTGGCTTTACTTCTCTCTCGTTAACAACTCGTTAAGCTTCGTATTCAGGTATCGTCCGAGGGCCGAAGTCTGAATCATTTCCGTCCTTAGAACCTCCTCAAATCTTCAGTTCGGACACTATCAGAAGCAAATGTTTCTGCGATGCGGAGTGAACTTATCATGACAAGGAGAACTTTATCGTCCCGCATCATTGGTGAAAGGGCGAAGGACGTCACTGGAATGACAAAGTGATTATCCCGACCCTCAGGCCTCTGCGCTCAGCGATGAGCTTGCTTTTATCGCACTTCAAGCGAGCGATTTTATGAACATTATAGGCATCACGGAAACTGCAACTTTCGAATCTGTGAAAGGGGCTTCGCTTTTCGTCAAAACATGACCACAACCTCCCATCGAAATTTTACCCAGGGCGGACTTTAATGGGAGCTATAGTAATGGAGCAGACATGTGAAGGATGCTAACGTTGCGATGATACACACCAAGAAGAGCAAACCCGTGAGGATGAAGATTCAATTTTGTTTGCCACTGCGGCCAATGGCCATCCTCTCTGCCTCGGCGAATCATATACAAGCGGTCCGTTCCGAAGCCCGCATAAAGGAGAGGTTTTTTTCACAAAAGATTTTGATACGTGACGATGTAGGGCGAATGACGTGCTTCATTGACCACCTCGCGCAACTAATACGATATAAGGGAAGTACCGTTGAAAAACATGTACATTGTACGTTCCTTCCACCAGCTCAAGGAAATAAAATCATGTCTACTGCTACCACGACATTGACAGAGGCGCTTGACGCAAACTTCTCTCGACTCTCACTCTCTGCTTCTCCTGTGCCATCCACTCGTCTACCTCTTCCTTCATGGAAAGCGCCACCACCAACCCAAGAGGAAGTGGAATGGGCTGATATTTTGACCGTCGATCTCTCCCTGTACGAAACCAATAAGCCTAAGCTCATCGAGACGGTGCAGACGGCACTACAGAGAGATGGTTTCTTCTACGTTATTGGCCATGGGATTGATGTTGAGGAGGTAAGCACTGGCATGCCCAAGAGCAAATGTGCAAATATGGAAACTGAAATGCAATCGACATTCCAGCTGAATCGCCAGTTTGATATCGGACAGGTGGCTTTCGACCAGGTCCCGAGAGAAGAGAAGGAGGAACATCGCGCACAGATCAAGGAAAAAGGATCGTTCATGGGATACAAGGTTTGTAGATTGAGAGCATTCGGTCGATATATTGCTAATTTCGAATTGTAGCTCCAGAATTACTGGGAAATCAAAGACGGCGTGAGAGATAGAATTGAACACTATAATTTTTACAATAACAGGTGGATCAATAGCGCAGATCGTTCTGGTACAAGTTTTAATTTTTTAATTTCTCCACAGCATTGACCCAGTGACACGGCACCCAACCGCACTCCGACCATTCGTTCCGGAAGTTAAGGAATTCCTTAATACCATGCGCCAGACTGTTCTCCACAGGGTTCTGAACCTGATAGACGGCGTCCTAGGATTAGATGAAGGATACCTTTGGGAACTACACCAAAATTCCGAAGGGGAGATGGGAGACGACGTGAGCTCCGCCATATTGTGTTCCAGGTCCATTGCCTTCAACTTTCTTTTTTTTTGTGCAGCTTTTCCGTTACATGATATACGACCCGCTTACCGGAGAAGAATCCCAAAAGACAAACGGAGTGATGCTTAATGGTCACACTGACTTCAATAGTATATCCACCCTCATATCACAGCCAATCACGGCGCTCCAGGTTCTCATGCCAGACAATGTCTGGCGATATGTAAAGCACAAGGACGGAGCTTTCGTCATCAACATCGGAGATCAGCTATCCTTCATGACCGGTGGAGTTTTGAAAGGAACTATGCATCGAGGTGAGGCCATTTTTTTCATTCAATATTCGATGCTGACCTTCGATATCTCAGTTGTCAGTCCTCCGGAAGATCAACGTGCCCTCCGCCGTCTTGGTGTATTCCACTTTGCACACTTTAGAAACAACATTCCACTCAATCTCCTTCCTTCGAAGAAAGTGCATGAGGAGGGTCATATTATATTTGAAGGAGAGATTCCGACGACAAACGAGTAAGTTTTCTATCGTTTTTGCTCTGGACTCGTAGCTGATGGGCTGATAGATGGGAAGAAAGGCGCGTAAAGAGTTACGGCACATCAGAATTTATCAAAGGCGAAGTGTATGATATTGAAGTCATCGCGGGACTTCAAGTTCGACATTATCATTAGTGAGGTGTAGACACGGATTAAATGTATGAATACCCTGTGGTTTTTGTAGGAGTATAGCTTTTCAGATAGGAACTTCGTGTGTTTTGAAATTCATTTATGGGTCCAGGGCCCAGACTCCTGTTGTACTCAACCGACTTTCTTTCGCGGTAACAAACAAATAAACGAGAATTCGAACATGAAAAGAACTACGAAAAGGACATGCAAAGCACTGTACATGGATACAGAAAGATACACATTAACCCATAGATTGAGCTTATATATATGTATGTAAATACTACATGTCTATTGCTCTGAGGCCTCCACTTTCCATACTTTGATAACACCGGCTCGGTCGCCACTAACAATACCACCACGGAACGGAGAATCAATACAAACAAGAGCAGTGATAATATCTTGGTGGGATCTGAGTAGAGTCTGTTGATTATGAGTGATCAGTGATATTCTCTGTGTTGGTCGATTCTGTTGACTGCTCGATCCAGTAGCAGACCATCCTTCGATGTACGTTGATGCAGAGCCATTGTTTGAAACACTGAATTTGGAGATCAGTGTCATCCTAATCAAACCATGTGAGAATGCGTACCTGTACGAGGGTCTTTCAGCATCAGTCTCAATCCCACACAGCACCGTCGATCGTTCAATCTTTCCCAAATCCCACAAACGGATCTTTCGATCCTCAGACCCCGTGACCATGAAGCCTTTTCCAGCATATTTCGGAGGAGCTTCGCCAGTGAAATTGGCGAGATCGGATCTATGAACAGCTGAATGTCCACCAAATTCCATCCCGACAACGATAGCGCGAACATCAGCAGCAGGAGCTAAAAGTTGTTGAGGATGAATTACAGGGTCCTCTCCAACCTGACGAGATCGAACGAGAGCTGCTATCGCAGCTGCAGGGCTATTATCCGCATCAACACCAATCAGACCATGCGGCTCAATGGAATCATCAGAAGAAGGACCCCTCCGCACAACAAATGTCTCTACCAATAGAGATTTCTCAATGTCCCATACCTCAACCAAAATTGTGAACGCGCGGTCATTATTGCTCTTTGAGGTTTCTACGGTGACCATTACCCACTTTCCCCGTCCCTTGGATGGATGGACAATGCATTGGTGGATTCGCACCAGACGACCGATGGAAGCGACGCCGACATGCCAACTTTTCAGAAAAAGTCCAAACCGACGGTCCCACAGAGTTAGCACACCGGTCGATGTTCCAACAAGAATCCAAGAGCGTTTACGGTCAATACAGAGACATGTTATAGGACCATGATGCCTTGGATTTTCCATCTTTTGCAGAACGCGCATTGTTCGCAAATCGAGGATGGTAATGATGGAATGGGTCGTGGCGTAAACGAGGTTGGAAGAAGTATCTACTCATAGATTTCACCACTAGCAGGTGATATCAGTTGAGCAATCAGACGTACCAGTATTATAATGTTGCATCGCAGTTATGTATTCACCCACAGTGTCAACATGATGCTCCCTTACCAACTGAAGCTTGTGGTATTTCGGGAGCGTCCCTGTATGCTGGGATATGTGCACCCGCACGATATGTAAGCTCCCATCATCGGCGGCGCTAGCGAAACAATGTACACCCTCTAATATGCAGATACACTTCACCCTTGCATGGTGCTGACTGTACGTGTGCCGAGGTTTGGCGGTTACGTTGCGTTCTAGCCTCGCCGTATCCCAAACTTTCACCGTTTTGTCGTCAGAAGCTGAGACGAAGAAGGTTTGGTCAGGAGAGACAGCGAGGCCTGTAATAGAGTCGGAGTGTGAGCCTAGATGAGTTACCAGGACAGCGTCCATTTTTCGCGCAATCCCATCCCGAGAAACTAAACTGTGGCGGACGGGGTTTCTACGTCGGACAGGCCCTTCATGTACACGAGGACCAAAGTCATGTTGGAGATCTCGATTATTATCCAAGTACAAGTTCTCTAGAAGATTATTGATCCCAGCTTCCTGTCCATCTGAAAGTTCAGAATGGAAAATTTCAATATCCGCGACAAACAAACGTTCTGAAAACATTTTACTTACCATAAGTAGATATAGGAAACAGTGATGGCACCCTTGATCGATTCACAGGTCGAATGGTTTGCGACAACGATGCTGGTGTCGTTCTCCCCGAACGTTCCGGTGAAGATTCGGTTTGAAGATGCGAGTGCGTGTCTAACAGTCCCAGTGCATTCGTTTTCGACGATCCAACAGCCGGGGCAGCCTTGTGACTACCATCTCCGTTCGCGTTCCCACCAAACTGCATCCTGCTGAGAGGTCGAAAGGATGTTGAGTTGTTCGAAGTGGATACAACTGACTCGGTCGGGCTTCCCGGTCGTTCAACTGGTGCTGGCGAAATGGCTCCAGAAGCCAGAGCAGGACTCGGTTGAGGTAAGTGTGAAGGAAGGGAAGAACGAGGAGTAGTTGGTGTTTGTGGTGCCAAGCTGAGTGACGAGGCCGAACCGTTGATGGTAGCTAATCTGCGGCGCAGGTCTTCGAAAGGCGCTCCCGAACTTGGAGGTCCGACGAAATTCATGTGATCACTGAACGGGCGAATCGAAAGGGGTGAACCGGGCACCGCTGTTCCTCCTGTGATATCCGAGCGTCGTGAGCGAGATACTCGAGAAGTTGTTTCGGAGCTGCTAGATTTGAGGAACACCGTTTGGGGAACTACCCCGAGCTTGGGTAATTCCACGTCTCCAGTTACTTTGAGATGCTTGATCGCACCAATATCGGGTCCGGCTCGCGAAGAAAAACTGCACGATACTATCAATAACGAGGACTGGGCGGAAAGATGGGGTTCTGACCTTGATAAAGCATTAGCTAACTTCAAGATATAGTCTCGCATCGCCATTAACTTTGCTTCCTCTGCCGAAGTCATGCCTAATTGTTGCAGCTTGATCACTTGAATTTCGTCCCTGCAGAATCGTTACATTATTATTATTCAAAAAGTCAATGTCTCCGACGCGCAAAAGACGCACTCTTCCGACAAATTTTTGCTTAAGCTGGTGCTGATCTTTCGCACAGAAGCAACACTTTCTCTAGGAGTTTCAATTTTACCGCCACCCCGCCTGCCTGCCTTCCAGAAGTTGGTTCTATCCGTCTTCCTAGCCCATTGTACAGTTGCGTCAAAAATTTGTCGTGGAAGCTACATGGGCCATCAGAAAATAAGCTTGCAAAGAAATGAAACAAGCACTGACCGCAGGTTTCATGGCGTTCAATAAACTTTTCTCGTCAATGGTTTCAACATCAGACTTGAGGAAGTGTCGCAAGGAGGGGTAGAGAATGCACCAAACATCGCTAGGCGGGAGATGTTTCGCAGCCGCAGCAATAAACGCGGCGGCACCTAATGAAACCCTTAGATACCACGTTCAACCAGTACTCAAAGATAAACAAATCACCTTGCCGCACCCAGATATTCGGATGATATAAGAATCCAAGTGTCGCGCTCATGAGTTCCCAGATACGCATCTTCTGAAATAAGCCCAAGCCACATAAACTGGTCAACGAAGCCAACACCTTTGCTACCACCGTCTCCTCAACATCTGATGATAACATGGTGAAAATTACGAAGCCCGGTGTAGATATCCACACGTACCAGAAAGAGCCTGGATCATCAAAGGTAAGATATACTCCTCCAAACTTCTCCCACCCGCACAAGCCGCCACATCCACAATACTTTCGAAGAACGCATGCCGGAGCAGCCAATCCCGATCGTTCAGATAGGTGATCATATGACTGAGGAGTACATCATTAGTCCGCTGTCTTCCAAGGAATATACATAGGTATGATATATGGTGTAGCACGGCCCGCTTAACAATGCTAGATGAATCAACAAGCAACGCAGAGAGCTGTTCTTGGATACTGCTTTGCAGATCCTGAAGACTAGCTTCATAAGATACCTACCAACATGGTAAGACAGGATAACAATCGCACGTAAAACATACATACCTCATATTGATCGTACTCCTGCGCCTCTGGAGATATTCTGAAAGACCCGTGCGCTTTCAATGCCTGCCCCATTTCCAAATATCTCACAGCTGTATCCGCAAGTTGGACAATACATTGAGCATATGTGCACCGGACGGATACTTCCGGGTCCTGCACAAGGTATTTGACATTTGGAATAATATATTCGGGGAATATAGCTGCATTTGAAGGAGTGATGACCGTTACTAGCATTAACTTCCAGAAAGGTAATTAGCTCAGTGCGAATTGGAACTGTTTGGAGTTATACTCACTACTTGTACCAAAGTCCGGATCGCAGCTAGTCTCACAATCGCAGCTTCATCATGTAATAGATCAACTATGTATGGAACCATTCTATCCAGTTTTGCCTCGTCTGTCAAGTGGGACGACAGGGCTAAGAAGACATCCAAGGCTCGGACCTTCGAGCTGGGCAAGTAACAATTTCGAATGTTGGCTGTGACGATTGCTAGAATGATCAAGGCAGGTCCATCCAAAGTAGCTCTCGATTTTGGTTGCAGAATGCTGTTCAATTTGGACACGCGATTCGGGATTTGCAGTTCAATAGGGAGTATATCTTGGAAAGGCCGAGAGACACTGGTGGTTGTGGAATGATAATCAATTTTGACGTCCATGGTGATTTCTTCCGCAGAGTCAACCACAAGATATGGTTCAACACTTTCAAAATCTGCCCACAGCCGTTCCATTCTATTATCAGAGTCGTTGGGGAGAACGTCACCGGAAGACATTGCGTTTAAGGAATTTCCGCCGGGGGCGGGAGGAGTTGAGGTTAACGTGCCGGAACGTAAAGCAGTGGCAGATAACGAGGGAGTCAGGTCGCCTGGATTGGGAATGTTTGTGCCATTAGGAGCAAATGGTGATATGCCAGAGATTTCGTTATTGGAAGAAACATAATTGTGAAAGAAGCTGAAGAACGATTCTGGAAAAACAGTTCCACGCGAGGCTTGCATAAGACTGTCGAATGTTGGGCGGGACAAGGGGTCAAGACTAATCATTTGCTTGATCATGTTCTACTATTGACAGTTAGGAACCGAATGTAAGGGAGAGAACTGGATTCTCACTCGTACACCTTCATCTTCGATGAGGTTCAGATGGGACTCAACATTGTATTCTCCTTCCCGGTATTTGAATAACTGGCTAAGGGTGAACAGAGGCGCACCCTCAAGGAATAGCTCCGCAATAACGCATCCCACACTGAAACAATCCATGGCTTCAGTTACTTTCCCGTCTCTCTGACCTTCTTCGACAGCTAAAGTCGACTTCTTCGCACTGATTTCGGGATTACTGGCAGCAGTATAGAACCGTTCCGGAGCGATATAGCAGGTGCGACGCCCGGATGTGTCAAAGAAGAAGGAGAAGTCAGAAGGATCATCAAGAGGAAGGTATGTCGGTTTATACGAAGCGAAATCAGTCAAATAGACCCAGTTCCACGAAGTAACCAAGATGTTCTCTGATTTGATATCCCCGTGTGACACTTTGCGAGTTCGTGCATCTCGTAGACCATTGAGTATTTGAAAAGCTATCCATTTCTTCTCTATAACACTAAGGAAAGGCCGGGTACTGACTGACGTTAGATCCAGTAGTGGATAACGCGAGTGCGAATACCTTATACGGTCGTAGAGGTTACTTGCAACCCATTGTCTGATAAGGTAGCCTGCCTTTTCAGTTTCGACGAGTGCCTGATAGTTATAAACGTTGACGATATCTAGCAGTGTCTCCCGGTCAACTATCCAAAAACAGCATTCAGTATCAGCGTATTTCTGACAAAACAGAGTCCCACTCTTCAACCGCCTTAGATAGTTGCGTAAAGAGAGACCGGGGTCGGGCTTGATGAAGACCTTGACGACTAAATATCCATTTTGGTGTCGGCACTTAACAGTCTTGAGGAAACGGGCAGAACCAAGGCTACTATGCATCAGCGGGACGCCAGATTGTAAGTTTATCTGCGCACCTTTTCTCGTAGAGGATTTCACCACCGAGTTCAGCAATGAACGAGTCTAAAGCTACAGTTGTACGTGTCAAAGTCGAGCCAGATTGGATATTGCCCATCGTAGGGAGTTATCAGGTCGACACAGTACATATAGTATGACCGAGTAAGGGTCGCGGTAGTCACTGCCGAGGAGAAAGCCAAAGTAGCGTGTCTCTGACATCGTGACCTCTCTGAGTCATTTGCGCTATTTGCATGCTCGTCCAATCTCTAATCAGGATTGTCAGAGTACGGCCGCTTCTTCCAAAGAATCTCCGCGTCAATTTGCCTGTTTGCCACGTAGGAAATCTCTCCTTAATCTCCCTAAGATACAGCAGCGCCATGGCCACTCCAGTTGCCTCCGCATCACAACCTGCTGCTCCTCTCGCTCAGCCCAAGAAACAGAAAAAGGAAAAAGCGGCCGGGGATTCAGGATTTCCTTTGGAAGTACGTATCGAATTTTCCAATCGATTTAGATCGTCGAGTCAATGCGAAGCTTAGCTTCAACCACCACCCGATTTCTTCGACCACCGTATCAAGCTTTTCGAGCAGCTGAAGGCCGAATACGACGACGAGGTGAAATGTAACTATTCTTCAGACCTTGTTTATCAACGAAATGCTAAAGTCCTATAGCCAAACCTCGGGAAGAAATCACCATCACCTTGCCCGATGGTGCTCAACGGAAAGGAACTAGTTGGGAGACGAGCCCAATGGACATCGCAAAAGAAATCAACAAGAGTTTGTCTGAGAGGGTTGTCATTGCCAAGGTGAGTGTCTATTCTCTCAGATAGAAAAAATCAATTAATCTACGATTTAACAGGTAGACGGCATACTGTATGATCTTGAACGTCCGCTGGAGAAGAGTTGCAAACTTGAGCTGTTAGACTTTGAGAACGAGGAAGGTGCGCATCCCCGTTTATTTGATTACCAACTGTGCTCATGTTCCATTCAGGCAAGAAAGTCTTCTGGCACTCCTCCGCTCACGTCCTCGGAGAAGCTACAGAACGACATTACGGTTGCCATTTGTGCTTGGGTCCCCCTACCGACGATGGTTTCTTCTACGAGATGGGCATTCAAGATCGGTAGGTCGTGAATCACGGACTTCTAGCGAAGTATTAACATATGACCTTTGCTCCAGTCCAGTCTCCAATACCGACTATCCTGCTCTTGAGAAGGTGTCCGAAATGGCGATCAAGGAGAAACAAAAGTTTGAACGCCTGGTCGTTTCGAAAGAGAATTTATTGAAGATGTTTCACGTATGTTTATTCTATCCAAGGCCGCCCAGTATTCCTGACATCTTTTACAGTACAATAAATACAAGCAATACCTCATTAACACCAAAGTCCCTGATGGCACCTCTACTACCGTTTACCGTTGTGGCCCTATGATTGATCTCTGTGTCGGCCCCCATATTCCGCACACCGGTAAAATTAAGGCTTTTATGATCACCAAGAACTCTGCATCGTACTTCCTTGGAGATGCCAACAACGATTCTCTGCAAAGAATCTATGGTATCTCCTTCCCCGATAAGAAGCAGTTGACTGAGTATAAGACCTTCCTTGCGGAAGCTGCAAAGCGCGACCACCGGAAAATTGGGAAAGAACAAGAATTATTCTTTTTCAACGATCTCAGTCCTGGAAGTTGTTTCTTCCTCCCGCACGGCACCCGGATCTATAACTCGTTGGTCGAACTTTTACGGGTATGTGATCAGTCGATCTCTGGCCGCAATTTTCAATTATTTTTTTAAGCTGGAATATAGCAAACGCGGATACCAAGAGGTCATTTCACCAAATATGTACAACAGTAAGCTCTGGGAGACGTCAGGTCATTGGCAGAACTACAAAGATGGCATGTTCACTCTCGACATCGAGAAGGAGAAATGGGGTTTGAAGCCCATGAACTGCCCTGGGCACTGTCTCATTTTCGACTCGAGAGATCGAAGTTACAAAGAGCTGCCTATCAGAATGGCGGAGTTCGGTATTATTCATCGAAACGAAGCCAGTGGCGCTTTGACTGGGTTGACGAGAGTGAGAAGATTCATGCAGGACGATACCCATGTCTTTTGTATGCCGTCGCAGGTATGTCGAAACAGTTTTTTTTCAAGAATTTCTTATTCAATTCTGGCTAGATTGAAGACGAAATCAACGCGCTATTCGACTTCATGCAACACATCTATGGAATGTTTGGCTTTGAATTCCATCTTGAATTGTCTACTCGCCCTGAGAACTATCTTGGTGCCATCGAAACGTGGAATTTTGCTGAAGAGGTGCGTTTCCTCCGTGCCAGGCCTCTTGTATGATCTGATTGGTCTATATCAGCAACTCACCAAGGCCCTCGATAAACAATACCCAGGTCAATGGGCAATCAACCCCGGCGATGGAGCGTTCTATGGTCCCAAGATCGACATCACCATTAGTGACGCCCTTCGTCGATCTTTCCAGTGTGCTACTATCCAATTAGACTTCCAGCTTCCAGAACGATTCAACTTGAAATACCGGTCTGCAGAAGATTTTGGGAGCTCTGAAAAGCCGGCCTCAAGGCCCGTCATCATCCATCGGGCGATCTTGGGTAGTTTGGAAAGGTTCATTGCGATTATCACGGAGCATTTTGCTGGAAAATGGTAAGAAGGCTCGCAATTTCCAGTTGTTCCTTGGAGCCCATAATCTTCCTAGGCCATTTTGGATTTCCCCTCGTCAGGTTGTTGTCATTCCCGTTGCTGCGCCCTACGTACGTTGTATGAGGCTTTCTATATTTTGGTCACCACTGACATTCTCTCTAGAAAGAATATGCTACAGAAATCACCGATCGTCTGAACTCTCTTGGACTTTATGCAGATGTTGACAACAGTGACAACACACTTCCTAAAAAGATCCGTAACGGCGAAATAGCACAGTACAACTTTATCTTAGGTATGTCTTGCTTGAGTAAAACATATAATATATTTAGCTCATTACATTCTAGTTGTTGGTCAAGAGGAGCTCGATGCCCGAGCAGTGAATGTTCGAAACCGAGACGACATTGGCACGAAGAATAAGGGGGAGATGATCCCTCTCGATACCGTTGTAGAGAAGTTTGTGGAATTGAAGAGTTCGAAGCGGTTGAAGAATCAGTTCGCTTGAGCTCGGTTTTAAGAATAGATATAGGTGGTATCTAGATGTGTGGTTGGACACCATATATACAACTATCTACTCCACTGATTCTTTCAATAACCAGAAACCGGATGGGATTCAAACAGAGATTGCATTCCCAAATTGTGAACGCTGATGCATGAGCGGTCCCAGTCAGTTTCTAACACAGAGCTTGTGAGGAACAAGGACATACCAATTGCATGATAGCGATACGTTCAGTCTCAGGAAGTGCGTTGACTTGTTCGTCGGACATACTCACTACTTGTCTTAGTAAAGCCTGGAATCATATCAGATACAGTATTGGTACACTCAGGAAATGACTCGCTTTGTGAGACTCGCTAATGTTATTTAGAGCTGCAACATTATTAGCTTGTGGTTGGGTGCGCTGATACATGTTGGCTTGCACGGGACTGGGTTGTTGCAACACTGGCGTCGACGAACCACTGGATGGATGTTGCATCTGCGATGATGGAGTCATACCAGGTGGAGGAGTCGGTCTGTAGTAGTTAGGGGGAGGCATGGAAACAGGTGGAGGGGCAAACATTGGTGTAGCCATATTGGGTGGGAAGGGTGGCATATGGGAAGATGCACCATAATTTCCACCAGGGGGATAGTATTGCTGTGGAGGTACATTTGCTGGAGTGGGTGCAGAAGGCGGAGCTGTTGACCCGACAGTTGCGGCAAGCATTCGCTGTAGAATGCTCTGATCCACGATCTTATTCAATAGCAAGGCTTGGAATAGAGCATACGCAAATTGAGGATGTGAAACTAGAAGTGTTCGTGCTTGTTCAGGGTGTGTGATCACAAATGCCTGCGGCGCGCGCCATGAGATAAGGAATATTATACTAGGGCATTGAGACACACTTTCATATGCGCTAGGACGTCCATTAATTGCGAGGGATTCATAGTTGCCAATGTTTGACTAATAGTGTCGAGCACAGTAGATCCAGCGGGGACAGGTATACCCGGCGGCAGAGAAGCAAGAAAGTCTTGGGACTTGTTCGTATTATCTGAGCGCCACTGGCGATCTGAAGGACCTCCACCGTCCAAGAGCTCACCACGAACGGTTGTTTTTCCTTCAAGAAAAGGGTCTGAATCCGCAAGATCGATTCTAAGCGGTCGCCCTCCCACTTCATAGTTGTTGAGATTGCGAACGGCAGATGATGCAGTCTCATGGTCTGAAAACACGAGTCGAATTTTGTGGTCGTGCAAGTGGAAGAAATTTGAGGTTAGGATGAACGAAATTCGTGCACACAGAATCGTCCACAATATACATCACAATATTCAGTATATTTTCAGTATTCATGTGAACAAAGAATGATTATCGGATGGACGATCGTTGAGAAGAGACACATTCGTTCGAAATCGGAAGGGAAACGATATTTTCGTCAGACAAGATCTGTGACTTTGAATGACAAAGTGAATTGAAAGTACCGGTAAATTCGCAGAATCCATAGCCTTTAGGTTTTCCAGTGTCTCTGTCGAATACTAATCTATACAAGGAGAAATATTGGATGAAAGTGGACGAAAAAAGAAGAGCACACACACCGAAATCCAACAACCTGACCTACGGACTTGAAAACATCAATAAGTTGTTCCTATGCGTCTATAGTATAAGCCTCAATGCTTTAAGAACATGACTGAAGACCATGCCTCGCCCATATTGTAAGGCACATTGCCGACTAGTGAATGGCAAGTCAGAGATTGAGGACAGAAGAGGTGGTTGAATGAGGAATACCGAAAACCACTTTACTCATTTTTCACAAAATAAATGAAGGGCAAGTTTGACGATTTGTTCAACAACAACAACGAGTTCGACGGCGACGACGTGGAACGCGCAACTTTCACATGATAGCCGCAGCTGCACAGCCTCTATGATTTACTCCCTCGAGCCTGCAGCGAGGCTTCTTGAACGTTCTCGTACTTTCTGTTTTGCCACAACGTTCTGGTTCTGTCTAATGATTTATCATATAACTGGAAGGCATTGACGGATGTTTCACAGAATACCCGCCGTTGTCAGCGCACCTTACTATGTCCTTGTCAGCATTCGTAATGCGAACGCCTTCTCTAAGTCGTCAACGGGGTCGGAGGATAGTTCAAGCATCCTAGTCAAAGCTAGTCATATATTCTGCGTAAGGTTAATTCTGTGGCCCGAGAGGCAGGACTTACTTTGGATTAACCAGTATTAAGTCTTTCCATTTTAGTTAATCCATGATTCACCGCGGCATATATAAGGAGCCACACTCCATGATTTTTAGCCACTACATCATCTCTTACTTTCGACTTCCATGGCCCCAACAAGAACAGCAAATATAAGGTCATCACGAATTCCTTCTCGCGGGAGATCTCCGGACGACGACGTCGTCAATCAAATTGTCGCTGAGAGATTGAAAGCACTCCTGAAGGCAAATAGAATTCGCTTTGTCAATCCTTCATCTGGAATGTTTAGACCCAGGTTCGTGGAAGTGCCCGCTTCTGTTCCAATGTCCATAACCGTCCATTACTAGATGCGATGTCTTTGACGATCTTTCCTCCAGCATTGTCACCGCTATGTTCGAATTGCCCGGAGTCAAACGCAGTGAGATTGCCCTGAACCTGCGCGAAGGGGCACTTGTTGTCCAAGGGGAACGCGTCCGTCCGGACAAGAAGTACACTAACCAACCGTCCTATTCACGCTTCCCCGCACCTTTGGAATCCACTGCCACCACGGCGAATGAATCAGAGCTCAAGCACCGATACGTGTTAGAGGAGCTGCGCTACGGTAAAGTAAGTCACTTCAGGTAGCATGCCTGTGCAGTCCCTATTAGGTATTATCACGGGCAATATTGACGCCATCCCTGTGTTTCTAGTTCGAACGAAGAATCACATTGCCTGATGGAATTAAGGTGAATTCCCTCATCCCTGTTTTGTCGAACAATAGCGCTGACCCCAGTTTCATTGTTCTACAGGACGCTGACATCAAAGCTCATATGTCAGAGGGCATATTGATAGTGACTTGGCCTCGACAGCCCACGAGTCAAGGATCATCTACCAGTGTACCGTTCGCTTCCTCGAAATGACTCATTGTCAATGCTATTGGTCTTATATCATGATCTGCTGTGGCAATATTGTTTCACATTCGTTGACTCCTTCCTTCCTCCTTTCATTGGAAATTATCCGGAAATTCTCACTCATTATATTGGGACTTGGCCAGTTTTGTGGGACATCTTATGCTATAATATTTTCAACTCCTTTTCTACAGGTTGCTTGTACTCGACCAAATTATCCACTTCCATTACATTATAATACCCTTCTAATCTTGTAAACCCCTCTCAGTCTCAGTCTGTATCCATCATTGCTCCACACGTCTCAATCGCGTAGTGGTATTACTGTATTCTTATCAACTGCTGCCAAAGCTGAACAGCTTTGTTGCTACATTTCTATACTTCTCCGAAATCTGGATCAGTGATGTGTACCACATTTGAAGTGTGAATTAAACTTATATTCCTAAAATACTTCCTATCTTTTGGATGCAGATACTGGAGTTACTGGGAAAAGACTGAGTTTGAGGCCGGTACCGAGCTGTGAGCAATGAGTCATCTTACCCTCAGTCATCTGAATTCAAAGAAAATCGCTTGATAGCAGTGTATGCTCGACCAGCTAGCGGCAAGAGACATACTCGACCCATACTCAACTTATGACAACCATGAGCCTCAAGCGACCGACAACATGGTGCTATATGTGTGACTAAATAGTTACGTGATGTATGCAATACCTAATCAAGGTTGATAACACTTGCTTTGACCTCCTCACGGACCAGGAGTTTTGGAATTGTCTTGTGCTTGGCACTAGATTACGCGACGCGTATACCTGGATAGCTTTATCCAATGGTGACCTGGATGGCGAAGCCATGGATAGATGGGTGACGGATCATTTGTTCGGGTCTACCGCTAACCATCGATGTACTTGAACAATGATAGGATTCGAACTACTGAGTTAACTGAGGTCATCTCTCAACATCTCTATATGGTCATCCTGGATCTTCCACAAAAATTATGAAGGGTCTACAGTCTCAAGCATATACATATATTAGTAGATTTAGTAATACACACCACCTGAATATTCTGCGCCACTGGTGCGAAATATAATGTCTGCATATTAGTGCGGAAACTGCGATGTTTCATTTGGCGATGATTGTATATGTCTACTGTCAAGAACATTGAAGTTCATGAGAGACGTCCATCTATCGTAGATCATAGCACCGTTTTCATGAGGAGCATGAGTAATATTGTGCGTTGTGCCCTTTTGGTGTACGTGGCTGTTAGATGGATGACACCAACTATTTGTTAGGTCGGGAGGATGTGAAAGTGGTGACGAGGCAGGCAAAGATAGCCGTCGATCTGAGTTGGAGGGAAAAAGATTGTCGTTTTCTGATTTAAGGAGAGGTTTCGATACTAAATATGCATGAGGCGCAGACGAAGATGCGTCAGGTATATGTTGATTCCGATGTCTATCTGCAAACGGTGGCGAATAAGGTTGTTCAGAGTGGAATTCGGTTGGGTTATGGTTATGATGGTTTTTCTGGACCTCAATCGCTTTTTGCAACAAAGCATTCAGGACAAGCTAGTCGCAGAATGTGAGCATTATCATAACATATCATATAATCTTCAGAGCATGCATACCAGAGCTTGAGCGGCTCGACTACTAACTTCGGCCGCCCCGCGGAAAACTTCGCATGCCGATTCGAATTGTTCCAGAGGATGTGGCTTCACGTCGAGGCAATTTGGATTAGTAGCGACGGTACCCACAATGACCTGGACGATAGATGTTAGCAACTCTGTAGTGACGACAGGTGAAGAACTGACTGCAGCGGAGAATGCAAACGACCATATTTGCCATACTCTACAAACCAAGAGCGGCTTCTTCTGATATTGTATTCGTGTATCATCCAACACCGCGCAGGCAGCATGATAAGCGGTGAGCACTGACTTCCCATATGGACTCATCAGAGGATTGGCGGTATGCTCGGTCATTGCCAGCGAGAAAGATGGTCGATGAAGATACAAAAGCACTACGAGTGAACTTGGCTTTAGCGATAGTTGACTCCAAGAATGGATTATTCACTCAACTGAGATGTGAATAATGAGATCGTACGAAGGTCCTCATCGAAATAGCAGTGCGGTCATCCGAAGGATCACTATCTGGTTTCGGATTGACCAACGTGCGAATTTTGGCATCTAATTCCAGCACCTTCTCATACGACGGTTTCGTGGATAATGTTATGTGGACCAAGGGAAGAAGACAAGTATAAGTAGTGTGAAAACCCCAGACACCAACTAGAAACAATAATGACATTGATTCCTAAAAGAGGTAGACATCGCCAACTCACATCCTAAAGGAAATTCGCCCCGCTGATACATGTTCTCTTCTTCGACAGTGGGTATTTTACAGGTGATGAATTCAGCAAATATTCCTGATGGTCGACCTGTTACTAAAGACTGAGGGAACGCATCAGCTTCTTGATCTCGAATACATATTCGTTCCACTGACATTCCACAAGATGCCAGCAAGTAAATTCCACCAATAAACGCGTCTGTCATAAGCTTCACGTCCTTGAAATTTCCAAGTTGATGGGTCAATATCTATAAGAACAGGTTATACCCACACTCTGTATTACAGTGCTTTAGAACATACGAAACCCAATCTTAGAACGAGTATGAAAAAAGGATGAAAAAAATACAATACGCAACACACCTGAGTGGCAATCTGACCAGCAAGGTTGATAAGAGCATATGATTGCTCTAAGTTTTCTTGGCTACTAAGGCCGTTGTGTATACTCATCATGTGCAATACCTACAAAAGCAATGTTAACTGTCAGAATACACTGGGTACACAGAGCTGACCTTGATGGTCGTAACGGAGGACTCCGTTAACACAGGCTGCAAAACCAACGCAGCTCGGGCTAAATGGTAGAAATGTTGCGATTCGAGATTAAGAGGTTCTATGCTCAGGTCAACAAGAACGCCGATGGCAAGAACAATATACAATAAAGCGAGTTCGTGAGGGCCGTAAAGCGACGTCCCTTGATAAATTGCGGGTATCAGCTCAGATACCAGTAGCTGGCGGGAAACTATGTGAAACATCCACGAAAGGTTTTCCAAGAACGTGTCGCATAAAGCAATTGCTCGTTCAATTGGCGGAAGAAAGGAATGAATCGATCTCTGCGTAGAAGCTATGGGAATGTTAGGTGGAGTCAAAGGAAAAGAGCGCGTGAAGTTGATGATTTCAGGTGGAAGGTAAGAGTTGTCCAATTCCGGCAGGCGTGGAATCGAGATAGACTTCAATCGTTCTTCTTGGGGTGAAATGTCCTAGGGGTGCTAGTATGAGGGTATGAAAGCATAAAACTATGTCGCTACGTACAAGCAAGAGGCTCTTCAACCGAATTCATGTCAGTCTTCGACTTGAACGATCATTATAACTCTTACCTCGGGCGCACCAGATGGACCAAAGAAACGACTTAAGCCACTCCCATTGACGTGTAAGGAGCCCGAAATGTATGGAGTCAAGTCAGCTTCATCTTCGCTAGCCTCTGGCATGGGCTTCAGCTCTTGAGTATCTGTGTAGATATCTTCCCGATCTGATAGTAGGGGATGTGGTTCGAGGTTGTAAGTCGTGTGCGCTATGGTCAACGCATCTTCAAGCGAGTGCATACGTGCTTCAAACTTTGCCAATTTGCGATGAAGGTGATCGGTAGCAGCCAGGACAAATCTAAATTCAGTCGTTAGGATATAGGATTTTTGCTTGTTGAGAAAACTCGCCGACTGCCTTGTCCTGGAGGAATCGTGCCTGCAAAATTGTGAGTAATAAGTTTTTTTCAATCATTTGGCTTCCAGCTCTAACCAGTGGGACATAGGGTTTGGCAACCGCGCTTAACGCAAGTCGAGCAAGGTACGAGGCGGTCACATTTAATCCTTTCGTGCTGTTCAGCCCTCCTGGCTTCCAATAATTCACTCGGGCAAGAGGACATACTTCAATCTACGGCATTCTGCACATGCAATCTCACCCCTGGCAAAAATTTATGCATGAGTACTGGTGACATCTCTAAGAAATGTACAGCAAACCTGATTCGCTTTGAAGCTTTGGCGGTCTGTGTTGATTTGACGGAGCCTGTGCCCGAATCATTCGTGCAAGGCGATTCTGTACGTTTCGACTTTGAGGCTTCTCCTTGCTTGTAGGGATGGTATTCAAACATCAGATGACTTTGGAAAAATGGGGGAGAAGTTCCGACTGATAGAGGAGGCTGCCTTTTTATCCGGGAGGTTTAACAGTTATCTGACAGTTGAAGAAAGTGCAATTCGGAGGGTGATATGGACATGGGGATTGGTGAAATGTGAAAGGGACTAACATGCGCAGCTGAACGTTATTGTGGTCAATATCTTATCTAATCTGCCCCAATACACCAAGTGCCATTCAATCGCTTCTTCGCGAACTGCAGGCTGGGATCGTTGCCTTAGCGAACTAGGGCGAACTGAGCGTTTATCACCTCAAGTACTAATTAAGCCTAATTAAAAACCATTGACTTCGGGTTAATAGGCATTCTTTAAAATTTTTTCCTGCATGATCCTAAATATCTCAATCTTCATTGGCACAACATACATCGGTCCCGTATTTCCCCAGAATTACAGAAGCTATCCGACCTATCGATCACTATTCGGTCATATTCGGTCATTCTGTTCCCCATCAACTGAATTAATCCGGGAAGAAGTAGGTGTTGGTTGACGTTGAACTTTCATATGCCCCTAGGCGTGAGAAGGAGGAGGAGATATCCGTGATTCCAGGCTTCGTTACTTATTTGGAACACTACTCTCTACCACCATACTATATAATTGTTCACCAGAACACCTTACTGATGCAAAGCAACGATAGATGACGCCTGTTCTCCCCCCTACCATTCCAAACTTATGTAAACAAGCAGTGTGGAACCTCTCTTGAAGTTAGTGGAGATTTCAAAATTCATATACAGCTTTGCTTTTGCGCCTATGTACGTACTGAAGGGCGTGTTACTACACTGTTACTACAACTATCTCCAAGAATCAAAGTCTTCCGGCCTGCAAAAGTGCATCCCACTTTGAACGTGTACTCGTCTCTTTCACTGCCTTCACCCATTCTTGAACGTCCGTTATAAGGGTATCAGGACATTCTACCGAAGGAAAATGACCTCCTTTGTCATTCTCCCGCCAGGTCACGATTTTCTCCGCCAAAGTCGCTTCAGCCCACCATTTTGTCGCATAGCCTACGTCTTTTGGGAAACTACTCACACCGACCGCGACCTCTTTTGAGATCTTTGTCCCGAGCACGAAAGTAGTTCCACCCACTTCAGAGATAGCCTCTTTGTAAATTCTGGCACTTCCTGCACTTCCGGAAATAAGGTAGAGCATGGTCCATGTAAGAACAGTATCTGCGTTCCAAACATAATCTTCCTCGGTAGCAAGGTGAATTTTCTCGCGAATCCAGGCAAGCATGCCTATCGGAGAGTCTTGAAGAGCATATGAAATGGTTTGCGGTTTGGTGCGTTGGATTTGGGAGTATCCACTTTCATTTTTCAAGAACCATTGCATACGCTTCAAACGTTTGCTCTCTTCCGGAGAAAAGTAGCGTATCGCAAGCCAGAAAAGTGTCGTAGGGTTCGCCAATGGTTTTGGCGGTAAGGTGACTGGGAAGTTGATATGAAGACCAACAAGGGAGGAAGGATGTTGAAGCGCAACGGAGCGAAGAATAAAGGAACCCCAATCGCCACCTTGACCCATGTAAGTTTCATATCCAAGTTTGAGCATGAGTTTGTGATAGACATTTGCTATTTTCGAAAGCCCAAAGCCTGGTTTCTGCGGCGATGTCAGGGTCCGAGAGTGAAATTTATGAGATAGCACGTACGGATGGAGAAGAAGAAAGCGTAAATCCAGGGATACTGGGAGCCACTATATGGAATGGCTGTGCATCTGAATCTTCCGGAGCAGTAAGTTTCAAAAGATGTTTGACCTATAATTTGAACTATGACCTTAGCCAGAATGATTTTGGGTCGTTTCGTAGTTGATACGTACCTCCGTGAAATTTCCTGGCCATCCATGAGCAAAGATGAGGGGAATAGCATTCGGTCTATCACTTCGATGATGTACGAAATGTAACGAGATGACTTCGCCAGCCTCTTCCAAGTCAATCGTATACATGTTGAATGTTTCGTTTATCTGCTTCTCCATTTTCCTCCAGTCAAAATTCGACTTCCAGTATTCTACCAATGGTTCCATAGCAGCAGTGGGGATTCCATACTCCCATTCCTCGCCAGCAGGATGTGTTATATCGGGAATGATACGAGCGGTATTCACTCGGTCCGTGACCCAGCTCAGAAAGTCGGATGATACGTCGAGCTTGTACGGTTTTGGGGACGACATTTGGTTGGAGGCGAAAAGTCAAAACGCATACAATGATACATGGCCTTTTATATGCAGAAAATTTGACAGGATGTATGAATGTATTCGGATTAGATGCAGCGCCGTACTCACTTACGGTTCGCATCTTGTCCAACACCGGTCCGGACCAGTCGGCTTTGTACTTAACTTGGATTCCTTCAACCTCATAACGAAAGACGTCCATGTTACGGCCTTATCTACTAACGAGTTCTACTGTAAACCATAAAAGTTCACCAAAGAAGTACCATGACCATTATCATGCCTCTCTAGTTCCCCAAGAACTGAACGCAACTGTGTCATGGGAATCAAGATATGGTGTCATTCTATGGATAACTTGCACCAGACTCACATAAATAGCATTCAGCGAGCTACTCTTAGCCTTGCGTTCTTCTCAGAGTAAACAGCTGCTCAATCATGCCCGCCCCTACAGTCCCACAAATTCTTCATTACGAACCGGCCCCAGAAACTACTCAGACTCGTACGTTTATGAAATTGCAAGTTCCTTCACAATGCTTAGGCTTAGGATGGACATAATGTTGCAGTCGATTATGCTGATTTAGCTATCATCGACCTCAGTAAGGCTGACACGGTAGAGGGACGTGCGCAACTAGCAGTGCAAGTACGAGACGCAATGTCCAATCAAGGATTCTTCTACATAGTAGGACATGGTTATTCTCCGGAACAAGTCAGTATCGCAGCTGAATTCTCAATTAATTCTCGTTCATGGCGTAATCTAGATGAAACGAATGTTCGATATCGCAGATGTTCCCTTCTCCCAGGTTAGCGATGAAGAGAAGCAGAAGTACGTTGCGCCAACCAAGCAGACTGGCTCTTACCAAGGGTACAAGCTCCGTCAATACTGGGTGCGGTGTCTCTAGTCTGAGACCATTACTGTGGTTTACTTTGAGATTCAGCACATCGACGGTGGCGTGCGCGACCAAGTCGAAAATTATAATAGTGAGTCCCTATTCCAATCACCGTTTTAGTTCGATGTAATTTCCCGATACTACATATCGCATTGGACAGTCAATCGCGACGTCAATAAGCGCACTCACCCAGAAGCCCTCCGGCCTCTGCTTCCTGAAATAACCCAATTCGCACGTCATTCGCACCAGAACGTTCTGAATCCGGTTTTGAGGTAGATTGTGCATATTTCTATCAGGGCATCCTTTCATTCTTGATAGGCTCATGGCTCTTGGACTGGAACTTCCTGAGGATACCCTTGTAAATTTACATGGATGGGACACACGATCGGAGACTTACGGTGAGTTGCATGGTGGAGTTGCATCGGTGATACCTGACAAACCCTGCTCTTCTTCGCTCGCTTCTAGTTCGATTCATGAAATACTATCCCCGAAGCGCCGAGGATGAAGAGAAAACCAAGAACGTCTGGCTGAAAGGGCATACTGGTTAGTCATTCTTGCTTGCGAACAGTCTTCTCCGTATCTCTTACGCCCCACTTATGTACAGATTTTGGTACCATTAGTATTTTGTACAGTCAGCCTGTTGCTGCTTTGCAGATCCTAGCGCGTGATGGTACCTGGAAGTGGATTAAGCATATTGAAAATGCAATTGTAAGTCAGAGTTGGCGTCGTATGATCTTTTGAAAAGTTAACTTAGTACTGTGTGCATAGGTAGTCAATGCTGGAGATGCGATGGAATTCCTTTCTGGTGGATTTTATCGCGCTACAATCCACAGGTAGTCTGCAACTTTATTTACTCAGTATCGTGCTTTCAAACTCATAAGTATCACAGAGTTGTCCAACCACCTCCAGACCAACGTCAATACACGCGATTAGGAATCTTCTACTTTTGTACAGCCGACGATGATGTCAGGCTCGCACCTCTTGCTACAAGTCCGCTGTTGCAACGTGTAGGTTTTCGACGGTGGTTCGAAAAGGACGAGGACGCACCTCTCATGGTGGAATGGCGGAAGGCTCGCACTTCAGCTTATGGACAGACTACACTGGCGAAGTCCACCGACGAAGACCGCGTTGAGGAAGAAGTGATTAACGGTGTTGTTGTAAAACACTACAACTGATAGGAAGCTCTGTTTACTGGTTATTATGTACTACTTTCTCCCTAAGATAATTGAACATCCGTCTGATGAGGACGTTGTCCAGAGGAAGCCGAATTCAAACAACTCTGCTATGTTCGCCCTTTTCTTTCGATTTCTGAATGCTGCAACAGAATTTTGTGTAAATGTGCAGAAAGACCTTCCGTGAGTTGCGTTACACCATCGGAAGTGCAAAGACGATATGCGGGCATAGCCTGATATGTGTCGGCTTTAATCTATGCGGGGTTGAGTTCGAGTACAAGATATCAGTGAATATGCCCACCTTTCCATCCTCAACTAGTACTGAGGCAATAATGTCATCTGGGTCACCGATCCGACCCAAGGCTGGTATGTTACGATCGTCTAAACATGATAAGTTTCTCAGCAAGTGGAGCACCAAAATTTGACTAGTGAAATACACACCGTGTATATGCATCCATCCTTGTTGTATTTGCAACGCTCCATTTCGCTGGATCTCATCTACATTTGCTTGTAGTCCACTTTTGACTGCTTCATGAAGTAGGTGTCGGAATTTTACTAAAGTAGACCCGCGGATTCAGTGCATCTACTAAGGAAGAAAGAGAGACACGCACTATTTTCCTTGAAATCATTCAGTCCTGCGTCCTGCTCCGTTTGACTTTCCGTCGAAGCAGGTAACCAACCGATGATAGTGGCCGAGTTCGGGACAGGAGGAGCGGAAGGCAAGAAAGATAGGGCATAAACGGGAACGTCGGGTGATAGAGGTGTTGGAGGCTCTAGTAAGTGATAGAACAGGTCGGGTCGGGTATGATCAACGAAGGAGCCCGATGGTAAGTCATGTCCCGGCGTTGATTCCATGGCAGAATTGGGGAAGGATACATGGCAAGAAGTATGCAAGGAACTATATTTAACAACAGGTATTCTGTTTATTCTGCCACGATATGGGCGTCGAGCTGGATTCCCAAAACCGGTCTGGCTCAATGGCCTTGAGAGAATCACCGCCGTTCTGGAGGAGGGACGAGTTTGAAGGACATATTGTCGATTTGCGACCCCGAAAAGAGTGCTTGTGGTTAAAACTTTGGACCAAGCCTGCATCACGACGCGTGACGTAAGGATTAAAATTTTTGATTCATGCCAAACCCGTAAATCGCATACTGGAAACAGTATAACTAACATAACGATACAAAACAGTAGTAATAGCGGAGCTGAGAGGACACAACAAGGTAGGGGAAAAAAGGAAAAATGAGAGAGATAGTAGTGATTATAAGCAAGAAAGGGTATCGAGAAAATGTTATTTGCCAACGCGGTCATCTACACGTTGACGATGCTGCCGATTCTTTAGATGCACTTCGAAATTCGACAAAGTCTCCCCTGGACCTGGTTTGTACAACTATACAAGGCCGAGTGGTGAACTTATTGCGAAGACTCCAGAAAGTTGGTAACTCACTTTTCCAGGGCAGTCTACACACTTGATACGCCATTCTGAACCTTCACCGACTTTCCGCCACACAACATCAAATTTATCATTAGGATATTTTGTTTGGGTACTATGCATGGTAGTGGTGAGCCACGAAGGGGGCTGGTAAGTGACGAATTACTTAGTTAGATCCTGTTAGACCCTCACTCAAAGGTATCAAGTCAACATACCCAGGATTTAGCTGGCGATGTAGGAGGACTTTGCGCGGTTGTCCGGGGAGGGGAAGACGTCAACGAATCGATTTTCGCAGAATCTTTCCTCGACTCCTCCATATCTGCCGGCTTCGAGGTTCTTGAAGGAGAAGGGCTCTTACGAGGAGATGCGGTTACTCCGTTCGTTAATTTGACCCTTTGAGAAAGAGGTGGCTCGGAAGCGCTAGAACTTGAAGAGATCGGAGACATCACTCTGTCCACTTCCCGGGCTGCGCGGCCAGAAGCAGGAGGAGACTGTCTGGAGGGAGCCTCTGAGCTTTCTTTCTTCCGATCGCGTGCAGGCGTCGGCGGTGCGGATGAATCGTCTGCAGGAGTCGATACGGAACTATCTTGGGCACGCAGCGTTGCCGCCGGTCCTTTCTTCTTCGACATATTGTTGTGGTATTCCGCATCCGTATTATATGTACATGGACGTGGCCGTCTATGTCTATGCCAGAACCTGCCTGGAAGAAAATGTCAACCAATCATCATCACAAGTCGGACATAATCATCTAGTCTTACCACAATCCCCGCATTGCGATTTATTGCCCAGTGGACCTTTCCGGCGTCCTACTGCGATGCTTTCTGGGCATCCACAATTAGAGCAGTGCCAGACGCCATCGATGTAATTAGCATGCTGGCCTTCTGCATACTCTTTTTCCTTTGCTTCCCGCTCACTATCTTTTGGTTTTCTAGTTGAAAGCGGCCTTAAGAATCTTCTGTCAGGTGTATTGATGGAGGGAGGAGGATCATTCTCCAGCGGTGCAGGAAGACTTGATATATCAGCCGCTGTCGAAGGCGTGGGAGCGGTGACCTTGGCGCGAGGGCGGAAAACTGAAGGAGGAATCTGCGGTGCTTTGAATAGACCTTTGACTTTCTTCTCCTTGACGACCGCGGTTGCAGCGGGTTGAGGGACTGCGGGAAGTGACAAAGGGGTAAGCGGAGTTCCATTTTCCGATGCGACCATATTGGCTATGGTAAGTGAGGCAGCAGCAGCAGCAGCTCTACGAGACACAGGAGCATTTGCGGCAGCGGCGAGCGCGAGCGTGGCGGCATCGAGTTCGGGGAAACCAATAGCAGGCGTGCGATGAGTCCTGATGGGTTCTCGATCAGGCAGATTAACACCTCTCCGTCCTCTCGTGTTCCGCTTTCGTCGTCTGTTGACATCTTTATCACGCTCCTTCTCATTTCTCTCGATCTCTCCATCGCTGAGGTAATTGAGTAGGGGTGTGAAAAATTGAACTTGATCCATGGCGCGGGCGCCTTCAGCAAGGCTAGGCAGGAATGCTGAACGCAACTCTTCATCTTGAATGTAAGACCCGTCCGATGGACGCCCAACGAGAAATAACGACTTGTGATATGTTTGGACTTGTTCCCTGATAGAATGAGCAATGGCCGAACTATACATCGACGTATACGTCAGTTTTTGGGTTTGCATAATTTCCAGATCAACGCACCGGAATTCACCACTCAGTCCAAGGTCTCTCGTGTATATTTCAGCAAACTGTTCTGGTGACGCCCTGACATTGTCGATGTCCCATTCAAACTGATCGTCCAACTTCATTGATCCAACAATGATGTCAAGCTGAAGGTAAAACAGACGAGTCAGCATCGCCGCAGTGTTGTAAGCATATAAAAGGACCGGCGCGTGAATTAGTTGCCCACCCACCTTGATCACAATTCTCATGTCCTCAGTCATCTTGGCTTCGTCAAATTCGAATTCCTCCACGGCCATCGATTTCTCGTCCGGAAGCGAATCAGGGTCAGCCGCGTCTTCAATATCAGCGTCTTCTGCAGGTTCTTCTTTGACACCAGGAACCTTTCGCTTTCGTTTGGCTTTCAAATCGTGTCCGGCCTTGACAAAGCCATATTCAGTTCTCAGTCGTTTGCGCCAGTTTTCCCAAAAAGTGGCATCTTCTTCGTTTAGGACACCTTTTTCGACTGCTGCGGGGTCATTGTCATCGCCAAGATACTCGCCACCTTCCCCGTCATACAGAGCTGAATGAGCCTTGTAGTCGCTAAGCTGCTCTTGGATATTTTTGACGATTGTAGAGTGATAAGAAGGCGCAAGTTGGTAATCCTCCACAACGGACTGCGCAAAAATTTCCGGTGTAGCAAGTGGATCTGATGCAATATTTACTTTAGGACCAAATGGGAGGAACAATCGCAAAGACGTACCGTTCAAGTTCCATACGAAGGTGTCTCGATATTTGTGGTGGTCGACATCAAACTCAAGGCGAATAGGCACTAGCTGTTCAGGCCGATTTGCTTCTTCGATACTCAAACGACGAGGCCTAGAAAACAGAGTTTGGGTCACTGTCTATAACACCAGATGACACAATTAAAAGATTCACAATCGGAAACCCTCCCTCTTTATACCCTTCTTGCTCCTTCCGTGACTTTCCCTTCTACTTTTGCCGGGATACTTGATATCGAAACCCTCTCTTCTTTGTCTGAATCTGGCACCGGGATTTACACTATATGACCCTTTCTCCCACCATTTGATGCTCGCATTGCCTAAAACGCCTCCCTTCCCACCTAAACCTCCAAACTCACCAGCATCTAGCAACGCCAGAAAATCCCGAGGAAGTGCTCTTGGGTCTCCTTTCAACTCCAATTCCATCTTCTCCCTCATGGCTTTGTACATTTCCTCGTAGGTGGAATCAACTTTTTGCCATCGCTTAATGTCCTCGATTTCATCTGAAGTAAGCAGAGGGATAGTTTTATCCGAACCAGCAACGGGAACGATTTTGACTTCCGTAACGAGCGGATTCAGGTTAACATTTGCGGGGAGAGGTGGAAGCTTCGGGACCACTTTCACAGGTCCATTCAGATTGTTACTAGACACTAGTCCCGCGGCAGCCTGAGAAGTGGCGGTAGTCCCAGATATTTCCGTCGGGATATTGACCGACGAATTGGGAGGTATGGATCCGGTAGGCCTCGATATGCTGAAAGGGTTTGATTCATCCTTGTGCGAAGAATTGTTCAAAGGAAGAAGGGAGTCCGAAGGAGTGAGCAGAGGAGGACCACTACTCGAGGTGCTTTCACGCTGCGGTCTCGGACCACCAGAAGCAGGCGGGGAGAAGCCCGAAGCTGTTCCAGGTCTAGTCATCTCCATCCCAATATTCATATTGTTGAATGAAGCTTTGCCACTAATACCATTTTGCATAGCTGATCCCGGGCGTTCCATTGCTTCGGGCGAGGTTCCGCTTGGCGGACCCACTTTCGGAGACTCTAACCCCGACGCTTTTCTCTTCAGTGGATTCGGTGTCCCACGGCCACCGGCATTTATACCCATGCCGGGCTGAGCTGACATTGGAGAACCACGCCGTGCTAAAGCCGCGCCATTCATACTGGGTGAGCCAGGAGCAGCGGAAGGGGGCCGATTAGGAGGAGGACTGACTTGGTGTAAATGCTGAGGATGCGGGTATGGCGTCGAAGGTAGCGACGATGATGAACCAGGTAGCTGATGCTGGAGGAGACCATGTCCCATTTGCGGTGTTCCTGGGGTTTGAGGATGCTTCGGGGTGCTGGGTGGCATGGGATAACCATTGACAATAGGACCGTCGTTCCCAATGCGCCCTCCGTTAGAGGAAACGCTCATCGCCCTACTAGGAGGACGCATTCCACCGCTGCCCGGACCTGGTGATCCTGGAGCGCCGCTTGGACCAGTGGTACCGCCGCCAACAGACGGTAAATTAGATGAGTTGCGAGGCATGTTCAAATTCTGCGAGAGGCATCGAAAATGAGTGTCGAGTTACACAAATCGTAGCACACAAATAGACTTAAAGTAGCACGGATGCGCACAGAAAAGTATCAAAAATCAGGAATGCTACTTACCATTCCCGGATGATTCATGCCCATGCTCATACCCATTGGGTTCGTATTCTAAGCGGGAAGAGCTGTGCATCAATATGTGTGCGAGGAAAGAAATTCGAAAAGGTGGAATAAACGTACCATGTTCATGCCGTTCATGTTTCCTGTGCGCATCCCCATGGCGGTACCGGGACGTGACAATCCTGACGCCATATTCATGTTGTTCATGTTATTGCCCAAGCTCATTCCCGACATGTTACCCATTCCATTCATGTTTCCCATACTATTAACACCATTCATGCCGTTGTTCATGTTCATCCCAGCCATGTTGTTCATGCCCATGTTCGACGGCGCAGTAGATAAGCCTGCAACAAGATAGAAATATCGTATGAGTGAAGTTCGCGCAAGAAATAGCGCGACTGACCCATTCCAGAGGCAGACCTATTGCTCATTGCGGTTGAAGGTCTTGGCGGAGGCGGCATCATATTACCCATCCCTCCACCCATCCCAATCATGTCACCAGGAAACCCAGCGAGACCAGTAGAGCTCCCTGGTCTCCCGAGCGATTCCATGCCCGGAGTACCTGATCCACCATGAATTGCGGATGGCCTTTGTTGCTCACCAAACACACGGCCCTGATCTCGCGGCTGGAGCCCATCACGATCATAGTAGCCCGTACCTGATGAAGGTGGATTGCTCTGCCCATGCATACCATGGGGGCCAGAAGAAGATGGTGAGGAAGGATTTTGTTGAGGATGACCATTCGCATTCGAGTTGTTCCTGAAAGCGAGAGCTGCCTTCTGTGCTACCATGGCTTTCTCCTGCGGTGACATCGCTTGGAATCTCTGGGGGGAGATGCCCATCGCATGAAGCATTTGTGGAGGTATGTTTGGGCCTAAACCGGAGCTCGAAGAGAGATTCGGGTTGGAGGAATGTGACATGGGATTGTGCGGTGTGTTGGATGGAGAGGAATGAGAATTCATAGAATTAGGTGGTTGCTGAATACCAAGATGGTTTTGCGAGCCCATCATACCTAGGTTACCCATAGGACCACTTCTCTGAGTCGCTTCACCTCCCATCATACCCATTCCCATGGACGACGAAGCAGGAGAAGAAGACATGCCGGTGGGATTTATCGGCCCATAATTGTTGCTCATACCCATATTGTTCATACCGCCCATACCATTCATGTTGTTCATCCCAAAACCACCACCTCCCAAGCCCATGCTAGAGCCGCCACTATGCTGCTGTTGCTGCTGCATGTGAGATTGTTGTAAAGCGGACATCTGGTCGCGGTCACGTTGATGCTGTGATTGCAGAAGCTGCGTCGGGTTGAGGCCTCCCATTCCGCTCATGGGATTCATCGAGTTGAGTCCAGGGTTAACGCCGCCTCCGACACCTATTCCACTACTTCCAGCACCGAGACCCATAAGCTGTGAAGGATTGATTCCTCCGCCAGCTCTCGATGAGCCCGTATTTCCACTCATATTCCCCATGCCCATGTTCATGCCCATTCCACCAGCTCCCATCGAATTCATTCCCATGTTCATAGCATTCATTCCACCCATGCCTCCCATAGCACCGTTACCCAAAGCACCATTCATGCCCAAGCCGCCTCCTCCCATGGGAAGTCCACCGCCCATGTTGTTCATGCCCATACCGGACATGGTCATATTATTCATGTTGTTGTTCATCGTGAGTTTAGAGTGTAGAAATCATTCGAGCGGATGATAGATGTTTGGGGGTACTCTGAAAACTGAATAAGCATCTCATCAGTATGGTACGTTTACAGCTGATATGAAGCACGGCATTATACATACCAAGAAGACTGATATAAGATAGTCAAAACCAATTCAACAAATTATAGAACGCTCACTTACCAAGTGCTCGAAGATAGTGTTCAAACTGACGACGACGAAACGCGTTAGAAGGGAACTTGGACTGAAAGTTTATCGAAACAAGTCTATAGCGGATGGATTAGCATTTTATCGAAATATAAAGAATTATAGGGGACAAAATAAAGCCAGATGGTGGTCAAGAGCAAGAAGGATGAAGGGAGTGTCTATAACGGTATCGCTAGCAGCTATGCAATCCAACATTCCACGGGATACGGACGGAGTATCGGAGGAAACGGGAATTCGGGACTCGGGAAAGGGGAAAAAACGCTCTTCGCACCTATCCGCAAAGAAAAACACCAGAGCCTGGCAGTAACAGGTTACAAAGGCAGTAAACAAGGGTTGTGACATAGTGTCACATTGTTCGCTGACAACAAGTCACGAAGCACAGCCTTGCTATTTTTCGCCTGAATTCTCCTCAACCTGAGAGGAAGGGAAATGTACACTCTGCGGGGAAGCTTTTTAACATTGGTGGTGACGTTTCGGGGAAGCACTCAGCTTTGCCTGCTACATATCGATGCCAGTCGTTATCATTTCTTCCAGATCCGATTCAGATCTCAAATATGATCACGGCTCTGCTAAGTATACTTAATTTTATCCAGGTTCATCCTCCATAATTGCCGAGCTGTACCGCCTTCTAGCTGTCGTATTGGTCAATATTCAAGATCATTCAAGCAGGTCTGAGGCCTGTCAGAGGTTGAACATTGGTGGCAAACGGGGTATGTACTTGACAAAAAAAAGAGCAATTGGCGGGAAGGTCCTCGAAGGTCTCCGCTTCCTTTTCATCAGATTACGTCGACTCCTCCGCGGTTGACCAATCTGCACAAGTATACCGCGCCATACGAGAGAAAAACTTCCCAGGGCATTCAGGATTTCATACAAGGATTGAGGCAATAAGTCTCGACCCGCGTTCGTTGTCCAACAGATTCTCATCCATGTTTTACCGTAAGGTCAGAATTATCACCGCATGTCATCTTTGCCTACTCGCATGCCACATGCAACTAACATCAACCCAACCGTAGTACTTTTGACTGCCACCGTTTTGGCGCGGTCCGTCGCACCAAGTGCCAATGTTGAATCTCTGTCAACGGTTCCTTATTATAAGATTGAACGTGGCTTTCAAGAAAACGACATACAACAGATTAGAGACGTTATGGAGCGTACGGGCGCAGATAGGCTTAAATAGGCACAGATACCCGCCTTTGTTCCATTAGGCCGTTACTGAACATGGGGACATTTGCTATTTGGGAAAACGAACGGGCTTCCGTTTTAGATATCTGGCGCGACTCGAGGCCTAATACTGTGTAGCCCCTGGTGCATTTGATTTTCGAATCTCACAAATTCCGGTCGCAATGCTGACATACGTGTGAATGGAAAAACCTTGAAAGGAGTGACAGGAGCGCCAGACCGATGCACTTCTTTCAAGAAAACGTACAAGTACATTGAGATAGCTATGATTTCAGCCGCAGTGGCTTGTAGGTTAACTGTAATGCTTCACGACCACACCTTGAATGACCTCTTGCTCGATATCCGTTTCCTCCGATGATTTCGATAAGATACTTTGCCCATAAGCCGCGGTGCGGGCCTTCCGCCATTCGGCCATCACTGGCGCATCCTCGTCTTTCTCAAAGCGGCGCTTTATGCCTAGACGTTGCAATACCGGACTCGCAGCGAGAGGAGCGAGCTTTACATCGTCGTCAGCCATGCAGAAATAGAAAATGCCCAAACGTGTGTATTGACGCTGATCGGGCGGTGGCTGTACCACTCTGTGTAGTATTATTACTGTGACATTAACAAGAACGAGAACTTGACTGACCTATGAATTGTAGCACGATATAACCCCCCTGAAAGAAAATCCATCGCATCCCCTGAATTCACGACCTGGAAACATAAGATTTGAACCCAATGAGATATTTGTAAGAAGTTATACAGACAATAGCGTTGTCAATGTGTTTAACCCATTTCCATGTACCATCACGAGCTAAGATCTGCAAAGCAGAAACTGGCTGACTGTAAAGAAGCGTAATGGTACCGATATCTGATAGTTGGGATCAGCGTTGTAACTGTGACGAATAACATGGAGTTAGTGTTAACTGACCATTATGGCCCTTCAGCCAAACATTCTTGGTTTTCTGTTCATCTTCTGCACTTCGGGGAAAATACTTCATGTATCGAACTACCAGGAATTGAAGCCGAGAGACGAATGAAGATGTCTATCGACCAGTAAAGGCAAAGCAATCGTACGGTATGTTTCTGAGTCACCATCCCACCTGTGCATATCGAGGAGAGTCTCTTCAGGAAGTTCTAATCCAAGAGCCATTAGCCTGTCTTGAAGTTAGCTTCGTTATGAGGTTGAATTAGACCGAATGAAACCTCAAGATGGGACCCAGTACGTTGATATGCGAATGACGTGCAAATTGATCAATCTCGGGAAGCAAAGGTCGAAGAGCTTCCGGATGAGCTCGACTACTGACATCGCGATGGACTGAACAACAACAGATAAAATTGTTCGTGGTATGTATGAGTTATCGTTTGACTCACTATTGTAAGTTTCGACCTGATCAAGAACGCCGTTGTCGATGTGCTAGCGAAAAGTCAAGTTCGGAACCAAGAGAAAGAACTTTACCGGGGGTTACCCAATATTGACGTAGCTTATACCCTTGGAAAGAGCCTGCTTGCTTCGTCGACGCCAGATATTTTTCCTTCTCATCATGGCTAACTCGTGAGAACGGGACATCTGCGATGTCAAACATGCGTTTCATCTGATCACGAATAGAAGGTGAATGAGGATGCGGATTGTAGCAACAGTTACACCACCAACCTGTTCACTGGAATAACCATGGCCAATCACATAGAAAAATCCCTGACTGGACATGGCTTCTCGTACTTGTAATGCCAGTTTTCCACGTTCTTCAGCGGTAGTCGCGAAGTTGCGGAGGTCGATGATAGCCAAATCAGCATAATCGACTGAATACATATGAGAAATGAGAAAGAAATGAGAAAGGAATGAATGGTCATACGAGCTTCCCTGGTTACTGGGGCGGGCTGGTACAGAGGAATAAGGGGGGCTGTGGGGATAGGCATGTTTGTTGTTCTTCCAGCTTGAAATGAGAGGAAGCTTATTAGCCTGAGCTTCGTAAACAAAACACATTTCCCATGTCAAAAGAGAGACTATTAATGTTGTACATTCTGGAATCTCATGACTCGTAACAAACATTGAGTACTTGAGTTTTGATCAGTCTGCTGATACAAGTACAAGCCCAAGTTGCTCACTAGCGATCCGGTAATAATTCCCCCACGTTCGAAGTTGTTCACTAAGTTCGGATTATTGAGACTGACCGTCATGTATGTTCCTACTCATACAGGCACTCGCGACTATAGAAAATGGATACAGAGATTGTCAGTGAAATGAAACGTCGCCTGAGCGATGATGGAATGTGTGTAACTTGGAGAAATCGCTATACTTATACATAAACGCGTATACGAGCAGAAAATGTTCAGAAGTGTCAAACTTGATTTTCTGTTATTCTCAATGCTTCCTTTATCCTTCTCCCCATTTTCCAATGTCACCATAGGACCAACAATGTCTATCACGCGATCCTCAGTCCCTGGTTCCTATCGTACATCTTGATTATGAGAGCCCCAATCCCCAGATCGGCACCTCGTTGCTTCTCCCCAAAGCCCAATCTGAATTCTCTAAAGTCTCCAATCTTCCAATCTGTTCACTGACCTCCTTCATTTTTGCTTTTTGGCTTTCTGAAGCTGTCACATTTCCCCATCCCTGTAGCCCAATTAGTTTCCCTTGTAATCGGACCTTGCGATCGTATATATCCATCTGGCGATCGGTTTTCGGAAGAGGGAGTTGACTGAGACGGGGTTGAATACGAGGGAAGACCCAGCCTGGGGCAAGCTGAGGAAGAGTGGATGTAGATTCAGGCTGAGAAGTCGAAGTACTAAATTGGGAGTCTGAAGCTACAGGAGCAGAAGGGGTGTCTGAAATGGACGCCGGGAATTTGAGATCAGAATCGAAGGTCAGGTCCAATGCTGAATAGCTAAGAGTTTGCGGAGCAGGAGGGGGTGAAGTTTGAGATGGCGCTGAAGTAGTGGCACCCACAGCTCGAGGAATAGGAACGGCTGTATAGAAAACAGATGGCGAGTCCGAGTACACCGAGTGTACAGATTGTTCCGAGTACATTGAATTAAGATGCGACAATGAGGATGATTCTTCCTGTTCAGCTATTTGAACAGTCCCCGTTTCGATTACATTTCTGTAGTCCTCCTCCGGAACGTATTCACGATACCCATCTCCATCTCCACTTCCATCTCTTTCAGTAGACGAAGGTGACGAAGTCATTCTGTTGAACACCAATGGTGAAATTTGACGAGTCATGAGTTGACGTTTGAATGCGTCGGTGCGTTTACGCCGCCGGGATCGTGTGTAGGCCACTAGGAGGGCCAGACATAGACCGACGAATGCTAGAATACCAAGTATTATGCCAACGATTATGCCAGTTTTCAGAGAATTTGAAGTAGCTGCTGTTGGGGCCAGTGTAGCGGTGGATGTGGGTGAATCATTCGTACTTCCTGCGGTTCCAGAAACACTAACAATCGTGGGCGACCTGTACAGATGAGTCAAGACAATTGCAATACAAAGATACCGACGTACTCAGTGACCGAAACTACGGTCAAACTCTCGCTCGAATCTGAGGCAAGAGCACTATTCATCCAAAAGCTTCAGCAAGAGTAGAGATTCAGGAGCTATATCCCACACACCCTTTCCCATCCGAGCCCTCTGTGGAAGATGATAGGTGATTGCTGAGATGTATATATAATTAAAAAAGGCAATAAAAGTAATGCAACACACATACGTAGTGGTAAGGGAAGCAGTATCTGACTGGATAGCGGTAGCAGCAACTGACGTATCGCTAGAGCAAAAAATGTAAACAGGCCATGGATTATTAACAAAGGAATTCCTACCCGTTGCTGGTTACAAGCGTAGACGTAGAGGGTGTTGTCGAGAGGGTGTTGCCGCTGCCAAAATTCGAAATTTTGATTGAATTGCGGCAGTTCGAAGCCAAGGAACTTGCACTCACTTGTTGTTGCTGCTAGTCGTCGTTTGAGAGGTGCTGGCAGTGAGTGAAGAGGTCACAGCGTTTGAAATTAGGGAAGAGCTCGATGTGCCTGCATTTTCAGAGCTCGAAGTCGAAATCGAAGATCTGCATCGGAAAACGGCTTTAGAAAAAAGGATGGGAAAGGAAGGTAGCCCAGACAGACGGTAAGGAAGCTTGATTGTCAGCCGCGACATTGATACTCGAGCTGGAGGCATAAATTTTGTCCGGTTCTTGTGTATCGGAGATTCTGGAAATGCAATCAGTGATAATAGTAGAACATGGTGAATGTTATTCACGGTGATAAGTTAGATATGACCTCTATAATAAACACTCTACGAGTGAAACGATCAGAAGTGTACATTGCTATCTTGAACAGATGAAGGTCGAACGAACCCAGATTCTGTAGGTGTAAAACTAAACGGAATGTGTGTTTCCTGTTCCGACGAAAATTCTTGAATAGTGGAACCACCATTTTGCGAAGTCAATCGAAGCAGAAGACTAAAAGCTGTCGGGTCGCTGCTATCCCGAATCAAGGTTGCTGATGAAGCCTGGTTGGTTGACGCAGAGGAAGGAACTCCGGTGAAGCTAAATCCGGCAGCAGTTGCGCCTACAGAAAGAAACACTCTATTTCCTTGCATTTTGAGCCAACGTCTACACCAAGAGCACAAAAACTCCTTACAAAGAACGCATTCTGGGCAGGCTCTGCCTGCAACAATGCAGACCAAACAGGCTGGGATGGTCAGGGAAGGGAAAGTAGAAAGAAAAGAATGGAGAGTCGGGGCCGTTTGTCGCTGATCACGATATTTGTCGTAGCACCTGAATAGAATATGAAAGAAAGAGTGTGTTGAAGATCATCAAGGGACTTCAAAGCGAGGATTGGTTGCTATGTATGTAAGTATCTGAATTGTCCTGACCCTAACAAACCCTAACGTCTGGTTTTCCCCGGTTTACACGAATTTCCTAACGCGTGCACACTGCAGTACTTTAGCGATAATGGTCAGCAAAAAAACAAAGAATGCCAAGAGAGTAGTCAAGGAAGCTCAAGAGACAGGTCCTTCTGTGTATGTTCATCTTCCTCTAAGCTTGAGCCAGGTTTTTAACTTGGACAAATAAACTACATACTTACAACCATCTTCGTCGGCAATGCAGAGAACCCACTGCTGGACCGAGTTCATCACCGAGCCCTGCTGGGCCAAACCCCAATGATACTCCTCCTTCACCGTCCCCAGAGCCTGATCCTCTTGAAGAAGGGAACATCGTACAACGGGCTGAAAAGGTCAAAGAGAAAGGAAATGTTGCGTTCAAGGCCACAAAATACCAGGAAGCTATCGAGCATTATACCAAGGCCATCGGTGCGATTACTTATCATTTGACACTTTGTTTGTAATTTACTTGGAATCCAGAAATGAATCCCCTTGAACCCGCATTCCTCACTAATCGAGCCGCATCATACATTGCCCTGAAACGATTCAGACCAGCTTTGGATGACTGTCAACACGCAGCTACACTTCAGTCTGCCAACCCATCAGCCAAAACCCTCCTTAGATTAGCACGATGTCAGCTTGCTCTCGGCTCTCCAACCCCTGCTTTCTCAACCCTACGATCCGTCTTGGCCTTGGAACCCAAAAACCCTACTGCGATTCAGCTGAAGAGTAAGATATCTGAATTGGAGAACCACATGAAAACATTCGAAATGGCGAGGGAAAAGAAGGATTGGGGACTCGCAAGACTGGCTCTGGATAAATGTATGCAGGGAATCGAAGGTGAGGCCGGAGAAGTACCCACGGATTGGAGGGTATGGAAAGTTGAACTGGAACTGGCAAAGGGGAATCTGGATAGCGCTAACTCTGCTGCAAAGTATGGCAACCATTTTGCGTCTCCTTTCTAATTCTCATTCGTCTCTGATAGCGATGCAATTCGCTTGAACTCCAACTCTCCGGAAGCCCTCTGTCTGCGTGGTCTCGTGCTCATGCTCAGTGGTAAGCTGCCGCAAGCCTTGCAGCATGTTCAGTCTGCACTACGTCTGGATCCGTCCCATCTACCTGCACAACAGCTTAGAAAACGAGTGAAAGATATTGAGCGGTTGAAAGACGAAGGAAACATTGCTTTCAAAGCTGGAAAATTGCAAGAAGCCGTGGCCAAGTATACTGACACTCTCGAGGTGGGTAACGGTTCGCTTCGACATCACGAATAATCTCGACTCAATAATTGGCAATTAGCGCATAGGTGAAGAAGAAACAGAAGCGAAGGGAGGTCAAATCCGTGCCACTCTTTTGTCCAATCGCGCTACGACTCTTGTGAAGGTACTATCATACTTTCGTCCATCCGCTGCATCTTGCGTTAAACCTGCGTTAAACTTGTGTCCAGTTACAAGAATATGATCGCGCTCTATCTGACACGGAAGCCTCTCTTATTCTATATCCCAACTCGTTCAAAGCGCTACGGACCCAAGCTCGGGTAAATCTCGCTTTAGAAAATTATGAGCAGGCCGTACGTGACTTTAAGAGTGCTGTGGATGAGGCTCAGAAAGACGGTAGTACAACTGAGCGCGACGTGCGTGAGCTTCGCACAGAGTTGAAGAAAGCGGAAACTGCATTGAAAAGAAGCAAGACAAAAGATTATTACAAGATCCTGGGAGTGCATCGAGAGTGTACGGATATTGAAATCAAGAAAGCTTATAGAAAAGAAAGTTTGAAGCATCATCCTGATAAAGTTAGGAATTTGTCCTCTTCTCGTACGTTGACTTAATTTTACGTTTCACTGTAGGGTGGCGATGAAGAAAAATTCAAACTCGTTGTTGAAGCACATAGCGTACTCTCTGATCCCCAGCGACGTGCACGGTATGATATGGGTGAAGATGAGGATGGTCAAAATGATGGTATGAATGGTGGTATGGGCGGTATGGGTGGCATGAGTCAGGCCGATATTGCTAATCTGTTCGCCCAGTTCAACGGATTCGGAGGTGGAGGGCATTCACATTCCTCGAGAGGCGGGCCAGGATTTTCATTCGCGTTTTAGAGTCCACGCTTATGTTTATCTTGTGTATTTCTGTACACTTTTTGAACCTCAGACTTATTCCGAAAGTCGCTTAATAGATATATACAGTATATCATACTTTTTCCCATTGCAGTGCTAGTTTTATTTTTGAGCATCTTTTTTTCCTTTTGTTGACCGATTCAAGCTAGAGAATACCCCCAAAGTATGAACACAGTATACATATGGTTATATACCTCACATGATTGGTAGGAGGCAGAGGAGAACTGGCGCGGTCCCATTGAGAGCTGTCGTGGTGTACCACAGATGTACATCACAACGGTCATTGGCGCGTAAATGATATGGCCATAATTCCCACTCAATATGGGTGATTAACAAAGACCTAAACTAGACTCCATATAGTCAGAGACCTTAAGAATACACCAGTGAGAAAAGCACGATATTTAGCAGATATGTACATGGATCACTTTCTTATATACATTGAGGACAGTAGATCTAAAATTCGGTCATAAAGCACATCTCTTTGTGCGGACCCGAAAGCCATTTCCAGTGTAATGTTTGATGATCAGAGCCACACTAAACATTGATCATTGGTATCCAGCAGAGTATCTGTTTGCAGGACTTCACGCACATATTTCACAGTGTGACACCTTCCACAAGCCTTCATGTCTCCTGTTGCAGCACAAGTAGGTAGGCCACACTGGTCCCAGCCTTTAAGATGCTTTTTTACCTTCAAAATGTATTGGTGGACCTGGGGTCTCTTGTCTCGCTCCGATGATAACTGGATAACTGTTCGGAAACATACATCTCCAAGTGAGACCTGTTCGTCCCCTCGTGCCATTGTGGGATCATAAAACAAGTCCCGCCAACCGCTCAAGAACGGAAGCAGCTTTTTCCTGGTATCCGCAGGCAAGATTTTATCCGAATCTCGAGAACTCACGAATGTTGTCAAGAGCGTACTGAGTAATTGGACCACATCTGCAGCAGCACCTTTGTAGTATTCCTGGTGGTCACTTGCCGGTTTTCGAATCTCCCGATCCCAACGCGCAGCAACATGTGATAGTCGTTGGCCTAAGACACGAGTAAGATGTTGATTCCCTGATGAGACAGGCTTTCTAGACCGCAAATATTTGCCGAGATATGGGTTGTGTTGAACCATGACCAGCATCCTGAGCCACGGATTGAAGAGTTGGTAATCCTCCCTCGCGCTTGCATCCTTCTCGATATAACTACCATCCGTGGCAGTCCATGGATCAAGAAAGCGATCCACTAGAGCAGGAAGGTACAACGCGCAAAATCGCGACCATATCAGGTCCTGCTGAATCTCGTGTTCTTTGGAGTTGCGGTCGAACTTAAACGGGCTTGTAATTAGATTCGGTGCCCTGGCCCGAAACTCAGCTAGGCCTCAAAACTTACATATAGTTCTAACATGGTCTTTCGGACAAGCTCGTCGCCTTGTGAAACATCTTTCCTTGGGCCTAGCGCACTCTTTTTGAAGCCTAATATTCAATTATCGGTGAAAAAGATCTTTGTAAAGGGACTAAATCCTACCAAGTAGTACAGCAAAGTCTTCAGACCACAGAGGTTCAGGAAGACTATCCAGCACATTTTCAACTCGTTTTCCACGAGCTGAAGGACCCATTTAGTGAGAGAAAAGTTCGAGATTGGTGAAAATGTTGTGGGTGCTTCTACACAACCGCGTGTTCCCTTTGTCCCCTCAGAGGTCGGAGCGAAAATTCTTTTCGCTCGTCCGTAGGTTCAAAAAGATTCTGGTTTGAAACGAGTCAACAGAAGAAGGCGATTTCAAACTCCGTCCTAGACTCGAGCCAGTAGCTTCGGATGTTGACACTTTGGAAACTGGCGCTCAAAGGTGTCTCTGCCGAGAAAGTGATTCCGCATATCGCTTCTCAGCAGCAGACTGGTTCGAGTCTAACTCCGTCCATCCGGAGGCTTGCTACATTTGTCGTCTCTTGGATCCCCGCAGTGTTATGGTGACTATGTTGGTCAACATTTACTTGTATAATGTCGTATAATCCTTAAGTAATAGTGGGGTCCAGGGCCTCCGCATCTCAACTCTTCCAGTACTGTGCGAAAGGGTCTTCCGAAGGATATAGTGTTGGCCCTGTAACAGGAGTGACAAAAAGTTGAAAAATTCCTAATTTAAATTAGGTCGGTAAGAATTCCCCACAGTTGGGGAAGAATCCTCCAGCTTCCTCCAGAGTTCATCCATTACGGACTCGCAACTCAGTGTTGAGCAGGCAAGGAGTGCGTAGTGGGAACACTCTCCAGTACCATACCTGGTAGTAGAGCTTAGTGTCTCAGTGAGGCAATAAAAGTAAGAGAGAAGCGAGTTGGATTCCAGTACAGGATATGGCCTGTTTATATACATAACTGTATGACAGTATTACATAAGGAAGTACAGAGGAATCCGCATATAGTAAATGACTAGATATGACTACATATGACATATTATAACACATGATCATAATAGTGGCATGTGAACAGCATAGCCGCGTTCAACACACCCCCTTGCTGAGCAGCACAGTAAAGTACTTTGCTCAAAGCAATAGCGGTAGGCGTCAGACAGGACAGACAGCCTAAGGATTGGTGTACGAGTAGAACTCAAGTCCAAGCATTGAGCGGAATAGCTCAAATTTGATACGCCCAAGATTCTTTGTGAAAAGATCTGCAGGGTTGTTACTGCCATCTACGAAGAATACTTGCACAAGGCCACGTTCGACAACTTCACGGATATAATGATACCGGATGTCAATGTGTTTCGAGTGCTTGCTAGTGACAGGATTTGATGCCATGAAAATGGACCCTTGATTGTCTCCAGCAATAGGAATAGCGTCAAGTTTATAGCCTAGTTCTTCAAGTAGATTACGGATCCAAACCACTTGACGGCTGCAATCAGACAATGCCATATACTCAGCCTCTGTAGACGAGTGAGCAATTGTCTTCTGCGCATGGCTGGTCCAAGAGAAGATGCCATTGGCAAGCTTCATGAAAAATCCAGTCTGTGACCGGCGTGTATAGGGATCGGAAGCCCAATCCGAATCAGTCCAAGCGCTGAGACCGATACCCGATTCACCATCATAGCAAAGTGCATATGATCTAGTACCTAGGAGGTAGCGGCAAATATAGAGTGCCTTGTTAAGGTGCTCTTGAGATGGGTTAGCTGCATGTTGTGCAAGCTTGGTAACAGCAAAGGAGATGTCGGGACGTGTGCCCAACATAAGGTAGAGAAGGGAACCAATAACCATTTGGAACTTGCTACGAAGAGCGGAATTCGATTGGCCTTTGGTGGGTTCGGGTTGGAACCCTGCAGGAAGTGGTGTATCAGCCATTTTAGCATTTTCCATCCCGCAACGCTTAAGGACTTTGTCAAGGTAGGCGCATTGATCAATATAGATCTTTTTGCCACGACGATTAATCCGCATGCGAAGGAATTCTTTGGCTTCACCAAGATCTCTGCATTCCCAATGTGACATGAATTTCCCTTTAAGGGAATCTACGAGTTTCTTGTCAGGTCCAGCAAAGAGTGCGTCATCAACGTAGATGATGGCGATGACTAAAGAGCCATTTTTTCCTCGTCGGACAAAGATACCTGCATCAGAGCTCAGGCGTTTGAAGCCAAGTGTTTTCATGTATGAGTCCAGTGTTTGCCACCAGACAAGACCTGCTTGTTTCAGTCCATACAGAGCTTTGCGCAGTAAGAGGACTTTGTCCTCTTTGCCTTTGATTTGAAAACCTTCAGGCTGTTCCATGTAGATAGTCTCATGTAAGACGCCATATAGATAGGCATTTCGAACATCGAGTCCAGTGAGATACCAGTTGTTCAGCGCAGTCAAGGCGAGCAACAGTCTAACAGTCTCAAACCGTACTACAGGAGAGAAGACTTGGTCATAATCAAGACCTTCAATTTGTGAGAACCCTTTGACAATAAGGCGTGCCTTCTTACGACCATCAGATTTGACGTCAAAGACCCAGCGGTTCTTAATGACCTTTCGGTCTGCTGGACGATCCATGAGTTCAAAAGTACCACGCCGTTTGAGCGCTTCAAGCTCTTCTTGGCAGGCCTTAAGCCATTCCTCACGCTCAGCCTTAGGTAGGCGAGTAATGTCCTTGTAAGTCCATTCACGGACGTTCTCAGAGCTTTTCAGCTCCCCCTCAAAGGGAACGGCCTTAGCCATGAGAAAATATATTAATTCAGCTCCCCCTTCCCAACATAGTCTGATCAGGGTATTAGCTTCGTCACCGGGAGTGACAGAGGGTTGTTCTCCATTTTCAGGAGTAGGATGCTCAGTACTAGGTCCGGGAACCTGTTCTGGCTCAGGACGTTCTTGCTCAGCCGAGGAGCTACCTGGCTGTGGTGCGCGTCTCTGAATATCCCTCTTTGGTCTCTCTACCTGTTGTTCCGTAGGAAGCTTAGTGCTGCTTCTAGGATCACCGGTAAGACGAGTAGGTGGTCTCCGCACACGACCTGAACGTCTCAACTGTTCTTCAGCAGGAGGTTGTTCATTCCGGGGTTGTGGCGGCGGACTAGGATCTCGTGCTGGCTGTTCAGCTGGCACAGGCGGTGCAACGTCTTGCTCCGGATCCTGTCTCATTTGGGGAGTGGTAGGTTGATGAAAGATGGGAACATCATCATCACCAGGTGGAGGAATAGGATCTTTAGGATCTGGGTTGCGATCTGGTAGTCGCGTAGAGCGATGACGCTCTGAGGATTTACAACGAGGAAATAATTTCTCGTCAAACACAGCGTGCGTAGCAGTGAACATGGCATTGTTCGACCGCATGTAGATATTTCCGTGTCCACCGTCAGAAACTCCGAGATATGTCATTAGTTCTGACCTAGGCGATTGTTTGTTTGTCCGTATTTCTTCATGAAGATAGACATACGCGCCACAGCCAAAGACACGCAAGTGATCTATGCGCGGAACTTTGTTGTACAAAATCTCATATGGTGTCTTCCATTTGTGACGACGCATAGGAGTGCGGTTATACACATGCACAGCGTGTGCAACAGAGAATTCCCACCAGGAATCAGGAATACAGGCTTGAAAGCGCTGTGGTTCACTTTTCTCAATAATAGTCCGGATAAACCTTTCGGCTCTTCCATTCTGCTGGTGGATATGAGGAGATGACCATTGTGCTTTGATACCTTCGTTCTTAAAGAACTCATCAAGTGCATTGGATCTAAATTCTCCGCCACCATCAGACATCCATTCCTTGACGTTAGTCTCGTATAGATTTTTGACTGTGGCAATGAATTGCTTTATCACCGGAAGAGCTCCGCTCTTCTTTTTTAAGTGGCAGTAGAACCCATGCGAAGTATAGTCATCTATGAAGAAGATCGTATACTTGTACTTGTGGTACGAAATGGTAGGCCATTCTTTGAGGTCTGAGTGAATAATCTCGAAGGGACGTGATGCCCGACGATTAGTTGGCGGAAATGGACGTAAAGTCATCTTTCCCTTGGCACAACCTTCACATAGATCTTCCTCATGGGGAATGCTAAAGGTGGGAACACCTTCTGCATGTTTCCTCAGTTGAGTGAGTGCTTCGCGCGATGGATGACCCATGCGACGATGCATGGTAGTGTAGTCCACTGAGTGGATCACTAGGTTTACAGCCATAGGCTGTGGCGAATAATCTTTGAGAATGTAGATTGTATCGCTGTGAGTTCGTGGTTCAAATGACAGGAATAAACCGTCTTTGTCCCAGAAGTCAACTTTGTCTGCGTTGCCGCGAACAGTTTTGCCATCTTGTAGGAAGCGTCCTTGTGCTATAAGGCGATGACTCAACTCCTTCATATAGAATACTGGAGCAATTCGTGCTGAATGCATGCGACCTCTAACATCCTTGAAATTTATCAAGACAGTCCCAACGCCAGTAATGTAGGCAGTTGTGGTTGCAGTTGCTATGAGCACTTTTTCCTCAAGGTCTTCATACTCAATGAAGTCACTCAAGTCAAAGGTAGTGTGTTCAGAACAACCAGAGTCGTTCATCCACCATTTAGGTTGATTTCTCTGTTTACCCTTACACTTCTTGCACACAGAGTATGAAACGTCATGTACACAAAAATGTTCATTGGATATATACTTGGCATCGATACGGTAATTATACAAACGGGACAAGAGATCAGGCTCAAAGGCCGACTTGCATGTCTTCGCCACTGCAACCGATGAAGGTGCGTTAGTATATCCCATATGGTCAAGATCAGAGGAGGGTACTGACCCCATGGTGTCCATGAATCCAGTGATTGCCAAAATTTCACGATCCAAGTCGAAGTTCATCAACTCATCAGGGTCGAAAGAGGCAGTTCCTGGGACCTCAAAGTCCATAGGAGGAGATGGAGGAGGCGGCGTAGGAGCCTTACTGCCATTCTCAACATCATCCACAGGAGACATTGCACGAGTGCGCTTTGTTGGAGGATCAAGTTCATCATCACTGTCCAACTCCGAAATATGCCCAGCTGGCTCAAGGGTGCGAATGACTTCGGCAGTTGCACGGACGCCAATGTCACGGGCACGTTTGATGGCCATCCTTGTCTTCTTATGAAGATGAAGGGACGTAGCATTAGGAGGAGGGTTGTAAGGAGGATGGATGGAATGCTTGCGCACATCTTGAACAGAAGGAGTAAGATCAGTACGTACCGGACCAAAGTCAACAGTACTGCCAATCGGACTGAAGTCCATAGAGTCTGCATCAGCTTGGGCAGCGTTTGCATTCTT